ACGCAACGGCCCTGCATTTTGCAGCTGAGAATGGAAATGTTGAAATCGCCAATGTTTTATTGAGCAAGGATGCAGATATAGATGCACAAGATATAAATGGATATTCGCCTTTATTTACGGCAAGTTCCTTAAACCATGCGGATATGGTTACATTTTTGTTAACCAAGGGCGCAAAAACAAGTCTTAGAGAAAAAGATTTTGGAAACACTGCTTTACATTTGGCGATATTAAAAAAAAACGTACAAATAATAAATGAATTGGTTCGAAATGGGGCCGATTTAAAAGCAAGAAACAATTTTGGATTGACTCCTTTGACATTGGATAGGTATTTAAAAAAAACTTAAGATTTAGCATTCTTTGTTTTAAGCATTAAAAATATATATTTAATACATTGCGTTTTATATTTTGACCTATTTAAAAAATATTTAATTGATAATTAGATCTATGTACCTTTACTATCTCGAGGTAAGTAAAACTTTTAATTAATATATTTTGAATTTTACAATTTAAAATCTGACTACCTACTTTTAATTTCATGATTTATTAGATAAAAAAAATATTTCTCCTTTTGCAAAACATCAAAATCAATATAAAATTGGTATATTTTATAATAATAATTTATAGACATCAAATTTCATTTTAGAGTAAAATGTTAAAAACTAATTAACTAAATAAATAAATATTTAAGAAAAAGGATGTTGTTGGACTTACACAACAGTTAAACGCACAATAACCTATAACTATCATTGGTAAATTTTTTTGTTTACTAACTGTAGCGCCCCCTTTTTTCTTTAATTATAATCGCTAGTCTTTTTCTTCACTGAGAAAAAAGTTTATTTCTCCCAAATAAAAAAAATATTTAAATATGGGACAAGGGTACAGTTTATTTATCCTAAATATATTTTTATTCCAGACACATAAAGTTTTAGTAAAGTACATTTATCGTTATTATTTCGACTATTTAGAGGTAATAAACAATATATTCACTATTAATAAAAGTATTACCCAGCTAGCACAGAAACATCCCAACAATGTACAGCGATGTAAAATTGGTACATTAAACCTCCCGTGCAATGTACTGTTGATATCGCATGTCTATTGGACAATGTTTTCGAGATGTTACTTTGTTACGTAGGTACTGAAAACGTTAGTTTGATCATCAATTAAAGTAACTTTAAAACATGCATGCTATGTTTAGATGTAATGTTCCATGAATGTAACTTATTGATATAAAAAGGCTATAGCAAAAGATACATGCATCCGGCAAATCAATTGATGTTTTATAGGTACTTCTTTTTTTAGTATTTGTTTTATAAAATGTGGAAAAACTTAAATTTTTAGATAAGTTTTGTTACATTATAAACAAATTTGTTTATAATGTAACAAAACATATCTAAAAATTTAAGTTTTTCTACATTTTATAAAACAAATACTAAAAAAAGAAGTATAAAAACATATGTTTATCAAATGATTAGCCGGATGCCTGTATTAATGTATAAAAAAGAAAAACAAAAACACAAAGTAATTGAAGTTCTAAGAGAAATTAAAAAAACTACTTACTTATAATAAAATAATATATTCAGGTTAAAAAAATTGTATGCACACTTTACAAATAATAAATTCACGTTTTCCAATCATGTTGAGAACATTTCTTCTGGATCTATGAAAAGCTTGGGATTTACCTATAATTCGCAATACTGGGGGTTTTAGAGATATTAGAACATTTCAGTCAGTCTCTTTATTAAACATTTGTTGTATCTAAGCTGGAATACTGCTGTATTAATAAATTAATTGTTTGGAGTCCGCAATACAAAATTTATAAGGATAGGCTTGAAATTTGTTTAGTTTAGACTTGATGGTATCTATCCCGCTAGAGGAACAAACCACTTGCAGCTTCTTAATAGATTTTCTTTATATCCTTTGGAGCTAAAAAGAATAATAATGCATTTAAAGTTTTTGTATGGACTGTTGCATAACCAGATTGATTCTATATAGCACTGCTTGAATTGGTGAATTGGCGTGTTCCATTTTTTCAAAGTCGTAGTCAATTAACTTTTACATATAAAACACCTAGAATAAATGCCATGTATAATTCACCCGTTCAGAGAATGTGCAGATACTTTAATATTTACTGTGGCTCATGTGATATTTTTTACCAGACTTTTAATAGTACCTAGCTATAGTTAGTGCTGCATCTAGCAATTATAATATTATCCATAATAGGTATATTATACTTAACAAATTTCTTTTCTATATGTATATATTTTGTCCTGTAATTGGAACATGTTCTGTTGGGCAATAAATAAATAAATAATAATAAAAACAACAAATTTAGATACAAAATTTATATTCCCATTTATGGGTTTTAGTGGCAAGAGGTTTACTAAAGCTTATCAAAAAGAAAGGTCTGTCTAATCTGTAAGCATGGCAAATGCGTCTGGCAGGTGAAAAACTGAACATTATTTTTCAGTTTTTTACCTGCCAGGCGCATTTGCCATGCATACTTTTTTTAATGAACTTAATACACCTTACAATCCACAAATTGTGGATTGTGGTAGACCCCTAGCCATTAAAACCATTTTTATCAGTGAAGAAAAACCCATCGGAAAACCCACTTAATTTCATATATACAGGATGTCCCAAAATCACCGATACAAAAACAAAAGAATAAGTAAAAAAGATCACAGCATAGACACAGTAAACTACTTACAGAACAAACCACGCTAACATAGAAAAAGAAGTGTTCTTTGGTGGGAAATAGAACATGAGATAACCTAAAATGAATGGCTTCCAACTTGATAAATGCAAAATTGACATAACATTGATAGTTTTTATTATCACCATCAATAATAATATTAATAAATGAAATTTCGATTGTTTTTAAAGTTTTTTCACTAATAATATTTAAATAAATTATAATTTCACTCTATTTAAGCCTTTTATTTTATTTATTTATTTTTATATTGTTGGTATCATAAAAAAGTTGTTTATAATCAACATAGAAAAGTAACTGTTTTAATTTTAGGGGTTTAAACCATATGGTATATATATATGGTATAAGTTATAGGTATATGGTTTTTAACACGATTAATTTTTTTACAAACCCATTAATAATAATCATAATAAGATAGAACAGACCTTGTCGTGTGGTTGTGGTAGGTAATTAACAATTTAATTATTAAAATATTTTTGTCTGGTATTCATTATTAAATTATAAGTGTTGAATTGTTAACTATTAATAAATAAATTGTGTTTTTTTTAACAATGTTTTATTTACCATATTCAATTGTTAAATGTATTTAAATTCGATAAATAGGCGGGTCAAGATTTACGAATGAAGAATTAGCAAAAATAAAAATTCCGAACATAACCAAATTATTTGACAGTTATAATTTTTTTAATTATTATAAAACCATTAGCAGCGTGTGTAAGTGTAAAGTTCATTAAATTCTTTTTAAAATTCACTCCTCTAGTATGTACTTTACCTCGATTTTCAAACGATTTAAATACTTTGAAGAATATTTACATAACCTAGAAACCACCGTATTTTGTACGCCGTGACTAGGTGCACGTTAGAGTGCCCGCAATTTATTTTTTACGGGCACGCTAGTGACGTAATAGATAAAAAACGTAATCACTGCCGTGCCGCTTAATTTAAAATTGGCGGCACAACAATAATATAATAATAAATTGTACCTGTATACATGTTAAGGGCACGTTAGTTACGTAATAAAACCAAACCAACCCAAACTCAACAACACAACCCAACCGACCCCGCCCCACTGGCCCCCCCCCGCCCCATTGAGCAAAAAACCCAACTAAAATGGGCAAATTTATGTTACGATAAAAATAAAACACTTTTTAACAAAGGAAATAAAAAAATAAAAAAAATTTCGACAACTTCTGAGAATCGAACCCGGGACCTCTCGCATGCAGAGCAAACGCCCTACCATCTACGCTATCTAGCTTGACAACAAATATTATATGTTCGGGTAACAAAACCGGATTATTATTATGACGTCACTAGCGTGCCCGTAAAAAATAAATTGCGGGCACTCTAACGTGCACCTAGTCACTTTGTATTTTGTACAAAAGAAACAGATGTTGCATTCATTCGTTAAAAAGACCTCGAGTCGGCCCTGACTAGTTACAGTTTGGTAACCTTAGTAATTTTTTTATACCAATACACACTATAAATTCCCCCCACCTTCTTTATCTCTGATGCGGTCGATGTTGCCAATGGTAAAAAAATAAAATTCTCAATTGGGTACATTCAATTATAATACGTTGGCTACACTGAAATTTTGAATTTCCCGCACAATCTGACATACATTCTAGTAGTTCCACATATTTAGAGAGTTCTCTAAATATGTGAGTAGTTCTCAAAGATAAAGAAGGTAGTTCCAATGTTGTATAATAAATTAAGGTGCGAATTTCAAATGTGGGAATTATTATTATTTATTATTATTAAAAAAAAAAGATGGAAATTAATTTAGTTTGTGCGGGAAATTCAAATTTTCAATGTAGCCAACGTAATATAATTGAATGTTCCAAATAGGGAATTTTATTTTTTTACCATTGGCAACATCGACCGCATTCCTTGCATATGGTAAATTTGCAAAGCTTACATTTTGCCACTTTTAAAATTGTCAATTCGTGCTGCCAACTTAAGGAACACAAAAATAAGACAGTTTTAAACCTCAATTTTGCCATCATAACAACAAATTTACAATTTATATTGTCACTTATTTACTTTTGCAAAGCTTACATTTTGTCACTTTTAAAATTGTCAATTCGTGCTGCCAACTTAAGGAACACAAAAATAAGACAGTTTTAAACCTCAATTTTGCCATCATAACAACAAATTTACAATTTATATTGTCACTTATTTACTTTTGATGTTGATTTTAGTTTTTATTGATACTTTAATTTGCAATAAAGTATTAATTTGTTAATTAAAATACAACGTTTTATTTTTCCCAAATTGGCACCTCTGAATTGCTGTCCCAGCCTACTGTTCTTATTTTTTCAGTTAAAATTTGTTATTATTAATTTCATTTTATTATGATGATTTACTATTAGGAGATTTTGCAATAAAGAACAGTGTTGCTAACAGGTAATTGTTTATATGCAAAGCATATTATAATTTAATAAATATGTGTACATTTTGAGGTTAACTTCACAATCTAAGATGATTATTTTCTTAAATTTGTGGATTTAAATCATATAGGTACCTATAAACTGTAATGTATTTTAACTTTAAACATGTTGGCAATTTTTGTTTTTGGTCATTGTACCTACATTATGTTTTTTACAGAAAATAATCTCATGGAAGAGAAAAAGGTTAATTTGATTGAGGACTTTGTCACCAATGATAGTATTTACATCATAGACTCCAAAGATGTTAAAAGGGAAAACCAATCACTTTTAGATGATCTGGTTACCTTTGAAAAAGTACAGAGTTCTGTTGTTCAAAAAAATACTGAAGAAGGAAATCATAATGAAGAACATAGAAACGATTGTTGGGTTGGGTAAGTATTTTAGATTTAAAAATGCATACACAAAGTATGGTTAAATATCTTTACACTGGGGAAAAACCATAGAACAAACAATTAATACCAAAATTATTCTTTATTAATATTAAAAACGTAGCGTTCATACAATTGATTTGGTTTTATCCAGGAAAGATACGCTTTTGGAAAAATAATATTTTAGAGCTGAAAAACCTCCTGACCCAGTGTGAAATTAAGTCCAAAACTAAACCAAATCAAACCAATTAACCTTATAATTTCACTGCCTCATGTCATTCTATTCAGGAAATCCAATGATACCACCACACCTGTTACCAAAACAAAAAACCAAGGCTGTAAATATTTGTTTTCTAAAACGCTCATTCAATTTACTTTTGATTAAAGACAAAAAGCTTCCAAATAAATTATGTTGTTCACCAAAAAAGTAGCCATTTCGCAACAGTAAAAATATGGGCGTTTGTAACAAACCTCGCTTCAGACGCTTGCAAATTTTTAAAAACACTCTGTATAGCACCAAAATATATCAATTGAAAGTATAACGTGCACTCAAAAAATGGTAAAAATTGATCAACGCGTTCTCAAGTTATCAGAAAAAAAGAAAATTAAGCCCTCTGGCGGCGGTTCAATGAAGCGACTTTGGATATAGGTTAGGTGGGTTAAACGGTCTATTTTGAATCTATGGTGTTGCGTTGTACGCGTATTTTTCGATTAATGATCTTTTTGATACTGAGATGCGGTTCAAATAACGGCCCTTGGTTCTTATTCGTCGAAAAATAAACCGGTTTTCTAGCTTTTAACGCTGGATTAAAATTGTTTTAGCCGCGAAACCTCCAATACGCGTATTTCCAATGATTTTATTGAGTTGAGTGATTCTGATGGAGGGTCTGGGCGTTACCAAGGCAATACAGACATTAAGGAAGAAGAAGAAGAGAAGCATTGCCTGGATGATTTTTATGTTGAAACTGAGTAAGTTTTTTTAATTCGCGCAATGATTAACAAAACCTGCGTTTTATAGATAAAAATGAAAAAAATACATTTTGATTTTTTAATGTTTAATTTAAAGCATTTAAAATCGGCAACATTGTGTGAATTAAAAACGATAATGATATTATGTTAGATATCCATGGTATTTTTTGGCGGGCGAATCCTAACTTTGCCACTAATATTTTTAGATCTGAAATCAACAATAGTGTTGAAGATTGTGACAATTCTGATGATGGAGGTAAAAGTGAAGATTTTTCTTGCATTGCCAAGGAAGGAGAAAGGGGTGGCGACTTTTCCGAAGAAGACGATAAAAATTTGTCGCACAATGAAGATGATGAAGAAGAAGATGAGGGTGATGGCACGTTTGAGACGAAAATCGAGGTGGAATATCACGGGGTTCAAAGCGACGATATGACCGGCAAAAAAAAGTCGTTTAAGTGCAAAGTTTGTCCCAAGCAATACCAAACAAAGGAGAGTTTATTGTACCATAAAAAGTACACTCATAGAAAAGACGGACTGGAAAAATTTAAATGCGGCAAATGCGATTATAAAACAGTGGACAATAGTAATTTAAAAAAACACTTAAAAATACACGACAAGAGTAAATATTTTAAATGCCATTTTTGCGAGTATATTGCCGCCGAATTGAAGTGTTTAGATAGCCACATTTTAAACAAACATAAATCAGAAATTAAGGAGAATAAAATAAAAATAGCAAGTAAAATTTATCAGTGTCCTAAATGTAAACTTTCAACTGTTATTAAATCAAATCATGATCAGCACATTAATGTATGTTTAAATTTAAAAAACGACCAATGGTATAAATGTGAAGTTTGCCCCTATAAAAGTATTCATAAAAGTTACTTAAGAACCCATAAACTAAGTCATAATAAAATAAAAAAATTGAAATGTTTATTCTGTGATCACAGCTGCAATGATAAAAGAGGTTTGGGCAGCCATATTTTCAGGAAACATTCGCATTTGGTAAATGAATCTGTTATAAGTTTAATGAAATTTAAAGTACATGCATGCGAACATTGTGATTATAAAACAACAAAATTAAATTATTTAAAAAAACACAAAAATAGTAAACACCCCAAATAGCATCTGCGATTTCGAAATCTAAAGTATCCCAACCGAAATTCCAAACTCTGTAATTTACTTTAGGTGTAGTTGTTAATAAATAGTTATAAATTTTTAAAATATGTTTTATTTACCTTATCAAACTCGTGTATTTAATTTGCAAAGCTTACATTTTGTCACTTTTAAAATTGTCAATTCGTGCTGCCAACTTAAGGAACACAAAAATAAGACAGTTTTAAACCTCAATTTTGCCATCATAACAACAAATTTACAATTTATATTGTCACTTATTTACTTTTGATGTTGATTTTAGTTTTTATTGATACTTTAATTTGCAATAAAGTATTAATTTATTAATTAAAATACATCGTTTTATTTTTACCAAATTGGCACCTCTGAATTGCTGTCCCAGCCTACTGTTCTTATTTTTTCAGTTAAAATTTGTTATTATTAATTTCATTTTATTATGATGATTTACTATTAGGAGATTTTGCAATAAAGAACAGTGTTGCTAACAGGTAATTGTTTATATGCAAAGCATATTATAATTTTATAAATATGTGTACATTTTGAGGTTAACTTCACAATCCAAGATGATTATTTTCTTAAATTTGTGGATTTAAATCATATAGGTACCTATAAACTGTAATGTATTTTAACTTTAAACATGTTGGCAATTTTTGTTTTTGGTTATTGTACCTACATTATGTTTTTTACAGAAAATAATCTCATGGAAGAGAAGAAGGTTAATTTGATTGAGGACTTTGTCACAAATGATAGTATTTACATCATAGACTCTAAAGATGTAAAAAGGGAAAACCAATTACTTTTAGATGCTCTGGTTACCTTTGAAAAAGTACAGAGTTCTGTTGTTCAAAAAAATACTGAAGAAGAAAATCATAATGAAGAACATAGAAACGATTGTTGGGTTGGGTAAGTATTTTAGATTTAAAAATGCATAGACAAAGTATAGTTAAATATCTTTACATTGGCGAAAAACCATAGAAGAAAAAACAATTAATACCAAAATTATGTTTTATTAATAATAATAATTGATTTGGTTTTATTCAGGAAAGATACGCTTTTGGAAAAACAATATTTTTGAGCTGAAAAACCTCCTGACCCAGTGTGAAATTAAGTCCAAAACTAAACCAAATCAAACCAATTAATTCCACTGCCTCATGTCATTCTATTCAGGAAAACCAATGATACCACCACACCTGTTACCAAAACTAAAAAACCAAGGCTGTAAATATTTTTTTTCTAAAACGCGCATTCAATTTACATTTTATTTAAGACAAAAAGCTTCTAAATAAATTATGTTGTTCACCTAAAAAGTAGCCATTTCGCAACAGTAAAAATATGGGCGTTTGTAACAAACCTTGCTTCAGACGCTTGCAAATTTTTAAAAACACTCTGTATAGCACCAAAATATATCAATTGAAAGTATAACGTGCACTCAAAAAATGGTAAAAATTGATCAACGCGTTCTCCAGTTATCAGAAAAAAAAAGAAAATTAAGCCCTCTGGCGGCGGTTCAATGAAGCGGCTTTGGATATAGGTTAGGTGGGTTAAACGCTCTCATTTTGAATCTGTGGTGTTGTGTTGTACGCGTATTTTCCGATTAATGATCGTTCTGATACTGAGATGCGATTCAAATAACGGCCCTTGGTTCTTATTCGTCGAAAAATAAACCGGTTTTCTAGCTTTTAACGCTGGATTAAAATTGTTTTAGCCGCGAAACCTCCAATACGCGTATTTCCAATGATTTTATTGAGTTGAGTGATTCTGATGGAGGGTCTGGGCGTTACCAAGGCAATACAGACATTAAGGAAGAAGAAGAAGAAGAGAAGCATTGCCTGGATGATTTTTATGTTGAAACCGAGTAAGTTTTTTAATTCGCGCAATGATTAACAAAGCCTACGTTTTATAGATAAAAATTAAAAAAAATACATTTTGATTTTTTAAAGTTTTATTTAAAGCATTTAAAAATCGGCAACATTGTGTGAATTAAAAACGATAATAATATTATGTTAGATGTCCATGCTATTTTTTGGCGGGCGAATCCTAACTTTGCCACTAATATTTTTAGATTTGAAATCAACAATACTGATGAAGATTGTGACAATTCTGATGATGGAGGTAAAATTGAAGATTTTTCTTGCAATATCAAGGAAGAAAAAAGGGGTGGCGACTTTTCCGAAGAAGACGATAAAATTTTGTCGCACAATGAAGATGATGAAGGAAAAAATGAGGGTGAAGGTACGTTTGAGACGAAAATCGAGGTTGAATATCACGGGGTTCAAAACGAAGATATGACCGGCAAAGAAAATTTGTTTAAGTGCAACGTTTGTCCCAAGCAATACCAAACAAAGGAGAGTTTATTGTACCATAAAAAGTACACTCATAGAAAATTTAAATGCGACAAATGCGATTACGAAACAGTGGACAATAGTAATTTAAAAAAACACTCGAAAATACACGACAAGAGTAAATATTTCAAATGCAAATTTTGCGCGTATATTGCCGCCGAATTGAAGTGTTTAAACTGCCACATTCTAACCAAACACAAATCGGAAAATAAAGGAGAGAATAAAATAAAAATAACAAATAAAATTTATCAGTGTCCCAAATGTCCACATTCAACTGTTATTAAAACAAGTCATGATCAGCACATTAAAGTATGTTTAAATTTGAAAAACGTACAATGGTATAAATGCGAATTTTGCCCCTATAAAAATGTCACAAAAAATTACACGGAAAGGCATATGAAAACTCACAAAAAAATACAAGATTTTAAATGTTTATTTTGTAAATATCAAAGCATTACCAAACAAGGTGTAGACAGTCACATGTTAAGTAAACATCCGCATTTATTAAACGAATCTAATACAAATTTAATCACTGTGAATACAAAAATGCACATTTAAGTTCAATAAAAAGGCATTTAAGGACTATTCATGAAGTTATTTAATAAATTATTATAAATTTTTAAATTATTTTTTATTTACCCTACTTTTCTGTTAACAAGCTAAGGAAGGAATGCCGTCCTTACGGTACGGGAATCTATAAATGGCACTACGATTTAAATAAACATTTTTGACGTAATTATCACCATTAACATTGCCCGTTATTAATTTTAATTAAACTTAACAATTATTGATGCTTTAAAATATGATTTTATTTAAAAAATATTTTTTTATTACTATAATTGCAAAATATTATCACAAGGTATTAAAAATTCTTACTCTTAAAAAAATCAATAAAGAATTTTAACTGTCTGATCACTCTCTTCCCTATTCTAAGGTCCTTGAAATTTAAACTATCTGGTGATATTTCTAGGGTTATTTTAGGGAGTTTTCTGTCAAATATCAAAATAGTCATCTCATAATACAACAAATGCTTTTAATTGACCATATGCAAGGAATGCGGTCGATGTTGCCAATGGTAAAAAAATAAAATTCCCTATTGGGAACATTCAATTATATTACGTTGGCTACACTGAAATTTTGAATTTCCCGCACAAACTGACATACATTCTAGTAGTTCCCAGAGATAAAGAAGGTAGTTTCAATGTTGTATAATAAATTAAGGTGCGAATTTCAAATGTGGGAACTATTATTATTTATTATTATTAAAAAAAAAGATGGAAATTAATTTAGTTTGTGCGGGAAATTCAAATTTTCAATGTAGCCAACGTAATATAATTGAATGTTCCCAATAGGGAATTTTATTTTTTTACCATTGGCAACATCGACCGCATTCCTTGCATATGGTCAATTCGTTGTTTGAGGGTTTATAACAGTTTGCCAGAATTATTTCAGAGTTAAAAATATTTTGTGTTCGTTAAATATACCACTATGGAACACATAGTCATTAAAACAGAACCTGTCTACGATTCCGATATACCAAGTACATCTACTGACCAGGAAACGACTTCAACCGCTGGGATAGCAATAAAACAAGGGATCAAAGAAGAATTGGACTGCACATATCAAGAAGACTATGTCGATGAAGCCGAGCTAGTTGAAATAAAATTCGAAGCCAAAGACAAAACGTTTCTTGACCAAGGGTAAGCAGTGTTGCCACTTAAAGCATTATCACCATGGCAACAGTTGTTTGACAGTTGACATGTTGAAACATGCAACAAGTGACAGTTTTGACCTTGAATTGCACAACCTGCTTGTTCCTGTAGCCAACAGCATTTTTTGCATGATTTTAGATATAAAATAAACAATAATGATAAAGAAAGTGGCAAAATTAAGGAGGAAGAAAGGGACAGTGACTTTTCTGAAGAAGGCACATTTGAGACAAAAATTGAGGTGAAATATCATGGGGTTGAATGTGATGATGTGAGTGGCAAAAAAAAGTTGTTTCAATGTGATGTTTGTCCCAAGAAATATCAAACAAAGATGGGTTTGTTTAATCATAAAAAGTATTTTCATGGAAAAGACGAGCTGGAAGAATTTAAATGTGATAAATGTGATTACGTCACTGTCAGGAAAAGTACTATTAAAATTCATTTAAAAATTCACGACAAACAAAGTTACTTCAAATGTGATTATTGTCAATATAAGGCTGCAAAATTATTGACTTTGCATGCACATATATTAAGCAAACATAAATTGGAGAATGAAGGAGAGAAAAAAATAAAAATAACGAGTAAAATCCACGAGTGCCCTAAATGTTCATATTCAACTCTTCATAAAGCACATTACGATAATCATATCAAAATATGTTTGAAATTAAAAAACGCCGAATCGTACAAATGTTTTTTTTGTCAATACAAAAGCAATCATAAAACAAACTTGGATAATCATACTTTAACCAAACATTCCGATATGTTAAATGAATCCAATAGGAATATCATAACCTCAAAAATACACCACTGTCAACTCTGTGAATATAGGACTGCAAAAGTTGATCACCTCAAATCTCACTTAAAAAATAAACATAAAAAAAAACAGTGATGCCAAATGTACGCATTTTATATGCTGCAGTGTCATTTTTTTCAAATGATTGTACCATTTTTTTAAATTTTTAATAAAACTATATATATTTACGTGTTTTACTTCAATTTACCTTAAAAACTCTTAATTATAAAAATACATAACAACATAACCTCACTATTACACGTTTTGACGTTTCCCCTGGTTTTCCGACGGAAAAATGGATTTCAGAGGTGAGTATTTTAAATGTTGTTCAGATTTTAATTTGAGCGTGAAGTAAGAACAAGTTTTCCCGAAATATGTGGCACCCTGTGCCGTGATCAGCAATAACAGCCGATGTCAGTTGAAATCACATTGTAGTCCCATCTTTTCCGTGCATTTTGTTTTTTTATTCGCGTCATTATCTCTCTTATTAACGAAGATACAGTGCTTTGAAACCAACTCCTCGGATAAAGTTTTCGTGTGTCTTCTCTTCCCTACTCTAAGGTCTAGCCGTTTGAAAATCAAACCATCTGGTGATATATCTAGGGTTATTTTGGGGAGTTTTCTGTCAAATGTCACAATAGTCATCTAATTCGTTGTTTATAAGGTTTTCTATTTATTTTCAGTAGTAAGTTATAAGTTTCCGTACACTATGGAACAAACAGTCGTTAAAAAAGAACCTTCAACGTCTGGGATAGCAATAAAACAAGAGATCAAAGAAGAATTTGATGATAGCGACAACTGCATTTTCTATGATGATTTTGGGGTGAAAAAAGAATCGGAAGATAATTTTGATGAAGTCAAGCAAGCTGAAATGAAATTTGAAGCCACAGACTTGTTTCTTGACCAAGGGTAAGCATGGTTGCCACTTAATGCATCATCACCATGGCAACAGTTGTTTGACAGTTGACATGTTGACACAGCCAGCTTGTTTCTATCGCAAACAGCATTTTTACATAATTTTAGATCTAAAATCGATGATAGTGTTGAAGAAAGTAACAATATTAAGGAAGAAGGCATGTTAGAGACAAAAATAGAGGTGGGATATCCCCATGTTGATGATGATGCAAGTGGCAAAGAAAAGTCATTTGAATGCGATATTTGCCCCAAAAAATATCAAACAAAGACAGGTTTATTTAACCACAAAAAGTATTTTCATGAAAAGCATGTGCTGGAAAAATTTAAATGTGATAAATGTGATTACGTCACTGTAAGAGAAAGTACTCTTAAACTTCATTTAAAAATTCACGACAAACAAAGTTACTTAAAATGTCATTATTGTCAATATATGGCTGCCAAATTAACGACTTTGCACGCGCACATTTTAATAAAACACAAAAAAGAAAATGAGAAAGACAATAAAATAAAAATAACAAGTAAAATTCACAATTGTCCCAACTGTTCATACTCAAATGTTTCAAAATCACATTATAACAATCACATAACTAAATGTCTGAAATTAAAAAATTTCGAATATTACGAATGTCACCTTTGCGACCACAAAACTACACATAAAAATCATTTAGCAACTCACATAAAAACTCACAACAAAATTAAAGAATTTAAATGTTTGTTTTGTACACATCAGTGTAATGTTAAACAAAATTTGGACAACCACATGTTAACAAAGCATTCGAATTTGTTGAACGAGTCCAATAAAAATATAATAACCTCCAAAATACACTATTGCCAACATTGTAATTATAAAACTGCCAATCGAATTCATTTAAAAAGCCACTTTAGGCATAAGCATCCATGATGTTATATTTTATTAAGTATTACCATGTTATAAACCGTGTTTTATTACATTAATAAAGCAACAATTTTTATTTTAATACGTGTTTTACTTTAAAAACCTCAATAGAGTAATTGCATCAAAAATGAAAATCCCTAAAAACCTTTTTAATGTAATCTAGAGGTAAAAACACATTGCAAAAATATTTTTTTATATTCCAAAAGTTCAACCCGGCCCCAAAATATCAAATTAAAAAAAAGGTACTTTTCAAACGTTCCGAACTCCCGCCAAATTGCATGACGTCATAAGCTCCAACTGTCAGAAATCAAGATGTCAACAAATAATAAACACCGATAAAGTTTATGTTTAACATGGAAAACGCGAAACCAAAAATTGGTTGTAAATATTGTTTTGTGCCTTGTTGTACAAATACAACCTGGAAAACTCCTGGGAAAGTTGTCCCTTCAATTATCAAAAGCAAAGTTTATGACCCTACACTGAGAGTAGTTACGGGCCGTAACTTACGGCTCAGCCGTATTTTCTTGGGTTTATTAATATTTAACATACCTATTCAAACCATATACATAGTAAACGACATTTTATTTTACTTACATTAGAATGATCCTTAAAATGATCAATAAAATGTTGACTGCGGTGACGATGTTTTGATATCGCGCCGAGCTATTTTAATCCACTTTATCCTTATTTTCCCTTTTGGCACGGTGATAAACCTTTTCCCAGGAGTTTTCCAGGTTGTATTTGTACAAGGCACAAAACAATATTTACAACCAATTTTTGGTTTCGCGTTTTCCATGTTAAACTTTATCGGTGTTTATTATTTGTTGACATCTTGATTTCTGACAGTTGGAGCTTATGACGTCATGCAATTTGGCGGGAGTTCGGAACGTTTGAAAAGTACCTTTTTTTCAATTTGATATTTTGGGCCCGGGTTGAACTTTTGGAATATAAAAAAATATTTTCGCAATGTGTTTTTACCTCTAGATTACAATAAAAAGGTTTTTAGGGATTTTCATTTTTGATGCAATTACTCTATTATAACGAAAATGCAATGTTCTCCACCCGAACAAAGACATTTCATGCACGAATTGCATCTATCAGTCTGTGTTAAGTAGGTAGCACTGCTATAACTGCATAACCTCACTTTTACACTTTGACGTTTCCTGTGTTTTTCAACGTAAATTGTTTTTAAAAATAAGATTCAAAATTTCAAAAAAGTCATTACTGTATATAACAAATGCTTCTAATTCGTTGTTTGAGGGTTTATATTGAAGATTAATGTGTTTTCTACAGCTTGCCTAAGTATTTTAAAGTAAAATAATACAAAATTAATATTCTGTGATCTTTAAATATAAGTAGTGAAGTTTCCATGCACCATGGAACAAACAGTTGTTAAAAAAGAAGCTTTCGACGATTTCGATAGACCAAGTACATCTGCTGACCAGAAAATACCTTTAGCAATTAAACAAGAGATTAAAGAAGAATTGGATGATAGTCACAACTCCATGGTCTATGATGGATTGGGGGTAAAAGAAGAATCAGAAGAGCATTTTGGCGCAATGAAGTTTGAAGCAGAAGACGAAAAATTTCTTGACAAAGGGTAAGCGTTGGTCACCATGGCAACAGATGTTTGACAGTTGACATGTTGAAACATGACAGTTTTAACCTTGTAACCTTCTACACAGCCTGCTGTGCAATTTTATTGAAAATTTATCTTAGTGTAAATGTTTTTGCAGGAGCGCCAATGTTGTAGTAAAAAAGGAAATACTTGCGCCAAAAATTCTCCCAAAAATAGTAAAAGGTAAGTGTTTTTTTATTAAATTTTTTTTAAATCAGAGTTGATACAAAATTAATTGTTTTTTTTTAATTCCATTTTTACAGCAAGTTACCAAAAAAGAGGTAAAGAACGTCTAATTTGTTTCAAGAAGTATAAGAACACTTATAATTTAAAATGCCAATTGTGTCAATTTATGGCTGATGATTTAAAAACTTTAAATGCCCACATCTCAATTATACATAAAGAAGAAAATAAAATAACACATACATGCATGAAGTGTTTATACTCCACTACTATTAAAACAAATTATGATAATCACATCAAATTTTGTTTCAAATTAAAAAATATTATATGGCATCAATGCCGTGTTTGTCACTACAAAACTGTTAATAAATTTGATTTAATAAATCACTCAAGAATCCATAAATGCCAATAAAGTATCTTAACTACTGTTTTTCAATTATTTTTATTTACATTACTCCTCCTTAATTTAGTCTTCTTGGTTGCCAGTGATGTCAAGCTGACATTAGGTACTACCAACTGCAAAATAAATCCAAGAATCGCAATATAGATTGCATTCCTCCTTTAAATGCAATTTTAAAGATAACTTTATTTGTACTTGTAAAACTAAATATACTGATTTTTAAAAAATCAATATACCTAACTTAAATAAAACTACATTTCCATTGGTCATTACTCCTCCTCTGTCTTCCCTACTCCAATATCTGGTGATTTTTCTAGGGAGTTTTCTGTCAAATGTCAAAATAACTATCTCTTATATAAAAACGTAAATAAATACACAACCAGTCGAAATTTTGATGAATAAACCTAAGGAAACCTCTGCTGACCTGGAAATGGCCTCAGCATCTGGGATAGCAATTAAACATGAGATCAAAGAAGAGTTTATTGAGGGGGACAACTTCATGGCCTATGATGATTTGGAGGTGAAAAAAGAGTCAACGTCCACAGATGAAGAAGACTATTTTGATGGAGCAGACCAAGTCGAAATGAAATTTGAAGCCGAAGACGAAAGTCTTCTTGACATAAGGTAGGTATAGAGAATTTGTAATTTTATGGAAAATTAACCCAAGCATGGATTTTTTGTAGGATTAAAAGTGAAGAAATTAATAAAGAAATAGTGTCAGAAATTAAAAAAAATCCTATTTCCAAAGATAGGTTATTTCAGTGTGATATCTGTCCCAAGAATTATAAAAAAATGTATAAATTAACTGAACATAAAAAGTTTATTCATCGAAAAGACGAGCTGGAAGAATTTAAATGCAGCATTTGCAATTATGCAACCGTAAGAAAACATAATTTTAAACAGCACTTGAAAATTCATGACAAGAGTAGTTATTTAAAATGCCATCTTTGTCAGTATCAGAATGTTCGGATGCAGAATCTAAAAGCACACATTTTATCCAACCATAACCTACAAAATACAGGAGAGGATAATGTAGAAACGACAGGTAAAGTATATGAGTATTATGTCTATGGTTTAGTATAGATCTGGCAACACCGGATTACGAAGACGTGATTATCTAGGGATATTTGGTTTGATTTATTTGGTAACTACCAAAATTTTAAAATAAAACGCATTGTATTGTTATTTATTATAAGTTACTTATTTTTTTTAATAATTCACGTTTTTGTGTTAATATATTTGTATATACTGAGTTTTGTATTAAAATGAAGAATAATGTCTGTTTTTTAAATCAAATGGGGTAAAATTACAGTAAATTTTTTGCAGGAATTGATAAAAATCACGAATTTGAAGGCAACTGTTTTCGTTGTAAGATATGTCCTGATAAAAAATATAGAAGAAAAGGTGGTTTATTGCAACATATAAAATTTGTGCATAAAAATCATGATCTGACCCAATTTAAATGCAGCCAATGTGATTTTACAACTTTAAAAAATAATCATTATATACAACACTTAAAAATTCACGACAAAAAAAACCATTTCAAATGCCAGTTTTGCCAGTACAGTTCTGCCCTGTCGAAGAGTCTAAATGCTCATATATTTAGTAAACATAGATTGGAAAATACAGGGGAAAATAAAATAGAATTAACAGGTAAAGTATACGAGTGCACAAAATGTCCATACTCGACCCTTATTAAATATCACTTCAATACACACATGAAAGCATGTCTGAAATTAAAAAACGATAAAAGCTACGAATGCCACCTTTGCGAATACAAAACCATCCACAAAAATCACTTAACAATCCATATAAGATCCCATAACGAAATAAAAAAATTGAAGTGTTTGTTTTGTTCTTTTCAAACTAAAATCAAAAATAATTTGGACCGGCATATTCTAGCTAAACATTTCGAATTGCTGAATGAATCCAATAAAAACATCATTACATCCCAAAGCCACCATTGCCAACAATGTAAATATATAACATTAAACAGATGCGATTTAATTGCTCATTTAAAAACTCATTCTGTTGAAATGTCAAATACCACGGAAAATTCTGATTTAAATGAGCCTAATAAGATTTTATAATTTAAGTTTATTTTATTTTATGTATTTTATCTAATAAATTGTTACCATTTTTGATTTATCACTTTTTTCTTACCTACCAAACATCTCATAAATTATTGAAATCAAAAACTGCATAAAAGAAGAGAAGAAAATAGGTACCAACCTACAAAAGCAAAATTATTTTGCCATTTTACCACAGTCGATTTAAAAAAAAACACAAATTTCTTTATTTTATAAATAAGACGTATAAAATAAGAGTTAAACGCGGCAACATTGCGAGTTGTTGATGGTTGGTTTCTATGGCAACGCTTTTGACAGTTCTTTATTTAAAATGAGTTTTAAAAACGAATTATTGTTTTGTGAATCAAATAGAGGCAAATACAATACGATTGAGGTTTTCCTTAGTAATTTATTTCGTGTTTTAATGTTTAATTTCAAAAATGGATCTCTTTTTGAAGTTTCATTGTTTCTATGCTTTTTTGAATATCTGGTGATATTTCTGGGGATATTTTAGACAGTTTGCTGTCAAATGTCAAAATCAGAGAAAATGGTCGTTGGAAAACAAACCTTCTTGTTTTATTATTATATTATTAACATATTTTGTGTTTTGAATGCAAATTTAAAGTAGTATTACGATGAATAACTTTGCTGACCAGGAAACGCCTCTAACCTCTGGGATAGCAATAAAACAGGATATCAAAGAGGAATTTGATGAGGACAACTCCATAGCCTGTGATGATTTGGGGGTGAAAAATGATGAAGAAGACTATTTTGATGGAGCAGAGCAATTTGAAATGAAATTTGAAGTTGAAAACGAAAGACTTCTTGACATAAGGTACCTAAAGAGAATTTGTAATATTATGGAAAATGATTTTTTTTTGTAGTTTTAAAAATGAAGAAACAAATAAAGAAATACTGTCAGAAAAAGTCCCAAAAGAAGAGAAAGGTGTTTTATTAGTTAATTGTTTTTAAAAACCTCAACAAATATTTTTTTACAGGGAATGAAAAAAATCCCCTATCCAAAGACAGGTTATTTGAGTGTGATATCTGTCCCAAGAAGTACAAAAGTAGGGATGGTTTGAATGAACATACAAAGTTTGTTCATAAAAAACACGAGCTGGACCAGTTTAAATGCAGCATATGTAATTATGTGACAGTGAGAAAAAGCAATTTTATAAAACACTTGAAAATTCACGACTCGAAGAACTATTTAAAGTGCAAATTTTGTCACTATACGACTGCTTGGTTGTATAATCTAAATACACACGTTACACGTAAACATAACCTACAAAATACAGGAGAGAATAAAGTAGAAATTACAGGTAAAGTACGAGTATTATTTCTATGGTTTTGTATAGATCTGGCAACGCCGGATTACAGACGTGATTATCTAGGGATATTTGGTTTGATTTATTTGGTAACACCCATAATTTCGTTTTTAAATAAAACGCATTGTATTGTTATTTATTATAAGTTACTTATTTTTTTTTAATAATTGGACAATCCTTTCTACCTTTTATCGTTTTCTTATGTTTGTTTTCTGATCTTCTCGAGATTTCTGTTGCCTTATTTTCGGTTCCCATGCCTTTTTTAATAATTTTTTCTCTGTAGCGTACTTTATTCGATTCACAGAACAAAATAATTTGTTTTTACAACTCATTTTAGGATTTTAAATAACAACACCGTATAAATAATGTCACTTTCACTGTCAAAAGTAGAAAAAGCGAAAAGCGTTGCCATAGAAACCAACTATCAACAACTCGCAATGTTGCCGCGTTTATGTTTACATTTTTAATTCACGTTTTTGTTTATATATGTTTATATTGAGTTTTGTATTAAAATAAAAAATAATGTTTGTTTTTTAAATCGAATGGGATAAAATTACGGTAATTTTTTTGCAGGAATCGAAAAAAATCCCGTATTCAAAGCCGACTTTTTTTGTTGTAAGATTTGTCCTAAGAAATATAAAACAAATGATGGTTTATTGCAACATACAAAGTTTGTTCATAAAAAACACGAGTTGGACCAATTTAAGTGCAGCATATGCGATTATGAAACCGTGAGAAAAAATCATTTTATAAAACACTTGAAAATTCACGAGAAAAAAAACTATTTAGAATGCCATTTTCGCCATTACATGGCTGCCAAATTGACGACTTAAAATGCACACATGCAATATTGTTATATTAACAAGATTATTTAATTTTATGTATTATTTCTAATAAATTGTTACCATTTTTATTTATCACTTTTTACTTACCCAACATCTCATAAATTATTTGAAAAATGTATAAAAGACAGTGGCAGTGACAGTTCTATATGCAGCGTTATTTAAAATCCAAGTTTTGAAAACGTACGAAAAAAACCATGGGTAGTCTGATTATTAAAAAAAATTAACTGATTAAAAACCAAATTTAATTTTTTTTGTGTTTGGCAACATTGCACAGCTTTTTTTTATTGGGAGTGATTGCCTTTCTTCCGTAAAAGATGAACAATACGAAAACTGTAGTGCTGTTTATAGATTCCCGTACGGTAATCTATAAACACAACTACGGTTTTCGTATTTTTCATCTTTAAGGGAAGGAAGGAAGGAAAGCAATCTATAAATCAGGCTTTATAATGTTTAATTTAAAAAATTGGATTTCTTTTTAAAGTTGTTAGTAAATTGTTTAAATCAGTTGGCAACACTGCTTTTACTTTGTGTTTTTAAATATCTGGTGATATTTCTAGGGATATTTTTGACAGGTTTCTGTCAAATGTCAAAATGGTCTTATAACTCGTTTGTTTTGATAATATTCATAACATTCAGTGTTTTGTGTTTTAAATACAGGCACAATGGAGCCAATAGTAGTTAAAAAAGAACCACTAGACGGTTTTGAAGGTAGTATTTTGACGAATAAACCTAGACCAACCTTTGCTGACCTAGAAATGCCTTCAACCTCTGGGATAGCAATAAAACAAGAGATCAAAGAGGAATATGATGATTTAGCAGTGAAAATAGAATCAACGTTCACAGACCAAGAAGACTATTATGATGAAGCTGAGCTGGTTGAAATGAAGTTTGAAGCTGAACATGAAAGTTTTGTTGACATAAGGTATATAGTGTACTTTATATAGAATTTTATGGAAAATGTTTTTGTAGGAGCAAAAGTGAAAATGTTAATAAAGAAATACAGCTGGAAAAAGTTGTCCCAAAAGCAGAAAAGGGTAGGTGTTTTGTTTTAATTAAAGCTCAGATGTGTCAAGAATTACAAACAAATCAAACATAAATATTTTTTTACAGAAATTGAAAAAAATCCCAAAGGTAAGTTTGAGTGCAAGGTTTGTCCAAAGACATATCAAACGAGGATGGGTTTATTTTATCACAAAAAATATGTACACAAAAAGCATGAGCTGGAAGAATTTAAATGTAGCAAATGCGATTTTGTGACGGTGAGAAAAGGGATTTTAAATAAGCATGTAAAAATTCACGACAAAAGCAACTACCTAAAATGCCAATTTTGTCAATATATGGCAGCGGAGTTAAAAGGTTTAAATGCTCACATTCTAAGTAAACACAAATTGGAAAATAAAGGAGAGAATGAAATAAAAATAACAGGGAAAGTATACGAGTGCACAAAATGTTCATATTCGACTCTTCATAAAGCACATTACGATAACCACCTACGAGTGTGTCTGAAATTAAAAAATGTTAAATGTTACGAATGTCACCTTTGTCTGTATAAAACCATTCACAAAAGCCATTTAACAACCCACATTAAATCCCATAACGAAATAAAAAAATTGAAATGTTTGTTTTGCTTGTATGAAAGCAATGCAAAACAAAATTTAGACCAACACATTCTAACCAGACATTCTGATATGTTAAATGAATCTAACAGAAATATAATTACATCCCAAATACACCATTGCCAACTGTGTAAATACAAATCAATAAACAAAGGTAATTTAAAAGCTCACCTAAAAACTCATTCTGTTGAAATGTCAAAAACCATAACAAACTGAATAATTTAAGTTTTTATATTATTGCTAATAAATTGTTACCATTTTTAACTTGTCGTTTTTTATTTACTTACCAACTTTAATGACTAAATTGAAGTATCATCACTAAAAACAACATAAAAAGTTAATTTATAATGGCAAAATTAGGTTTTAAAACTGTCATATTTTTGTGTTTCTTAAGTTGGCAGCACAGAATTTAAAATGAAAACTAAGCTAAATAAGTTGTTTTTTAAGTTTTCCATAAAAAAATACTGTAATAATTATTAATCAGCTTGTACTTTTCATTTAAAATTTCATATTGTTTAATTATGGATAATTTTAGTAGAAAACAACAAAATCCATCTATTTTCAACGTCTATGGTGACGTAGTTCTCGTGTTGTGGCGCTGCCGGTCCAAAATAAACAATCCCATTGGTGATCTGTCAAAAAACAACTGTCAAATTTCGGCGTCTTTCTACAATTTGAAGCGTCCAAAACAATAATTCCAAAATCCTCAATCATCGGCGTTATTTTGGTGTTTATTAATAATTAGAACGGTGAAAAATGTCGATCGGCGTCCCAATTAAAGTTCTACATGAAGCCGAGGGCCACATAGTGACCTGCGAGACGATTACCGGCGAAGTTTACAGAGGAAAATTAATTGAAGCCGAAGACAACATGAATTGCCAGATGACGCAGATCACCGTCACTTATAGAGACGGCAGAGTCGCTCAGCTCGAAAATGTTTACATTAGAGGCTCGAAAATCAGGTTCCTAATTCTGCCCGATATGCTGAAAAACGCCCCAATGTTCAAGAAACAGACCAAAGCGGGCACTGCGGGCCGAGGAAAAAGCGCTATACTGCGAGCACAAGGTTAGTCTGGCAATAAAATGCTGAAAAAATCGTGAAAATCGCCCAAAAACAAACGTTTTCCAAACGTATGCTTTGAGGTTATGTTTGTGTCAAAATTTAGTGATTTTACCGTGTTTTGTTTTGTTTTTTTGCACCCTTCAACTGTTTTCATTCCTTTTTCTTTTCATTGTTATTGAAACGGTAAATTTTGTTGTTTTTTAAATTCTAGGTTATGTTTGCAATAATCGAGCTTTTTTACTGTTTTTGTTGCATTTCAAAACTATTTTAACCCATTAATAGCTATTGCGAAGACGGTAAAATTACAAAAAAATAAATACACTATATTTGCTCTAAAACTGTTTTTTTAACATTTATTGATAGGGTTATGTTTATGACTAATTTACTTGTTTTTAATGCCTCTTGCAGCGTTTTTACACATTTTAATGCGTTTTTATCCATATTGGAACCCTTTTTAACAGTTTAAAACCTTAAATTGTTCTAAAAAAATACTTTATCATTCTTTTTTTTTGTAGCTCGGGGCAGAGGGAGAGGTCAGCCTCCTATTCGAGGGAGAGGTGGGGCTCCTTGGCAAGCTCCGCAAGGTGGCGCTCCAGGCAGGGGAAGATAATTTTCTCATCTATAAAATTAACCTTAAGTTTAACATGTAAATATTTATTTAAACCATCTAAAAAGCATTTTTTTGAATTTTATACATCAATTTGATTTGACTGAATAAGTTGATCATGTAAAAATTACGAATTTGTTTGTAATAAATGGTATTCTTTTTCTAGATTGAGTTTTTTTATTGTTTCTGGGTCATTTGAAAAAATAGGTATAACTTTGGTAATTTTTAACATTTTGTTACATTTTATACGCCAAATTATAGATAAATAAACATCCTATAAGAATATTTAACTGAATAATACAATTATTATAACAAAATAACATTAAAATCGATTATAATAAAAATTAAAAATGTCACTTATATTTTCAAAACTACGCATCCAACAAAAATTTCAATAGAAAGTAATTTGTAGGGAATAACCTGCTCTATAACTTTCCTTTATATTGTAATGCAATAAATTTACAAATAACATAGATACAGCTTGTTTTTCGCGATCTGGCACCATCGGTACATTTGAACTACCAACTAGGTTATGTCGCATTACATAACCTCCAAAATGTCAAACCCGTTATATTTTCGCGTTTTAAACCGAAATTTAGCGAGGTTTTGCGTGAAAAATGTTAGAAAGGCATCGACACAAACACACGGCAATGAGAAAGAGACGCATTTTGGGTTCGAGACGGTGAAAGAGTCGGAAAAAGCTAAGAAAGGTTAGGTTTCACATTTTCGTTGTTATTCGTGTTGTAAGGCGTTTTTTAGTGCACGAAGTGTTCGAAAATGTGGCGCAGAATTACGACGTGATGAACGACGCGATGTCTTTGGGTATTCACAGAGTTTGGAAGGATATTTTTTTGGATCGGCTGAGCCCAACAAAAAATACGAAATTGCTGGATGTAGCCGGTGGTACGGGGGATATAGCGTTCAGATTTTTAAATCACGTTAAAAACAGCAACCAGGAAGAAAATTGTCACGTAACTGTGATGGATATTAACAGTAACATGGTTGAAGTTGGAAAGATAAGATCGGAGGCTTTAAAGTTTGATAAAAGTGTTATTAGTTGGGAAGTTGGGGATGCCGAGTGTTTGCCCTTTAAAGATAACTCTTTCAACGCGTATACTATCGCGTTTGGTATAAGAAATGTAACACATATTGATAAGGTTCTTGAAGAAGCATATAGAGTCTTACAGCCTGGGGGTAGGTTTATGTGCTTGGAATTCAGCCATTTACCAAACTCTGCAGCTCAATGGTAAGTTATTTTATAGATTTTTTAAATTAAAACATTGGATAAAAAATCTATTTAAGCATTTTTTACTACCCAAAAAAAGTGTTTTATTTGTATTGCTATATTTTCGTTAATATTAATACTACAATAAAATGTTAATAATGAAAATGTAGTAAATTGAATTATCTACAATAAACTTTACCACACATTTTGCCAAAAAATTGACAGAAAAAGAGATATTTAACAAAAACCAAAAAATTGTAGGGTCTATGATCAATACAGCTTTCAAGTAATACCAGTGTTAGGGAAATTAATTGCTGGGCAGTGGCAGCCCTACCAATATTTGGTGGAAAGTATAAGAAAATTCCCCGACCAAAAAAACTTTGGATCTATGATTGAAAGTGCCGGCTTTAGAAGTGTAACATACGAAAATTTGACATTGGGGGTTGTAGCAATACATTCTGGCTTTAAACTGTAATTTCTCAATTAAATCTGTATTTATTAATTGTTGTTTTCTTCGCCTTTAAAATTACGTTTACACCGCTAAAATCGGTCAAAAACTAATTAAGTTATGACCACTTCTAACCCATGGTGTTTTGATGTTGGTAAAGGTTTAGAAAAATCGCCATAACTTTGCTAATTTTTGACATTTTTTGTCGTTTTATATGTGGAATTACAGATAAATAAACGCTTTATAAATATATTTAAGTTGTACTAAAACAAGTATAAAATTGTCAAAAATATGGCATGTCAAAATCGAAGGTTAAAAAAATTGATTATGTCAAACTTTGAGTGGTCATAACTTTGACATTTTTTAAGGTACGGTAATTTTGTTTAAAAATCTTTATAGAGGATTTAATTGGGTGTAAAATGACGTATTACTTTTACAAATTGTATGAAAATTAACAAAGTTACGTCAATTTTTAATTCTATGAGGGTTAAACATCATATTGACACTGGACAAACTTTGAGCGGTTGTATCTTTAAAACCCCGTATATGACAAAAAAATTATCATAAAGTTATTTGTGGGAAATTTAGTCCTCTATAACTTTGTTTTAAGTTGTAACCCTGTAAAATTTCAAATAAACACAAAATATAAAACTGTTACATATTTATTAATAATAATCTGCAAAAATGTATGTTACACATCATATGGTTGTTAATAGTAGGAAATATTGTTAATAAAGGCATATATTGAATTTGTAATTTGTTTTTTTTATTATAAAATTATTTTTTATTGGGCTAAAGTGCCCATAGGGTCCCATGCAGGTAGAACAATGGGATCTTGTTGGAAGACTTTTAAAACATCCTCTGGGACGTATTTTTTATCAACAACAACTTCAAAAGTGAATTCTTTGAACCATTCTGACGTCATTATTAAGTAACCTTTTTCGCCCCTATCTTCGCCCCAGGAATTTTCAACCCTCAGTTTGTTAACTACACCATTTTCCTGTACAAAAAAAATTATAATAATAGAAACAAACAAATGTATTTTTTTCTTACATCTTTGTTTACAGCGGTAAAAACCATGGCATGAGTCATGGAACTTTCCCCATAATACAACCTATCAGCTTTAGATAGGGTGGTTTGAATGTCAACCCCAAAAACTAGATTGAAATCATGTCTAAAACAAAAAAAAACTTTAAGTCACATTTTTGTCTTTTTTGCAAAGGATTTTTTTGAAATTCAAAAAGTATTGGAAAGTCAATAAAAAACTCCTTGATTTGATGTATTGTACGTGAAATTTGATCAAAAAATAAAAAAGTTATTAAGACTTGAAAATGTAAATAAAAAATTGTATGAAAAATGACACATCACGAGATTTTTTTAAATTTCTGGAGTGCCAAGCAATCAATTCGAAAAAATTAAAAATTAAATGAATCTAGACGAATAAGGCTACAAAATGACGTTTATTTTACTACTTTAAAACAAAACACTGAAAAGTTACTGACACTTCAAAATCACGTATATGCGACATCTGAAAATAGGAAAATGCAATGACATAGGGTTATATTATTGGCATTTACAAAAAAGTTATTTGAGATTTTTTTAAATTCGAAAGACATTTGAAAGTCAACTAAAAACTCTTTGATTTGATGTATTGATCATTAAATAAAACCTAAAAATAAAAAAGATATTAACAAATGAAAAAAATATATGAAACAAAAAAATGGAATGACATGGTGTTACATTTAAGGCGTTTTCGCGAAAGTTTTTAAATTTTTTGAAAAAATTCAAAAAACATTTTAAAGTCCATAAAATTATCTTTAATTTAATGTGTAGTTTGTTAAAATTGACAGCAGAATAAAAAAGTTATTGAACAATGAAAAAGCTAATCCTAATTTTCTCACTTACACCTTACAATCTTGTATTCCTTGTTTAGATGCAAATCTTTTTGACACTTCGCACCCAAACCAAACCGCCTCACCGTCCGAAATGCTTTTTGAGGTTAGGTCCAACAACAAATCCACTGGTTGGTTGTTGTAAATGCAATTTCTACCCCCCACTACATTCCCCAAACAATCGACGGTGTAAGCTTTTCCATACTCGTTGGTTGGCCTTGGATCTGTCACCAAGCAAACCTAAACAATTGAGGTTAGAATCCGCAAAAAATTCCCACGAAAAATTACCTTTTCGTCCACGTTAAAGTGGGCCTTAACATGCTCTTCGTAGAACTCCACAGGAGTTATGGGCCCCACAGTATGATACACCTTATTTTTGTCGTAATAATTCCACGTGAATTTCTCGCTGGGAATCCCCATACATATGGCAACGATGCGATAAATATTCGACATTTGTTCTTTTATCAAGGCGTTTACATCCGCATCGCTACCTCCTTTGCAAACTAACTCGCGTAAAATTTTGGCGTACTCCCTAAGCTAAAAAGTGCAATATTTTTTTTTATTTTACATTTTAGAAAAAAACCGCAAATAAAAAAATTGTAGAGCATTCAATCCTCTACAAAATGATGCCTTATATAACTCTCTAACGTTTGTAGAACTGTAGATATAACCACTAGAACATAGACATGATGTGATAATACAGCCTTTCACTAAAATTACCACAACTTTGTTAATTTTTGACATTTTAAGGGGTTTTATACGTCAAAGTGTACATAAATAAACACTTTGTAAAAATATTAAAACCAAAATAAGATTTTATAAAAAATGTTTAAAATATGACGTATCAAAGTTGAAGACGTGAAAATTAGATTACCGCAAACTTTGAGCCGCCATAACTTTGACATTTTTTGACATACGGTAATTCTACTTTAAAATCCTTAAAGATGGGTTAATTGGTTGTAAAATGACGTTTTATTTATTTAAATTGTGTGAAAATTAACCAAGTTACATCTAATTTACATCTCTTGAGAGCTGAAAAAAATTTTGACACTGGAAGAACTTTGAAGGGTTATATCTTTAAAACTACACAGATGACAAAAAAAATTATAGAATGTAATTTGTAGGAAATTCCGTGCTCTACAACTTTTCTTCATAGCAAAATCCTGTAAAATAACAAATAAACGAGTTATACCTTGCTTTTCAAGATGGCGTTCATTCTCATGCTGGACTCGCATGAAAACGACTCTGGGAAGTTTTTCTTGGGCATCAAGCCGTATTTTTTGATGACGTTGACGATCATGTCCCATTGCCCTCCGTCCGACACCAAATCGGAGGATAAAAGAAACGAAACAAGCCTGCCATCTACCGGTTCAGCTCGGCGAGCTGTTTTGACGATGTTGTTGAGAAAAAAATTGCACCTCTCTATTTTATCCCAAAAAAATAGGTAACCCTGGCTGAATTCGAAGTCTTCAATTTGGTGATGCTTCATGAAGGGTAACCGGATGACGTTTAGGGCAGCGAAAATCCAGCATCGGCCTGAACTTTTCTGATTTGTCATAGGTTTTCCTTCAGATTCAATCTAAAATAAATTAAAAAAAAACTTGTTTTTATCAAAACAAAAAATGAAATTTTACAAAAACCGCGAATAATATTTCAACCAAATTTCGTACACAATATACCGTATGTTCAAGGTATACCGACACCAAATTTGGTCACAATCTAACAAAAAACACCCTGTATATATCAATAAAAATATGCACCTTACATTTTAGCATGTCACTTTAAGAATGTCAGATATATTAGGTTGAAATTTGGTGTACATATTAAAAACTTATTGTTTTACATTGCTTGGAAATTTTATTAAAATATTTTAAAAAACAAAAAAGTTACAACGTGTTTTATAAAATAAAGTTGTTTCTATAAAACAAAAATCGAAATTTTACAAAAACCACCGATAATATTTCAACCAAATTTCGTACACAATATACCGTATGTTCAAGGTATACCGACACCAAATTTGGTTCCAATCTAACAAAAAACACCCTCTATATACCAATAAAAATATGCACCATACATTTTAGCATGTCACTTTAAGAATGTCAGATATATTAGGTTGAAATTTGGTGTACATATTAAAAACTTATTGTTTTACATTGCTTGGAAATTTTATTAAAATATTTTAAAAAACAAAAAAGTTACAACGTGTTTTATAAAATAAAGTTGTTTCTATAAAACAAAAATCGAAATTTTACAAAAACCACCAATAATATTTCAACCAAATTTCTTACACAATATACCGTATCTTCAAGGTATACTGACACCAAATTTGGTCCCAATCTGACGATTTAGTACCGAAAAACACCCTGTATATACCAATAAAAATCTACACCTTACATTTTAGCATGTCACTTTAAGAATGTCAGATATATTAGGTTGAAATTTGGTGTACATATTAAAAACTTATTGTTTTACATTGCTTAGAAATTTCATTAAAATATTTTAAAAAATTAAAAAGTTACAGTGTGTTTTGTAAAATAATGTTGTTTCTATAAAACAAAAATCGAAATTTTACTGAAACCACCAACAATATTTCAACCAAATTTCGTACACAATATACCGTATCTTCAAGGTATACTGACACCAAATTTTGTCCCAATCTAACGATTTAGTACCGAAAAACACCCTGTATATACCAATAACACCTTACATTTTAGCATGTCACTTTAAGAATGTCAGAAATATTAGGTTGAAATTTGGTGTACATATTAAAAACTTATTGTTTTACATTGCTTAGAAATTTCATTAAAATATTTTAAAAAATAAAAAAGTTACAGTGTGTTTTGTAAAATAATGTTGTTTCTATAAAACAAAAATCGAAATTTTACTGAAACCACCAATAATATTTCAACCAAATTTCGTACACAATATACCGTATGTTCAAGGTATACCGACACCAAATTTGGTCCCAATCTAACAAAAAACACCCTGTATATACCAATAAAAATCTGCACCTTACATTTTAGCATGTCACTTGAAGAATGTCAGATATATTAGGTTGAAATTTGGTGTACATATTAAAAACTTATTGTTTTACATTGCTTGGAAATTTCATTAAAATATTTTAAAAAACAAAAAAGTTGCAACGTGTTTTGTAAAATAATGTTGTTTCTATAAAAACAAAAATTGAAATTTTACAAAAACCACCAATAATATTTCAACCAAATTTCGTACACAATATACCGTATGTTCAAGGTATACTGACACCAAATTTGGTCCCAATCTGACGATTTAGTACCGAAAAACACCCTGTATATACCAATAAAAATCTACATCTTACATTTTAGCATGTCTCTTTAAGAATGTCAGATATATTAGGTTGAAATTTGGTGTAAATATTAAAAACTTATTGTTTTACATTGCTTAGAAATTTCATTAAAATATTTTAAAAAACAAAAAAGTTACAACGTGTTTTATAAAATAATGTTGTTTCTGTAAAACAAAAATCGAAATTTTACTGAAACCACCAATAATATTTCAACCAAATTTCGTACACAATATACCGTATGTTCAAGGTATACTGACACCAAATTTGGTCCCAATCTGACGATTTAGTACCGAAAAACACCCTGTATATACCAATAAAAATCTACATCTTACATTTTAGCATGTCTCTTTAAGAATGTCAGATATATTAGGTTGAAATTTGGTGTAAATATTAAAAACTTATTGTTTTACATTGCTTAGAAATTTCATTAAAATATTTTAAAAAACAAAAAAGTTACAACGTGTTTTATAAAATAATGTTGTTTCTGTAAAACAAAAATCGAAATTTTACTGAAACCACCAATAATATTTCAACCAAATTTCGTACACAATATACCGTATGTTCAAGGTATACTGACACCAAATTTGGTCCCAATCTGACGATTTAGTACCGAAAAACACCCTGTATATACCAATAAAAATCTACATCTTACATTTTAGCATGTCTCTTTAAGAATGTCAGATATATTAGGTTGAAATTTGGTGTAAATATTAAAAACTTATTGTTTTACATTGCTTAGAAATTTCATTAAAATATTTTAAAAAACAAAAAAGTTACAACGTGTTTTATAAAATAATGTTGTTTCTGTAAAACAAAAATCGAAATTTTACTGAAACCACCAATAATATTTCAACCAAATTTCGTACACAATATACCGTATGTTCAAGGTATACTGACACCAAATTTGGTCCCAATCTGACGATTTAGTACCGAAAAACACCCTGTATATACCAATAAAAATCTACATCTTACATTTTAGCATGTCTCTTTAAGAATGTCAGATATATTAGGTTGAAATTTGGTGTAAATATTAAAAACTTATTGTTTTACATTGCTTAGAAATTTCATTAAAATATTTTAAAAAACAAAAAAGTTACAACGTGTTTTATAAAATAATGTTGTTTCTGTAAAACAAAAATCGAAATTTTACTGAAACCACCAATAATATTTCAACCAAATTTCGTACACAATATACCGTATGTTCAAGGTATACTGACACCAAATTTGGTCCCAATCTGACGATTTAGTACCGAAAAACACCCTGTATATACCAATAAAAATCTACATCTTACATTTTAGCATGTCTCTTTAAGAATGTCAGATATATTAGGTTGAAATTTGGTGTAACTATTAAAAACTTATTGTTTTACATTGCTTAGAAATTTCATTAAAATATTTTAAAAAACAAAAAAGTTACAACGTGTTTTATAAAATAATGTTGTTTCTGTAAAACAAAAATCGAAATTTTACTGAAACCACCAATAATATTTCAACCAAATTTCGTACACAATATACCGTATGTTCAAGGTATACTGACACCAAATTTGGTCCCAATCTGACGATTTAGTACCGAAAAACACCCTGTATATACCAATAAAAATCTACATCTTACATTTTAGCATGTCTCTTTAAGAATGTCAGATATATTAGGTTGAAATTTGGTGTAAATATTAAAAACTTATTGTTTTACATTGCTTAGAAATTTCATTAAAATATTTTAAAAAACAAAAAAGTTACAGCGTGTTTTATAAAATAATGTTGTTTCTATAAAACAAAAATCGAAATTTTACTGAAACCACCAATAATATTTCAACCAAATTTCGTACACAATATACCGTATCTTCAAGGTATACCGACACCAAATTTGGTCCCAATGTAACGAAAAACACCCTGTATATACCAATAAAAATCTGCACCTTACATTTTAGCATGTCTCTTCATATAAAATTCCCCTAAGAATAGTAAAGATTTTACATCCGACAACAATGCTGTAACTCATTTCCACCCAAAATCGACATTGTACCTAATTATAATGCTGTTTTTGATAACAAGTATTGTTTAAACAATCTATAATAATATTTATTTAACATGTAATGCTTTAAATGATTAAACAAGTTTAAATAATTTAATTTTATAACATTAATTGTTTATAAGGTATTAATATTAATTGTACAGTAAAATACACTGTTTCATCACAAGTTTATCTTATGGTATATTATAGATTCTTAACTTTATAAATATAAACAATTATTTCTTGGAACACAATCTCAATGTAAATATGTATAATTATCAATAAATACCACTATACTATATTTATTATTTAACCACACCCTGTCTTTGTTATCTATTTAATAATAATAATTTATAAACATTCAAAATTCTTTAAAGGGTTATATTTGACAAAAAAATTTATAGGATTTAATTTGTAAAGAATTAATTTCCCTACAAAATGATGCCTTACATTACTTTCTAAAGTTGGCGGTACTGTAGATATAACCCCTAGAATGAAGACATGTCAAAATGTGACAATACAGCCTATCACTAAATTTACTATAACTTCGTTAATTTTAAATTGTTTTTAGCTTTCTATATCTCAAATTGTAGATAAATAAAGGCTTTTTAAGAATATTTAAACCAAACCAACATTTTATAAAAATGTTAAAAATATGGCCTATAGAAGTGAAAATTTGTATTGTAAACTTAGAGCTGTCATAACTTCAATAATTTTAGATATACGGTAATTTTAGCTTAAAATCCTTGAAAATAAATTATTTGGTTATAAAATTACGTCCTATTTATTTAAGTTACATAAAAATTCAGCAAGTTCTTTAAAAAATTGGTCAACACAAAAAACAGCTGTAATTTTGTTAAAAATCAATATTTTTTAATGAAATTTTAAACTGAAATAGTTAAAGGTATGCTTAATAATATGCTTCTCACCCAAATGCTACATCATTATCTAAACCTTAGAAAAAAATTCACAAAAATAGTCAATTTTCTTTACTATCTAAATTGTGTTCAATCTTAAATATATACTTACTTTATTGCTAAAAACATGCTGAGTTTCCTCTAAAACCTTTCTAGACAGTGAAACATCGAAAGGATCCACTCTGGAGCATACATTTTGCGCCAAAACATTTTTATCGTTGGAATAAAACTCCTTCTTGAATTTTTCCAAATTTTCCAAACTCAAAGCTGAAAAGTGACGTTGCACTAAAAATTTGTTCAAATTGACAACGAATTTCGATTTTTTCAACATAAAAACGAACATTTCAAACGCGAAAACATATAAAAAATCATTTTAGCCATCAAAAAAATCCAAAAAATGAAAGTCACTTAATTTACGTGAAAAAAATCGAAATATTTGGGTGAATTTATCAAAATAATCGTATTTATACCTGTTTCGGCCATTTTTCCTACGCACTGTACTAAAAAACGGCTTTTCAGTGCTAATTAAACTGATTTTAACAATGAAACGTCAAATTCCTTCGTTTTGACAAACGTCAGTTGCATTTGCCGCCGGCTAAAATTCCCGTGATTTAAAACCATAGAGGTAAGACGCGTAGAGAGTGCTGATGATATTTCGCAATTGGACAGGGCCGTATTGGGGCAAATAAGAGCCCTTAATTAAAAAATAAAAAAATAAATCTGCTAAAAGGAATTATGGGTGCCACAGTAAGGTAAATTTATTTTTTCTTAAAAGTCTCGTACAGTTTTGTATTTTTTTTATTTTACATTTGAAATTTTTTTAACTTTTTAAGATGAAATTATAGGTAAATAAACGGTTTTTGAAAATATTTAAACTAAACCAACATTTTTATAAAAAATGTTAAACATATGGCATTTTAAAGTCGAAGAAGAAACGTCAAAGTTTGAGCTGTCATAACTACGACATTTTTTGACATACAGTAATTTAACTTTAAAATTCTCAAAGAGGGGTTAATTGGTTGTAAAATGACGTTTTATTTATTCAAATTGTTTAAAAATTAACCAAGTTACCGCTACTTTTATATCCCTTGAAAGTTGAAGGTGGTATTGACTCTGCAGAAACTTTGAATGGTTGTAACTTTAAAACCAAGTAAGCGACAAAAATTTTTATGGGATGTAATTTGTAGGTAATTTGGCGTTCTACAACTTTCATTTATGTTATAATTCTGTAAAATTACAGACAAAAAAGATACAGTTATATTATTAAAACGTTTATTAAAAAAATAAATAAATATCACAGAATATAAAACTAATACATGCTATTTAATTCCCCTGTATATTTTGTCTTGCATTGGGGACAAGTACAGTTAGGGGGATGTTTATTATCAGTACTGGTACTGGTACTTTCACCATTAGAATTTTTGATGTCGAATTTCGGGATGATATCATATTTTGGTATAACCTCAAAACGTTCACATGTGGCCCGTTGTAAAAGTCCATATGGAGGTTGGTGTGGGTTTTTTGTGAGAGGTTCTGAACAAACCAAAATGGTTTTTCTTTCTGGTGATTTTTTGAAAGTGGTTAAGTCATCAATGTCGTATTTAAAGCCAGTGGGTTTGTTGCCTTGGCAACATGGGCATGAACAAGTTTGATCAAGTTTAAGAACAATGGGTGTTCGAAATCGAAAAAGATCATCTTCGTCGTGTATTCTGATGATTTTTTCACATGGTAAGTCTGCTAGAGATGAGTTTTCCTTAAGCTTTGGCGTTAGTTCGAATTTAACAACTGGATATGTCACTACTAGTTTTGGGATGAAGTTCATATCCGTTGAGACGACTTTTGCTAGGGATTCTTGAAGTAACTGCGACATGTTTTTTGGTTGGGTTTGTTCAACCTCAGTTAAGTTGATTTTCACGAAAGAAAGTTCGTCTTTTAGAGCTTCAATGTTTTCCTTTTCTTTTTCAATGGTGGTTGTGTTTTGGACTTCATCGTCTGATAACTGGACTTCCGGAAGAATTCTTGGATGTTCTATGTTGTGAATTTTCGTCATCTTTGATTCTTCTTCAGTGTCTTTCAACACTTCAATGTTTTTTCCTTCCAGAATAATTGTTTTATCATCTTCTGAGTCTTTCTTTACTTCGTTGGTCTTCCTAACAAAACCTTCAAATTTGGTGACCTTTAAAGGCTCCATCAACTCAGCATCATTGATTTTCTCCTTCAAAATATCACCATAATTGTCAATTTTTGCTTCCACATCTTTTGGAACATTACTAAGAGCATATGGTGGCATAGTATACGGGTTAAATGGCATGAATGGCATCATGGGGTTGTAAAACATACCAGCATAAGGCATGGGGGCATAGTTATTCATAAAAGGTGGGTACATGTAGTTATAAGGCATTTCCGCCATTTTCTTTGACGTATCTTTACTCATAAATCTTGGATCACCAATTTTGAGCAGTACTTGAGCATTAGCAAATGATTTTGGGGACTCATCACGTTTCTTTGTATCCTCATCTTCAAAATTTGATCTTTCCAATATTCCTAGTTCATCATAATCCCTGGGTGTTTTGAATATGGCCCTTAAGTTACATTCATCATTGCAGTTAGTCTATAGAACAAAAAATACAATCAATAAAAACATACTATAACACCATATAACTCCATACTTACATAATTTAAAACAACTAAAAATATAAAACATGTTAAAGTACGTCTTAACATATTGGCCCAATAAAATTTTCTACTAAACTAAATATTATATAACACCAGCATCTTATATATTATGTAGTTATATAAATATACATCACGTTCTATATATTTGTTTATAATGCATTTTACCGAATGACATTGAATTTTAAAGTCAACGCACCACACCAATACCAATAACTATATCAAATATATTGTTGTTCTAAATAATGCCATTATTTTGTTAATCCTTGACGTATTTGAACGTTCTATACGTCAAATTACGCCCGAATAAACCTTCTTCGACATCGCATCCTCAAATCTAACGTAACCTCAAAATCGTAGGAAATATGACCCCTCAAAGTCAACAGTACTGAAATCGACAACTGCAAACTTTATCCTTCCACAGCTTTGACGTTTTTTAGGTTATGTCAAATTTTTTTAAAAATTATGAAAGACAATTTATTTGGCTATATAATGGCACTTAAAATATTTAAATCGGCCCTAATTTAGTCAAGATACAACCTATTATGTATAACCCACGTATTTTTGTTTTTGAGAGGTTTTGTTAAAAATGCTGTAACTTTGTATATCTTTGACTTTTTTTAATGTTTTATATGTCAAATTGTAGGTTAATAAACGCTTTTTAAGAATTTTTAAATTAAACCATAGTCATAGTTTGACAATTTCTTACATTTAGTTTTAAATCATCAAAGAAGATTTAAAATGCTGTCTCATTTGATAATATTAAATATCTTTAAAACTACGTATCTGACAAAAAAAATTATAAAACATAATTTGTAAAGCACGAATTTCCCTACAAAATGACGACTTACATTATTTTCTAACGTTGGTAGTACTGCAGGTACAACCCCCAGAACAGACATGTCAAATTTGCAAGAACTTTGTTAATTTTTAACATTTTTTAGTGTTTTGTAGGTCAAATTGTAGGTAAATAAACATTGATAACGACAAATTTTGAGCCACCAATATAAATTAAAAAAATTATATATAATATCTGCCCCCCAAAATGTATTTTTTCTTAAATTAATAAATTAAATTTATCTATAAATTCAATACCCAAATATTTATTTAGATATTAACATTATAATGTTTTTCATTAAACTCTGTATAGAAAAATTATGAACAATTATTAAATATTTTGAGTAAGTTATCACAACCTTTACATTTAATAAACATTTAAACAAACCAAATGACCTTATACAAGATGTAAACTATATAATGATTATATTATTAATTTTTCTACTAAATTAAAAAAAAACAATGTAATATTTCGTGAATATCTGAGTTAATGTTGATTGGACGTAAAAAAATGTAATACAAAAATTAAAGATCTTTTAATTATCTACAAAAAAAGTAAAATACATTTTTCAGGTATAATGAAGCGTTAAGAAGATAACGAGGGTTTAAAAACATTTGTTGCTTTAAAGCCTTATATCTTTGTTATACTTTATTTTACATAAAAAAATTATTTTATATTTTTTGTAGACAATTTTATAACCTACATATTTTATAAGTAAGACTTTGACCTCAGACCAACAGGAAAGGATATTTGTGGAGTAAGGTGCAATAAAAAAATGCTTACTTAGATATTTTATATTTTTTACTTTTAATATCACAGATCTTACAGTAAATTTATCAGGATCTTCCAAAAATCATCATTTCAGATTTTAACCATTTTTTTGTGATGTGGGAATAAGGAGAGGATTAGAACCTAAAACAAAAGAAGGATAAGATTAGAAATAGGGATGATGAGAGAGGTAAAGATGTAGTAGATGTTGGAAAAAATCTGATATGTTGAAAATTGGCAACCCTGTAACAAAACAAACAAAATTCTACAACAGTGTAATCATCAAATTTTTTCCTCTACATCTTTACACCGCATTTTTTTGTTTTAAGCTTGGTTTCAGCAAGCCTTGTAATTTTATCCGTTTTTTTTTCTTCATATTTTTTTGTCAGTGTTTGATTTTTAGTTTGTCCATCCAAAGTTGACGTAGGTGCATTTTTGGTTGTTGTACTGTTGGATGCTTCGAATTGTATTTCAGCAAAAACGTTTTTTGCTGGGTACTGCACTGCTCCCATTGCTTCTGTAAATCGAAAATGATCTTCAACTCCTTTTTGATCTTCTGGTTGTTGCTGATGCGTTTGTTCATCTCCACTATGGTGTCTTTCTGCAGCTTCTCAATGTTCTTCATCTCCCAAATAATGGATGCTTCCTCAGTTATTTTGCTCATATCTTTAGTGGCTAATAACTTCCTCAATCCTTCAAGCAGAACCATCTCTTCATCCAAAGTTTCATCCCTAGCCTTTTTCACAGCGTTTAGATTGTCGTTACGGGTCATTCCGTACACCAAGTTGATGCTGTTCATCAAGTCGACATACTGTATCTCTTTTTGAACATCAAACTCTTTGTTCAGGTTGATTCGTTCAGTAAAATCATCTACAACTCGGCTGATAAGGCATTGAAGTTTCTGTAGGCGTATCATGATGATTATGAGAGTTTTCGTCATAAATTTGTTCTCATTTTCTAAGTGTTTGGTGATTTTTTTCACCGTTTCATCTTTGATTTCCTGTAGTTCTTTGAACTTGTCTAAGAGTCCAAGTTTTCGTGTGATATCGTTAATTTTTCGCTCCATTAAGAGTTTTTTCCAATCTTCCACAATGGAGTTTTTGACTATTTGGGCTTGGAGGAGATCATCATGCACATCTGAATACTTGGAGAAGTCCGTGTTGACCAAATTGTCCACTTCTGTCAAGGTTTGCGTTATTTTTTCTTTGACTGTGTTTACAGGCATTTCAGTGTGGCGTGATTTCAATACGGGTTCTCCATTCTGTACTTTATCTTTGGCCTTTTCTATCAACTCATCTAAACGATCATTGGTCATGTCTAGTTCGTCGCTGTCATCATTTTTCGGTTCTTCAATGGTTTTACTGCGTCTTTTAAGAGTTAGAGCCATAGGACGCTTCATACCGTTCACTTCCATAAAAGGAATGCCATTGTTGTCGATTATGATCTTGGGTTTCAATTTCTCCACGCGTGGATTGCCAACCAAATCTTTGGGTGGTTTTTTGCCACCACTAAATATTGATTGCAGTATATCTCCACTGTTCTTTCTAGATTTCTTCGGTTTCTTCTCTATAATGTCCCCCAATTTCTCCTTTAAAAACTCTTGCACTTCACTCTCATCAACCACTTTAAGTATGTACCGTTTCTTCCGCGTTTTCTGAGGCTTCGCCTCGCGAAAACCCAAATCAGCGCTACGTCTGTACCTGTACTGAGCAGGCTGAAGTATATGGTCGAAATAGTTCGCTGGTTTCGGCCCAACCCTATCAAAATCGCCAACCACATTGCTGGCAAAGTTCAGTATGCCGCTTTGGAAGTTATTATGGAAATCCTTGAAGTACTGCTTTGACGTACCTACCAACTCTGCACCTTGCTTCAAGACTGGATCCACAGTTTCTTTGATCTCGTGAAACTGCTTCATCAAGCTTACAGGAGCTTTGATGAGGTACAGTAGAGGGTGTTTTTCGAGTATTTTGTTCTCAACTTGGGCCTTCCTAGTCGCCATGTCAATTTTTTTATCCTCCAACATCTGTTTTAAGTCGAATTTCTTCGACAGGCGTTTGGGTAGGTAAATTATGTCTTCATCTGATGCTTCTTCTTCTGAACGTGATTGGTAATCATCATAATCATATTCAATGTCTTGCTCACCACTTTTGACTTCGAAAAAAGGCAGATTAAGCTCATCACTACCTATGACAATCGATCTTTTCGCTCTTCTATGATCATTGTTCAATTTCTTCAGCTTATCCAATAAGACTACCTTCTCTTTTACACTCATGGGTGTTTTTAGACGACTTGGTATCTGCATTGGCACTATATTCAACGATTTCAAGTAATTTTGCCTTCGCTGCTCTTCTTCATCCAGTTTTCTCATGAAGTCGTACGAGTGTCGATTCAAATCAGAATCCTTCACTAATGAAGAACTATGAAACCCGTTCAAGGTCTTCTGTATATTCCTGTTGCTCTTCGCGATGTTCTTCTTCATGTTATTAACATTCTTCTGCGTCTTCCTCTTGTTTTGATTCAACTTCATCACGTTTACAGTGTGTTGCAAAGGAGCTTTTATCAACGGTGATAACAAACCGACCATGAAATTCATGCCGTGTTGTAAAATTGGCAAGTCTCGCTTACTACGATTGTTAACATACCTAGCGCAAGGTTCCGGGCATTCGCGAAGAATTTCAACGTTTGGTGGGGGAATCACGCAACCTGGCTCAACGTGGCTTGGGCAACCTAAAACATACTTATGTTAATAACTCCCTTATTATTAGTAAAGCGTAAAAATGTTATAAATAAAAATTAAAGATCTATTAATTGTCTACAAAAAATGTTATATACAGTTTTTACGTATAACGAAACGTCATGGAGATAAAGGCCCCTAAACCAACGCATGTTAAAAAAAGTTTTTAGCACCGTTACCTTTGAAGCCCTATATCGCCTCAACGAATCATTCTACAAAAAAAAATAAAGAAAATAATTTGTAGACAATTTAATCCTCTACAACTTTTATTTATAAACTTTTAACCTCCAAATAATAATAAGCCGAATATTCGCTAAAAACTTACATTGAGGGGCAACTGGACATGGGAGGACGACTCTGTCGGTTTTGTACTGGGTGTGCCTTGGAATGTGGATTTTCGGGAGTTTTGGCAGGACAACTGGGGTTTGTACGACGTAAGAGTGGGCACATTGTTGTTCGCATGGTTTTGGTTGGCAAACAACAGGTACTTCAACCTAAAAAAAATTGGCTTTTAGAATTTTGAGATTTTTGAGTTTTTGATCAAATTATTTTATAGGGAATTTAATTTGAAAAAAATTTTTGCTCTTGTTGTTTTTTTAGTTTTGTTTTGGTTTTAAAGATACACGCGATTTTAGTAAAATGAAAAAAAAATTAAACACAAAATGATTAAATCGCATATAACTCCGTAACTAGCAAAATTGGAAAAAATTACAAGACATTAAATTTGTAGAGCGGTAAAATTTCTACAAAATATATTATTAAAAAAATTAAAGAATCAGTGGTGTACACATTTTTTTCGAAAAATAATATTGAGCCTATTCGACAATTCTGTATAAGTGAAATTAAATTGTACGTCACTGAGATTTTTGGGTTTTTAAAAAAATGATCTTGTAGGCAATTTAATTTTCGATAAAAGTTTGCTCTTGGTATTTTTTCGGTTTCATTTTGGTTTTAAAGATATACGCAATTTTAGTAAAATGAAAAAAAATATTGAACACAACTTGATAAAATCGCATATAACTCCGTAACGAAGCAAAATTAGAAAAAATTACAAGGGATTAAATTTGTAGAGCGGTAAATTTTCTACGGAATACATTTTTTTAAATATTAAAAAATCAGTGGCGTACACATTTTTTTCAAAAATAAAGTTGGGCATAGTTACCCTGTAGTCTAGTGGTTTTCCTGGGGCTAATATTTTTGGGATGGTTGGTATGATAACTGGGGTTTGAACTTGGTATGGTAACGGTCTACCACATTCCAAACCTTCTTGACAATCCTTGTAAATGATGGTTACTGGGCTGTTTGGGCAAGACGCTACTTTCAAGTGTTTTGAACACTAAAAATAAAACAAATATTAGGGGGATGTTTTTTTATGTAAAATAATAAAATAATTACCTTGATGCAACCACAGTTGGCAGCTACAATAGCCAAGAGAGCTGAAAAAACCACTAAAACTTTCATTTTCAAGCCCAAAACTAGCAATAAACTTTAAATTTGAAAGAGTCACATATTTATACGAGTAAATATGTTCCAAAAGGTACAATGACAAGGTTATGGGTGTAACGAACGAAACAATTTACAAACTATTGATTAATTCGTGATGTTTAAATAACATCAAATACATTTGAGGATTTTTTTGAATGCATTAATTAAGCTAAAAGGTTAATATACGTCTTTTATATTTCGTATATTTGGGTTGGTACCTTTAAATTTTTGACAGATGACATTTGGACCGTCAAAACCTTGCCAAGGGCGTCTAGATTTATCAACAACCAATAAAATCGCCCGAAATCACCATGCCAATAATTTGACAGAACTTCTTTTTCTACCCTAGTAAAATATGTTTTAATCATCGTTTGTTTTGAAGCGCTGTATCTCCGTAACGCTTTAATATACGTAAAAATGTGTTATATCTTTTTTGTGTATATTTTAAAGATGTACATTTTTCGTGTATAGTACTTTGACCTCCAACCAATGGGAAGAAGATAATCGTGAATATATGCCAAGTATAAAATAAAAACAGGGTGGAACACTTAATATGCGATTATCTAGCTTGCTATTATACGTAGATAAAAATTGTCTATATAAAAATTAAAGACAATTAAATTATCTACAAAAAATGTTTTATGAGTTTTTTACTTTTAATGAAGGGTTAAGAAGATAACGAGCCGCTAAGCAAAGGCCTTGCAAGAAACGTTTATGCTTTGATATCTTTGATGCCTTATATCTTTTTAATTATATATTGTACATAAAAAATGTATATTATATTTTTGTAGGCAATTTTATTGCCTACATTTTGATATAAAATACAATAAATATCGAGCAATAACAAAAAAGATAATGTTGTATTTTTACAACGAGTTTCTTATCTGGATTTGTTGTGCTATTTTTACATCTAAAGGTTATTAATACGATAAACCATATTAATATACGTAATATATTTTATAATACCTACTTATGCATTATTTTTTATATTATGCAATTTATATAAGGGTGATGTCAGCTTTTTAATTTTTGTTGCAATTTAGAAGTCGTTGCATTTTTTGTATTAACATCAAATTAAAAGACATAAATATAGGGGGACATAGTTTTATTTTTGTAAGTCATTTACAACCATATATATAATTATATAATAATAGATATCACAGTCGGTGTAGAGAAAAAATAGAGTAGAAAAAGAAGTAGAAAAATAAAATAAAATAAAATAAAAAAAAATCATATGATTATAGATGAGTTATAAATAAAGAATCATCGTTGAAATTTCTAATATTGCTCTAGATTTGGATGTGATGTTTTTAGAGTAATAATAGATTTTTTAACGATACAGGGGTGGGGTATTATCAGTGGTATTAATAATATTAATACAAGCTGGAGCATGGGGCTGGTGGGGAGACCAGAAGAGGGGCTTGGGGGGCTTGGTAGACGAAACTTGAACCAGCTGGTAGAGAGATTTCTTCTGATTCGCAGTCCTCATCTTTTGGGTGTACGTAGAGTGGTCCACGTGGTTTTTTCTGGATGGTTTTGTATTCAACTTTGCCGGGGATGAATCCATCATGGCATGGTTTGGCATGGGTTAAGGCGCCGATAACTCCCTTGATAAGACCTGGGGCACCTTGTAGAGCTGCTTGGATTGGGTTTGCCACTGGGACATTGATGAATGGTGCTGCTTGTACTGTAATAGGAAAAAATAGTTAGTAATGTGTTTGTTGTCGAAAATGAATGATGACGTACTTTTAGCGGGTTGGTAGCCCAATTCTTGCAGAGACAACTGTTTGGTGGACGATACTTCTTCATCTTGCACTTGAATTTCTTCTGAGCTACCTTCCAAATCATCCATAGCCTCCTCAGCGAGGGATTTTTTGTTCTGACAGACCTTCTTCACAGCTTTCAACTCAACAATTTGACCGTTCAGTTTGTAGAGGTTGTCTTCAGGCATCCTCAACTTTTCTTTGACGATCAATGGGATTTCAACTGGTAGTTTGGTGAAACCAAACGCTAACTTATCTTCACCGGTGATACAGCGTTGGTGGGAGCGTTTCATCGCCAAAGCTAGAGATACAGGATCTGCTGGAGTTATCAAGTTTTGGTTGCATCCAGCTGTAGCTTTAGCGTAATCAATTGGTTGACATCCTACCAGAGCTGGGTTAGAAGCTACGTTAGCGTAGGTAGATCCAGAGATGGCTCCACCGTAGGTTATCACTGAATTGGCTGCTTCACCAGCTTGTACAGCTTGCCCAAGGCAGGTTCTTTGTGGTTGTGCTTGAGCGCAAGGGTTAGCGCAAGTTTGCGCACACCCTGGTTGTTGCACGCAGGGTTGGGTTGGGGGTGGTAGGTAAGCAGGTTTCACTATAGCCTCCTTGGCTACCCCGCAAGGTCCTGGAATCGGAGCTGAGTTCAAAAGAGCAGTCAATGGTGCTGGTTTCGGTATGGATTGCGGTCTAACCACCATACAAGCTGCCTTTTTGACAGCTTTAGTTGGATTGCAGGGGTCTCCGCTTGGCACCACAATGTAACATTGCACCTAAAACGTAACATTAATACCCAATACAACGTTCACAATAAAATATAACTTACGTAGGCCAGTCCAACAAGGAACAAAACAGCTGTCTTGAAAGCCATGATTAAACCCAAAGTGGTTATAGATCTAACTTCTAATATAATCGATTTTTATACTTTATATTTGTTTATATGTTTTATATTCGAAAGGTTGTTATATGTTGATTTACGTGATGCTCTGGTGTGCTAATAACCTCAGTAAGGTTCAATAAAATCTTTTTGAATTGTTTAAGATTTTTTTTTTTAATCTGAAGTTGGTATTACTTATTTTTTAAGCAGTCTGTTACCTAATAGCTCATTTTTGTTAAGTTCCAAGTTTTTATTTGATTTTTTTAAATTATTAGATAATCTACAAAATATAAAGTAATAATTTTAGTTCTCTTAAAGTAAAAATTATAAACATCAAATGTTAGACAATTAAAATATCTTAAAACCACTTAAAATTTCGTCTATTGACAACTTTGTTTTTTTTCTTTTTTTTTCTTCACTGTGTTAAAAATGAAGAAATTTCATTTTTTTTAATAACTTCTTTATTTTAAAACGTATCGATTTAAAATTTGGACAAAATGTAGATCTTACTAATGACAATTATTCCATGAAAAAATTTTGTTTTGATTTTAACCTACAGGGGGCGCTGGTGATAATTTAATTTAAAATTTAACAATTTTTAAAGGGTAAATAATCGAAGAAACAACTTTGTTTTATAAATTTAGTGAGTATAACACGTTGAAGTATTGATATTTGACTATTATTTGATATATTAACTTTTTTATGCAAATGATGTTTAAGAATTCTGTGTCCAGGATTAGTTTTGAATTAGCAGTAGCAGTATTCATAAATGTTTAGTTTAGTACGTTTTGTCATTTTTATACAAATATTGTTGTATCTTTTATTAATAATTAAAAATGCACCATTTAGATGTAGAAACAACCCTGATAGCACAGTTTATTCTAAGAATGTTTTTTAAACCTTCCAGTGGGAATATTCTTAGGATCATGCTATATTTCTTCTAGTCATGTTCTAAGAATGTTTTTTAAACCTTCCAGTGAGAATATTCTTAGGATCATGCTATATTTCTTCTAAAGAACATGCTTAAAAGAAATATAGCATAATCCTAAGAATATTCTCACTGGCCTATAGGCAGGTTCGTAGAAGGTGCAAAGTTTAGTGGTAAAAATTAATCCACTCTAAACATATGCTTAGAATGTTGAGAAAGTAATTCCTATAGAAAGTTCATTTAGGAATATTCCTGGAACATTCTGTTAAGCATATTCAGTTCAGTTAGGTACCTATATAATAGTAATATATACCATAATCTACGTATAAAGGTACCTATACTTAGTGTTAAATACTAAGTAAAAAACACAACCCAAAATATTTTTTTATAGTTATTTGTCAAATTAAAACAATATTCGATAACAAAAATACTTTTACTTTAGGTATCTAAATTATCCGGCTTTTACATCAAATCTTCTATACAACTCATGATATATCATGTATCATGTATACAAACAACTTATATACAATGAAAAATGTTTTTTTTATGAAGAACTATTTGGTTTTTTCTTTTATGAAGAATTATTTTATAAGGAAATATTTTGTTTTTTTATATTTTATTTTATGTTAAAAATAAATAATATTTATTAATTTGTATACCGATTTTTTATATCTGAATTAACATTTTTATGTATAATATTCCAATTTTACTTTTTATGAAATAATGTCATACAACTTATGGTTTAGAGGTCAAATTGTTTATTTAATATTTTTAAATAAATATATATTAATATGTCGCAAAATTTTTTAAGGGGACGACAAATACATTTCACTGTCATATTATGACAGTGAGGCGTATTTGTCGCCTCCTGAAGAATTTTAAGAATGTAGAATTCAACATATTAGAACGTGGGTATCTGACATATTTGGAAATATTCTCAAAAGCTTCCTAGAAGCTCCATAAGGGAAGGTTAAAAAAATATATTCAATTCTGGTATCACTTCGATTTTTACGCGAAACCATAGTTAATTGATATTTTTCCTTAAGATAACATTGAAGTCAAGGACATTTGCAAAATTTAACATTTTAATCATAATAACATTAATGTTATCAATACCAATAAAAAGGATGTAGATTGTATACTGGTTTTTAATATTGTGGTTAAGATATACTTTGGTCATACAATATTAATAGTAGTTTCAAATTACTTAAATTATTAATTAATATGGAAATTTTTTAGTGAATCATCTGGTTTATAGTCCAATATTGATACATATTAATAATAATATTACAAATAAATATTATTTGGAATTTGTAAATAATTAATTAATTTAAATTTAAGAAATTGTAATATAATTACATATAAAATATATACAGGGTGTTCTAAAAACAAAAATACAAGAAAAAACATATTCAACATTTAAATGACGTAATAAAATATTCATAACTGTCTAATTAATGGATATGCAGCAATATGGAAGACATATTTTTGTAGAAAATTTTACGCTTTACAAAAAAGGTTTTATAAGTTTTTTTCGTAAAACCACCAACTTAAATGATATGAACCTTTTTGTAGAACCTGTTGTGTTTCTCTAAGAAAACAGGTAGTTCAGATTAGGTACGAGTTTTAATATAAAGGGTCCTATACCTACCTAGATAAAAATGTAGAAAATAATCAACAAGGGAATCTTTGATTTTCGTCAGGTGTTCCATTGTTTGGTATCGTTGGAAATAAGTTTTAAGCGTTTAAAAAGAATTTTTGAAATATTATCGATATTAATTTAATTAGGATATTAAAAAGATCATGTTAGTGAAAAAATATTTTTTAGCGTTATTTTAATGGAAAATTTAATGAAAAAAACGATTTTTCGGCATAAAAAATTTAAAGAAAACTTAATTGAAATATCATATATGCAAAAAATAATAGACCTAAAAACGTATAAGTATCTAAACGAATAATATAAATATTAAAAATATACTTTGTATTCCTTAGTAGTTTCTAAAGTGTTTATCTAATAAAATTGAAAGAAGAAGTGTATACTTTAGATAAAGACAGTAGATTATCCCTATAAATACTCAAGATATTCTTTAGGGATATCATTTCTGTTTCTGTGTTTACTGTGCAATATATACAAAAATAACAAACAAAATGTACAAATTCTGCGTAGTTTTGGCCTGTCTTTTGGTAATTAGCGTGAGTACCGTGTTTATTTTTTATTTTAATAATATTATTCTAGTATTACAATTCCAAACATCATATTTATAAATAAATACATAAATAAACTATACCAAATTTTAAAAATATTTATTTTTATTTTACGCAGGTTAACGCTAAGCCCAAAAAGGCCGAGCCAACAGAAATGGAAACTTTGGCCCAAAATACACAAAAAATGGTGGATGACCTCACTGCCACTCTTAAGAAAGACATGCCAGATTCCAAAAAAGTAGTGGATGTCATTAAAACCAACACAGATGCTTTGGCCGCTAACGTACAGTCTGTTGTCACCACAATGAACAAAAACGTAAGTACCTACATTTGGAAAAAACATTTTTGTCAAAATATCTTTAAAATATCATCAAACTTCCATATTTTGGACGATAACTTTAAAAATATTAAAGTTGGGTCAAAATAGTTTTTAAATTCGAAAAAAGCGTGTTTTAGTCGATATAACCTGAAAATTCCATAAAAAAACTACAATAAATAACCGAGTTATTCAAAGTTGAAAATTTTTTTTCTGTAATTTTTGGAACACCCCGTATATCTTCCACAATTATGGTCCGATTTCAATGAAAAAAATTGTGCCTCTATTAGAAATGTCCCATTTTCTAAATATGGTACTGAAAACGTCTTATTTTTGATAGTATACCCTAAAAATCATCAAAATAACTACTTTTTCAAATTTTCATATTTTGTTTCGAATAACTTCAAAAATATTAAAGTTGGGTCAAAATAGTTTGTAAATTCGAAAAAAACGTGTTTTAGTCGATATACCCTGAAAATTTCATCAAAAACTTAGTTATTAAAGTTAAAAATAATTTGTTCTGTAATTTTTGTTTTTGGGAACACCCCGTATATTTTCCACAATTATGGTCCGATTTCAATGAAAAAAATTGTGCGTGTATTAGAAATTCCGATTTCAATGAAAAAAATTGTGCCTGTATTATAAATGTCCCATTTTCTAAATATGGTACTGAAAACGTCTTATTTTTGATAGTATACCATAAAAATCATCAAAATAACTACTTTTTCAAATTTTCATATTTTGTTTCGAATAACTTCAAAAATATTAAAGTTGGGTCAAAATAGTTTGTAAATTCGAAAAAAACGTGTTTTAGTCGATATACCCTGAAAATTTCATCAAAAACTTAGTTATTAAAGTTAAAAATAATTTGTTCTGTAATTTTTGTTTTTTGGAACACCCCGTATATCTTCCACAATTATGTTCCGATTTCAATGAAAAAAATTGTGCTTGTATTAGAAATGTCTCATCTTTTAAATATGGTACCAAAAAAGTCGTATTTTTGCTCGTATACCCTCAAAAATAAAAACTATATAATCATAATATTAATTGTTTATATTTTGATCTATAACTTTTATATGAGTTGACATATCCGCACCAAATTTTCAGGGTATGTCAACAAAACCAACCTCTATAAAAATGTGTTTTTTTACAGATCAAAGCTCATGAAGGGGACATCCAAAAATCCATCACCAAGATCCAAACTGATTTGGAATCTGCATCCAAATCTTTGAAGACTGCTCTCGGTGAAGATACTGTCAAGAAGGCCCAGGAAGTCAAAGAAAACTTCGACAAAACCATCAAGGAGGCCATGCAGACCGCCCAAAAGATGATGGCCAATGCCGAGCCAGAAATCAAAAGTAAGATTTTTTTTTTTAATTTTTAATTTTTAATTTTTTTTTCATTCTAGAAACCGCCAAAACCATGTTCGATGGTCTAATGGATATTGCCAAGAAAGTAAACAAAGAATTGACCGACAACTTGGCCACCAAGCAATAAAAAATGTAATAGAATTGATTGAAACATTATTTTTAATAAATCTATTTTTTAAGGTTGTTTTGTTTAATTTCTGTTGCCTGTAGTTTTGTTATATTCAACCAATTTTAAATTTTTTTATGTCAAATTTTAGATAATTTCATCCACTTTAAGATTATGTTAATATATTTATATGCCCACTCGTAATTTTTTGAGATAATCCACAAAATACAAAGTTCTGTCAATTTTAGTTATCTTAAAATTAAGACCAACTTTAACACTTTGTAGTATTGTTGTTTTTTGAACAATTTTAAAAATTATTATGTCAAATGTTAGATAATTTTAATCATTTTAAGAAAATATCTCAAGACTATGTCAATGAACCAAATTTTAGCACAATAAATAATACACAAATGAAGAATCCTAATATTTATATATTTAAATCTATGTGATGTTTAAGTAACAATAACTACAATAAAAATGTTATCTAGGGTTGTTCTTTTTGTACAACTTTTACTTCTTTTACTTCTTTATTATTATTATTTGGTAATAATCTGGGGAGGTTATCCACAATAGGTATTTGGGCCCCTTTAAATGTTGATAAAAAATCTCCAATTTCTTCTTGCAATTTTTCTCTTTTGTCAGCGTCTTTTTGGATCCTTCTCAAAGCAATGGAAGATGATTTGTGTGCAGTATCGACCAATTTTTTGATAAAATTGAAAAACATATCTTCGTTTTCCAAAAACACTGTATTTGAGGAGCTGCAACAAACATTTTGTTGAGTATGTTCTGTATTTAGTTCATGACAAGTAATTACCTTGTTTTTCTTGATGGCATCTCAATGGATATATCCTCTTCTGAAAACATTTCGGTAGGTGAAGCCAGCTACAAAAAGCACAAAAATTTAACACTGAATTTAACACACACTTTTTTTTACTTACACATGTCTGAAACAAGAAAAAACACACTAAAACTTTTAGCAACATTTTTTTAAATTATTTTTTGATCTGTGTACCTTTATTGTCGAGTATAAAAGTATGACTAAACCGACTGTATTTTTATTGTTTAAAAAAACTAACAAATTGTTTTGAAAATGCGTAATTGCTTTTTTGCTATTATATATTAACCTTCTAATAATTTAAAACAATAATACCACTTAGGTACTAATGTAATTTAATAAATTAAATAATACACTGCCTTACAAAATTTAATTTTTGACCACCCCTGTAGGTAAAGTAACCTTTCACAACACCATTAACAATTTCAACTAAAAACCTTTTCAAATAGTGCCCCCCCAAACAGGTATATTAAAAATAAACAATCTTTCAAATTTCTTAATTTTTTTACAATTATTGATAATAGTTGTACCTATATGCTATAGCATATTTTCTTGTTGGTTTGTATACATTTAATGGAATTAAATTTACATGAAATATTCGTGTTTTTCTAATGATACTATTTAAATATTGTAATAACAAAACCAGGTACTCAAAAAAATACTTAAAAATTGAATTCAAATTTAATTTATTTAAATATAACAACACAGTACTTTACCAATGGATAGATAGGTGGTGATGATAATTATAATCTGTCAAAAACATATGGTGGAATGTTAAAATAATTGATTTTTTTATTCACCCTGAAAATTTGGTGTTCATGTGTAAACTTATACTGAAGTTCTAGATAAAATAAAAACAATTAGAAATTTATTAAGGTAATTTTTTAAACATTAAAAGAAAAAATATATTCAATTTTTAATAACTCAGTTATTCTTCATGCATTTTGAATGAAATTTTTAGGGTATACCCACTATAATACGCTTTTTTCGTATTTACAAACTATTTCAACCCAACTTTACCATTATTAAAGATACAGTCCAAAATATGGAAGTAGACAAATAGTAGTAATTTTTTTCTTATTATATGGATATTTTAAGGGTATACCAACAAATATACGACTTCAACGTACGTGATTTTAAAGAACACACATTTTTTTACAAAACCACAATTTTTTTTAATTCAGAGTAAAATTGCAAAAGTTATGCAGGCAAAACAAAAATGTTTAAAACACACAAAAACTACAAATTTTACCTAGAAATAACTATCTTATTTTTTACGATATTTCAATAAAAGTTTGAAATTATCTTTGTTAATTCGTAGCGGGGGTCAATTATCCAAATAAAAGGCCGTTTGAGATACATTTTTCCAAAGAAATGTTTATATAAATTCTCTTTTTAAGAGATAATTTTTTTCAAAGAAATGTTTATTTAAATTGGCTATTTAAGAGAGAACTGAATTTTTTTATTATTATTCAAAGTACGAATTAAGATGGGTTTCAAGATCAATAATTTTTTGGTGCTTTGCATTGCTGTTGCTTTGGTAAGTTTTCTATTATTTTTTTTTGTTTGCTCTCTTGTTAAATTAGCTACTAAATTAATTTTTTTTATTTTATTTTTTTTTATTTCCATAACAGGTCGCGATTTCTTCAAATGCTTTTGAAATTAGAGAAAGAAGAACAACCAACCAAAATTCAGAAGAAACTATGGAAGTATCACACATTTTTTTATAAAACCACAATTTTTTTTAATTCAGAGTAAAATTGCAAGAGTTATGCAGGCAAAACAAAAATGTCGAAAAACATAAGAAATTACAAATTTTACCTAGAAATAACTTATCTTATTTTTTACAATATTTCAACGAAAGTTTAAAATTATCTTTGTTAATTCGTAGCGGGGGTCAATTATCTAAATAAAAGGCCGTTTGAGATAAATTTTATCAAAGAAATGTTAATGTTAAAAAAGAAGTAATTTTAACCAGAATTTTATGAATCACCAGAAAAAATTCGATTTTTAGACACCCAACATCGCATACTTACGTTTATTGACAAAAAAGTTATACAGGGTGATGTCATTTACATGTGATGTGATGTAATTTACATCACTCGGTATAACTTTTTTGTTACTGAAGGTAAGTATGCGATTATGGGTTTCTTAAAAATGGATTTTTTCTGGAGATTTTTAATATATTAGTCAAATTCTAAAATACCCATCGCTAATATGTTTTTTGTAGCATGAGGATGTGATGCGAAACCTTACTGCCAGATATAATAATAAAGCCGCTTTAGAAGTACTGACCAGAAAAGCTATAGAAAATAAATATAAAATATAAAAGTATTGATTTTTGTAAATAAATAATAAAATGTATATTAAATACTTTGTTTATTATTCATAGAAATAATGACAGGTGCATTGGTATTTCCGGTTGTAACTTTGGGAATTATACTGGCATCTATAACTCTTAGTTTATGTAGGTACTCTATAGACGTATAAAAAACAAAAAAAAATACAAAAATATTTTAGTGAAGTCTTGCTATATTATTATGCCATGTACAAACCGAATTTGAAGTGTCGGTTTATATTAACACCTTGTATAAAATAAATAATTCACATAATACTTTTTACATAAAATATAAAAAACATCGTTGACTTAAAGCGTTATAGTTTCTGAACGGTTCAAATTTCAAAAAAATGCATATAACATTTTTTGTAGAGAATTTCATGACCTACAATTTTTGTAAAACATATTTTGACCTAGGATCTATACAAACACAGATATCACCATTTAATTATTATTATACACCTTTATAAAAAAACTTTTTTTTAAATGTTTTTCAATATAGTTTTTAGGGTATACCTATCAAAATACGCATTTAAAAAATGATTATTAAAGTTTGCAAATACATTATCTAATCATTTTGATGACCTTTGTATATATTTGTAAATACAATATAATTTATATTTTATTCTTGTAAACAAATATTTATTTTGCTTGTATACCAAGTTGACCAATAAAATTGACTTATACAGGGTTTAAAAAAATATCCGGTTAAACCGAAAATAGACGTTAAAGGTTGATCTATAGTGAATAAAATTGGCCACTTTTTAATAAAATTGATTAAAAAATGTAAGAGATATAACCAAGTACGTTTTACATCAAAAATAGTTTTGAAAACACCTCGTATATCTTAGACCAAATAGTTATATATACATACTGTATACAAGGGGTCAATTATCTAGATAAAAGGCCGTTTAAGATAAATTTGTTCAAAGAATATTCTTTATATAATAGTTAATAGACCAGTAAACTTGTTCTGTTAACCAAAGTACAAATAAAGATGGGTTTCAAGATCAATAATTTTTTGGTGCTGTGCATTATTGTTGCTTTGGTAAGTTTAGTACTTTTTTTAATGTTTTGTTTGGTATAAAAAGTGTTTTTATGTAACAGATCGCAATTGCATCGAACGCTTTTGAAATTAGAGAAAGGAGGGAAGCGCCTGCAACGACAAACCAAAATACAGCACAAACCATCGATGAATTAATCGAACAATTCAAAACTGGAGTTAGCCAACTGGCAGAAAAAGTCAAGGTAACCGGAATATTGTTAATCTCCAGAAAAAATCCGTTTTCTAGACACCCAACATCGCATACTTACCTTCAATAACAAACAAGTTATACCCGGTGTTGTAAATTTCACCATCCGGTATAACTTGTTTGTTTATGAAGGTAAGTATGCGATGTTGGGTGTCTAGAAAACGGATTTTTTCTGGAGATTATGAATATGTCATTCAAATTTTTTTTGTAGGATAACGACTTGCTGCAAAACATCACAGCCACCCTCCAAAAGGCCGGCCAAGACCTCACCGCCAAAGCAAACGACTTCATGAAAAAAGCAGAAACCAAACAATGATTTTTTTAAATAAAACAATTTACATTAAAAACTTTGTTTATTATCCATAAAAATACTGTAATAAATACTATAAATAATACCGTTTTTTTCACCCATAATCTACCAAGACCCCCATTGCCTGTCAATACGCTGATTGGGCGCATTGGTGTAGAAAAATCCGGCTTGAGGCGTTAGCCATCTCGATTTAATCATGTCACTTCCTTTTTCCGCTATCATAATGACAGGCGCATTGGTATTTCCGGTTGTCACTTTGGGAATTATACTGGCATCTATAACTCTCAGTTTATCCACTCCATAGACCTAAAAAACATAGGTAGCAAAAAAGTAAAAAAAAATTAATATTTTTTACCTGTAAAAGAGGGTTAACAACAGCCATTGGGTCAGTTGGGGGGCCCATTTTACAACTACCGACCTGATGGTTTTCAGGACCGGTCTGTACTTTGGCGGCACAAGCCCAATATTCATCTGTACCGAACTTAAATTTTTCGCAACCTCTAGTATGAGTGTTATCCAGTTGAAAACCATATCGCTTTAGAGCTACAAAAAGAGTTTTTTAAGCACTTTGGGCTAAGGTCTGTAGCGGACAAACGGTAAAAGTTACACCAAAAATATTTTAGGTGGGTCTTGTTATGTTATAATACTATGTACACACCGAATTTTAAGTGAATCGGTTAACATTAACACCTTGTATAAAATAAATAACGCACGTAATACTTTTTACATGACAACGTTGATTTAAAGCGTTATAGTTTCTGAACGGTTCAAATTTCAAAAAAATGTATATAACATTTTTTGTAGAGAATTTTATGAACTACAATTTTTATATAACACATTTTAACCTACGACCTATATAAACAAAGATATCACCATTTAGTTATTGACTTACCTTTAGTGTTAGATAGTTTGATGGCAAACTTGATGCCTTCCACCATAACTTTAATGTCATCCGGGTGGGTGTAGTAGTTAGCGTAAATCAAAGGATGACTCAAAGGATTGTTATCCTTTAACCTTATTTCACCCCTGGATTTGGGGTGCAAAACGGCTGGGATAATCTGGATGGATCTGGTGCTGTTGTCAACTTTTTCCCCTACTTGCCCAGTTCTGGCGCAGTTGGCCAGAAATCCGCCGAAAAAGTATTGAACGTCGGGTTGCTCGATGCTGGCGTCATTGTACTTTGTGTTTATAAACCCTGTTACCTCGGAAATGCCTTAAAAAAATTGAATAACTTGTAAAAGAAGGTGGATGAACGAAACTTGCGGTGACGGTGTTTCTTGATCACCCTGTATATTATATTTGAAGGTGTATAATATCCAGAAAAAACTAACCTGTCCCGCTCATAAGCCCATCTCTGAACAAGAGGTATTCCATGGCTGTAGCCCAGTTCAATGGGGCCGAGTTGGTATCGTTTATGTTGAAGTTGAGGAAATAGGCTACGTGGTTGTGCAGATTTTTTCCCACCCCTGGTAGTTCGTGTACAACTGGTACATTAACGTTTTGCAGTTCTTCTTTTGGTCCAACACCAGATAGCAGCAAAATTTGTGGAGAAGCTACAGCTCCTGGGTTAATTAAATAATCATCATTGATTTTGTATTTTTTTGGGGGTTATTTTATTTTACTCACCACCTGAAACGATGACCTCTTTACTAGCATATATAACCTGTTTTAGGCCACTATTTAGTACCTCCACACCATAAGCTTGTTTGGTGGTGGTATTTATAAGCACTCTGGTAACAGTTGAGTTCATTAAAATGTGCAGGTTACGTCGGTTTTTGAATGGACGCAAAAAAGCGCGGGACGTTGATAATCTAGAACCATTCACATTTGTGGTTTGAGCTATTTGAAAGCCTGTATGGTAAGCCCCGTTTAAATCTCGTGTTGGATAACCTATTATAGGAAAAAAATAGAGTTGGATTTTAACATTTTATTTTATTAACAAACCCAGTTCTTCAGCCCCTTTTAGAATAGCTTTGGATAGAGGTGGGTGGTATGGGAACTGAGATACAGCTAGTAATCCACCTTTGGAGTGAAAACCGTTATCCATTTTATCCATTTGTTTGTTATCCTCACTTTTTAGGAAATATGGCAACACCTCGTTGTATGACCACCCTTCATTGCCATCTTGCGCCCAATCATCGTAATCTTTACGAGCACCGCGGATGTACATCATACCATTCATAACGGAAGTTCCGCCTAGAACCTGTTTGAAGATTTAGCAATGTGTTGGCGAGAAAAAAAATACTAACCTTTCCTCTAGGCCAATAGCATCTCCTTTCGTTTTCACCTAAGCAGGCTTCTTTCTCGGGTTCTGTTGTGTACGCCCAATCGATGTCAGAACCAATGAAATTTAGGAACATTGAAGGTACTTGAGTACCAGTAGGCTCATCCATTCCTTATTAATAAAAAAATTGTCAAAAAAAATAAAAAAAACATTGTAAAGGCTCAATACCTGCTTCTATCAGTAGAACCCTCCATTCTGGTATTTCAGATAGTCGGCTTGCTACCACTGACCCACCACTACCCCCCCCTACAATGATAAAATCGTACTCTGGCAAAATGGGGGTGCTATGATCGGGTCTCCCACATGGATCTTCCAGATCGCACTGGCTCCTCAAAAAAACCTCCAAAAGCCCCATGAAGAGCATAAATTGGGCCCCCCCACATGTCGAGGCCAAAGTGGGGCCTGGTTGGGTGACTGGACAGTTGCAAGGCATCTTAAAACACAAATTTTTTTACCCAATTTAAAATAGTTATTTATGTCATTAACATTTTATCTTCAAAGCACTTAGGTCAATTTAATTCAACATCAAAGCGGCCTAACCTCACTTTTTTAGAATCTCATTTATTTATCAGCTAAAGATTACATTAAATGTACAATAATTATCATTGCTTTTAGAAGCAGTAATAGTTTGACAATACCTAGCAACATGATTTAAGTAGAAATGGATTTTTGCTATTACAATGAATTCAATTAATTCTTTAATAAATAGGTAGGTATCTAATTTCAATTTGTTTGGATTTTTATTTAAAAAAGTAGTTTGGAATATTTAAGCTTCGTTTAACATTTAATTTCACTGAAAACTTAAAGCAAATTAAAACCTAAAGAAAATTTAAATCGTAGAAAAAGAATCGTGCGTTTTCTTGGTTGCCTAACCTCACTTTTTGTTTTATTATTCATATTTAATTTTACAATAATTTAATGAAAAATATTAAACATGAACAGTAAAACAAACAAATTAGTGCTTATTATAAAAAAATTAAACCAGTTCTTAGAAAAGGATTAATTTGTCAAAACAATACCCTTTGCAAAAAAAAATCGAACTATAATTACTTGCCTCATAAAAATTTTTATCGCCCTAGGCCATAACAAGGTATTTATCGAATGTTGACAACAATAAAGTTTAAATTATAGACCGCGTGGAGATAAAATTATTTTATCAAATAACCGTTGCGATAATAAATAGTAAAATTTTTGAAAGTAAACCAAAATATGATCCACATATTATGCAAATATGTATATCTAATCCATTAGCTCTTACTTACGGTTTTTAAATACCAACAACTACTTATAACGCAATAAAATATGATTGATGACATTGGACTAAATAAAATCAAATTATTTAATAATAATTATCATTCTCGTCTCGAAATATTTAGTATTCGTTAATAAAGCAAAAAAGTTACGTTAAAATGCAAAAAGGTTTATTTGCATACCGTAAATTAAAGTTCAAGATTGACCATGCCTCAGTGATTTAGTTTTTATGTGCATAAATAATATAAGTTAATTCATTCATTTATCATTATTTAAACAACTTTTTTAATTTTATTTTTTATTATATATAAAAATGTTTTTTTTGTTAAAAAATAGTTTTTTTATGTTGTCAAAGTTTCAAAAATAAATTTTTAATTTTTTTTAACATACAACACGAAATTTCGAAAAATTAGAAAAACAGGTTTCTCGTCTTTCACCTATTGGTATCTCCGCAGCTTCTTATATAATAATTTGTAACTTTTTTGTTTTTCGATATTTTTTGACAAAATTTGGTATAACCATAAAGAAAACTACAATAAATCATAATATTAAATCCGAATTTTTTTAACTTTATTAATTTGTAAGATAATGTATCTCAAAGTCGCACCTTACAATCTCACCCCAAACAAATTTTTATCTTACACAAAACATGCTGTAACTTTTATTCCTCAACATTTTTCGACAAAATTTCGTGTGAGCATTGGCAAAACAATTGAAAACAAAAACATTTCAACTGGATCCGTTTTAAATGCAACCTTGACTTATTTATTTGACCACAAAAATTAAATAATTTTTTCAACAATATCAAATAACCTTATTTGTCAGTGAAGTGTCCAATTAAAATTTAATTTATTTTTTAATCAATTAACAACAATGCTTTCATTAGGAGAGTTGTTTCTTGGTTTGCCAAATAAGCAAATTTGTGGGAAATAACATTTATTTTGTAATATTTATTATTATAGCGGATTTTTGCCTATTTGTGCATTTTATTTATGTAACATCCTATGCAATATTTTATTTGAATAATGGTATATTTTCCGATATATTCAGTGACCTTCTTTCTTAATAAGTAGAGTTCCGTGTGATTTTTTTAATAAATATAATAAATGTTATATAATATAATATAATAAATTAAATTATAATTCAATGCCAAAATATTTTTTTTTCACTTTGAAGTGTTAGTATTATTGGAATGGCTGAAATTGCGTTACCGAAATGACAATTTTATAGTACGCGCACCTGTATACTTGCGTAACAATGTATGTTTACTATTTCACCAATTAATTTATATATATCATAGTAATGTTTTGTAGAATGTTTATCGAAACCAAGTTTGGTATAGAAATGTCACTGAACTGGCATTAGCTGGTATTTTAATGAATGAAAAAAATCTAATTGGATTAAATATTCGTTTTTTTTTCAACAGTTGCAAACGCTGTTGTGGTCAAAAGGTTACTTTATGTAACAATATTTCTTCAGAAACAGTCTGTATAGTTTCTTTTGTCACGATTTGGTAATTTGCGGAAAAATTGTTACAAAATACAGCCCAAAAAAAATCAATAGGAAGCTAACCAACTGTCAACAATAACAAATAAATAAAGTTATTGTTTAGTTTGAAAAAGAAATTTCGTTATGTAATAAAAAATATTCTCAGGTTATGACTTCTTCACAACCTTTATATGATACTTTTCTTTATTTATTTACATCACCTCTAGTATGGTAATTATTTATATTAATTATAAAAAAAACTATTTTTATTTAAATCCCATTAGGGTGCGCCCACTTAATGATTAAAAAAAAATCATTAACGAGTCAATGATAAAATTTTAATTTAATTGAAAAAATATGTATAATTTGTTAGACAATGAAGTAAAAGTACTACAATTATTTCAATAAATATTAATAACTAGAATTATTTATCTTAATATGCTTTCTGGTAATATTATTAACCTAATTATACCTGCTTAATAAATAAAATTAACAAAATTCTCTATAAATATTTTATCTAACAGTAAACTAGTTTTTTAAGGCGAAAAAATAATCACTACAATAGAAATTAATTTTCTAATTATTACGTAAGTCCAAAACAAAAGATTTAACAAAACGTTTGCCAAAAATACTTTCTTTTACACCTGCTTTAACAAAAATAATAATTATTATTAATTCGTTTTGTCGAAATGCTTCGAGCTTCGTTAATTACTAATTTTTAACGTTTTTGTATACCCAGGTATATTAATAGACGTTTTAATTTAAGGTTTTAAACTTTTTTTAGATTTTATCACTGTTGAAGAATAAATAAATAAAAATTTTGAATTCCACACATTTAATAAGATATTTCAAAAAATGGAATTTAAAAAAAAAAATTTCAATGAAACACCCTGTATATTTTTATATAAATATTAAATTAAACCGTTTTGTAAGTACAAGGTACAAAAATGTGTAAATAACAAAAATTCACGCAGATTTTTTCTTATTTTCTATGAAACACCCTGTATTTAAAAAAAATGAATTCTACACTTTTCTTAAGATATTTCGGAAAATAGCAATTTTGTTTTTTCAATGGAACACCCTGTATATTTTTTTATATTTGGATATAACCAATTTTCTTTTTTTTATATGGGTGATTCTATTCGGAATTAAGTATTTTACTGATATTTTTATAAATTTATATAAATAATAAATATATATACGTAAGAAAATAACTACTCGCCACAGTACTGAAATTTTGACTGGGACTATACGTGCATTCACCACAACTTCGCCGCTTGCATTGTTTTCAAGATGACTGTCGTGCAAAGGGCGGGCTCTGTAGGTAATTTTTTACCAACACTTGAGTTAAAACGAGGACTTGACGTTTAAACTTCAATATTTCGCAGGAATTTTGAATTTTAACATTGGACACAGAACTGACGGGTAAAAGTGAGTACAAAGATTATCAATTTTTTTAAAATTGCTATTATTCGAATCTATGATAAAATATGAAGAATACATTATTTAATGTTTTATAGTTTGTAGTGAAATTTAAAAATTTAAGATAAATTGAATATATTTTAAAATAAAGTCTCACAAATATTTGATTCAGGAGTTGTGACACGCCAAGGTACTGATGTTTTGAATATTTATTATGTTTTTCTACAAACGTGTTTTTAAAAAAATACATTAAAATTGGGTGGACAAGTTAAAAAAACCTGTATTTTTTGTAATATACTAAAATATTTACAAAAAATATTAAAATACCTACTCTATTGACTGATGACACTTTTGTAGAATCACCCATATACAGTAAAAAAAAATTTTATTTAATGTACATATAAATTTTTTCCATAAAAAAATAACGATTTTCAACTTTTAAAAATTGTCATTTTTCACGGGGTACATAAAATACCCTGTATATTATTTTGCAATAAAATTATTACTAACCCTGGCTTAGTTAATAATGAAAAAATTATATATATTTATAAAGTATAACTTAAAATCCAAAAATGTTAAAAAATACAGGGTTAAAATTAAAAATTAAAATATTATATCAAACAATTTTTTTTAATGCATGCATTTTTGGTCTCTGTAAATTTTTCTCTAATATATTTTGGCCCAATAGGATCAAAAATCGCAATATTTTTCATATTTTTACAACCTTTTATGAAATTTAACAATTAAGTTTTATTTTTCAGTAAGTACGCCCCTGAATATTGCTCCAATTATTAAAAAAAATCAATTCATGTTCAGTTTGTCCTTAAAAGGTTGGCTCATCTTCTATTTAACTAGTGAAAGTCAAGTAGATCTAAATCTGCAAAATATATGTTTTTAAATAGTATGTTCCACTTTTGGAAACAATAGGAATTTTAAATTGCATAGGTACTGAGAATCTTTAGATTTTCGTGATAAGTAAATGAAAAAAATATTACCTAATAATACCAAAGTTATTTAATCAACAATATTTACTTACCTTCTTTTTGAATTTCCCCGTATATTCTTGGTAAACAATATCAAAAAATTAAGCAGGCGAAACTAAGTAAATAGCATTTAATATTCTAATTTTAAAACCAAACCATTCACTTTTAAGATTTAAAAGGTACTAAACTACCATGGTAGGCAAACACAATTTGATTCAGAAGAACGGTTTTAATTTTGCTGGTGGTGGGAAAGCCTACAACAATGTTACAACGCTGAAGCTTTTTGAAATTTGTTGAAAATAATCTAAATTCTTAAGTAACCAATTTTTGCAAAAATCATTTTTTATAAAATTATTTAGATTAAATTTTTTGGTATTTAAAAAACCAATATACATTTTAGTTTCCATAAATGTTATATAATTCAAATTATAAAACCTACATTTCTTAATTTTGTTACAGAAATATTTATATCACTCTTATATACCCCTTAAATAGCTTATTTGGGGAGTTTATGAAGGTCATGAAAACCACTATATAACTTCCTAAAGAACTGTTATGAAATATTTTTTCAGTCAGTTGAACCATTTCCTTAAAATCATGCCTTAAAAATTGGTATAGTTTTACATTTTGATCTTTTAAATTGGAATTTTGTAATTCATGTAAAAATCAGTACCCGGAAAAAACCGATAAATATTCTTATGGGAAATCAAATGCTTTACAAAAAAAGCCTCTTAACATTTTTGGCTAAATTTACTCAATCAAAAGTTATTCAAGGGTAAAATTTCGTTTTGACTTCAAATTTAACCTTGAATAACTTTTAATTGAGTGAATTTAGCCAAAAAGATAAAAGACTTTTTTTGTAGAGAATTTGATTTCCCATAAGAATATTTATCGGTTTTTTCCGGGTACTGATTTTTACATGAATTACAAAATTACAAAGTTAAAAGATCAAATTGTAAAACTATATAAATTTTTAAGGCATGATTGTAAGAAAACGGTTCATCTGACGGGAAATTTCAATCAAACCTTTTTTGTAGAGCATTCAATTTTCTTCAAAAAATATTCTCAAGTCAAATTTGTTAAACTCAATGGTTTGGTAGTTCTTAGACAAAAACTCGCTCAGGAAAAAAACATCTAAAATTGGACTCCAACTTTCACCATAATTTTTTTTTGTTACCCCAAACAATATTTTCGATATAATTTACAAAAAAAATAGTCGATTTTTTTGGCCCAATCTAATATACCTAGAGTTTACAGTAACAATACACTAGTTTAAAAAGTTGTTTTTTAAAAATTTTAGTTTTACTATTTTGTTTTTAAAATTATTATTATATACCTGAAAAAAATGGTTTAACGAAATTTAAATAATATATAATATATTATACAAAGCATTCTAACATGAAAGTTTAATAATTAATATAAAACTCGTGTGCTAATGTAGGCAACCCATTATACTCCCCGTGTAATATAGTTGCCTATGTTTAAAACACTCTTAACAGGTTTTTTATATTTTATGCTTTAGGAATGTTCTTTGAGTTTGTTTATGGTGGATTGGAAGATATTTAGTTTCAGATTTTATTTTTATGCTAAAATTTCGATATTTTATATATTATTATTATTTATTTTCAAAACAAATAAGTTTGACATTTCTTTTTGTTCATAAAACGGATTGGATAACATTCCCGGACATACGAGGGTTGCCTTTTATATTTCGGGAATGGCCGAACCTGCTGATGCTATCGGACAACAGATGTGTGTATCGTTAAGTTCGACCTTTTAGACGGTGTTCTTACTTAACACGTTTTGACGTGCGGGCGCAATCAGTATTATTAACAGTCACTTGAAAAATTAATGTCGGCCAAAAAAATGGAATTGACCCGTGAACATTTTCGTGCTATAATTTTTACAACTTTACCGTGGATTATCCCAACAATAATGCATCGATGAACTTAATTTGACTTTTGGCGACAAAGTGCCATAAAAAACAAGTGAATATCGGTGGTGTACCGAATTTAATCGTGGCCGTGGTTCGCTTACCGACGAATTTCGTGAAGGTCGTCCAAAATCACTCGTTCTTGCAAAAAACATTGATGCTGTGCGTGAACTGGTAATGCAAGATCATCATGTGACATATCGTGAGATTGGGTCATCCTTGGGCATTAGTGGGACCAGCATACATTCAATATTAAATGAACATTTGGCCTTCAGAAAAAATTGTTACCGTTGGATCCCATATAATTTGAGAATCGATCAAAAAAGGTCTCGGGTCTAGTGGTCAAAAGAAATGCTTAAAAAATACGATGGAGGTGCTTCAAAATATGTTCATGACATTGTAACAGGTGACGAATCATGGATCTAAGCGTATGAACCTGAAAGTAAACAGCAGTCGACTGTGTGGGTCTTTAGAAGCGGTTGATGCGTTCAAAATGCATGTTTTGGAGGTGCCTCAATCGGAGTGAAAAAAATGCTTAATTGTTGTTTGTTTTCTCTATTCCCGAAATATAAAAGGCAACCCTCGTAATACAAATGAGTTATGTAGATTTGTGTTTATTAATCAAACGCATACAGATGGGTACAGTAAAAGAAGTTCAGTTCAGTTGGTAGCAAATGCGGAATGGTGTTGAAAGGTTTGGAGAAAATATCGCTTCCTTCCTTTTCAAAATAAACTTGTTGACAGAATTAAGTGACTGAAAAGGTGTGAAATCACTTTGATAGACCCACCAAAATATACTCGCTCGACCATATCCAATTGTAGATTGGTAAAAATGGAATATATACAGGGTGTTTCATTTTTTTTCTTCACAGAAACTCCAAAATATTGTTCAAAGTTTAAGCCCTTAATTTTGATTTAATTTTTTTTAATATCTATATCTTTGCTGTGTTTTAAGCTATAGTATTGTAACTTACAGAGTATTTAACGCTTTTTATAAAAACCTTTAAAATTTTTCTCTAACTTGATGGTATTAGATCTGAAAGTATTTTTTTACCTTTGTTCGCATATTTTTGCAAATATTAAGAGAATGGCGCTATCTTACATAAAAATTTGAAAAGAAAAAGTTGTAGAAAATTTTACTCTCCACAAAAAAAATCCTTACCTTTATATCGCTAAAGTGCGCAGTTTACAAGATATGAGCAGTTTAGTATTTAAAAATTTGTTTTTTCTTGAGATTAATTTGTCTTTAATTTGATTCCATGTTCGAGATTAAATATCTTGTAAACTGTGGACTTTAGCGATATAAACATAAGAACTTTTTTGCAGAGAATTAAATTTTCTACAACTTTTTCCTTTAAAATTTTTTGGTAAGACAAGCCATTTTCTTAATATTTTTAATAATGTGTTTATAGGCTCTTTTAAAGCGTTAAGATAAGTAGTATTATTATTAGTATTATTATTATTTCTAACTAACTTAAATCTTTTTACCGTTATATTTGAAATGCATTTCATCGTCCAAAAAAAATAAACTCGTTATAAATATAAAGTTAATTAAAAATAGCAAAATAAGTTATCAGGAAAAAAAATAATAAAAATATCCGCGAATATACAACTTTGTTTATAAATATTTTAAAATTTATCTTGACTTGATGAAAGATAGAGGCATTGGGTGGAGCAAGCAGCAAAATTTAAGACTGGGATAGTCAGAAGGAAAAGTTTAAATAATAATTAGGTAAGTATACAGAGGCACACAAGTTCTGATTTTGTTTTGAAGATGTAAATCTGTATATCACTGACTGCTTTTTTAATCAGTGGTATTGTTTACAAAACACAACCTGAACAATGGCCGCCATTAAATTTTGAACAATGACAGATTACGTGGTAACCATAGATACTGTCACAGGTTTCTTGATACAAAATAATATTTAAGTTTTAGAAATTGTTAATTATCTCTGAACTTATTAACTTTAGGTATAGGGAATAGTTATACCAATTGAAAGGTTTTTCAATTTTCTATTTGATTAAGTAAAAAAATACCGGGTGTTACAATTAAACAATGTTTTAAGAGCAACGGTTTCGTTATCGAACAAAAAAACAAAATTCACTTATAAGTTTGCGTTAGGGAGTGTACTAAGCCAGCTTAGCAACTTGGCCACGCCCCCTGAAACCGTCTTAGCCAATCGAATGGCAGCTGAAATCCGCTGAAACTGTCTTTAGCTCGATGCTGACAGCATGTGTGAAAATTTTCAGTCGGTCCTTCAACGGAATTCGAAAATCATCGATACATCGAAATTTTTGGCCGTGAAACTGAAAATTTTCGCTTCAGCCGCTGAAAACTTTCTCTCGACGATATTCACTTGTCATCGGGCGTATTTAAAGTTTGAACTAATAAATTTTATTGTGCTTTTTGGATTCAAGTTTCTTGACCTGTGTTTTGATTTAGATAGTTTTGCCGAAAATATTTAAGGTAAGAATTTTTTTTATTTTCACTATTTTACAAATCAAGCATACAAATTTTTTATATATACTTTTAAGGGTTTGAAAAAGAACATGTTTCAAAATAGTTAAATTGTTGGAAAAAATCCTAAAAAATTGGGGAAAAAACTGTTTTTTTCCTTTGGCTTTTTTTATAAAAGTGGGTCTAGCAAAATCTCACCAAATCTCATTAAAAGGTAACTTTTGAGTTTAAAGAATATGTATTAAGTACATTTCAATTTTGTAAAAAAAATAATCAATTAATTTATTGGCTATATTTTCACGTGGGGGATGGGGGGTCTACTACATCTCACCAAGGGGGAGGGAAGTCCAAATTATCAAAAAAATATTCTTACTAAATTATTAGTAATTATACCTAATTATAATCAGCGTCGGAAATTTACTTTTTTCTCAATGTCAGGTACCTATATATTGTATATTATTCAGAATTTTTTATAATTATAATTTACCAAATATGTTTATGTACATATGTATATCTATAGATATGACTTAATAAAATGTAATAAATAGTATGTATATTAATTAATTTAATTTAATAATTTTTTGTCCATTTTTTTCTTTATTTCGTTGGAAATTGATTTAAAATACTTTTAAACATAAAATAATATTATGTTTTACTATTGGTTTGTTTCAATTATCTTAAACATTTTGCCTAAATGTCAAAGAATTTATTGCGTTAAATGTATACAATACATAGTAACGTTATTAAATAAATCAAATTAGTATTTAATGCAATAACATTTTAACATTCTAACAAATAAATATCAATATAAATATCAATAGATTTAGGAGCGATAACTTTTTTTGTTAATTTAAAAACAGTAAACGATTATAAACCAAGTGCTAACTACCTATTGGTATAATAGCTCACCCATTGGTACGCAGAAAAAACGCTAGCATAGCATGAATTAATTAAATGACAGGGGACTGTTTTAAAATTTGTAGGTAAATGATGATTTACAACTTTGTTAACTCTTTTAATCAATATTTTTTCAAATTAGGTTTCATTATCACAGAAAACTCACAACCTATAGGTTTATATACACTCACAGGCAAAATAATCGATCCACACAACTTTTCGATGAATTTTAATCGCAAATATATTATATATAATATATTTTTTTATTTGATTTCGGATTTAAACAAATATTAGAGAATATCGTAGATAAATTAATGGACAATCGCTCACATTTTAAAAAATTACTAAAAAATAGACGTACGTTTATAATATATTATAAACGTACGTCTATTTTTTAGTAATTTTTTAAAATGTGAGCGATTGTCCATTAATTTATCTACGATATTCTCTAATATTTGTTTAAATCCGAAATCAAATAAAAAAATTATTTGCGATTAAAATTCATCGAAAAGTTGTGTGGATCGATTATTTTGCCTGTGAGTGTATATAAACCTATAGGTTGTGAGTTTTCTGTGATAATGAAACCTAATTTGAAAAAATATTGATTAAAAGAGTTAACAAAGTTGTAAATCATCATTTACCTACAAATTTTAAAACAGTCCCCTGTCATTTAATTAATTCATGCTATGCTAGCGTTTTTTCTAACCTGTATATATACAGGTTTAAACTAAAATATGTTTTTTAACATAAGTTTAAGACACTCTGTAGAGTGGCAAAACCGTATATTAATATACAATTGTTTTAAATTAAGTTTTAACTATCAAGTCACATATATTCTTAACAGTTTTGTTTTTGGTTCACCTCGATATATTTATTTTTGTGGAAAATATGGATTTTTTAAAAAAACATTGCAATTTCCAATATTTTTCTGTATGAAGAACTAAGGTTGCTATGGTCCATCCATAGGCTATGGAGAATGACAGTGACAGTTTTGTTGAATCATCCCATACTTGGACATGTCATACACGGCTTTCAAAAGCTATCAAATTGTTTTTTGCAAATTAATGTTTAAATTTTGAGGTGTCTTCTCACTTTAAAAAATGGATATGTCCCCGACTGATGTTGCCAGAGCAATTAATTTAATCCAGGATGGACGGTCACAGTATTACGTGGCAAGTGTTTTAAACGTCCCAAGAAGTAAAGTACAAAGGGCAACATTAGTCGGAGACATTTTTAAAAGTAAGAAGACACCTCAAAATTAACACATTAATTTACAAAAAACAATTTGATAGCTTTTGAAAGCTGTATATGACATGTCCAAGTATGGGATGATTCAACAAAACTGTCACTGTCATCCTCCGTAGGCTATGGATGGACCATGGCAACCTTAGTTCTTCATACAGGAAAAATATTGGACATTGCAATGTTTAAAAAAAAATCCATATTTTCCACAAAAATAAATATATCAAGGTGAACCAAAAGCAAAACTGTTAAAAATAGATGTGACTTGATAATTTAGAACAATATACGGTTTTGCCACTCCACAATATCCTTTAATATTTGTTTAAATCCGACATCAAATAAAAAAGTTATTTGCGATTGAAATTCATAGAAATTTTTTTTCCAGAACGAAAAAATGCTATAAAACTCATCAAAATGAACCATCAAAGTTTCATTCAAAAAGACAATTTGGAAGCATACCAAACGCAATTTTGGTACCCCTGTGAGGCAACTCAATTCAATGGTACCACCACGCCAATGAAGCAAATAGAAGGTGAGAAAAAAGTCCGCAAGAAATTTTAATAAATCACTTTTTGTTCGAATAAATCAAGGTACAAATACCTCGTGTGTTTAACTAATGAGCTTTTGTGATTTAGTGGTAGCGTCGCAATTAGTTGGCGTCAGGACGCCTAGCGTCGGATACTAATCGTGTGGCATTTGTTTTTCAGCTTGCCTTCAAATAGCCAGCAAAGATAGAAAAGCATACTCACCCCTAGATCAAGCTGAAGCCCTTAGTTTGGAAGTCCAAAATGAGTCTAGGGATAACAATAACAGGCATAACTCACATAACAAAAACCATAGGTATTTAATATAATTTTTTGACGTAAAAACACAACAAAAACAAAATATTTTTGTAGTATTATAACCTTATCACCAATGCTCGCCAATGCAGGGGCAATTTTAGAGATGAAACAACTTTGGGATGAATTCCACTCTCTTGGTACAGAAATGATTGTCACAAAGGCAGGTAGAAGAATGTTTCCCACTTTTCAAGTAAAACTTTGCGGTCTGGACTTAAATGCTGAATACATGTTGATGATGGACTTTGTACCAGTTGATGATAAGCGATATAGATACGCTTTCCATAGGTAGAAAAACAATCATCAATTTTAAGAGAGTTTTGAGGTTTTAATCGGTGTTTTTTAGCTCTAGTTGGGTGGTAGCAGGTAAAGCAGACCCTATTTCGCCCCCTAGAATCCACGTGCATCCCGATAGTCCCGCCACAGGGTCCCAATGGATGAAACAAACCGTATCTTTCGATAAGTTAAAATTAACCAACAATCAATTGGACGATAACGGGCATGTAAGTTTTCTAGGGTTTTCCGGCATACAAATTAACAAAAAAAAATTTTTTTTTTAAAGATAATCCTAAACTCCATGCACAGATATCAACCAAGGTTTCACGTTGTCTACTTAACCCCGAAAAACACTCACAACACAGAAGAAAATTACGATGGAAAATTTAAGACTTTCGTATTCCCTGAAACTGCTTTTACCGCTGTTACAGCGTACCAAAATCACAGGGTAAGTTTAACAATTTTTTAACTCAACATTTTTCTTTAAAAAAAATTGTTTTGTATAGATAACCCAGTTAAAAATAGCCAGCAATCCTTTTGCCAAAGGTTTCAGAGACTGCGACCCAGATGATAGGTGAGTCTATTTTTTTGTTAATAACTTTGTTAATATTTAGAAACTAATAATAAACAATACACCAACTTAAAGCAAAAACTTTCGCCTACAATGTGCAATAAAAATATTTTGTTCACCTTGATATATTTATTTTTGTGGAAAATATGGATTTTTTAAAAAAAACATTGCAATTTCCAATATTTTTCCTGTATGAAGAACTAAGGTTGCTATGGTCCATCCATAGCCTATGGAGGATGACAGTGACATGTCAACTGCAGTTTTGTTAAATCATCCCATACTTGGACATGTCATATACAGCTTTCAGAAGCTATCAAATTGTTTTTTGTAAATTAATGTGTTAATTTTGAGGTGTCTTCTTACTTTTAAAAATGTCTCCGACTGATGTTGCCCTTTGTACTTTACTTCTTGTGACGTTTAAAACACTTGCCACGTAATACTGTAACCGTCCATCCTGGATTAAATTAATCGCTCTGGCAACATCAGTCGGAGACATATCCATTTTTTAAAGTAAGAAGACACCTCAAAATTTAAATATTAATTTGCAAAAAACAAATTGATAGCTTTTGAAAGCCGTGTATGACATGTCAAAGTATGGGATGATTCAACAAAACTGTCACTGTCATTCTCCATAGCCTATGGATGGACCATAGCAACCTTAGTTCTTCATACAGAAAAATATTGGAAATTGCAATGTTTTTTTAAAAAATCCATATTTTCCACAAAAATAAATATATCGAGGTGAACCAAAAACAAAACTGTTAGGAATAGATGTGACTTGATAAATAAAACTTAATTTAGAACAATATACGGTTTTGCCACTCTACAGAGTGTCTTAAACTTATGGTAAAAAACATATTTTTGTTTAAACCTGTATATTATAAACGTACGTCTATTTTTAAGTAATTTTTTAAAATGTGAGGGATTGTCCATTAATTTATCTACAATATTCTTTAATATTCGTTTAAATCCGACATCAAATAAAAAAGTTATTTGCCATTGTGTGGATCGATTATTTTGCCTGTGAGTGTATTATACAGGGTCTTTATATATAGAGTGCCGTCCTAAAATACCTTAACACACGTCATAATGTTTTTTCTAAAAATAGGCGGATTATTTCTTACGTCTTAAAATGTCACAACATGCTCAACTTGTCATATAATTCAGCCTTAAGTGTATTTTGTAGAATTTAGAGGCAAATTAACCAGTGGAAGAGACAGTTTATTAGATATGCTTGAGATACGTCGTGTGTTTTAAAAAAAGTAAATTTAATTAATAAAAATCGTGCCGTATTATTTATTAATCTTTGTAATCTTGGAACATTTGTAAAAGACTAATTGCTGAAATGTTAGAAAAAGAAGAGACATAAGACACAAACTGCTATTTGTAAGGAAAAGATAGATGCCTTGAAATATTTTAGAGACATTAATTTTCGAAACCTGACGTGCGTAAAAATAGATCTGTTTTAAGTATTTTAAAACCAAAAAAGTTCGTAAAATTGACAATGGGAATTTATTTATTGTTTTCGAAAATTAAAACTTGCTTTAAGTGCAAAAAAAATGTTAAAACTAAATTTATTGTTACATTTGAATTTTTAAATTAAAACCATCATTTCCAAGTTTTATTTTTTCCATATGTTGAGTTGACAAATTATTTTCGGTCTCTCTGCTGACTTTATTATAAATTTCTTGGCCATGCTCCATGTACCTCAACAATTTACTGAAATTTATTAAAGCTAAAGTAATTAGATTTTATTTTTTCGGCCCATAAAGAACTTTACTTTATGAACTTCCAGCTTAATGAATAAATACAAATTTTATGAATCACCTTTTTATTAATAAGTTAGCTGGAGAAATAAGGGACATATTTTTTCGTCAACTGTCACATTGACAGCTTTCATTTCGGCAACTGTCAATTTGACAGATGTCATTTTGACCGATGTCATTTTGAAGCATGTCATTTTGATGGATGTGATTTTGACATGTAATTTTGACAGCTGTCATTTTGACAGCTATTGTTCTGACAGCTGTCATTTTGACAGCTATAATTTTGAAGCATGTCATTTTGATGGATGCTGTCATTTTGACAGATGTCATTTTGACAGATGTCAAAATGACAGATAGCATTTTGACCAGAATTTGACGAAGTCGAACGTCGAATAAAAGAGATTGGATAATGGTTTAAAACTTTCGAAATTATTTTCCATTTTATACCAATTGAAATTGACAGATGCCATTTCAGAACCTTTTATTTTGATTTTCGTCATTTTTGACTTTCGTCATTTTTGACAGCCGTCATTTTTGACAGCTGTCATTTTGACCGCTGTCGTTTTGACAGATGCCATTTCAGCACCTATTATTCTAACACCTGTCATAAAGACAGAAGTCATTTTGACAGCTGTCATTTCGACCAAAATCGAGCGTCGAATCAAACCGATAAAAATGTTGGTTCAATACTTTCGAAATTATTTTCCAATTCGTAAAATTGACAGTCGTCTATTTGGCACCTGTCATTTAGACAGCTGTAATTTCAGTACCTGTCATTTTGACAGTCGTCATTGTGGCAACTGTCATTTTAAACCCGTCATTTCAACACCTGTCATTAAGACAGATGTCATTTTGACAGCTGTCATTTAGACCAGAATTTTACGAAATCGAACTTTGAAAATTGATTATAATCTTAGTTCAATAGTTTAAAAATTATTTTCCAATTAAAATTAAACGTTTAAAATCTCAGTTAAATTTTATAAAAAAAATTATTGAAAACAAATGAAATTTTGTATTGTAGTTGGGACGTTTTGTTTCTAAATAATAATAATAATAATAATCTTTATTAAGCAAGAAAGCATACCCACAATTTTGTAGAAAAACGTTGATAAAACATTATAAAATTAAAAAATGTATTGTTTTAGTTCTTCTGATATTATGGCTCAGAATTCTTCCACCCCACGCCAAAAAACGCCCAGTAGATCAACCCCAAACTCTTCCACAAAAGGTAGGTTTGAAATAAAAAAACTATATTTTAATTTTATCGTTATTTTCCATTAAAATAATTGTAACTCAAATCCAGTTTCGATTTGTTTATGTATTTTAAGTCATAAAACGTCAAAAATCACTTAGCACCATTATGCATTGATTTACACACTTCAAGCCATGTGCTAGCCAGAAAATATACTTACGAGGTTTTGTGTATACAACTTTACGACCGCTCTTACTTACACCAAGTAAACAAATTAATTTTGTTTATACTTAAATTGTTTACATGTTACAGAAGATGATACTTCCAGCGATCATGGTTTGATTTATCAAAGTAGATGCCACCAAAATCAAGCAACCCTTCCAAATAACGGACTCACCTCAATCTCGCAACCGTACGGCTCAGAATTGTGCAGCTACGGCCCTGTATACCACCCCCACAACTTTCTACACAACTACAACCCTGTATATAGCACGGACAAAAATATAAGGGCCACCAACTTCGGTAGAAGTGTTTACGGGAATTACCCGAATTTTTATAACAACGGTAACTTCAGAAGCAATGCGTACGATTTTACCCCTAGATAATAAAAACAACTTTGTATTTCCCAAAAATGTAACCAAATATTTTTTATAACACTTACTGTAAAACCAAAGATATTTTTATTTACACTACATATTTAATTTATTTTTAAATACATATTTAAAAAACAACACATCGTTTTATTTTCACGGAATGACCCGTACATTATGTACGGTACATATACGAATACGCTAATGACTTAATAATTATCCAAATATTTATTTTGAGATGCTTTCTCAAACTATTTGATGAAAGACATGTACTTATTTTTTTTAACTATTTACCTATACCTACACAAAATAAATTTCAAGTACAACTAATAATTTATTTTTAAAGTGCATCTAGCTAGACCACCCTTGCATGCATTCTTGACTCAATAGGTAATTAAGGAAGTTTTCCATCTTACAGAATGACATATTGCCACCCTTAAGAAAAGAATAGAGTCAGTTTCGTGTAAAAATACTTCAAAAAGCGATTTTAATTAATTCAATCTAGAATGCTATTTTTTTAATTTTTAGTGTTGGCAATACGTAACATATTATGTGTGACAGCTGTCAAAAATAACAAAAAATGTATGTATGTAAAATTTGCCCTTTATATCTTGTAGTTCTTGTTACCAAAAACACACCATACACTCCTCTTGACGTTGTATTTATTTTCAAGTGGCATTTAGGTATTCTAAACACTGTCACTCGCATAGTTTATATTTCGGTAATTAATAGTACTTAAAACAGTAACATAAATTATTCGAGACCATCATATTTTTACAACACCGTCTTAAAGTGTGTAAACAAACGTTTAAAATGATTTATATCGGCTGTGGGGTATTAAAATTTGATTGCGAAGATTGTTTACGTAAAAAATAACTCACCTTCTCTAAGTAAAATACAGAATTATGAAACTTCTTCTGTCAAAGGGTTTTTTGGCAATTGTTTGGCGGAAATAATTAGCGCGTGCGCCAACTTGAATTTGAGTCAAAATTTTTGACAGTTTTTGCAACGTTTAATGTTGTAATGTACAGGTAGGTAGAACAAGCTATTTATAAGGCATCAAAGTGGTAAGTTTTTGTATTTTATCGCATAAAACTATATTTAGCGTGGTTATTTATACCTTTCTGTCATAAGGCTCAGTGATATTCAATGGGGCATATAAAAAATCATTAGTTTTCATTTAATTGGCGATTGGGTAGCCATTAATATTTTTAAACTTTAATTTTAACTTACGTCTGTAAAAATTATGGTATGCTACATATAGTTTTAAGTCTGCGTCTTTAAAGTTAATGGGGTTTGAAATATAAGGTTTTTGTGAAATTATTTTTAGGCATTTATGACTTATCAGGTACACAGTGTTGCCAAATTTTAGTTGTTAGTAACTCGTTTGCATTTTTTCTTTCAATGATGTCAAAAAACAGATTGACTGTACTAATTTCTATTGGCACAAAAACTGTCAGTTTTTTGATAAATGGGATATAAATTACCTACCACATTTTTAGGGAAATAAATTTGCCTATACCTCAGGGGGTCTTATGTTAAAGCCAAATGTGACAAAATATTCTTAATGACCTATATAATTTCATGTTATGTGTGGTCCAAAATTAAAACATTTTAAGTTTGTTTGATATTTGGAAATTACAGTAGAAAATATAACAAAAAAAATGTATACCTAATAATGACGAATTTTTAAAAATATAGGGGTTGATTTTTGATGTTTGCCATTATTTTTTGACAAATTCCTTTTTTATCTATTCCACATATTGAACTTTTACAACTACACATCTATTTGATTTATAATCTCCAAAAGCCATGTGTTGAAGTAAGGAACACCCTGTTTTTAAAACACGCATTAATCATTCCCAAATATCGTATAACGGGTGGCAAAAATTATATTCACAAATTTATTTGCTTCATCTATCTAAAAGTTATTATAATTATAATTTAATAAAAATTTATAATTTTATTTAAATAATACTTGATGAGCACATTAAAGATAGAAAAAATTATTTAACAAACTTGTAGGAAATTAAATGTGCCACCAATTTGTTTTACAACTTTTTTACCTATTATTAATAGTTTAAACGTAAAATTAAAAAAAAATCATAAATAAAAGTAAATTATTTTTTAGTTTTGTAATTTTGATACTATTGATACTATTACTCAAAACAACTGTGATTTGTTTTAGAGATACAATAATGATTGCATTGACAAATTGAGAATGAAATTCCAGTCAATCCAATTACCTACAGCTGACCTTTTAATACAACCATCTGCTTTGAAGTTTGTTAAATTTAGCACTATGTTAAACATTTTGCATTCCCAAATGTTTAATTATAAATAAATTAAATACCAGAGCAACAGTTCGCCTCTGATTTTAGACAACCCTTATACAATGCTTACCACACATGTATTAGGGGTTGCGCAACCTACAAATATTTTCAATTCTGACAAATATCAAAATAGTTGTATAATCTGTGGTCATTCGAATGACTTCCACCTCTGTGAAAGCAATAAAACAGGAAATTAAAGAAGAATAGACTGCGATGAAACGGGGGCAAAAGAAGAATAAAAAACATATGAAGAGGATGAGCAATTTGAAATTACACTGTTTCAAACGTGTAATTATGAAACTACACTTGCTTAAAAAAAACATTTAAATCATAACCATTGATTTGAACAAAAATTCCAAAGTATGCACAATGTGGATTGTGAAAGTATGTAATTTAATTTTAATAAATTATTACTATTTTTAATTATTTTTTTTTACTCATGTTATTATTTTAATTAAACTTAACAATTATTGATAAAATATTAAAATAACTTCAAAACTTTTATTACCTACTATAATTGCAAAATTTCTGGAATAATTCTGTATTGAGATAATAAAATAATTTTCTTATTTATTATTATTTCACAATTGACGTTTGTATGACATTTGACAACTGTCAAAAAATGTTTCCTCTGATTTTAGACAACCCTTAGGGTACCAATTGTTACCTTACGTGTATTCTGTGTTGCATACATAATAAAACACCGAATTTACTCAAGCAATTACTTTATTATTAACGAAAAATTACTAAAATTACAAATCGACATTTTTTAGGTTGGCAGAACTCAATTTGGGGACTTCTTGATTTTCGGAGGGCATAAAAACGCCAATCGGTTGAATAGCTTTTCTCTTATCTCGAAGTTTTCCTAACTCTAACTTCAATTTATCCAATATGGCGAAATTTGGGGAATTCACTGCTGCTTTACTTTGCAACAAGGTTATTTCTTGCTCGTCTAACTTTTTCTCCTTGAAACTTTTTACCGAGCGATTTCCGTAGAGCCTCAACAGGGACCCCCATGAGGTTATGTGGGGGTGTAGCGACTAAAAAATCATTTTAACACCTAATTCGATCGCGATGAATCCAGTACTGACCTGCAGAATCGCCTGTGCTGCCCTCTGTTTTCCGTCCCTTTTATTTTTGCAAACCACGGTTGCAGTGTGTTTACCTACAGACATTGTGAACTCATTCCCCTGATTTTTTAACGTGTTTCCGTGGTAATTGATGTCCAGATCGCCCAGACCGAAATTTCTTTGTAGACACGTTAGTAAAATATCGTGCGGACTGGGTTCAGTTGTTTTAGCGCAAAATTCGGCAACCCTGGGGTCTTCAACTCGAATTTCGTCGAAAAACTAAAAAAGCACCTGTACTTTCAAAAAATACGATATCTTGAAAAATATGTATTTTACAAAAAAAATTTGGGGATGAAAAACATGCGCAATTCGATTCTCTAAAAAAAGTTTATCAAAGTTTTTGTCGAAAATTTGACAGCAAGCGCGTTAAATAACATTTTAATGAAAGTCTGCTGCCGCGGCACTCAGTTTTTCTAAAAAATCTCGATTTCTGTCAATATTTTGACAAAACTTATAATGACCTTTATTGTAGGCAATAATATTCTCTACATTTTTTATGAAAAACTTTTTTCCCTAATATCAATATTTATTGAAATAATCGTCAAAAAGTGTTAAAATGTGAAAATCTTGTTAAATTTTAAACTTTAAAGGTTAATAAAAATATATATTTCAAAAAACCAAGCTAAAATGATTACAACCTAAAATAACGACAAATTTCTGAAAATACTTTTTGCGATAACTTGAAAAATATTTATTTTACTAAAAAATGTTGGGCATGAAAAATATGCGCAATTTTATTCTCTAAATAAAGTTTATTAAACTTTTTGTCGAAAATTTGACAGCAAGCGCGTTATTTAACATTTTAATGAAAGTTTGCTGCCGCGGCACTCAGTTTTTCCAAAAAATCTCGATTTCTGTCAATATTTTGACAAAATTTATTATGACCTTTATTGTAGACAATAATATTCTCTACTTTTTTTATGAAAAACATTTTTCCCTAAAATCAATATTTATTAAAATAATCGTCAAAAAGTGTTAAAATGTGAAAATCTTGTTAAATTTTAAACTTTTACGGTTAATAAAAATATATATTTCAAAAAACCAACCTAAAATGATTACTACCTAAAATAACGACAAATTTCTGAAAATACTTTTTGCGATAACTTGAAAAATATTCATTTTGCAAAAAAATTTTGGGGATGAAAAATATGCGCAATTCGATTTTCTATAAAAAGTTTATCAAACTTTTTGTCGAAAATTTGACAGCAAGCGCGTTATTTAACATTTTAATGAAAGTTTGCTGCCGCGGCACTCAGTTTTTCTAAAAAATCTCGATTTCTGTCAATATTTTGACAAAATTTATTATGACCTTTATTGTAGGCAATAATATTCTCTACATTTTTTATGAAAAACTTTTTTCCCTAAAATCAATATTTATTGAAATAATCGTCAAAAAGTGTTAAAATGTGAAAATCTTGTTAAATTTTAAACTTTTACGGTTAATAAAAATATATATTTCAAAAAACCAAGCTAAAATGATTACAACCTAAAATAACGACAAATTTCTGAAAATACTTTTTGCGATAACTTGAAAAATATTCATTTTGCAAAAAAATTTTGGGGATGAAAAATATGCGCAATTCGATTCTCTATAAAAAGTTTATAAAACTTTTTGTCGAAAATTTGACAGCAAGCGCGTTATTTAACATTTTAATGAAAGTTTGCTGCCGCGGTACTCAGTTTTTCTAAAAAATCTCGATTTCTGTCAATATTTTGACAAAATTTATTAAGAACTTTATTGTAGGCAATAATATTGTTAGATTACATTTAAAATATTTAAATTTGGCGCTCTTATAAACATCCGGTCGCTCATGCATGTGCGCCAATTAAAAACACGGGTGGTGCGCAAAGCAAAGCGCATCGCGTGGCAGTCACTGCCTGACATCGACGCGGAGTGGTTTTGTTGATAAAAATCTAACATCAGGTGTGGGGTACACGTGTATTTTCATAACTGTTATATAAGTATTCCGTGGTGGTTGTAAAGGACACAATGGCAGAAGACATGACAAAGTCCTTGGGGGCAATTGCATCAATTTTAGAAGATCTGCAAAAGCGTGTGGATAAAAACGAACGGCAAGCCACAGCCCCTGCTGCCCTAACAACTCCTATTTCTTTAGCCTTGCCGAGTTTCGATCCGGACAGCACTGATAGTCACGTATGGTTACAAAAAATAGAGGGTTATAAAACTGAATTTGGGTGGTCAGATCGAGAAACCGTAAGTAGAGTTGGACCTTTTTTATTAAAATCTGCGCAAGAGTGGTTTTCCGCATGGCAGCCCACTGAAGAAACGTGGGAAAATTTTAAGACCGATTTTTCTGTATCTTTTCCTAAACAGAAAAATTTGGGTAGGCTTCTAAGTGATGCGGTAAGCTACCATAGCTCAGAGGCCCGTAGTTATGTCGAATATGCGAGGATTAAACTCGAAAAGTTGAAACGCACTCGGGCTAGTTGGGTGGATTCGGATTTAAATTAAATCATTTAATAGAGATCGTCGCGCATTCGATAGACGACCCTGTTGCAAGAACCGCGGCTTATAATTGTGGCGCGTCCTCTATAAAGGATTTGACTGCATTTCTTGCTAATTATATAAAAGTCCCGTCACTTGATAAAACGTTATTAAATCCAAACGATCAAAAGGACAACTTAAAAAAAAAAATATTTCTAAACAATTCAATTGTTTCTCTTGCGGCAAAGTAGGTCATTTTTCCCGAGAATGCCAAAACAGTACCTACTTCATTGACTTAAAGTAATAAAACGTTTTGTCGATATTGCAAAAAACCTGTCATGAAATAACTCAATGCTTTCGCCGTCAAAGCAAACGCGGTCGAGACAGTGTGATTGAAACCGGGCCCGAAAAAAGGGGAAAAATTATTGCTTAATTCTCATTCCTCCAAATACACTAATTATTTAAAGACGTTGCCAGTTGTGATTTCTCGTTATCGCACAAATTGTTTGATAGATACTGGTTCAATGTGTTCATTGATTAATGAGAGGCTGGTTGACAAACTAAAACTAAAAAAAAATCCACGTATCACACCATTACAGTGGTTCGAGGGTACTACTTACAGGTCTTATTTTGTCACTAACGCTTTAGTGGAGTTCCCTGACGTAAAATTAGAACTTGATCTTGTTATAATACCTCAAAATCATTGTAACTACGATGTTATTATAGGCGAAAATATTTATGCTAATGACATAACTTTAATTAAAGATAAAAATAGGCAACAAATCGTTGCTGTATCATCAACTATTAATGCTATTCGTGATAACCCTGATCCCGAGATAATAACCGATTTGGACTCTCATGGTAAAACAAACCTGCTAAGGGTAGAATCGAAAAATTCATCAGATTGGCCGAGCAAGCTTTGGAAAATTCAGTTAGTAATTAACACCACTAAACAAAAAACAACCGGTTGTTCCCTCTTTAAGTTAGTATTTGGCCAAGAGGGACAAACCCCTCAAATCCGTACAGTTTTAACAGACCTACCTATCTCTGAAACCACTAAAAACCCAATTGACTCCATAACCATTCTTAACAAAATGAAGCAAAACGCCGAAAGACAAATTGCTTCCCTCAATAAAAAGCGTAGGAATAATCAGTCATTCAAAGTTGGTGATGCTATCTTGTTGAGCCGAGGTCAAAGGTCAGAGAAATTCGCATGTGAATTCGTGGGACCTTATGTCATCAAACAACTATTGGCTAACGACCGATACTCAATTCAGAAATTGGGCGCGAAAATGACCCTTAAGTGCTCAAAGGACCAGTTACGCCACTGGCCAGTCGATTGGACTCCTGAGGATTTTCAGAATCTGATAGAGTTAGATAATTGTAAGTACTAGTTTAATTTATTTTTAATAAAACTATGCCGTGTTAGATTCTGAAGCAGATTGATCTTGTCAAACTAATTCACTTACAAATAACCCATCGCAAATACGTTATAGTATTTCCATTGTGTTATTCATTAAATTGGCAGCTAAAAACTTTAAAATGACCCATCGTAAATATGTGCATACTGCAATATTTCCATCGCGTCATTCGAAAAACTTTAAAATGACCCATCGTAAATATGTGCATACTGCAATATTTCCATCGCGTCATTCGAAAAACTTAAAAATGACCCATCGTAAATATGTGCATACTGCAATATTTCCATCGTGTCATTCGAAAAACTTAAAAATGACCCATCGTAAATATGTGCATACTGCAATATTTCCATCGTGTCATTCGAAAAACTTAAAAATGACCCATCGTAAATATGTGCATATTGCAATATTTCCATCGTGTCATTCGAAAAACGTTAAATTCCCATCGTGAATGTGTGCATATTGCCATTCAATGAATTGTCGTTATAAATAAAAATTAACCTGTTGACGCCATAATAGTCCAAGTAATGTGTTTTTTTTAACAAGGAGGTAGTGAAGTGCGCTAAACCTCAATCCGAGGCCTCTTAAATTCAAGGAAGTTTACCTGGGGTTACGAGAGAAAAAAAAATATTCATAACAAGTTTTTAATTACTAATTAATTTTGTTTGTGTTTTTGTTACTCATTATATATGTATTTTTAGGACATATTTGAGTGAAAAATAAATGTTTTACTATTTGCATGTTCAAAATTTCTTATGTTTCTAAATCTTCATTCCGAGAGCGGAATGGTGTCAGTTTGGCCGTGTTAGATTACATTTAAAATATTTAAATTTGGCGCTCTTATAAACATCCGGTCGCTCATGCATGTGCGCCAATTAAAAACACGGGTGGTGCGCAAAGCAAAGCGCATCGCGTGGCAGTCACTGCCTGACATCGACGCGGAGTGGTTTTGTTGATAAAAATCTAACAATATTCTCTACATTTTTTATGAAAAACGTTTTTCCCTAAAATCAATATTTATTGAAATAATCGTCAAAGTGTTAAAATGTGAAAATCCTGTTAAATTTTAAACTTTTACGGTTAATAAAAATATATATTTCAAAAAACCAAGCTAAAATGATTACAACCTAAAATAACGACAAATTTCTGAAAATGTTGGGTATGAAAAATATGCGGAAATCGATTTTCTAAAAAAAGTTTATCAAACTTTTTGTCGAAAATTTGACAGCAAGCGCGTTATTTAACATTTTAATGAAAGTTTGCTGCCGCGGCACTCAGTTTTTCTAAAAAATCTCAATTTCTGTCAATATTTTGACAAAATTTATAAGGACCTTTATTGTAGGCAATAATATTCTATACATTTTTTGTATAAAACTTTTTTTCGTAAAATTAATATTAATCGAGATAATCGTCAAAATTTGTACTTACCGATAAGTCTTGATCCTCATCTCTTTTAGCTATGGCGCCCATCCGGTTGTCGGTTTGGATTTTGCTCTTCATTTCCGGTATCAAAATTTCCAAGGTGGCCCTGGCAGCTTCCGCCTTCGCTTGTTTTTTGCTCGTTCCATAGCCCACGCCGTATTTCATGTCTTTTATCGACACGGTTGCTTGATAGGGAGTTGCGGCGTTTTCCAGTTCAGTATACTTATAGGAGGGCTGTTTTTTTAGGGCGTGTTGCACGTATTCGTGCAAAATACACACGTAGGATTTACCGTTGGGATTCATGATCCATTCTTTTTTGGCGTTGGAATTGTTTTCCCCAGTGGAAGTTTTTATAGGGAAAGTGATAAGTTTTGTGCCTGGAAAATTAAGATGACATCAAAGAACAAAAATTCCCCACACTCACCATCAGGCAAAGTAGGCCTTTCCAACTGTTTTGAGGTCTTTTTTTTCTTGGTGAATTCCCTCCTCTCCGACCAAGATTTGAACCTCAAAACTTGTATGGTCTTAAACTGGAACAGACCCTCGCAATACTCCCTTACATTAACCGGTTTTAGGTTATGTTTTTCTATGTTTTCCTGCACCGTTTCAATACGCGCGTTGGGTATATCTTTTAAGGAGTTATTCGGATCTAACTTGGGTTCTAAGGTGGGTTCTTTCTCCTTTTCTAACGCTTTCCTGTAGTTTAAACACGGTATAGCACTAAGTGGGATTTCGTGTTTCTACAAACATCACAAGAACATTATAAATTATTTAATTGATGCCACAAACTTACTCTGACCGAACCGGGTCCTAAAAAGTATGGTTTCGATAACGTGCAACATCTAGATTGTTTGTGAAGGTACAAAGGCATTCCGCTGTCATGCGTGACCTGTATCCACCCTTCAGGAAGCATTTCAAAGTGATTTTTTCCCTTTTCGATTAACACTACTTTTTCTTTTTGCTCGAACGGTTGCTCTTTCTCTGGAATGTCTTGAAATACGTACAAAATTTAATTTCTCCAAACTAATTTGGCGATAACTTAAAATATATTTGTTTTACAAAAAAATGGTGGGAATGAAAAATATGCGCAATTCAATTCTCTAAAAAAAGTTTATCAAACTTTTTGTCGAAAATTTGACAGCAAGCGCGTTATTTAACATTTTAATGAAAGTCTGCTGCCGCGGCACTCAGTTTTTCTAAAAATTCTCGATTTCTGTCAATATTTCGACAAAACTTATAATGACCTTTATTATAGACAATAATTTTCTCTACATTTTTTATGAATAACTTTTTCCCCTAAATTCAATATTTATTGAGATAATCGTCAAAAAGTGTTACTGCAGAGTTAAAATGTAAAAATCTTGATGAATTTTAAACTGAACAAAATAAGACATTTTGAGTTTTTTATAATTTTCCGGTTAACTCAAAAAATTTATATTTCAAACACCAAGCTAAAATGATGACAACTTTAAAAATATTAATTTTACAAAAAATTGTTGGAGATGAAAATTATGCGCAATTCGATTCTTTAAAAAAAGTTTATCTAACTTTTTGTCGAAAATTTGACAGCAAGCGCGTTATTTAACATTTTAATGAAAGTCTGCTGCCGCGGCACTCAGTTTTTCTAAAAATTCTCGATTTCTGTCAATATTTCGACAAAACTTATAATGACCTTTATTATAGACAATAATATTCTCTACATTTTTTATGCATAACTTTTTCCCCTAAAATCAATATTTATTGAGATAATCGTCAAAAAGTGTTACCGCAGTGTTAAAATGTAAAAATCTTGATAAATTTTAAACTGAACAAAATACATTTTGAGTTTTTTTATAATTTTCCGGTTAACTCAAAAAATTTATATTTCAAAAACCAAGCTAAAATAATGACAACTTGAAAAATATTAATTTTACAAAAAAATGGTGGGGATAAAAAATATGCGCGATTCGATTCTCTAAAAAAAGTTTATCAAACTTTTTGTCGAAAATTTGACAGCAAGCGCGGTATTTGACATTTTAATGAAAATCTGCTGCCGCGGCACTCAGTTTTTCGAAAAATTCTCGATTTCTGTCAATATTTTGACAAAACTTATAATGACCTTTATTATAGACAATAATATTCTCTACATTTTTTATTCATAATTTTTTCCCCTAAAATCAATATTTATTGAGATAATCGTCAAAAAGTGTTACCGCAGTGTTAAAATGTAAAAATCTTGATAAATTTTAAACTGAACAAAATACATTTTGAGTTTTTTTATAATTTTCCGGTTAACTCAAAAAATTTATATTTCAAAAACCAAGCTAAAATAATGACAACTTGAAAAATATTAATTTTACAAAAAAATGGTGGGGATAAAAAATATGCGCGATTCGATTCTCTAAAAGAAGTTTATCAAACTTTTTGTCGAAAATTTGACAGCAAGCGCGGTATTTGACATTTTAATGAAAGTCTGCTGCCGCGACACTCTGTTTTTCTCAAAATTCTCGATTTCAGTCAATATTTCGACAAAACTTATAATGAATGACCTTTATTATAGACAATAATATTCTCTACATTTTTTATTCATAATTTTTTCCCCTAAAATCAATATTTATTGAGATAATCGTCGAAAAGTGTTACCGCAAAATGTAAAAATCTTGATAAATTTTAAACTGAACAAAAGAAGACATTTTGAGTTTTTTAATAATTTTCCTGTTAACTCAAAAAATTTATATTTCAAACACCAAGCTAAAATGATGACAACTTTAAAAATATTAATTTTACAAAAAAATGTTGGGGATGAAAAATATGCGCAATTCGATTCTCTAAAAAAAGTTTATCAGACTTTTTGTCGAAAATTTGAGAGCAAGCGCGATATTTTACATTTTAATGAAAGTGTGTTGCCGCGGCAGTCGGTTTTTTTTTTAAATTCTCGATTTCTGTCAATATTTTGACAAAATTTATTATGACCTTTATTGTAGACAATAAAATTCTCTACATATTTCACTAAACAATTTTTTCCGTAAAATCAATATTTATTGAGATAATCCAGCAATATCTATGTAATTTTTATGATGGGGTTATAAATTAAACAATTGAGGTTATGTATCTGTCTGTTGAACGCCGAATATTACATGTTAAATCAACAAACACACTGTAAGCAATAAAAAAGCTCTATTTACCCAAACCAGCCTCAGTAGCCTTTCTTTTCTTATTCTCGAAAGCATCTTCAAGCATTTTCTCAATCTCATCATCGGGTACATCTGAATCGTAAGAATACTCCGAATGTTCGCTCTCCTCATCTTCCAGCTCGTCGAGAACGTGAAATTTCCTCACATCCTCAGTTTTGCTGTTGGTCATGATGTTCGTAGCACCATTTTCTAACCTCATCTTTTTACATTCGACGTTTCGACTGGTACAGGCTTCGCTCTCCATTTTATTGCACTAAAGTGGCGATACGTTTTCAAATAGTACACCAAACAAATATTTCAATCGCTTTTTAAGACCCAAAATTGAAATACCTATTAAATATAACTTTTGAAAACAGTTGCAACCTATTTAAACACCTAAATAAACGGTATACTTATTAAATACACATAGACAAACGTTTAAATGACACGTTTTTATACTTAAAACCACAAATTTCAGCATTTATTTGCGATAAAAGAGCATTTTAGAGTGACGTGTGAAGATAGCAAACCACGGAAGATAAGTAGGAAACTTTAATATCGACCAGAGTGAAGTTAGGAATAAAACAACGTAGGCAATCAAGATTACAGCAAGAAGTATAAAAGGTTGCCAAGAAATAAAACAACATTCTTATATAGTAAAGATTACATTATTATTAAACAATTTGCTACATATTACAATAAATATTTGAATATTTTTTAATATATTTTTTTTTCAAATATTATAAACAAATTGTTTTAACATTTGAGACTTATATCTAAAATATATACATTCAAAAAAGGTTACTATAGTAAGTAATAATAATATTTATTTTAATAATACTTAAACTACTAAGATTAGGTCCCATTTTAAACATAAAACAAACGTACTTTGGATGTGGTAATAAGAATATCATCATTATAAAATTTTGTTTCTATAACGATATTTCCGCTGAAAAAAACAAATTATTTTTTATTAATATCACACTGTCCTGTTTTGCATGTATCTTTTAAAATGTTAGAGATATTACACTGATATTTGTTGTACAGATTAAAAAATGATTGTTTTACATTGCCTGCAAATTTTTTGAAAATATTTCAAAAAACAAAAAAGTTATAGTGTGTTGTTTCCAACCAAACAAAAATCGAAATTTTACATATTTTCATGTATCTTTAAAAATGTAAGAGATATTAAGCTGAAATTTGGTATACATAATAAAAAATGATTGTTTTATATTCAATACAATTTTTTTTAAATATTTCAAAAAACAAAAAAGTTATAGTGTGTTATTTCCAACCAAACAAAAATTAAAATATTACATATTTCCAATTATCTTTAAAAATGTAAGAGATATTAAGCTGAAATTTGGTACACATAATAAAAAATGATTGTTTTATATTCCCTGCAAAATTTTTCAAGATATTTTAAAAAACAAAAAAGTTATAGGTTGTTATTTCCAACCAAACAAAAATCGAAATTTTACATATTTTCAATTATCTTTAAAAATGTAAGAGATATTAAGCTGAAATTTGGTACACATAATAAAAAATGATTGTTTTATATTCCCTGCAAAATTTTTAAAAATATTTCAAAAAACAAAGAAGTTATAGCGTGTTATTTCCAACCAAACAAAAATCGAAATTTTACATATTTTCAATTATCTTTAAAAATGTAAGAAATATTAAGGTGAAATTTGGTACACATAATAAAAAATGAATGTTTTATATTCCCTAAAAATTTTTTCAAAATATTTTAAAAAACAAAAAAGTTATAGCGTGTTATTTCCAACCAAACAAAAATGTAAATTTTACATATTTTCAAGTATCTATCAAAGTTTAAGAGATATTGAGATGAAATTTTGTGCACATATTAAAAAATGATTGTTCCATATTTTCTCAAAATTTTATTAAAATATTTCAAAAACCAAAAAAGTTGTAGTCCTACATCCAACAAAACAAAAATAAAAAATAGCGTTTTTCTGTACTTACTTGAGGACAGCAGCGGGCATCATTTGAGATTCCGGAGCGGCCTCCAAAACTGACTGCCATGTATTTGTCGATTCTGGCATAACAAAACCAAATTCGAAAGTCCATTCTTCGAGACGGCGTCCCTTAAATAGTACTTTTTGTTCCAAACGAAACTTTTCGATTTGTTCCTTGGTGCTAAAAAATAATCATTTAATTTTATTTTGCTTATTTTCTACGTTTATTTACCTAAAATTGAACTCTCGAGATACAGCACGACATTTGAGTATTGACTTTGGCACACGTGCCTCATGTTCTTTATCAGGATAACTCAAATCTTCCGAACCTTGCCAAAATACCTTCCCAGAATCGGCGTCTTTCAAAGAAATCCAATTTCTAAGCTAAAATAAGGAATTTATACCGTTAAAACACAACATAACCGCAACAATCAAAAAAACTAAAAGGATACACTTGAAACCCCTTAAGAATCTCCTCAGCCCTTTTGTTATCGCTCATTATACTCCAAGAACCATTAATTCGTCGTTTTAAAGCCAAAATGTAGACAAAAACAGCAAAATATTTTTACCAAACGTCAAAACAATACATAAAAACAGTTCTACCAACTGATTGTAAAGGCAACCCAGATTGCATTGCATGTAAAATGTTGCCTACATGACAACTTGACAGCACCGCATGACTCATACCACTTGTTGATAAAAGCGGTATGACTAATTTTTAAGAGAGTAATAACAAAGAATAGTCAGTTAATGAGTGTTTTTCGATGATGGAAAGTGAGGAGACGCCTTTGGAAGCCCCAAATTGGTTGAAGGAATTGGAAGCAAAGCGGGAGAAACGCGTTAAGGCAAAGTTGGGGCATGAAACCGGCGCTGGTGCTAAATGTTTAGTTTGCGATGAAAAGTGCCCAGGTAATGTAATAAATTAATAATTACTGTGTGTTAGAGATGTAAACAACAAGTTTTAAACTTGTTCTATTAGGTTTGGATCTACATTTTTGGAGAAAAACATGCAAAAATTGCAAATGTACAAAAGAAGAGCATGATGTCCATGACGATGATATTCATGGATGGGCGGAATGGCAATTGCTGGGCAGCAAACCAAACAAAATTAAAACAAAAATAAGTAAGTAAAAAAAACATTTTATAGACCAACTAACAAAAATATTTGTGCAGCGTTGCCAGGTCGAAAAGACGTCCTGGAACTCGATTGGACGCCGAAAGGAAATCAAGAGACAGTTGAAAACTTCCTCAAATCTCAACCAATAGAAGCGATACCCGTGAAAGGATCGAAGGCGGCTCAGGAGAGGAAACAATTGCTGCAAAAACAAATTCCAATCCACGATATAGACCCGAGTTTGTGTCACGATTTGACAGCTGAAGAGTACGACGCAATGAACAAATACATCGCGCACATTAAGGAGAAATCCGTGGGGGTGGGGCATCTGGTGAACATCGGCAACGTTGTAAGAGGGGTCGTGCACAACATGGCGCCTGCGCAGTATCAAATATTGCTTGATAAATACGGAAAAAATATACCGTTGTTTGAGATAGTTAAAATGCAAGATTTCGGGGTTTGTAAGGGGTTGGAAAAGTTGAATTTGGGGAAAAATTACACCCCTAAATCCACAAACACAGTAAATGATAATCAAATGGGGGTTAATTTTGATGTTTTTAAGGACAAAATGTACAGTGTTGGTCAAGAAAATGACAATGCAAATATTTTAACCCCCAAATATACCAGTGATAATTTAAAAACAGGGTTGCCACATCCAAACGTGCAAAATCCACAAAACATGAACGCAGGGTTGCCAAATTACGCACCACAAAACACAAACATGTTGCCAAGTGTACAAAACCCACAAAACGTGAATTTCAGGGATTTACACGCAAATATGAACGCAGCGTTGCCAAATTACGCACCGCAAAACCAAAACACGTTGCCAAGTCTACAAAACCCTCAAAACGCGAATTTCAGGGGTATACAAGCAAAAATGAACGCAGGGTTGCCAAATTACACATCGCAAAACCAAAACACGTTGCCAAGTCTACAAAACCCTCAAAACGTGAATTTCAGGGATTTACACGCAAGGTTGCCAAATTACGCACCGCAAAACCAAAACACGTTGCCAAGTCTACAAAACCCTCAAAACGTAAATTTCAGGGATTTACAAGCAAACATGAACGCAGGGTTGCCAAATTACGCACCAGAAAATCAGAACACGTTGCCAAGTCTACAAAACCCTCAAAACGTGAATTTCAGGGATTTACACGCAGGGTTGCCAAATTACGCACCGCAAAACCAAAACACGTTGCCAAGTCTACAAAACCCTCAAAACGTGAATTTCAGGGATTTACACGCAGGGTTGCCAAATTACGCACCGCAAAACCAAAACACGTTGCCAAGTCTACAAAACCCTCAAAACGTGAATTTCAGGGATTTACAGGCAAATTTGAACGCAGCGTTGCCAAATTACGCGCCACAAAACAAAAACACGTTGCCAAGTCTACATAACACATTGTTGCCAGAAAATCAAAAGTCCATCGGAAACATCAAAGATTTGGCGTATTCGACGTACGAAAATCACAACCAAAAAATCCCGAAAAACAAGATGGCCGCTGTTGAGCCTATACGGCCCAATGAGGAGTATTTGTACCCAGAAAACATACAGGTGGGTGGTATTTTGGACGTTAAAATGGCAACGCTGGGAGAGAACGAGAACTACATTGACATTCCGTTGCCAACTGAAGGAGAACAGGTTATAATAGGCGACGTGGTGTTGCCAAATTGCCATCACTGCAAGCAACTGTTCGATTTGAACGAGTTTGCTGTAGCTATAGAAAGATCCGATTTTCTTTTCCACGCTAACTGCTTCAAATGCGCCGGTTGCAACCAAATTTTGGCCGACAACATGTACTTCTACCACAAAGAGAGCAACAATATCTACTGTCTACGAGACTACGCAAAAATCAAAGGCTACCCGCGTTGTAAAGGCTGCGACGAGTTGATATTCACGAAAGAATATTGCTTGACGGAAGAGAACACATTCCACTTAAAACACTTCTGTTGCATCAACTGCGATATCCCTCTGGCGGGAAAAAATTACCTCCTGGAAAACTCACACCCCATCTGTCTACCTTGCTACGAAAAAAACAACGCCAACAAATGCCAGGGTTGCCATAACATCATAAAACCCAATGAAGAAGGTCTACTTCTGAAAGACAAGCATTTTCACGTCAACAATGACTGTTTCTGCTGCGTAAAATGCAGAAAACCTCTGCTGAATCAGAAGCTCTTATTCAGGAATGATAAGCTGTATTGTTCTCATGATTGCTTCCAAAATGTGTAATATTTAAAACGTGCCATATAATTAATAATAAAGGTTATTTAATGTTTTCGTGTTTTTTATTAAAAGAATTATTTAAAACGTCACATTTTTTATGCCAATCATTTGCCAAGGCGGTAGCATAAAAATTAAGGCCAATAAATGTACAATATACAGGGTGTTATGTAATTAATGTTATATATTAAAATACTGAATACCTTTTGACATAAGGAATAAAGGAAAAATATTTTAAAAAGCATTTTTTCAAAGAAAAAATATGCATTAGAAGTTTTTTATATTTTTTGTGATACGCCACTGGTTACACACTTGTTTATCTCTGCACACCTGTATTTTGTGAGTACATAGATACCAACCAACAAAGTAGCTATGCGTTGCCAGATGTAAAAAATTGTTACTAAAAATTTTTCTTGCAAAAAATAAATAAAAACTCAATAAATACAAAAGTTTTATGCCCTTAAAGCTCTAATACCCTTCTGTATTTATTTACTGATCCAGCTATTAGCTTAAGCAATGATTAGAAAATTTGAAATTTGAAATCCATAACCACAAAATTAATTTTTTCATCAGTTTTTTTCTCTGTTTACTCAGATGAAATTGGGACCAGTTCACAGGTTAAACTTTAAACATTTAATTTGTGTAAATAAATCCAAAAGCACTTCCCTTAGTTAAGATATTTACAATTTGAAAACATAACCTAAAATTTAAAAGAAATGCACTAGATTCTGTCATAAAAGTTGGCAGATTTTGTTTGAATTTACCTTCAGTACAAAAATTAAATAACCAACAATTAATAAAAACGCCAAATTGACAATTTGCATTGTTAATTTTGTCATTTTTGTAATTAAGCTAAATTTAAACAATGTTTGTCAACTTTTTTGAGAGATTTTGGAAAAACTGTTGTTACCAACCATAACATAATAAATCCACCAGATTAACCTAAAGTTCCTAGTCGATCAGTGGCGTACTTTTTGGTAGGATAAAGGTTATTATAAATTATTTTTAGACTTTGGAATTTAGAAAAAAAAAGTTTCAGGTGCTTCTTTATGGACCCTAAGGAACAACCCATTTTAATATATAACATTAATTACATAACACCCTGTATATTCCCAGGTAGCACAACGTGACGAAACCGTGACGATTTGTGTCCAATTGGACACAATGGACACAAATCGTCACGGTTTTGTCACGTTGTGCTACCTGGGTTGTACATTTATTGGCAAAATGTATATAGGTATACATATTACGGTTGAAGTTGCAGGTTTAAAGTAAAGAATATTTTACAGCAAACACAATTTCCTACAAAAAATATCCTATGAATTAATGCGATAAAATGCATATATATAGTTTAAAAGATATAAAGCATTTAATAAACAACTGTCAAATTGATAAAGTTTTAGTACTAAAGACACGTCTGAATCTGGTAAATGTCACGCGGTATATATCATAAAAAAACAATTTCGCAGATAAAAGACAGTATTTTTTACTAACCTTCCCCAAAACTTTCACTCACAGAATTCACTTCCTCTACAGCTCATAACAAGTACCGTATTGTAAGAATATTTACTTTGGGCTAAAATAAAAATACTAGCACCCGAATTGTCAACAATCCAATCAATATATAGCCATGTTGCCAAACCACCTTTCCACCCTTAAAATCAAGTAAAGTTTCTTTATAATTGAATAATAAAATACATTTTACTGGGTTGGTACACCTCAACTACAATAAATTTCTCACGTTTCATCATTTTGTATTACTGAACACGCGTTATATCAATATTAAAAAGTATACACATTAGAAAGTTCAAATTTCTCTGCCCCAAAGTGTAATTTCTTTGTTACGTAAAAATTATTTAATGTGTTCAATGGCACCGTTAGGTAATAAATAACCAGAGCTTCATTTTACCCATTGGATTTGTTTTATTTTATTAGTTTTATCTGCAACACGCATTTTTGCTAACTGTAAAATATAACTGCATATTAAACTTCTGCAACCATACAAGGTGTTTTTATCCACATACAGAGTTCGATAATTTGATATAATTTAACTGTCAAACACTCCTTCAAATATTAAATTCGGAAAGCTCCAAACTATAATCTTATTAATCTTAAAAGCATTGACCTTCGCAATGCGAGCAACTGGCAACGCCGGAACGGTTAGATAAGTCTCCCCCGCCCCTTCTTACAGGGAACTGTCACTTTCAGCGCTCACTCGATGTGCGAATGTTAAAATGTTGAGAGCATGTGACTGGATCGTAACGTGAAAACAAGAAAAATGCTGAAATTAATAAAGAGGAGTAAACATTGAGTTTGTTTTGTTTAAAAGTGTAAACAACTGGTTGTTGTTTGTCAAAATATTTACTTTAGGTGAGTTTATTTGTAATGTTGGTGTTTGTAGAAGAGGTTTTTTCGTATTTATTTCGCAATAAACAAGATTTAACTCATTTCAACCTTGTGTGGTTTTATAATTTTTTTGTTGGTATTTTGAAATTATTATTATTTTCGACATTATTTAAATTTTATAAGTAATGTAATACAAACAACATTATATTATTGACAAATAAATAAAGAACTATGAAACATTATTAATTTATTAATCATAGAATATTCATAGAAATAATATTTGTACTTTATACCTAGGTACTATATAGGTAGGTACTTAAAAATTAAACCACATTTTTTTATCTCAATTATTACTATATTATTGGAATTTATAATTTAATTTTGACTAATTTCATGTATTACCTAATTAATAATTAATCTAAACAATGGGAAATTTGAATTTACATGTTTAAAAATCAGTAGACACCAATAAAATTTACATAATAATCCAAACATAATTAAAAAAATGCGGAAGTAAAATTAGCTAGATTAAATATTACGTACCTAATATTATATAGGAAAACAATTTTTTTTTAAGCCAGAAATATATTTAAAAATATCTATCTCGAATAATAAATTATTAAGGATGCCAAGAATATTAAATTAAACTCTAATAAATTATTCCAATTACGTCATACAGGAACACATCTACTTATTTTTGTTTATTATAGTTTTAAAAATTGTATTTTAATTTTATGATTTTAATGAGGTTTGATATAGGTACCTACTTAAAAAACAAAATGTATGGAGTTTTTCAGATAAAATATGATGGAATTTTGCATACTCTTTGAGATACAGGGTGTTAAATTTAAGTTAAAAAATACATTATTTGAAGTATTTTTGTTTGTTGACTAAACAACACCCTGTATATCAGGTGAATCACTGGTACAAAATGTAACTTTGAAATTTGACCATACAAACGTGTAAAGAATACTTTATAAAGTAATATATTTGACAATGAAAAAATAATAAACTCATGGTCATATCATTGGGTATATATAAAGATCTATAATAAACCAAATTACCTAGTTAAAACGCTAAAATGTTTTCTTGCTCAATTAATTTTAACGGTAAAAATTATTTAAAAAGGGAAATTTTTTGATAATTTGGCGAACTTTACTTAATTCTGTTATGTAATGTCACTTGATTGTTGATATAATAGCATTATATACATATATATATTTATATGTGAAAGACCTTGTTTAATTTGACTTTCACTTACACATGAATATACAACTTAACATTAAATGTACAGTGATGGACAAAAGTAAGGATTCTCTTTGGATTCCTTGGTCTATATCTTAGTTAGTATGTATTTTATGAAAAAATGTTTAAAATAAAAATTAAATACTAGACTAGACTAAAAATAGATAGATTTTTTTTAAAACATTTTTTTTCTTCTGTATACGATTCTGATATAATTTTTCTATAAAAAGATCACTTTTTTGGTAATAATTATCTTATTAGTTAAATCTGATTTTTTTAAGTACCCACGATTTTTTAACTAATATTTAAGATTTCTTTGGTTTAAGTTTTATACATTATTTAATTCGGTGATAATTATCAATTGCGCACCATGGTCACTTTTGCCGGCATTAAATCCTTTAATTTAAAGGATTATTGTACTATTTTTAATAAAAATACCTCTTTAAGGTAAAAAAAAACATTATTTTGTCGATTAATTAATTTAATTCTAATTAAGTTATAAAAAATGGTATTTAGTTATAAATAATAATTATTATTGAGGTATACAGAAATTATCCGAATCTGCAATAAAAAAAATAATTTAAAATATATTTGAAAAAAATGAAGAATCCTAGAAAAAATACCTTATAAGTGTTATAATAATATGAGACAAATATAATTAATTACGTTTTTTATATGTTATGAAGAACTTCTAAAATAAAAAAAGAAATCAATATTAAAATACAATTACCTTAATTAATTAATATGTTTAACAAAAATTGGACTTTAAAACTCATTTTTGCAATAAAACTACTTTTTGTGTGAATTGTACCAAAGTATAAAAATAATCCACTAAAACTTACCTAATTGCAAAATTATAATGTACATTGCTTGTTTTAATATCATTGTCCCGTAAAAAAAAGTGTTTATTTAATTAAACTTAAAAAATTATAGCAATTGTAGTGTAGCAATTAATATTATTTTTATATCATTAAATGACGCAAATATACAAGGTACACATGTCTAGAGGTTTCAGTTAGTTGTTAACAGTACGTTTAGAAGACTGTGTTACAGATAATACTAACATATTTATGTATTTTTTTTTAGATCGCAGATGCTGTAAAGATGTCTGGTGTTATATCCAAATTGCTGGAAAAAGGGGAGAAACATATCAATGCTAACAGAACCGCTATATCGGGTGCTATAATAGGGGCAGCACTTGTTACGTATGGGGTTAAAATAGCTTACCCATTGCTGGATGGGGTTATCAATAAAACCAACAAGGAAAACTTGAACATCAATAACAATCTTGTGAAAGATAATGTGACAGATGTTAAGGTACTTAGTAGGAAATTCAGGAATCACATTCCAAACTTAAACTTGAGGTTTATTCTCGAGTTCTTGAAGTTGATTAGGATTATGATTCCGAGTTTAATTTGTACAGAAACTGTTTTGCTAACTGGGCACACCACTTTCTTGTTTTTGAGGACTTTTCTGAGCATATACGTTGCAAATTTAGAGGGCGCGATTGTTAAGTACATTGTGAGAAAAGATCCCAAAAATTTCATACATCAGTTGATGAAGTGGTTTGCCGTAGCTATACCTGCCACCTTCATCAACAGCATGATAAAATATTTGGAGAGTCGTATCGCTCTGAGTTTTAGAACACGTTTGGTTAATCATTCCTACCAACTGTACTTCAAGAATCAGAGTTATTACCGAGTTACGGTATTGGATGGGAGATTAGATAATTGCTCTCAACGTCTAACAGACGATATAGAGACTGTAGCGAACACTGTATCGCATTTGTACGGTCAAATCACAAAACCTTGCTTCGATATTCTTTTGATGGCGATTGCTTTGGCTAACTTGGTAAAATCCCGCAATTCCAATCTGCTAATAGGGCCGGTTATCATATCGGGAGTTGTGGTTGTATCGGCTTTAATACTGCGCCTGGTTTCGCCTAGGTTTGGTCAGTTGGTAGCCCAAGAGGCGGAGAAAAAAGGCTACTTACGTCACGTACACGGTAGAATTGTTTCTAACGCCGAAGAAATAGCTTTCTACGGGGGTCACAAAGTTGAACAGAGTCACTTAAGGAGCGCTTATAGAATCCTCGTTCAACATTTGGAACACATGTTTGGGGTTAAATTGTGGTTTGTGATGTTAGAGCAATTTTTGATGAAGTATTGTTGGAGCGGTACTGGTATGGTGGTTGTATCGCTCCCAATACTTCTAGCGGCTAGTAGTAAGAGTAAAAAAGGTGTAAAGAGTGTTGAACAAGATGATACTGTTTCGGAAAGAACACACTACTTTACCACGGCTAAAAACTTACTTCTAACAGGCTCAAACGCTGTAGAAAGACTCATGTCTTCCTATAAAGACGTTGTGGAATTGGCAGGTCATACTCAAAGGGTCGCCAATATGTTTACAGTACTAGAAGAAGCCTCGGAAGGTATATACCACAAAACACTCGTAGAAAGGAAGGAAAAGGTTGGTAACTTCGAGATAGAGTTTAAAGGTGATCAACCCATCGCGAAAGGTAAAATGATATACTCAAACAACAACGAAATACTCCTAAAAGATGTCCCTATTGTGACGCCGAATTGTGACGTCGTTTGCCCATCTTTAACACTCCATCTAAAACAAGGTCAACACTTACTGATAACAGGCCCAAATGGTTGCGGTAAATCCTCATTGTTCAGGATACTAAGCGGTCTTTGGCCGGTTTATTCCGGCGAACTACACACCCCAAAAAACGCCATGTTCTATATACCGCAGCGACCCTACATGGTGATAGGCAATCTGCGGGACCAAGTGATATACCCCGACACATATACCGACATGATCAACAAGCAAGTCACAGAAGAAGATTTACGGAAAATAATGCGCATGGTACACCTAGAACACATCGTGGAAAGAGATACATTCCATGAGGTGAAAGACTGGACGGATATTCTTTCCGGTGGGGAAAAACAACGCATGGCTGTTGCTAGACTTTTCTATCACAAGTAAGTCTGCAGTTGTGTTAACGTTGGATGATTTAAACCACGTTGCCTTCGTCAATTTCAGGCCCAAATACGCCCTTTTAGACGAATGCACTTCAGCTGTTTCAATTGACGTCGAATCCAATATTTATCAGCAAGCCATTGATATGGGGATCACTCTTTTGACCATCACCCATAGACCAACTCTTTGGTACGTGTTTTGGGGTTCAGAAAGTACCAATTTTTTTTTTTTTTTGTTTTTTTTTTTTAGGAAATTCCACACCCACATATTGCAATTTGACGGTACTGGTCTTTGGGAGTACAGCACTTTGAACTGTTCCACCAGAATGGACTTGAAGAAAGAAAAAGAAGATATTCTTAAATTGCCAACCAGTGAAGAAAACTCGAGAAGACTGGATGAATTAAATAAACTTTTGGGTGAAGATGAAAAACTAAACTAACTAAATAAATGCGACACCACTGTATAGCAACATAATCTCAATATTTATTGAAAAAAACATCACTTTTTTTTGTAATTTTGTATGAAATTGTATTATATTATTAACTTAATTTATATTAAAGAAATATATATTTGTATTCCTAGTGATCAAAGATGGCTGTAGAATAAATTTTTAAAATATTTTTTTTTTTAATTTTTATTTTCTCGCGAAAATGCATTCTGACTTGGTGCCTGGATGTTTTTTGTTAATAGCTTAAAAATAAATGAGTTTTTTACATATAACGAACCGTTTAACAAATATCTCAATTTTAAAAGTGGCTGTAGATTTTTTTTTATTATTTATATGGGCCAAAAAAATTGACTATTTTTTTTTTTTTTAAATATACCTATCGAGAATGTCATTCAGAATGACAAAAAAAAATTTGTGGAATTTTAAATTTTAATCGTGAATAACTTTTGAAGAATTAAATTTAGGCAAAAATGTTAAGAGACCTTTTTTGTAGAACATTAAATTTCCTTTAAGAATCCGACGTAAGCTTTTTTAAATATTCATTCATTCATTAGTTACAAAATTTCAAAGTAAAAAGGGCAAATCGAAAAAACACATCGATTTATTAAGCTCAATTACTCGGAAACGGCTCGTCTGACGAAAATTTTCAATCAGACCTTTTTTGTAGAGAATTTAATTTTATATAAAAATAAGTGAAAAAGAATTTTTTTCACTTTGATTTTTTGACAGTTCTAACGTAAAACATCAAATTATGACTAAAAATCAAAAAAAGCGATGATAGACCTCTTAAAATTAATATTAAGGGCTCAAATTTTCACGAAATTTTTTTTTGTCATTCTGAATGACATTCTCGATATATTTTTCAAAAAAAAAAAGTAAATTTTTTTGGCCCAGTCTAATATAACTAAAAACACATTTATTTTGTATTTTTGTATCAAAATAATTGAAATTTTAAGTTTTTCTTCGAAATTAATCGTGAATAACTTTTGAAGAATTAAATTTAGGCAAAAATGTTAAGAGACCTTTTTTATAGAACATTAAATTTCCTTTAAGAATCCGACGTAAGCTTTTTTAAATATTCATTCATTCATTAGTTACAAAATTTCAAAGTAAAAAGGGCAAATCGAAAAAGCACATCGATTTATTAAGCTCAATTACTCGGAAACGGCTCGTCTGACGAAAATTTTCAATCAGACCTTTTTTGTAGAGAATTTAATTTTATATAAAAATAAGTGAAAAGAAATTTTTTTCACTTTGATTTTTTGACAGTTCTAACGTAAAACATCAAATTATGACTAAAAATCAAAAAAAGCGATGATAGACCTCTTAAAATTAATATTAAGGGCTCAAATTTTCACGAAATTTTTTTTTGTCATTCTGAATGACATTCTCGATATATTTTTCAAAAAAAAAAATAGTCAATTCAACTAAAAAACATTTATTTTGTATTTTTTATTGTATCAAAATGATTTACAAAAAATTCAAGTTTCGAGATTCTAAATATATATATATTATCAAAATGCTCTTCACATAAGAAGAGTATAGAGTCTTTAAACAATATCTAATCTAAACAGTCTTACCCTACTAGGAAAAAATCACACCAATTATTAAAATAACATTATTAAGAAAAACTAATTATGTTTAATTTTTTTTAAAGCTTTCGTTTTGGTAACAAAGAGACTAAACGTTAAATAGGTTATGTAAACACTGGATATAAGCAAAAAATATAGCCCTACAGGAATATAAACCAAACTTAATAAATAAACACTCAGTACAATTTGCGAAAAAGCTAGAAAACTAGCTGAATAATAGGTGAAATATGGCAGAAACGTTTTCGAGAAAAAATTATAAACGTTGGTGTTCTTTGGTTTTAATTTGAAGATGTTTTGCAAAACCCTGTAGAAGTAGGCGTTGAATATCAGCGACCTGAAGAAATAGATCGTTTTTTCGGCCGAATTTTTTAATGCACTGTGTGAAGATTTAAACCAAGTCAAAAGAGCTGGAATTATGTAAAAATGTTCGGAACAAATGTAGGTGTTGAACCTCTTGATTTTTTCCATTGAAGACGTCCTCACTAGTTTCACCTTTTTTTCTTCAGTTTTTAATCTCGTTACGGTCCTGATGGTTTTCATCTCCGTTGTTGATATAGTAGAGCTCATAATTGAAAAATCTATAAATAAAACGAAGTTTTAGTTTTTTTGCTATAACTTTTTTCCCATTGGTTGGATTTTAAATTGTTACACATCAAATTGTAGGTAGTTAAATTCTCTATAACAAATGTTATATACATTTTTTTCGTATATTAAAGCGTTTAAAAAATATCTCACATCAAAGCCAACGTTTTATCTACAAATTATTTTATTCTTTAAAAGTAGTTTTTACCTGTTTTTGTGGTTTTGTCACTTAAACATTGGTGTGTAATGTATTGAATAAACGTCGAATTTAGACTAAATCAAATTAATTTTGTTCCAAAATTACATTTCTTAACGCCAAAGGTTATCAATTATGAATAACGTTTGTGCAAGGGCAAATTTATCAAAATTTCATGTTTTGTTATCAATGTAACACGATCATCTCACGTAGGTTGTGTATTTTTGGAAAAATATTATTTTTAATCAAATATTAAAATATCCTCAATTTAAAGGCGGTAAAAAACACTCGGTATAATATTAATAATAGCTTGAAAAAACTTAATGTAAACTTCTGGCAAAATATATGTTTATTATACAAAGTATACATACAAAACACAGGGTGTTATATAAATTAGTTATCACTAAAAATGTCTAGACTTCGATTTTTGAACTTCGCTATCTTGACAGAGATAAGATTTTTATTCCTCAACAGTCTTCTAAGTACAATGTATATATAAAGATAATAATAAATTAATAAACAACTCTACTCACCGAGAATCATGGATGAAATAAATAAATTAGTTAATATATGCATTTATGTTAAATAAACAATAGTATAAATTAACAATAACAATTAAAATATATTGTTTTTCATCTTTACTATTCTATTTTTGATTGCTATGACAACAAAACAATTTACGTAAAACATAATCTCCTAGCTGACGTCCTAGAAGAATCAGGTTAAAGTTCTATAAAATGTTACACAACCTTCTTATTTTAATACCTATAAAAATATTTCAACCATAAAATAATAGGAATTTCTACGCAGATTCTGAATATTTAATGATATGACATAAATATGTTTTTTAATACCATAACACCCTGTATATTATATCGTAACATTTTAGATCTTTAAACAAGCTTCACAAAAATATATTACACTTATATATTATCTCTTAAATTGGCAGAGATATTTGATTAATTATGTTATAAAGTCATTAAAGGAACCATCAATTCTAAACGGCCCCAATTAAGAACCTTGCGGCAATTTTTAATAAAATCGTGTTTTCCTACACTAATTTAAATTGCCTTATTGTTTTGTTTTTTAACAAGTTTGTTTACACAGCAATTTTGCAAGTTTGTGACATTGAAAGTATTGATTTTGTATATATGTAATTGTTAACCTATTAGGCTAGGTTAAGAATACACGAACATGTAACTAATAGTCAAAATAAATAAACACATGTATACATATCTATAGATATGTAGATATTAAAATCAATACATTTTAGGGTTATATTTACATAATTTAAACTCACCTTGGCAAAATACCACACACACAAAAAATCAGATTTTAAAAATTTTGTACAAAAAAAATCCATTGATTTGAACAGCCTTATCTAGCAAGCTTCCGGCGACTACTAGTGATTCTTAATCGTTTCAAAACAAATGCACGCGTTCAGAGTAGGCCGGGATCACTCGCAGCCTACGTGACGTTTGAGGAGTCCCTTTAATATGCCCAGAGCCGCATCAAGTTGTTTTTGATTTTGATTATCAGGGTGTCCGATGGTTTTTTGCTGATATTCAAGTTAATATTAATCTGGCGATAAAATGTTATACGACAAAAAATAAAGCTTGTTGAATTCTCTACAAAAAATGTATTACAAGTTTTTACGCATGGCGAACCGTTAAATAGATATAACACTTTTAAACTTAGACTGCCAAAAATGTGTTACGTTGATTTTAAAGCCTGATATTTCCTAAACGCCTTGTATTATAAAAAAAACTATATGACAATTCTTGTAGACAATTTAATAAACTACTATTTTCATTGCACAGAATATCAAAAACATTACCCCTAGGATTAAAAACCGATTAACATGTTTGTTTTGTTTTAAAAAATTTAAACAAAAATATTATTACCATTCTGTAAACTAAACAAAGGTTTTAAATAGTCAACTCTAGAAATGGCCTATCGCTAGCTGTAATAGGAAATATTTATTGGGTACAAGTGCTATTAAGCCTTTTTCAACTTAACCAGTTTTTTAAAATCCTGGAAAAACACATAGGTAATTACCAACAGAGGAAAAATTTAAAGCAGCCGATATATAACTATAGTTAAAACTATTTCGATTGTTAGGTTTATATGGGTTATTCTATTCCGTACCTGCCTTCTAAACATGTTGTCCGATCACGTGAAATCCACGTGATTTACCTAAACAACATAAGACGAAATACAGAACCGTATTAAAAAAAATACAATGCACCATATAAAATTTAAAATAAAAATATACATTATTTATATTAAAAATTACCAAAATCCCAATTCTGGGTAATTTCTCTTCGTGAAATCCGGCAACGCAGCTTTCCTATGTTCCGGAAAATCCGGGTGTGGATCAATACTTCCTTACCGGAAGAATATTATTAACAAAAACATGGATAAAGTAGTAGAAGAACTCGAAACTAAGGTATAACAAAAAATGTTCAGGTGTGTCCCTTGATTTTGCATTTTTTTCAGATGAAAAAAACTGATGAGCATTTCGAAAGTTTGGCAACTCAAGTGGGTGACATAGAAAAAGATATTTTTAGCGAGTCTGGTGAGGAAATTCAAGTCAACAACTTGCTGAAATCAGTGCACAAGGTAAATTTAATAAAAAATTCTTGTTGGCCTTGTAACTTTTGTAATTAATCAACAATTTTGATGAAATTTGGAGGGTATATTGCCAAAATATTACACTTCAAAACATATTTTGCAGATTTTCAAAATCTTCTAAAACAAAAGAGTTATCGACGTTTTTCCACTTACAGGTGAAAGGCATGTAACTTTTATAGTATATCAACAATTTTGATGAAATTTTGAGGGTATATTGTAAAAATAATGCTCTTCAAAACACATTTTGCATTTTTCTAAAATCTTCTAAAACAAAAGAGTTATGTGCGTTTCTCCATTTTCAGGTGAAATCGAATTACCAAAATTTGAGGCAAGAATTGCTGGAGGTTCAAGATTTGCAAAAACAGTTGAGCAGTTCGCTGCATTTGCAGCTAAAAATGATGCAGTTAAAGTTCAACATATTGAAGGAAAAAGTTTATATACCGGAAAGTCATATAAATAATATACAGAGGGAGAGAGAAAGAAGAGATTAAATGATGTGTATAAAAAAATGGAAGGAACATATCTTCAAAATGCAAAATTTGAAAAACAGCTAAGTCAATAGTTGCTTTAGAAGCCAAAAAACAACAAAACTGTACAAATCCAGAAAATGAGATCAGCTAATTAGAAGCAAAATTTCGCTATACATTGTTTATTTATAAAAACAAATTTTTACAAATATCATTGATTGATATAGTTTTTAAAACTTGTAAAGATTTGTTCAATAGTTTAAAAATTGTAAATCCAGACGAGTTAAACAATTTTATGTCAAAATGGAATAAATCCAATATTTTGCATGATTTTTAATTTGTGTAGTTTTCAAATTTTGCATGTGTAAAGCACTAAATTGTTTTCTATAATTGACTTTATAGTCATGCCAAATGAAAAAAAATGCTTTACTGTGATTTTTCACGTTAATTATAGAAAACATTATAGGTTATAAATATACAGTGCACGAACCTAGATATACTGAAGTTATTTGTGATACAATATACTGAATTTTAGATTTTACATAGTAATATAATTGCATGTTTTTTTCTTACATTGTATACACCATTATTAAAAATAGTAGAAATTTTTGTTTTAATCACAATATTGCCCTCGTTATAGAACCAAAGTATACACTTATTATTTTAGTAAAACAAAAAATACACAGCATGGGATTTCCCAAAAAAAATCACAATCTTATCAAAGTATTTACATAATGTTTCATTGAATGGTAAAATAAAATTGTGATTATTTTTAATAAATGTTGTTTGAACCAACACGTGGGTGTCCATAATTCTCCTGATATATTTACAAAATTAAATTGTGGGAAACATTTTGAACACCCCGTATGGCATGCTAGGGTTTATAGTGTTAAAAAGAAGTCAATTGTCGAATAAAGACTAAATACATTTTTAGAACATAATATAATAATATAATATATTAATCCCTAGGTATATTAGAACATATATTGCAATAATTTTGTTATGATCTTGAAAGTGGTAGATTTTTGGTACCTGAAATTTTATTAATTTAATTTTTATATATCTATAAAGTAAATAAAGTTAATTAAATAAAAAATAAAACTGCGTTTTTTTACACCCCTTTAGAAACCAAAAAATATATGAGTTGTAAAGTACTTGGTGACTCCAAGTTGGTGTACCTAAATATTAGAGAACGGATTGTTAGGCCACAAAATACATAAAACCTACAATCCAATTTGGGAATGTTTGTATATCTTAAGATACTACAGTGCCAATTTTCGAGATAATTCACAAAATATTTTAGTTGTCCTAAAATTAACACCAATTTTGGAAGTCTGTAGTTTTGTTATTTTTTATCCAATTTTAAAAATTATTATTTCAAATGTTAGATAATTTTATCCTCTTTGAGAATATGTATATATCTTAATAAACCCAATACTAATTTTTCGAGATAATCCACAAAATATAAAGTCGTGTCAATTTTGCTTGTGTTAAAATTAACATCAACTTTGGAAGTCTGTAGTTTTGTTATTTTTAATCCAATTTTAAAAATTATTACATCAAATGTTAGATAATTTTATCCTCTTTGAGAATCTGTATATATCTTAATAAACCCAATACTTATTTTCCGAGATAATTCACAAAATATAAAGTCATGTCAATTTTAGTTCTCTTAAAATTAAGACCAACTTAGGAAGTCTGTAGTTCTGTTATTTTTAATATAATTTCAAATTTTTATATCAAATGTTAGATAATTTTATCCACTTTAAGAATATGTATATATCTTAATATACCCCAGTACAAATTTTCGAGATAATCCACAAAATATAAAGTCATGTCAATTTTGGTTGTGTTAAAATTAAGACCAATTTTGGAAGTTTGTAGTTTTGTTATTTTTAATATAATTTTAAAAAATATTATATCAAATTTTAGATAATTTTATCCACTTTAAGAATATGTATATATCTTAATATACCCCATTACTAATTTTCGAGATAATCCACAAAATATAAAGTCATGTCAATTTTGGTTGTGTTAAAATTAAGACCAATTTTGGAAGTTTGTAGTTTTGTTATTTTTAATATAATTTTAAAAAATATTATATCAAATGTTAGATAATTTTATCCACTTTAAGAATATGTATATTTCTTAATATACCCCATTACTAATTTTCGAGATAATCCACAAAATATAAAGTTGTGTTAATTTTGGTTGTGTTAAAATTTACACAATTAAGTCGTTTAGTTTTGTACTAAACTAAAAAAAAGTTTGTAGGACTACTTACGAAAAACCCTTGAAATTACTTGGTTTAATTGTTTCAATATTGTTTTTATTTTAAAGTGTACAAACATGTTTGTTATTTTTTTTATCATATCCTTGTTTAAATAATTGAGCACTTTGGATTAATACATTATTTAAATTATTATTTTTTGAAGCAGCTTTTTTGCAATAAAAAAAATATATTTTATCCAAATATTCATATCCATATTTTATTTATTTTATTACAATAAAACTTATCTTGAATTATAATAATTATTCAATAAATTGTTTAAATATTGAGCTGGTGTAAACAGTTAATTATTACCCACCTATTGGAAATGTTATTCCATAGGTTGATATTGGCGGTTTTTTTTTTAATGCACGGTAAGTACTTTTTTATTTTTTTATAAATCTTAATTAGGTGCTACATAAATTTATAGTTTACGGTAATCCCTGCAAACAAAGAAATGCAACCTATGGATATGTCTGTGTTTGTAACTCAACGTATTGCGATACCGTACCTCCAATAAACGTAAAAGAAGGAACATATCAACAATATACTACAACGTCACAAAAGTTGGGTTTTTCTACGTCGAAGGGACAGATTAAAGTAATATAAAACTTATTATTAATAATATGTACCTATATGTACTTAAAGAAGAAAAATTTTAGCCTTCTAGTAATGGCGTTTCTAAACATAAAATAGACCTGACAAATTCCAAACCCAAGCAAAGGGTTTTTGGGTTTGGTGGTGCATTCACAGGGTCTACAGGGTTCAATATACATAGTCTTTCTTCAAAAGCACAAGACAATTTGTTGGAAAGCTATTTTGGTGGGGATGGTATTGGGTATACCTTATGTAGAGTTCCCATTGGTGGTACAGACTTTTCTTTAAAGAAATACACATATGATGATGATCATGATGGTGATGTAGATTTAAAATACTTTGCCTTGCAAGACGAAGACTTTCTATATAAGGTATTAGTTGTACTACTATTGTAACAGAAGTACCTACAGGTTTCTTTCTAGATACCATACATAAAAAAGGCTTTCAAGTTATCAAACAACACTCTAAAACTGTTTGGTACTTCGTGGACATCCCCACCATGGATGAAGACCAACAATGACTACGCTGGAGTGGGTTTTTTGAAGAAAGAGTACTTCCAAACATGGGCAGAATATTATGTTAGATTCTTCGAAGAATACGCCAAAAATGGGGTTAGATTTTGGGGTGTTACCACCCAAAATGAGCCTTACGATGGCTTTCTACCGACGTCAATATCGCAAATAAATGCTTTGGGATTCGATAATCACCTTATGGTAAGATACACGCTGAAACTAAATTCACAAGTTACAGCATTTTAATTGCAGAACCAATTTATATCTAAACATCTCGGTCCAACTCTAAAAAAATCATCATTCAAAGACTTAAAGATTATGATACATGATGACAGTAGACATACTCTTCCATTGTTGCCAGAGGTAGGTAATTTATCAACAATTAAAAAATTTTTTTTTTTAAAATGCACCAACCTTAACGTTCTTTTAACTGCATTTTATATTTCGCCTGTATCTTCAAAACCAAAAAAGTTACAGACATTCTTCCAATTTACAGATCTTGGAAAATCCTCATTCGATGAGATATGTAGACGGCGTTGCTGTGCATTGGTATGCCAACAACATAACCCCAAGTGATTACCTTGAGCAATACACAAAGTCCAGATTTAAGGAGTTATTCCTGCTTGGGACTGAAGCTTGCAATGGTAGGAAAAACGTAAAATACAACCTGATGAAATCAATAATCAATTTTTAGGATTTCTACATTCTATGTCTTTGGAGGAGTCAGTTCAGTTGGGGAGTTGGGCTAGGGCTGAAAACTACATCAGGGATATCATCACGGTAATCAGTGTTGCCATATTTCGCCATATTTCATAAAAAATAAAACTCTAGGATTTCGCTTATGGAGCCAGGGGTTGGGTTGACTGGAATATGGTTCTCGACCAATCAGGAGGGCCCTGTTCAATCGATAACAAAGTTGATTCGCCGGTTATAACCAACAATGCAACCGGCGAATTCTATAAACAACCCATGTTCTATGCGATGGGCCATTTCTCCAAATTCTTAAGACCAAAATCGCATGTTTTGGATGTTCAAGATGGTTTGATTAAAAGTGTGGCAGTATTGAGGCCTGATGGTTTACATGCAGTCGTTGTTTTTAATGAGTATGTATTTTTATATTTATACTATTATTTTCCCCACATTTTTTTAATTTTGAACTACTGTGCGAGCATTTTAAAAATTAAGTTAATTTCGATGATTTTGGAAATTCTGAATATCTTGAAAATTCGTGCAACCATTTTTTATATTTAAATCTACTACTGTGTGAATTTTCCCCACAATTTTTTAATTTGGAACGACTGTGCAATTTGCCATAAAATTTTTGAAATTTATTCCATTGTGCGAATTTTTTTCAAAGTTTTGTACATTTTGATTATTTTCGAAATTATCCCACATTTTTTTAATTTTGAACTACTGTGCGAGCATTTTATAAATTAAGTTAATTTCGATGATTTTGGAAATTCGAAATATCTTGCGAATTGATTTAAAATTGTTGTAAATTTTGATAGTTTTGGAAATTAATCCCACATTTTTTAATTTTGAACTACCGTGTCCTAACATTTTAAAAATTTTGTTAATTTCGATATATTTGAAAATTTAAAACTGTTGAAAATTCGTCCCACCATTTTTTATTTTTTACTACTCACTGTGCGAATTTTTCCAATATTTTTTATTTTTTAACCACTGCGAATTTTTTTCAAAATTTTGTAAATTTCTATAACTGGAAATTTTTTCTCACAATATTTTAATTTTGAACTAATGTGCAAACTTGTCATTTTATATTTTTTGTAAATTACGATAATTTTGTAAATTTCGATAATTATGAAAATTATGTAAATCTGGAAAATTTGTTCCGCCATTGTTTTTATATTTACACCAATGTGCGAATTTGTCCTACCATTTTGAAAATTTTGTTAATTTTGTAAATTTTACTCACAATTTTTTAAGTTTAAATTACTGTGCAATTTGTACGAATTTCTAAAATCTTAAAAATTGTGAATTTAATTAAATTAAAAAATTCTTAAAATAACGATTTAATATAATTTTTTTTAGGGGCCAAAATTCCACAAACGTTGAAATTAAATCAAAGAAGGGTTTCATCGACGTCACAATCCAAAAAAAATCAATCAACACAATACTCTTTTAAAATGTAAATTATTATTACGTAAATAAAACAATTTAATTTTATTAAATATTATACATTTATTTATATATATATATATATATATTTTTAAACTTCTGATAAACAAATCATCCTTGAATAAAATATTGATTATCAACAATAAATAACGATTAAAAAATACATTCATTAGTATTTTGGCACTTACTTAAAATATGTTTGTTATTTTTATTTGAGGTATATATAGTATTTTTTATATATATATATTTTTATCACAAAAAATAGTTCGTGCTATATTTTTACAGTATTTGTGCTACATAGTTGAATTTAAAATATGTAGATGTGTGAATAAAATTATTTATCTTTCTACATACATTTGCCTAATTTATGAAATCGATTTTCCACTTATTTATTTTCTATTAGGAGTTGTAACTGTAGAACCAAATCTTTCGCGAGATCCAGTACTGATTTGGCATCATGTCTCTCAGCCATCTCTGAAAAAAAAAATTTGAGTCCCATGGTATGCTTGATTTATAGAACTCACCGTTAAAAAACTTTATTATGTCTGTGAAATCCATTCCGTTTGAGAGTATGATGTCTCTGTAAGTCTCCAGAAGAGCTAGAGCTAGAAATAGCACGAAGTGTGTGCTGGATATATGCTGGGCGGCCCAAATGACTTCCCATGTTGCATATACGTCGGAGTAGACTAGTTCTCTCTTAAAGTCCAGAAGAAACCAGCGGTAGCAAAAGTAAAAGTGGGTGTAATCTCCATGTGATTGCATTAACTCATACAATTCTGAATCTGGAATTATATATGTCAGTGGTGATGATGATTATGTTGATGATGATGAGTAAATACCTAAAATCTGTATTAAAGACCTCATGTTAGCAAAGTGACAGTCCATGGCGTTTCCATTGGAGAAATTCTCTACCATTCTTTCCATCAAATGGCAAAAGCATGCGTAGGTTAGAGATTCGTCATTGAAGATGACCAACAAAGGCGCTGCCAAATCGCACATGCCTTGTACATAGCCAACCTCCAAATGCTCCCAAACATATGTACACATAACGTTTCTCAACTTATCCAGACCATTGTCCCCAGAAAAGTACCAATAGTTCCTATCACACCTCTGAACGTCTTTCTCTATTCTATGTAGGTTTAAACCGAATGTCTCTAATAGTTCTTGCTACAATCAAACGAATTTTATTGTTTTATTATCACCAAAGAACACAAACGTACACTATATATTCCACCATTAGAACTAGCAGGCGAGACGCAAGCTGATCTAGCCGGCGATGCCAAACCGTGAGTCTCAATGCAGGTATCCAGAGAAGAGTTATTTTCTTCCGTTACAGCATCCAGATGGTCTCTACGCGGAGATTCACTACCTAAAACCGACATATCCACGCTGGGGTTAGTAACTATAACGTTGTGAATGAAATCCTTCAACTCTTCTTCAGTGCACTCTTTAACGTCTTCGTTTTTGATGATTTCCTCCTCGCATAAACCGTTGATGAGGATTTTTTCCACGTTGAGATTCTTGTTCTCTTCTTCGTCATCGTCGTCGTCATACTTAATGGTGTTTTGTTTCGTTTTTAGTGGTTTCTTTTCAGGTGAGGTTTCACTACTCCCAATCTCAGGATTCGATGTGTCAGTATCGGAGATATCTTCGAAAACCTATATGGTGGAAAAAAAGTAAAACACCGTTGTATATCATTCGATACTCACATCATTACTGAGACTTCTTTGAATCTGTGGGGCATCCCCAGACATACTTTCGCTGCTCAATTTAGCTATGGCTTTAGCTTGTTTTTCTTTATCTCGTTGCCTGACTATCGCCTCGACTGCCAACCATTCGGACATGGTGTTTTCGTACCTAAAATAATGACAGTTACAATTGCTTTTGATTTGATTTGTTGTACGAACGCTTGTTTGGTTTCTTCGCTCAATTCGTGTCTTTGTTCCTTGGTGCTTCCGAACTTGTAGTGACCTAGAAGGTAGGGCCATAGTTCGCGGCGTATGTCATCATTGCAAATGCCACCAAAGTAAACCAGTCGGTATATTTCGTTGTGATCGTGTAGAATTTCGTCTTTGTACAGTTCAATCCATTTCTGGGGTGTTATGCCTTCTTTTGCCCCCTCACTGTGTATTATTTTGCTGTTCACCAAACCACTAAGATGGGTTCTTACTGTGGATAAGTGCCTGCAGTATGCCAACCAGCCGTAGAACGCTCTTGAGATGAACTGTCGCTTCATAGAATCACACACGGCTTGTATACAGATGCTAGGTGGCGAATCAGGTACGTTTTGATGATCTAAACTAAAACTTTTGGAGGAACTTTCCGAACTAGTACTGGTACTTCCAAGTTGCACCCTAACTTTAGTCGACAGTAGAGCTGTGGTGTCCATTAAGACGTTTCTCTTAACTGGAAAAACAGTTAATAGAACATCGCAATGCTTTGAAGCAACGTAAAACTCACACAAAATATCCTTAGGATTCATATTATCTATGATTCTGAAGACGTAATGCTTCGATGTCTCCTCACTTTCAGACAGAGCAGGCAAAGGTCGTCTACGTTTGGTGTTGCTGCCTTGTCTTTGGCTCCACAGAGGTGGATCCAACCTACCTCTGGGCAAAAGCCCCGTCTCTATGCAAGAAAGGAAGCCCAACATGTGTCCCCCTTTGGGAAAATGTATTGGTGGTCTCTGGACACCATCCTGTCCCACTAGAATAACAGTACCACCAGTATCAACGTCTTGGTGACAATGAACGTACACTATTTCGTCCAAACGTACTTGCAAAGCGTAATCCCAATAGACACTGAAGTGGAAGAAATAATATTATACACTCTAAATTGAGTCTCTACATAAACGTCTTTTATATAAGTCATTCCAAATGTTTATTATACAGCGTGTTATGTAATTAATGTTATATATTAAATAGGGTCCATAAAGAAGCACCTGAAACTTTTTTTTTCTAAATTCCAAAGTCTAAAAATAATTTATAATAACCTTTATCCTGCCAAAAAGTACGCCACTGATCGACTAGGAACTTTAGGTTAATCTGGTGGATTTATTATGTTATGGTTGGTAACAACAGTTTTTCCAAAATCTCTCAAAAAAGTTGACAAACATTGTTTAAATTTAGCTTAATTACAAAAATGACAAAATTAACAATGCAAATTGTCAATTTGGCGTTTTTATTAATTGTTGGTTATTTCATTTTTGTACTGAAGGTAAATTCAAACAAAATCTGCCAACTTTTATGACAGAATCTAGTGCATTTCTTTTAAATTTTAGGTTATGTTTGCAAATTGTAAATATCTTAACTAACAGTGCTTTTGGATTTATTTACACAAATTAAATGTTTAAAGTTTAACCTGTGGACTGGTCCCAATTTCATCTGAGTAAACAGAGAAAAAAACTGATGAAAAAATTAATTTTGTGGTTATGGATTTCAAATTTCAAAGGTACTAAATTTTCTAATCATTGCTTAAGCTAATAGCTGGATCAGTAAATAAATACAGAAGGGTATTAGAGCTTTAAGGGCATACAACTTTCGTATTTATTGAGTTTTTATTTATTTTTTGCAAGAAACATTTTTAGTAACAATTTTTTACATCTGGCAACGCATAGCTACTTTGTTGGTTGGTATCTATGTACTCACAAAATACAGGTGTGCAGAGATAAACAAGTGTGTAACCAGTGGCGTATCACAAAAAATATAAAAAACTTCTAATGCATATTTTTTCTTTATCTTTGGAAAAATGCTTTTTAAAATATTTTTCCTTTATTCCTTATGTCAAAAGGTATTCAGTATTTTAATATATAACATTAATTACATAACACCCTGTAATTATTTCATTTGGAATGACTTCTATAGAATATCTCTCATACTTTTTATCGGCTATCTCCTCCCCGCACCCGTTCATCAACTGGTTTGGAGTCCACTTGATGGTAAGACCTGACGCCATCTGATGCAAACTCAAATACCCCGGTATGGATCGAGATACATCGGAATTCAACGGCATCACCAGCACATTATTTTTACCGAACAGTAAGGTAGCTCGCGAGTTTTGATGCAAAGATTCAACGTAATCCTTGGCCAAGCTTTGAGTGCTCGATCTACCTGCCATTGAATCCTCAGAGCTCGCGTTCAGAGGTTTTCTCACGACAGATTTCCTGACGGAAGGCGGTGTGGATGGACACCTGCAAATTCTGTGTATTTGGACCAGCTCGTCTGCTGGCGGGTCGGTCCAAAAATGGTCCTGACTTTTGGTCCTGGAATAGTCGAGGGCGCAAGGACCGACCAATAAGGAACTCAAAATGCTGCCGTAATCGGGATCCGCCACTAAAGCGTCGGAATTGTAATATTTATCAGCGTTCGAAACCAGATAATCGATTATTTTTGCCAGTTGTTTGTTGAATAGCGCCAACCTACAAGGACGTGTAGAAGATTTAGCATGTTTGTAAAATGACTGTTGTAGAGTGTTCATTTAGCTTTAATTTGGTGTAAAGATCATCAAAATCGGTGATAGAATAAGAAAGATACATGGTGATTTATAAAATTCGATTATGAAAACTTTGACTTTGGATATCTCTGGATCCAGTCATCGTGAAAACAAAACCGATACGTCATTTTGTAGCTAACATAACCCTTTACAACTTGCTATAATATTATCCGCCTCTAAGGCGTCATAAATATAGTATTTGTCAGCGTTTAAAACCAGATAATCGATTATTTTTGCCAGTTGTTTGTTGAATAGTGCCAACCTACAAGGACGTGTAGAAGATTTAGCATGTTCGTGAAATGATGGTTGTAGAGTGTTCATTTAGCTTTAATTTGGTGTAAAGATCATCAAAATCGGTGATAGAATAAAAAAGATACATGATGATTTATAAAATTAGGTTTCGAAAACTTTGACTTTGTATATCTCTGGATCCAGTCATCGTAAAAACAAAAACGATACGTCATTTTATAGCTAACGTAACCCTTAACAACTTGCTATAATATTATCTGCCACTAAGGCGTCGAAAATATAGTATTTGTCGGCGTTTGAAACCAAATAATCGATTATTTTTGCGAGTTGTTTATTGAATAATGCAAACCTACAAGGACGTGTAGAAGATTTAGCATGTTTGTAAAATGATTGTTGTAGAGTATTCATTAAGCTTTAATTTGGTGTAAAGATCATTAAAATCGGTGATAGAATAAGAAAGATACAAGGTGATTTATAAAATTCTGTTATGAAAACTTTGACTTTGGATATCTCTGGACCCAGTCATCGTAAAAACAAAAACGATACGTCATTTTGTAGCTAATTTAACCCTCTACAACTTAGTAAAATATTTTTTACTTACTACCAACACAACAAAAATTACAGTAAAAAAAACCATACCTTATCCATAAATATTTCGGAAAAACAGCGTTGCTTTGTAGTGATACATTCTTTTTTAAGGTGGGCTTAGTTAAGCTGTCACTGCTGCTCGATGAGCGTCTATTGGGGTCTAAATTTTCTATTTCTTGTACCTTTTTCGATATATTTGATGCTTCAGGGCTGTGCTTGGCTATTTTGTGTAGTAGAGCCGTCGTAGATGAGGTTTTGAATAGGCCAAGGGCTCTTCTGCGTAGACCTAGGGTTTTTTGTTGTTGTAGTGTTTTTATGTTAAGGAAGGTTTTGTACTTACCTTGAGACAAACATGCTTCAACTGCTCCACATAGAGATGTTACAGAACCTGATTCTTCATGAACAAATTTCCTGGTTACACTTTCTTCCATCACCTGCTTCACTTCTTTTTTGACAGCAGTTATTAGCTTGTTTTTGTATTCATCTTCTGGAAAATAAATTTGTTTTGTTTATTTTTATTGTAGATATAAGTGTTTATCTATCAAAACCCTGTATACATACCATTTTTTCCGGTCATTTTATTAACAATATTCATTTTAAATCACTTTAGTAAAACTTAACATTAAACAATTAGCTGAAATTATCATAACCGGATATTCGCAAATGATAATACATTTCCCATAATATTACGACATTGCCCACATTTTATTTTTCTTGATTTACCTTGAATTTCAGGAAATCGATTTATGAAAACACATCTGAAACGCGCATGTGCCAAATGGAAAGTGAAAATGTTATAGGTAGGTACAAAAATAAATAAATAAGTCCAAAATATAAAGTTTTTTACGGATTTTATTGTTTTTAATATACATTCAGTAAGTAGGTACCTAAATCTAGTAGCAAATAAAACTGTTAATATTTATTAATAATATAAAAAAATAACAATATAATTTTTAACTTTTTGGCTGCACCCTGTATATTATTGTTATGGTACGCCGCTGACCAATCGATATGGTCGACAAGAATGTAAATATTTGTACTTTATTAATGTTTGCCTGAAGTTTTATATGGAAATAGTATTTTAAAAGAAGAATTCTTCTCTATACGGGAGAAATATTTTTTTATTAATTAATAAAAATATGTTTTATGCTGAAATTTATACAATTATTGTTTATATTTTTAAAATATCTAATCTAATAGATGTTTTTATCAATAAATCAACTTTTCCATGGTTTAACGTATACTTTCACACGTAAAAATATATGCAATTTGAGTTGCCTACCTACATCCTTTAATTGAAACTTTCTTTTTACAATATTACATGACTTTTCCATTCTTTGACGAAAAACATAACTTTTTTTACAAGATAATAAAATAGGACAAATTCGTAAATCAAAAAAATGCCCATACACATTTGGAGAGGGTTGAATAAAAAACAAATTGTTAACTAAATGAAGAAATATTTATTAAAAATAATACATTTTAAATTTAAATAAACCTCATAGGATTTTTTTTAATGGCCACTATTTAAATGTTGTTTTAAATGAATTGTTATTGTAGTTTTATAATTACAAACTTGGCAACAGTGTATTTTCGAAGTTATTAAATTTTTGTGCGATTCGTTTAACAAATTCGAGTGTTTACTTAAAATATGGTTATCTAAACTTATCTTCCTGGAACAATGATGGTTACAGAATAAACATTTCAATTCTTTCATTACATTGTGGATTTTTAAATGACTTTTTAAATTACCTTTAAGAATAGTTCTATAGTGACAAATTTCACAGGTAAACCATTCGACATTTTTTATTTTTAAACACACCTTTATGTGGTTATTATAACTTGCCTTTTTTACAGTTTCATAACCACATTTCTCGCATGTGTGTATTTTACTTGTTATTTTAGTTTTATTTTCTAACCTATGTTTGCTTAATATATGGGAATTTAACGTATGCAACTGCAAAGCCATATATTCACAAAAGTTACATTTTAAATAGTTTTGTTTATCGTGACTTTTTAAATGTAAATTAAAACTACTTTTACATAAAGTTTCATAATCACAATTGTCACATTGAAATTTTTCCAGTATATCTTTTCTATGAACAAATTTTTTATGTTGGTATAAACTGTTCTTTAATCGATATTTCTTGGGACAAATGTCACAACTAAACTCATCTTTACCTCTTAAACATTCTCCAGCTTGTTTTTCCAGTATTTCTTTATTTACAACTTCACTGTCACTCCTACAAAATGTAGGAAAAATTCAAGGTTAATTCAACTGTCACTTATGCATGTTTCAACATGTCAACTGTCAAACAACTGTTGCCATGGTGATAATGCAATAAATGGAAACAATGCTCACCCTTGCCCAGAAAACTTCATTTCGTCTTCTTCATCTGTAGACGTTTTAAATTCTTCTTTCACATAGACTATTTCTTGTTTTACTTCCACCCCAGATGTCGAAGGCATTTCTTGGTCAGCAGAGGTACTCGGTATAACGTAATTCATCGAAATATCACCTTCTGAATCGTCTATTGGTTCTGTTTTAACAACCAATTGCTCCATGATGCAAGGAAAGTCTACCACTTATATTTACTAATCACAGAATGGCTGTAATAACTTTAAAATACTTTTTCAAGCTGTAAAAATTATTAGAAAACCTTTATAAACACCCAAACAACGAATTAATTACAGCGATAAACACTAAGGCGCCACCTGCATAGATTTAGGCGGGAATTTTAAATTTTGCGGAAAATTTACGAACAGGCCTTTTCTGTGTATTTATCTATACCACCAAAGAAGTAAAAACATTTACTTACTTTTTGTTATTTGGTACAGGTTTCAAAGCATAAATAAAACACAGTTATTATTATTAAATAAGTTTATTAGTTAATTTTAAAACATTGATTCTTCTATAAAATGATTTTTTAAATGTTTTTTAAGATTGACTGTTATTGTAGTTTTATAGTTACAATGATGGCAACAATGTATTTTAGAAGTAATGATAAACTCCTGGACAAAATTAACGCAACATCAAAAAATTTGCCAAAATTTTTATGCTATTTTTTGTTGAATTTATGATCCTATTTGAATGATTTTTTTTTGCATTGTAGGTTGGTTCCTTGACAATGTCATAATTTTCGCTGTTTATGATAAAAAGTTCATTTTCGATTTATACCGGGTGTAACAAAAATGTAATGTTTTTTTCCGAAAATTCGTATCACCCTGTGGAGTATACTAGCAACTGAAACATATAGCAGTTGATATTAGACGGTAGGTTCATCTTTCGCCAACATTTTCTTTTTTGGTTTACTTCATTATCTCTGTTATTAAAGGAGATACGCTGTTTTATAGCATAACATGTTTTTATAGACTTTATTATTCAAAACATTAATTGTTAAATGTTTTCAAGTAGGCTATGGAAAATTCGCCATACTTATAACAACTGTTCGAAAACTGCTTATTAAATGTTCGTTTCGTATTTTAATCTTGAAAAATTAATCGTCTAAAAAATTTTTCGACAGAAGAAGCAGTAAGAGACTTAACTTTGGTGGATGAGGGCTATTCGATGTAATGTTGCTTATGTGATAGGAAGACATCGTTCGACTATAAGTCGTATGGTTAAACGATTTAACGAGACAGGATCTTACTCTTTAAGGTCAGTACAAGGGCGAAAACGATGTACCGATCCAAGGGATGAGCGTTTTATTAGGCAAACTGCTCTAGAAACAGGAAGATTACTAGTACTAGGCTAAAAAGTGAGCTTAGAACTGCTCGCCGTAATACAATATCGTCTCGAACAATTATGAGCTTAGAACTGCTCGCCATAATACAATATCGTTTTGAACAATCATGATTGTGATCCTGCAGGAGACGTTTAAATGAGGCAGATTTAAGCAAGAGAAGACCTGCAAAGAAACAATTACTTACTAGAGAGCACAAAGTTTCAAGATTGTGTTTTGCCAGAAATTATCAACATTGGACTGTTAATGATTGGAAGAAGGTTTTATTTTCTGATGAAACGAGAGTTAGTCTTAATTCTCCTGATGGTGTGAACGTGTTTGGCGAAGGTCAGGAGAGAGATTTGCAAGTGGCAATATTTCTCCTAAAATCCCGTTTGGTGAAAGCTCTGTAATGTTTTGGGGAGGAATATGCTTCAACGGACGCAGTTCCTATACGTGTAAGATCAATTATTATCTAGAAAACATTGTAATTGAACATGTAATGCCATTTGTTCCTTTTTTGGGACCGAATAGTTTATTTATGCAGGATTATGCATTTATCAAAGCGAGCAGAAATTATACAATTATACAGATAACAAATAATCTAAACATCTCTTGAAATTTCAGAAAACGTCCATAGCCTACTTGAAAATATTTAACAATGATTGTTTTGAATAATAAAGTCTATAAAAACATGTTACGGTATAAAACGGCGTATCTCCTTTAATAACAGAGATAATGAAGTAAACCAAAAAAGAAAATGTTGGCGAAAGATGAACCTACCGTCTAATGTCAACTGCTATATGTTTCAGTTGCTAGTATACTCCACAGGGTGATACGAATTTTCGGAAAAAAACATTACATTTTTATTACACCCGGTATAAATCGAAAATGAACTTTTTATCATAAACAGCGAAAATTATGACATTGTCAAGGAACCAACCTACAATCCAAAAAAAAAATCATTCAAATCGGATCATAAATTCAACAAAAAAATAACATAAAAAATGTGGCAAATTTTTTGATGTTGCGTTAATTTTGTCCAGGAGTTTATTTCTGTTTTGTTCATTTAATAAATTTGAATGTTTGGCTAAAATATGGTTGTGTAAACTACATTTATTACCACATTGAAAAAAACAAAATAAACATTTAAATTCTTTAATTTTGTTGTGGATTTTTACGTGACCTATTAAATTAGATTTATTGATGGTTTTATAGTGACAAATGTCACATTCATATCGTATGACGTTTTTCAAATTCAAACATTTCCTTTTGTGTTTATTATAATGTTTTTTATGAACAGTGGAGTATGAGCATTCTGTGCACTGAATTTTACTTTTCTTTCCTTTGACACTCGTATCATATTGAACCCCATGATATTCCACCTCGATTTTCGATTCTTCCTTAATATCTTCACTATCCTCATCACTATTGTTGATTTTTGATCTAAAATCATTGATGGGTAAGTTTTGTAAGAAATAAGAAGGCTGTGTAGAAATTCAAGGTTAAAACTGTCACTGTTAGCATGTTTCAACATGTCAACTGTCAAACAACCATGGCAACAATGCTTACCCTTTGGCTTCGAATTTCATTTCCACTTCTTCATCTGTTGACATTTCAAATTCTTCTTTCACATACACTATAACCCTATCATCAATTTCTTCTGTAATTTCTTGTTTAATTGCTATTCCAGAGATTGAAGCCATTTCTTGCTCGGCAGAGGTACTTTGTTGATAGAAATCGTCGACTAATTCTTCAGGTTCTTTTTTAATGACTATTTGCTCCATAGTGTATGAAAACTTTACCACCCACTTATATTTAATCATAGAATAAAAACCATAGAAACCAAACAACGAATTAATGTAGTTTTATTTACCTTGACAGTGACACTGTCACAGTGTTGCCAATACAGGAAAATTCTATTCCACCAAAACCTTATATGGATTTTTATATTAGGTAAATTCGGTCTACATTGTAGACTCTATAATTGTCACAAAATGTATATTTTACGGCTTACGTCAAAATTACCTTTTTCCTTATTTGAGGTTAAATAAAAAACAGGTTTTTACTGAATAAGGAAATATTTATTAAACTTATTATATACAAATATATTCGTGGGTATAATAGGCGTATCAAGATTTACGAATAATGCAAAAAATAAAAATTTCCGAACATAACCAAATTCTTTGACAGCTGTTTTTATTGTCTTTCTTGTTTTAAACTATTAAGACAGTGAAATTTGTACATTTATCACGATTTTCAACCGATTTAAATACTTACAGTACTTATAGGTATATATATATATACTATATTATAATAATAATTATGAGCGTTGTCGAAAAATCGTCAAATATCTCGCTTTCTGTCAAGATTTTGACAAAATTCGTTACGATGTTTTTTGTAGATAATAAAATTCTCTATATTTTTTGTATAAACCATTTTTTTGTGAAATAAAATCGTTTAGGAATTCAATATTACATATTGTCATATCTTCGTTAATATAGATTTTACAAAAAAATTTTATAGGTAAAAAATAAGGGGATTTTAACTGTCTACAAAAAAGTTAATATGAGTTTTGTCGAAAAATTGTCAGAAATCGAAATATTTAACAAAAAGTAGTGCCGCGGCAGTCGTCTTTCAAAAAACGTCAAATATCTCGCTTCCTGTCAAAATTTCGTCCAAACTCATAGGGATGTTTTTTGTAGACAATAAAATTCTTTATATTTTTCAATTATAACTTTTTTTTTCGCAGTTCATCTGCCTGACTTTTTACGCTTGCGGTACTCTTTGCAACGTTGGGAATTCGTTTTAGCATATAAATCACCCGCTAGACCTAATTTTTTACGCTCGCGATACTCTTTGCAACGTTGCGAATTAGCTGTCGCATCCGCTTGCCTTAGTTTTTTGCGAGCTCGGTACTCTTTATTCCGCTGAGAAGCCGATTTGGGCTGTTTCGCCACACCACTTAAACTGAAACAGAAGTTAATGTCACTTGTTGCATGTTTCGACATGTCAACTGTCAAACAACCGTTGCCATGGTGATAGTGCAATAAATGGCAACAATGCTCACCCTAGGACAAAAAACCTATATTTGTCATTGGTGGATTTGTCGTTATCATCCATTTCTTTGATTTCTTGTTTCATTGCTATTCCAGACGTTTCTTGTTCAGCAAAGGAATCGTCAGGTTCCATTTTAACGACTATTTCCTCCATTGTGTTGCAAACTTCACTACAAAAAGCAAGAGAATTTTTTTTCGACACCGTAGCCACGCCTACTTTGCAAGAAATGGGCGTCAAATAATATACTATTTAACCTCATTGGTTATTATCAAGATGGCTCATTTTCAGTGTTGCCAATCTTAACGTTTGTTCAAGTTCATACATTTTTTAGGGGTTAAATAAAAAACAAATTGTAAACAGATTTACCTATTTATTATTAAAAATTTACACAAACTAAACTTTTTAAAACAATAGAGGTGAAATTTTAAATTAAATATTTTTGATGTTGATTTTCCATATGGTATTTAAAATTCCCCAATTTGGTGCTTTTATATTTACAGTGTTTGCAAGCATGCACTTTGGCAGTGATTAAATTTTTATTTGATTCATTCAACATTTCTGCATGTTTAGTTAAAATATGGTTGTCTAAATTTATTTTTTCATTACTTTTATGCTCACAAAACAAACACTGTAATTGTTTTATTTTGCTGTGAGTTTTTATATGCCTTGTTAAGGTACTTTTACGTATTGTTTTATAGGGGCAAATTTGACACTGAAACGATTCAAGGTTTTTTAATTTCAGACACACCTTAATGTGATTGTCATAGTCGTACTTTCTGACAGTCGAGTATAAACATTTGGCGCACTCGTAGATTTTGCAAGTCAATTTTATTTTATTCTCTTCTCGATGTTTGCTTAAGGTATGCGCATTTAAAGTCTTCAATTCCGCTGTTATATACGCACAAAAATGACACTTCAAATAATTTTTTTTATCATGATTTTTCATGTGCCTATTATAGCTACCTTTATGTACTGTCTCATAACCGCACTTTTCACAAGTCATTTTTGCCAGTTCATTTTTTTTATGAATATACTTCTTGTGCTGAATTAAATCTGGCTTTGTTTGGTATTTTTTGGAACAAAAGTCACAATCAAACAGTTTTTCTTTAATAACTCTCACCCTTGGGGTTAGACACTTAGTTTCGTGTTTTGAACAAATTTCTTTGTTGAAAAACTGAATAAAACAATGCTGGCACTCATAAAGACAATCATTCCCTTCAGAAAAGTCACTGTCACTACTTTTTTCCCTAATATTGCACGACAAATCTTCCCCTCCTTCTCCATCATCACTTTCTTGATCGATTTTAGATCTAAAACTATTCACACCAATCAAAAAAACAAAGAATAAAACACTTTATCCCGCAAAAACGCAAGAATAAAAATTTCAAGGTTAAAACTGTCACTTTTTGCATGTTTCAACATGTCAGCTGTCAAACAACTGTTGCCATGGCAACAATGCTTACCTTTTGTAAAGAAACATTTCGTCTTCTGCTTCAAATTTCAGATCGTTTTCATTATATGTATCTAACTCTTCTTTCACATAGACCATAAAGTTTTCCCCATCATCCAACTCTTCTTTGATTTCATGTTTTATTGCTACCCCAGAGGTTGAAGGCATTTCTAGGTCAGCAGAGGTACTTAGTTGAACGTAATTCATCGAAATATCTTCAGGTTCTTTTTTTACTATTTGTTGCTCCATTGCACATGTCAATGAATCGTTGTATTGGATCTAAAAGCTGTAAAAATCAATGTAAAACCTTCATAAACCCTCAAACGAATTTAAAGTTTATTATTTATACCTTTACGGTATAAAAAAACACAGTTTTTACTTAGAAAAATAAGAAATCTAGCCGTAGTGTATCAGTTTCTAGGGAATTATTGTACCCAATTGTACCAACATTCAAAATTGTTCAAAATGGGGGAAATACGTATTTTAAGTTTTAAAATTAATTAAATAAAACATTCATTCAAAATACTTAAATATAAACATTAAAATGTAAAACATTTAAATAAAATATTGGTAACTATTACAAACAAACAAATTATTTAAATTAATAATAAAAACAAATAAGTCGGTACAGCCAACTGTCAGGGAATTTTTAGGATAGCCAAAACCAAGGAAACATATCAGAACAATGCATTCAAAAACACATTTTTCAGGACCTTCGACTGTGTTAAGATTAAAAACAATACTTGATGATGTTTAAACCTCAAATCCACGAAGCTTTGAAACCGTTGAGTTTTTTAATCGGAAAATGGAAATCTATTAGTGCTAAGGGTGCATATCCCACGATAAACCCTTTTACATACTGCGAAGAAGTAACGTTTTCTTCGATTGGACAGCCCTTGTTGAACTACAATTCCATCGCATACAACCCCAACGGGCCCAAACCCATGCACTTGGAGTCAGGGTTTTTAAGGATAAAAGCTGCGGGCACCAATGAAGTGGCATTTATGGTGGCTCATAACTTTGGTTTGACTTCTCTGGAGGAAGGCACAGTTAAGGGTAATGAAATTTGCCTTAAAAGCGTCCAGATTGCAAGAATGACGTTTGCCAAAGATCCTGCAGTGATTGGTATTGAAAGGTGTTACTCGTTGATCGAAGAAGGCAAGTTGCAACTAATTTTGTCCATGGAGACTGAGAATATTGGGCTTACTGAACATTTGAGGGTTGTATACGAGAAAATTGATTAATTTTTTATAATTTACTGTATATATTTGTTAAATAAAATAATAATATGTTGATTTTTTTATTATTAAATAAAAGTATTTTTACATTTATGTGGGTACAAAATATTGAAATTTCCCATGGTAAAAAATTAATTACAGTATATAAGTATTTTATTTATGGAAATCCCAAAAAACTTTTTTAGCACTTTCAAATTGTGTCAAATTCGTGCTGCCAACTTAAGAAACTAAAATATGACAGTTTATACCTTAATTTTGCCATTATAACAACAAATTAACCATTTATATTATTCTTTATTTACTTTTTATGTTGTTTTTGGTTTTTAAAGGTCCCATAATTTGTTATAAAGTAATAATTTCTTAATTAAAATATAACGTTTTATTTTTACTACATTGGCACCGCTGAATTTGCTGTCATGGCCTACTATTTTGTATATTTGTTGCTAAAGATATTTAATTAACAATTTTGTGCAAGTTTTTTCGTGTAGTGACGTCTATGAATTAAAACAAGCTGTAATATGAGTTTATCTAGGTATATGTCAGTTGAACTTTCGTCTTATTTTCTAAAAATAATACAGTATTTATATTGTTTGTTCTAACTTAAACACACTATATTTATTTATTTTATTTATTGCTAAATTAGCCAAAATCCCTACATTTTAAAATAAAAAACTCAAACTAGAATTATAGTTCTTTATTGATAAAAAAAAAACAATATTACCTAAACATTTTACAAATTAAAAATATTCCTATTAAAATTTAAGTGGAATGAGCCCATATAGTTGTTAAAGTTATTTTTATACTTTATATTAGCCATAAAACAAACCAAAAATGTCAAAATTGTATTTTATAAGTCATGAAAAATATATGTAATAAAACAAAATCTATAGACAAATAAAGTTTTATTTTAATAAATGTATAATGAGCTTATTGAAGTCATGCAAGTGTTTTAAAATAAATGATTATTTTTTAGATGGGATTTAAAATTACTTATTTGAGCAGTTTTATAATTGCAGTACTGACAAGCATGTACTTTGGAAGTAATAATACTTCTATTAGAATCATTCAAACAATCTAAATGTTTACTTAAAACATGGTTGTCTAAACTTATTTTTTCGTTACTGTAATAGTTACAGAATGAACACTTCAAATCTTTTATTTTGCTGTGAGTTTTTGTGTGCCTTATTAAACTACCTTTAATAAAACTTCTATATGGGCAAAGATCACATTTATGCCATTTGACTTTTTTTAATTTTGGACATACCGCCATGTGAGTGTTATAAGTTGATTTATTAATGGTTGAAAATGAACACTTCTTGCATGTATGTATTTCACTTGATGTATTTACGCAATTTTCTTCTACATGATTTTGGTTGTCATGAATTTTCAAGTGCTCATACTTTTTATGTTTAAATAAATCTGCCCTTGTTTGGTATTTCTCAAGACAAATATCACATTTAAAAAACTTTTCCTTGTCAACTTTTGGCTTTAAACACAACTTTTCGTGTCTTAAATACAAGTCTCTGTTAAAAAATTGAATTGAACAATGAACACACTTGTAGACACAGTCAAAATTGTGTCCAATTTTATCATCTTCCCTAATTTTGCAAGAAAAATCTTCATCACCATCATTGGATCTAAAATTATGTTTAATAATTTTTAACTGTCACTTGTTGGGTGTTTCAACATGTCAACTGTCAAACAACTGTTGCCATGGTGATAATGACAAAGATTAAATGGCAACAATGCTCACCCTTTGTCAAGAAAAATTTCATCTTTGACTTGAAACTCAATTTCGACCTCTGTGGGTGTTTCCAATTCTTCTTTCACATATACTACGAAGCTGTCATCATCCAATTCTTCTTTGATTTCTTGTTTTATTGCTTTTCCAGAGGTTGAAGGTGTTTCTAGTTCAGCACTTGAAATATCACCTTTAGATTCGTCAACTGGTTCTATTTTAACGACAATTTCCTCCATAGTGTGGTATATAAAGTTTATCACACTACTACTTATATTAAATGATAATAATGTATTAAATCTAAAATACTTTGGCAACAAATAAAACACAAGAAATGGCTGTCAAAAGTCAAACGCCATGATTGGGCGGGAATTTTAAAATTACGAGGAAAATTTGCAAAAAACGCTATAGGATCGCACAAGACAATTAATATTATGTTTTGCTGCCGTAATAGACGTTATTAAAACTATATTTATACTGTATATTTGTTGATAAAGATGTTTAATTGATAAAAAATGTGTTTCGTGTATACAGTGACATCTATGAATTGAAAATTAAAGTCAAAATTGTAACCTCAATATTTGTTGATATTGATTTTTTTGTGTATTTCTCTAATATTGTTGTTATATTTTAGGTTTCAATACGACAAAAATATAAGTAAATTTGCCAGAAGACGTTCATTATTTTAGATATGAAAATGGAATTAGAATAAAAGTGATAATAATAAATTTTCACAACAGTTTTGCAATAAAACCCGATAAGACGGCAACACAGAATACAACAATGTCATAGATTAGATAAAGTAAGTGAACAATGTGTAGAAATTGCCGCAAAGAATGTTCTTTGAATTGCCGCCTCCATGGGGCGAGAATAGCAGATAGTTTTATTTTTTTAATATTTTTATTATATTGACAAAACAAGCATGTGGGTAAATAAAAATATTTAAAAATTAGCAATTTATTAACGTTTTTACATAAAATTAAATAACAAATACAATATTTTTAATGTTGATTTTTTAGATGGTTTCTAAAACAACTGGTGTGTGTAGTTTTATATTTGCAATGTTCACAAAAATGTATTTTAGATGTGATTATATTTCTGTTGGATTCGTTTAAGCAATCTGAATGTTTACTTAGAATATGGTTGTCTAAACTTTGTTTTTTATTACTTTGGAACTTGCAAAATAAACATTTTAGTTCTTTCACTTCATTATGAGTTTTTATATGGGGATTTAAATGACCTTTGTGAAGAGTTTTATAGGGGCAGAGGTGGCATTTATACCATTGAGCATTTTTTAATTTCAAACATACATTTAAGTGATTTTCATAATGTGATTCATTAAAAGTTGAGTAGGAACATTTTGTGCATGTGTGGGTATTAATTGCAGTTTTTATTTTATTTTTTCCCTCATTTTGCAACTTGTGTTTGCGTAAAACATGTGCATTTAAGTGCTGCAAATGAGGAGCCATATATTGACAAAAATGGCATTTTAAAAACATTTTCTTATCATGAATTTTTAAATGCCTTTTAAAGTCGTTTTTTCTTATAGTTACATAATAACATTTCGTGCATTTAAATTGTTCATGTTTGTCTTTTCCATGGGTATACTTTATATGATACAATAAACTCTTCATTGTTTCATATTTCTTAGGACAAATGTCACAACTAAACTTTTTTTTGCCACTTGTATCATCATATTTCATATCATCAAAGTTTTCTTCATCTTCTTCAGAAAAGTGGCCCTCCTTTATTTCTTCCTTAAAATTGCATGTGAAATCTTCATCACCATTGATTAAATATCTAAAATTATGGGTTGGCATGTCAGTGTACCACAAGGCAAAGTTAGGATGTATCTGCCAAAAAATAAATTGTTGTATTGCCCATAAAATTTTGAAAATTTAAATATTCGTTATTAAAATCAACATGCAGAGACAAAGCTGGTAAAAACAACAAAAAAGATTGATAAATAAAATTTATAATAAATAACAGTAGGCCGCGGCAGCAAATTCAGCAGTGCCAATATAGTAAAAATAAAACGCCGTTTTTTCATTAACGAATTAACACTTTATTACGAATTAAAGTATCATTAAAAACCAAAAAGAACATAAAAACTAAAAAAGTAACAATATAAAGTGTTTATTGTTGTTATAATAATAAAATCAAGGTTTAAAACTATCATATTTTGTGTTTCTTAAGTTGGCAGCACAAGATTTGAAATGACAATTTTAAAAAGTGCAAAGAAGTTGTTTATTTTGACTCAGGACCAATCCTCTCACAAGAGAGGGAAAAAGTAGAAGAAGAAGAAGTTGTTTATTGAGATTTCCATAAAAATATACTGTAATCATCAATAATCAACTCTAAAATTCTAAAAAAGACGTGAATCGAAAAATAATCGAATTGTTCTTGTTTTAACGCATAAATTACTTTAAATTTGACTTAACAAGCAAGCTGTGTCAACTGTCAAACAACCGTTGCCATGGTGATACCTAAATAACAACAATACTTACCCTTTGTAAATCAATGCTTCATCATTGAATTCTTCTTTTATTTCTTCTTTTATTGCTGTTTCAGAGGTTAAATGCATTTCTCGTTCAGCAGAGGTACTTGCTTTATCGTAATTCATCGAAATGTCACCTTCGGAAATGTCGAGTAGTTCTTCAGGTTCTTTTTTAACGACCATTTGATGCTCCATTAGTTGCCCTAATAGTTGTATAACTCTAAAATGCCTTTGCGAGCTGTAAAAAAACAAAAGGAAACATTTATAACACTTTAAACAACGAATTAAATGTTTGTTTACCTCTACAGTGTTTTTCTATTCGCACTGTTCGGTTGGCACTCTTTCGTGTTCAGAAGAAGAAGAATTATAACATAACCTCAAAATGTTAACGAAAGAAATACTGAACAAAAATAAGATATGTGTCAAAATAAGCGATAAAACGTACACGTACGGTGAATATTTATTGAAAAAACATGGAATTGAAAAGAATATAGTTGAAAATAACATTAATTACAAAGAATATTGTTTAGACGGAGTTTTTGTTCATTATTTAATTAAGGAGCTTTTTTTGAGCGATTTTTACAGAGTCAACTTTATATTATACAACTTAAAATGTGATAAATTTGTCGGAGGGGTGATATTTTTACTTATACCAACTAAATATGACCTTATAGATTATAATTGGTAAGTTAACCTCCAAAAGTTGTCATATCTCGCTTAGTATTGTTTAAACGTAAAAAATTTATTTAACTTTTTTGTAGAGAATTGAATGCTCTACAATTCTTAATTAACGCATTTTAGAAACAAATCAATAGCAAACGAGATACAAGCAAAAAACTGTTTTTAAGGTTATGATTTGTTATACGAAGATATCAATTGTTTTTCTTAGGAACTTTCGCGTTTCTCGCATGGTAAGAGAACAGTGCGAGTTGGAACATGCTTTATCTTGGCTGTCCACACTCGGTGGGGCTTTTTCGGCACTAGGAGATTATTATTCGAATTGTGCAGATATCGCTGGTAGAATATCTTCGCATCAGTTAAAATTGGCTTTTAAATTGGGCGATCCGAACATTGCCGCACGATGTAACTTGTATTACAGCCTCAGTTTGATACAACAGAGAAAATTTAGGGAAGCCAAAAAAATTGTTTTTAATATTTATGAAATGGCGAAAAATAGGGTTTTCCAGGATTATAGGTTACCAAAAATGTGCAAGGGGATATGGTCTAAGCTCCAGCACGAATATAGTTTGCATGTTAATAGCCAGTACAGAGAAAAAATTATAAATAAAGCTGTCAAATATTACAAATTTGTTTTATTTTAATTATAATATTCACACCTCAAACTTTTTTTATTTTTTATAGTATGGGTTTGTAGGAAATTTAATTCTGAGTAAAAAATATTCAATGATATTTTATTGATTTTGCATTGGTTCGTGAGATATTACAATTTTATGTACACTGGTATAAATTAATTAAATTACAGTGTACACTTTTCACTTTTTCACGGTGCTGCGAACAAATTCAAAATAAATTGCAAAATTCCTTCCAAACAAAGCCGTTTTCAACAAAATACTAAAAAGTAACTTTTGGTGTTTGTTAAAAACTCTACAAACATATGCCAATAAAAAGGAACTCAGTGTGTTTTTTGAGAAAGCCGGTAAATTTGGCAGTGTTGCGCGATTGACACACGACAACGTCGAACGTATTCAAGCAAATTTGTCAAGTTCCTACTAGTTGTAAATAAGCGAAAAATAAGGTGAAATGGAGGATAAAGAGGGAAGAGATGGTATGTTTTATCGAAATTTCACTTATATTTGCAATAATAACACCTGTCTTTCATTATTATATCGATTTGAAATAGTTTAAGAAAAAGTGGGGTTATAACTTTGACATTTTAAGGTTTACCAATATAATAATAATTAGTATTGATTGTTTTTCTTTGAATTTAGGGAAAAAAAGACCTCATGAAGAAGATCCTAAATCTTCTTCAAATGAAGATAATAAAAAACCAAAATTATTAAATTACTATCGACTGGCAACTGAGAGTTCCAATAATTCTGGTTCAGAGAGTGTTCATAGCATTCAAGATAGAGAAACTGGTGGGAATTACACAATTTAATTATTCAATAAATAAAAAAATTTTTTTTTTAGATATTGTTCAGGATACTTCGGACACTGAAACAGCTCCATCTAGCAGCCATAACGATGTGGGAATTGAGTACGATCTTGTTAGCTTACCGGAGGTACCACCCAGCCAAAGTTTTTCTTCCACTAATTCCGAGGGTAAAAATTTGGGCCTCACTTTAGCCCAACTTATGTTTAACACTACTATTGGGAAAAAAGGCCGCACAACAGTTTTTAACACTTGTTTGAAATGCAAATGTTGGAATAGCAACAACCTATACAGATATTGCTTCAGATGTTTCCAGGTATGTAAAAAACACCCTGTATATATTTTTTGACGTTTTTTTGGGGAGAGTCAATTAATTAATTTTTTTGGTAGGGTTTTAACTTATCTTTTTTGGAAATATGCGCAACTTTTGTTTTTTCGTGATATCTCGGCGTACGTTTGACGTACACCAAAAAATAATACGTCGATATGTCGGGCATTAAATTCTCCACAACTTCGGTCGAAACGATATTTTGCTCAAACAAATGAATAAAAAGTTATGGCGCCTTTAGTTTCCGTATGGTACGAAAAATTGTCTCTACTTTGGCGCGCTATAACTTTTAATGCATTTGTCGAAACGAAAAACTTGCGGGGAAAAAATCGTGGGGAATTTATCGACAAACAATACGTTTTTTTATTTTTCGTCGTAACTCAACTGAGTTCCGAGATATTAACAAAAAACTGCGCCGTGTTGTTTTTTGTGTTGCACTTTAAAAACAACCGAAATAAAAACAAAACTTGTGCGTACTTCCGCTAAATCGCCACTTCCCCTTCCACCGGACTATGCCAAGACGCAACAGCGCCCCCCATCGCCTACTCGGGGAACTACAGGTCTTAAATTGTTGATTTTTCGGTAAGATTCATTTTAATGTTTGTGTTGGGTCATACTCCATAGTTTTGCTATTAAATCGTTCTTAATTCTTGGCTTTTGGGGTCTCATTTATTCATCGACAAAAAAATTAAAAAATCGGTCAATAAAACAACGTTTTTTCACCCTAGGAGCGCAAAAGAAGCTTCCCTCCGAGGCCGAAAGGGTTTAAAAAGAGAAAAAACACAAATAACATCGAAAAAAAGGCAATTTTCCCCCCTCAGCGGACACTTCCGAAAGTCGACAGCAAACTATACTCGGATATCTCGGATGAACCGCTCAAAGACTCGGATACCACCGACAAACTATACTCGGATATCAACGACAATATGACAAACGACTCGGATATCCCGAACCGAAACTCGGATATTCGTCCCGAAAACTCGGATAACGACAATAAAGAACCGCAAAACTCGGAAATTGACTATAAACTCACCGAACAAGACCTCAAACTCCTGGAAACTGCGTACGAAATCTTGGAAAATAACTACCAAGTCTTTGAAGGGGACTTTCAAGTCCCGGATGCAAACAAATCTAACTCGGTTGGAGAGCGCAAAGTCTGGGGTATCCGGTTCAAAAACACGGACGAAGATTACAAGGTTTACGTGGCCGAAATGGCCGACGAAAACGCCAAAAACTCGGATGATCGCAACGAAAAGTTCACGCAGACTAAAAACTCGGATACCGACTCGAAATTCACGCAGACCGACTCGGATGTGGATCTGTGCATGTTTTGCCACAGCGCGCCGAAAAACGGCATTTTTTTGCACACCAATATGGCGCACATGTGCTGTTGCTACACGTGCGCCAAAAAAAACGCTCAGCCTGAAGAAAAGGTGCCCCATCTGCAACGGGGCTGTTTTTAAAGTAGTCAAACTATACACTTGTTAGTTTTTTTTGTTTTTGTTTGTTTTCATTTATTTATTATTATTTAAAGGAGAGAGAGAGATTTTTATTTTTATTTGTTGTCAACGATAAGACTTTTTAGTTTTTTAGGTTAATAAACTGTTATAATTCACACGTTTTTAATTTTTTCCCCCCAAAAACCTTATAAAAGTAAAAGACTCAGCGTGGCAGTAGTCACTTCCAATAAATTACCATAAACTTCAAAACATTGAGGTTATGTCTTATGTGACAGTTATTAATGTTTACATGTAAAAAAACCTGCAATATAGCGCCAAATTGTAAATAAAATCAGGTGAGTTAACGTTATTACAATAAAAATAAACCAAGTAATGCAAAATTGGTGGTTTTATATGCATAAATACACGAAAAATGGGTCAAATTAAAAGAGAAAGTTTGATTTAAGGTTAGGTAAATTAGATAGATTGTTATTATATTTAAAACAATGGAGGGTGAGATGGATACAGCCCTGGCCAGCTTAGATTTAAACGACGGTATGCAAAAAAAACGTTTGAGTGAAGAAGTGGAAGAAAAAACTTCACCCCGAAGGTCATCCAGGAAAAAAATTAAAGAATGTGATAACCGGAGGGTTATTATTAAACCGAAAAAGATTGATCGTCAGAAGGAGATAAAGAATTATTATTTAGACAAAAGGGTTTGTTTGAAAATTATATTTTTTTAATTAATATTGTAATACTATTATTTTTTAGGTTAAAAAAGGTTCGCCCTGCCTCGAAACTATTTTTGAAGAACCTCAGTTAGTCAAAGGGAAATCTATTACAATAAGTCATAAAAAGTTAAAAAGGTTATTAAATTTTAACACTACAAATCTAATGACCAAACAGAAAACCAAAAAAAGGCAAATGAAGTCGAAAAAAGAAGGGATTTTTAAACCAAGAAAAAAAATTTCAATGGATATCTTGATGGACAAGTTATCTTGTATTAAAGAAGAAGACTAATTTTTTATGTTATAAAAAATGTTTTGTTTCAAAATTCAATAAATCCACAGGTTTTATTGGTTTAATTAATTTAGTTATTTTAATTATAAAAAGAATTAAGTTTATTATTATTATTTTATCATTTAGATAGAACATAATAAATTATGCAATTTTTTTCAACATGTCTTTTTTTACCTTTTGATTGGAATCAATGTGCAAAAAAACTACAGAAAAAATATTCAGATGAAAAACATTTTACTTTGTTTAATTAAAAAAACAAAATAATTCAAAAATTTAACTTTTGCGTCTGTAGACAAAACTCCATCAACAATTTTCAAATATCACTAAATGTAAACATTTTTTCATGGAATAGTTTTTCTTAATGAACAAAAATATCACCACATTTCAACTGTGATCAAAATGCAATCACCAATTTATGATTATTTTTTTTCTCTAAATTGTTCAGTAACATTTCTTCAATAAATTGTTTTTGTTTGACAACAAAAACATTAAAACAGATGTTACATAAAATGTATATATAAAGGTATATACATTTTATATATACATATATTATAATACCAAAAAATTGTAACTTTGGTGATTTGTGTGGTTAAAAGTGGCGCGCCGCGGCTCGTGGGTGTATAGAAGGGTGAGGCTACATGAGGTTAATTTAGTCTAAATACGAATAAATTTCCACGTCACAAGACAACAAATAAGCTTTGTTTATACATACTTCCGCATAAAGAAGGTTTCGTAGATATTAGATCGGTGCGCCGATCGTCAGCGTGGTTTCTTTGTGCGAAATTTGATCCAATGAGAAATTTTATCTAATGTAAATTTTCTCCAGTGGAAAATTTTTCCAATGAAAATTTTATCCAGTGAAAATTTTATCTAATGAGAATTTTATCCAATGAGAATTTTATCCAGTGGAAATTTTATGTAATGGAAATTTTATCCAATGGAAATTTTATCCAGTGGAAATTTTATCCAGTGGAAATTTTAACTAATGGAAATTTTATCCAATGGGAATTTTATCCAGTGGAAATTTTATCCAATGGAAATTTTATCCAGTGGGAATTTTATCTGATGGAAATTTTATCCAATGGAAATTTTATCCAGTGGGAATTTTATCCAATGGGAATTTTATCCAGTGAAAATTTTATCCAATGAGAAATTTATCCAGTGGAAATTTTATCTAATGGAAATTTTATCCAGTGGAAATTTTCTCCGATGAGAATTTTATCTAATGGAATTTTTATTCAAATGTATATTTGAAAATATTGCTGAAATTTTTGGATTGTCTTTTCAGTTTCCTTTCTTTTAAAAAAAGGCGTTTCAATTTTTAAGAGAATAACGTCATGAGGGATTCATTTTTAACGTCATTTTTAAACATAAACAAACTTTTTTACCTTTTGGCAGGAAGCACCGAAATAAAACAACAAGTAAATAAACAACTATAGTATTTATATACAGAAAGAATATGTACAGATAAAAAAACATATAATTTAAAAAGACCTATGTCCAATTAATGGTTTAAAAAGCATGCCTTTCACTTTTTGATTCAATTTAATTCAAGAAACCTCTACACGTAGGTGCACCACAAAGACAAGGTATTTTGTCGTCTTCAAGGGGAAATTTGTAATCATAGGTGATTTCTTCGTTGACCCCAATCGTTTGTTTTGAGTAAATAACAATTTTCTTCTGGGACTCGATTGTTATCACCTTTGCATAACAGTTGGGCTGAAAAAAAATGTATTATGAAAAAATGCTGTAACTTTGTAAATGTTGATTTTAGAGAAAAATTTTATAAACGAAAAATGTGGAGAAAAATGGTCTCTACAAAAAATGTTATAACACTTTTAGTCGAAAATTGAACAGAAACAATTTATATCAATTTTTCGAAAAAAAAAATTATTATGAAAAATCCCATAACTTTGTAAATGTTGATTTTAGAGAAAAATTTTATAAACAAAAAATGTGGAGAAAAATGGTCTCTACAAAAAATGTTATAACACTTGTTGTCGAAAATTTGACAGAAACAAAGTTATATCAATTTTTCAACAAACTTTTCCTGTAAAACAAATATTACAGTAAAAATACTTACATTACAACTATGATTGATAAACCTGGCCAAATTCCCGCACTTGGTGGCATCAATAATATTTTCCAAGTCAATTCTAAACAGATACGAACTCCCTATACCGATTGCTTCGTATTTCGTCTCCCTCAAATCCGCTATACTGTGCCTAACCATTTGACCTAAAAACGCAAGTTAAATAGTTCAAATGCACAACCACACGGTCTCTTTTGAATCTTACCGACATACTCGATGACCATCTCGTCGGCAGCTATGGGTTCCATGGCGAACAGACCCCAGTCGTGGATGGCGGACTTGGCGAACTTCAACTGTTTTTTCCTAAACTTCAGCTGGTTGAATTTGAGCAGGTCCGAGTCGGTGTCGCTTCCGAAAGCCGTCAGCAGACGGCGCTGGTTGGAGCGGGCCTCCCTCGACAAACCTTGGGCGAGAAGGAAAAAATTAGTTCAAATGTCCCGACACGAAATTGGCTGTAACTTTTGACGTGGCGATCCGAATAAAAGGAAACTAGGTGTACTCTTAAAGAACACTTTCAAAATGGCCCGCCAGAAATTTCGTTAAAAAATTTTCAAAAATAACGAAGATATTTAATAAAATGGAACCCGCTAAAAAATTTGGTACAGTAAAAAAACAAAAAACAATACAACTTAAAAAATATTAATCCGAATAAAATGAAACTTGGTATACTCTTAAAAGACACTTTTAACTTGCTATACACAAAAATTCGTAACAAAAAAATTAAAAATGACAAAGATAGTTCAAATGTCCCAACACAAAATTGGCCGTAACTTTTGATGTGGCGATCCAAATGAAAGGGAACTTGGTGTACTCTTGAAGAACGCTTTTGGGATGACCCGCAAGAAAATTCGTTAAGAAATTTTCAAAAATAACAAAAATATTTAATAAAATGGAATCCGCCAAAAAAATTGGTATAGTAAAAACACAAAAAACAATACAACTTAAAAAATATTAATCCGAATTAAATGAAACTTGGTATACTCTTAAAAGACACTTATAACTTGCTACACACAAAAATTCGTAACAAAAAAATTAAAAATGACAAAGATAGTTCAAATGTCCCAACACAAAATTGGCCGTAACTTTTGACGTGGCGATCCAAATGAAAGGAAACTCGGTGTACTCTTGAAGAACGCTTTTAGGATGGCACGCAAAAAATTTCGTTAAAATTTTTTCAAAAATAACGAAGATATTTAATAAAATGGAACCCGCCAAAAAAATTGGTACAGTAAAACACACAAAAAACAATATAACTTAAAAAATATTAATCCGAATTAAATGAAACTTGCTATACTCTTAAAAAACACTTTTAACTTGCCACACACAAAAATTCGTAAGAAAAAAATTAAAAATGACAAAGATAGTTCAAATGTCCCAACACAAAATTGGCCGTAACTTTTGACGTGGCCATCCGAATGAAATAAAACTCGGTGTACTCATGAAAAACGCTTTTGGGATGGCCCGCAAGAAATTTAGTTAAAAATTTTTCAAAAATAACGAAGATATTTAATAAAATGGAACCCACTAAAAAATTTGGTACAGTAAAAACACAAAAAACAATATAACTTAAAAAATATTAATCCGAATAAAATGAAACTTGGTATACTCTTAAAAGACACTTTTAACTTGCTACACACAAAAATTCGTAAGAAAAAAATTAAAAATGACAAAGATAGTTTAAATGTCCAAACACAAAATTGGCCGTAACTTTTGACGTGGCAAGTCAAATGAAAGGAAACTCGGTGTACTCTTGAAGAACGCTTTTGGGATGGCCCGCAAAAAATTTCGTTAAAAATTTTTCAAAAATAACCAAGATATTTAATAAAATGGAACCCGCCAAAAAATTGTGTACAGTAAAAACACAAAAAACAATACAACTTAAAAAATATTCATCCGAATTGAATGAACCTTGGTATACTCTTAAAAAACACTTTTAACTTGCTACACACAAAAATTCGTAACAAAAAAATTAAAAATGACAAAGATAGTTCAAATGTCCCAACACAAAATAGACCGTAACTTTTGACGTGGCGATCCGAATAAAATGAAACTCGGTGTACTCTTGAAGAACGCTTTTGGGATGGCCCGCAAGAAATTTCGTTAAATTTTTTTCAAAAATAACAAAGATATTAAGTAAAATGGAATTCGCCAAAAAAATAATATAACTTAAAAAATATTAATCCGAGTGAAATGAAACTTGGTATACTCTTGAAGGTCACTTTTAACTTGCTTGACAAAAAATTTCGCGAAAAAAAAATTAAAAATGGCGAAGATATTCGGTAAAATGTGCATACCTTGCATCTTGGTAATGTGTGGTTGGTGTTCGCTTGGTGACGTTACGGCGTGATATTTCGCGTGGTGATACTTGTAACGCGCTTTTTCGTGCGGCGCTATTTTGTAGTAACCCTCAGTTCTCGCACAACCTAAAAAAAATAATAATTATTAATCAGGAAGTATGTTAAAAGCACGTAAGAAAGCGACGTACCTGTGACGTGTAATCTCTCGTCTTTTTTCCTCCTTTTGGGCGGTAAAGAGTACAAATCCGTGATGCAGTGGTCCACCCAGTGGGTGTCGTTGAGCCAGTAGCCCATGGTGTCGTTGGCCAGCATGTCTTCGTAGGATTTTTTCATGTACTCGATGTCTTCCGAGTCGATTCCCTTGGTGAGAAACTCGTACAGAATGGAAAACTCCGACAGGGAATCGCGAACCTTGTGGAACACGTTGCTGTGGGCGTTGTAGGCGGGCGCCGGTTTGGGCGGCAGGGCTTCGAACTGGTCCATGTACAGGTTCTGCAGTTCCTTGAACTTCCTGTGCTCTTTGTCCTTGGGTTTGCGCGGTTTCTGCACCTTGGCAGGTTTCTCTTTCTTCACCTCTTCCTCTTTCACCGTCGTGTAACCGTGATCGTGCACGAGATCGTTCTGCATCGCTTCCGTGGCGTTTTCCGCAGCGATTTCGTTCTCTTTTTCCGGCATAACCATGCAGTACGAGTGCTCCATCGTAACCTAAAATGTTTCAGTTGCAATTTGTTCATATCGTTGTTGTTAAGTTAGTTATACGCGTTTCAACTTGAATGTCATCTGTGGGAAAAACTCGATCACCAATTGGTGATTTTCTTTCGCCAAATTGTTAAGTAAACGTTTCTTCACAAAATACTTTTAGTTCGATTGAAAAATCTTCTAAATTAAGAGAGATATTTAATGAAACGTAATACGAAGAAAAATTGTAACTTTGATATCATCTGTAGGCGAAACTCGATCACCAATTTATGATTTTCTTTCACCAAATTATTAATCAAACATTTATTTGCAAAATACTTGCAGTTCGACCAAAAAGCCTTCTAAATTAAGAAATATATCATATTTAAAAATATATTTAATAAAATGGAATTAAAAAAAATTCTAACTTTGGTGTCATCTGTAGGCGAAACGCGATCACCAATTTATGATTTTCTTTCACCAAATTATTAATCAAACATTTCTTCGCAAAATACTTGCAGTTCGACCAAAAAGTCTTCTAAATTAAGAAAGATATCATTATATCTAAAAATATATTTAATAAAAAGTAATTTAAAAAAAATTGTAACTTTTGTGTCATCTGTAGGCGAAACGCAATCACCAATTTATGATTTTTTTTCACCAAATTATTAATCAAACATTTCTTCGCAAAATACTTGCAGTTCGACCAAAAAAGATTCTAAATTAAGAAAGATATCATCATATTTAAAAATATATTTAATAAAACGGAATTTTTAAAAAATTCTAACTTTGATGTCATCTGTAGGCGAAACGCGATCACCAATTTGTGATTTTCTTTCACCAAATTATTAATCAAACATTTCTTCGCAAAATACTTGCAGTTCGATCAAAAAGTCTTCTAAATTAAGAAAGATATCATCATATTTAAAAATATATTTAATAAAATGGAATTTTAAAAAAATTCCAACTTTAATGTCATCTGTAAGCGGAACGCGATCACCAATTTATGATTTTCTTTCACCAAATTATTAATCAAACATTTCTTTGAAAAATACTTGCAGTTCGACCAAAAAGTCTTCTAAATTAAGAAAGATATCATCAAATTTAAAAATATATTTAATAAAATGGAATTTAAAATTTTTTTTAACTTTAATGTCATCTGTAAGCGAAACGCGATCACCAATTTATGATTTTCTTTCACCAAATTATTAATCAAACATTTCTTCGCAAAATACTTGCAGTTCGACCAAAAAGTCTTCTAAATTAAGAAATATATCATCAAATTTAAAAATATATTTCATAAAATGGAATTTAAAAAAATTCCAACTTTGATGTCATCTGTAGGCGAAACGAGATCACCAATTTATGATTTTCTTTTACGAAATCAATAATCAAACATCTCTTCGCAAAATACTTGCAGTTCGACCAAAAAGTCTTCTAAATTAAAAAAGATATCATCATATTTAAAAATATATTTAATAAAATGGAATTTTAAAAAAATTCCAACTTTAATGTCATCTGTAAGCGGAACGCGATGACCAATTTATGATTTTCTTTCACCAAATTATTAATCAAACATTTCTTCGCAAAATACTTGCAGTTCGACCAAAAAGTCTTCTAAATTAAAAAAGATATCATATTTAAAAATATATTTAATAAAATGGAATTTCACCTTAATGTAATCTGTAGACGAAACGCGATCACCAATTTATGATTTTCTTTCACCAAATTATTAATCAAACATTTCTTCGCAAAATACTTGCAGTTCGACCAAAAAATCTTCTAAATTAAGAAAGATATCGTCATATTTAAAAATATATTTAATAAAATGTAATTTTAAAAAAATTTCAACTTTTATGTCATCTGTAGGCGAAACGCGATCACCAATTTATGATTTTCTTTCACCAAATCAATAATCAAACATTTCTTCGCAAAATACTTGCAGTTCGACCAAAAACCTTCCAAATTAAAAAAGATATCGTGATTTTAATTACCTGACTGCTGGGGCTGCTCTCCCCTGTCGAAGACTCCGACAACCTCGGTATCTTCCCGTTGAAATCGTCGACCGTGGTCTTCTTCTTCTGCATCCTGGCCTCCAAGGTCTCCTCATCCGAATCGCTGTGACGACGACTCTCGACCTTTTTCTCCTTCTTGTGCTTCTTCTCCTTCTTCTTGGGCGGATCGGGATTTCGCACCTCCTTGAGTATCTCGTCGCGCTTGGCCTCCAACTCCTCCAGACTCGTGTCCAACCCGCGCAGCTCCTCGCTCTCCGACCAATCGGCGGCTTTCGCGCGAATTTCCGGCGTAATCGGTCTGAGCTGAGCCACTTCTTTTGTCGATGTCGTAGATTTCGGTTCGCCTTTAATTGATAAAAAGTCGCATAAGTTTTTACTGCGTCGAGCGAAAAATATGCGGTGAATTGCAAAATGTAGCCTGATGTTTCTATATTAAGTAAATGTTTACATATTTATTGTATCTTTACTGGTTTGAAAGATATATAACAAAATATATACCGATGTCATTGCACGATGTTGTGACTTGAATTGAATCTGTAGGAAAAACGCGATCACCAATTGGTGATTTTTTTTTTACTCAATTATTAAGTAAACATTTCTTCACAAAATACTTTTTGTTCGACCAAAAAATCTTCTAAATTAAGGAAGATATTTAATGAAATGTAATAATCACTAAAACTCGATTTTCTTTCACCAAATTATCAAGCAAACATTTCTTCGCAAAATATTTTTTGTTTGACCAAACAATCTTCCAAATCAAGAAAGATAAAATGTAATTAAACAAAGTTGTAACTTTTGTATCACCAATTTATATTTTTTTTTCACCCAATTATTAAGTTAACATTTCTTCACAAAATACTTTTTGTTGGACCAAAGAATCTTCTAAATTAAGGAAGATATTCAATGAAACGTAATACGAAAAAAAGTTGTCACTTTGGTGTCATCTGTAGGTAAAACGCGATCACCAATGTTCGATTTTCTTTCACCAAATTATCAAGCAAACATTTCTTCAAAAAATACTTTTTGTTCGACTAAAAATCTTTTAAATTAAGAAAGATATTTAATGAAATGTGAAATGAATCGTCCAAATTAAGAATGATAAAATGTAATTAAAAAAGTGGCAACTTTGGTACCACCAATTTATAATTTTTTTCACCCAATTATTAAGTAAACATTTCTTCACAAAATACTTTTGTTCGACCAAAAAATCTTCTAAATTAAGGAAGATATTTAATGAAATGTAATAATCACCAAAATTCGATTTTCTTTCACCAAATTATCAAGCAAACATTTCTTCGCAAAATATTTTTTGTTTGACCAAACAATCTTCCAAATCAAGAAAGATAAAATGTAATTAAACAAAGTTGTAACTTTGGTATCACCAATTTATATATTTTTTTCACCCAATCATTAAATTAACATTTCTTCACAAAATACTTTTTGTTGGACCAAAGAATCTTCTAAATTAAGGAAGATATTTAAAGAAACGTAATACGAAAAAAAGTTGTCACTTTGGTGTCAACTGTAGGCGAAACGCGATCACCAATGTTCGATTTTCTTTCACCAAATTATCAAGCAAACATTTCTTCAAAAAATACTTTTTGTTCGACTAAAAATCTTTTAAATTAAGAAAGATATTTAATGAAATGTGAAATGAATCGTCCAAATTAAGAATGATAAAATGTAATTAAAAAAGTGGCAACTTTGGTATCACCAATTTATAATTTTTTTCACAAAATTATGAAGCAAACATTTCTTTGCAAAATAATTTTTGTTCGACCATAAAATCTTCTAAATTAAGGAAGATATTCAATGAAACGTAATAGGAAGAAAAAGTTGTCACTTTGGTGTCATCTGTAGGAGAAATGTGATCACCAATGTTCGATTTTCTTTCACCAAATTATCAGGCAAATATTTCTTCACAAAATGTGTTTTGTTCGACCAAAAAGTCTTCTAAATTAATAAAGATATCATCATTTTAAATAAAATTTAATAAGAGAAGTTTGTAGATCTGTAACTTTTTTAATTTGGAAGTAAAATTAAAGGGAAATATGGCAAAATAAAGCCCATTTAATATACTTTCCAAAAATATAAACCATCTAATCAAAATTTGAACATTTTTAAAGATACACTTTAAAATGTCATGGGGCGCAAATCTTACCTATAAGTTTCTGCCTTTCCTTTTGTTCCCGTTCTATTTGCTCCATCCATTCGGTGTTTTTCCTTCGCCTTTCCAGATTTTCCAGGTATTCCCTTTCACCGTCGGACATATCCGAATCACTGTCGAATATTTTCGAATACTTACTGTCACTAGGAGCTACTGGCGTGGAACTAACCGACGAGGAAGATTTGGGTTGTTCTTGAACGACCGGTATATCATCCTGACTATCAGTGTCCACCTAATTAAAGATTAAATTAGATGAAGAAAACACCCTGTGTATAAAAATTGTACCTGCATCGGTTCGGGGGTTTTGTTTCTGGCTTCGATGCCATCATCAATGCTGACCCTCCGTATCGGAGAAAGAAGCGGTTCCGCTGCTGCAACTTCCGGCGATTTAACGACTTCCGGTTTGGGCGGAAGCTCCGTTTTCTCCGGGGTTTTGCTTCTGTTCATCACTTTCACTTCCGTATCCGATTCCGTAGAGCTGTCGTCGGAACTGGAGTCTTCCGAATCGGAGCTCGAAGAAGAAGAAGACGAGGAACTTATGGAACTCGTCGAAGGTTTTCTGAATTTCCTCGGTTGCTTGCTCTTCGAGTCCGAATCGGAATCGTGCACGATTTCCTCGTTGTCAGAGAGTTTTCTGTCTTCGACGTCCTCCGGAATTGGCGAGGGTATTTTCTTTTTCCTGAAGCTGCGCATTTTCGGCAAGCTAGCTCTCAACCCTAATCCGCCCATGTTCGAGTTGTAATTCAGGTTGCTGTAAAGTTGCTCCCTGTGATTCTCCAGCAACACGTTTATGTTATCCTTGGATTCCGAAGGTTTTTCCACCACTTCCACGGGAGTTTCTTCTTTTTTGTTCAGTTGCAGCGACTGTTCTTCCCACCTACGTAAAAATAGTGAAGATCTCAAAAATAGAATAAATTCGATCACCAATTTGTGATTTTCTTTCACCAAATTATTAATCAAACGTTTCTTCACAAACTACCTTTTATTTGACACAAAAATCTTCTGCATTAAGAAAGATATCATCACAAATAGAGCATATCTCAATTGATGCTTTAAGAGAATATTTACAATAAATGTCCTGTTCTATAACGACAAATTAGGTTTTACGATGTTGTTAACTTTGGTGCCATCTGTAGGAAAAAAGCGATCACCAATTTGTGATTTTCTTTCACCAAATTATTAATTTAACATTTTTTCACAAAATACTTTTTATTTGAAACAAAAATCTTCTAAATTAAGAAAGATATCATCATAAATGGTACATATCTCAAAAACAACCAACTAAATTGATGATTTAAGAACATTTTCACAAAATTTGGTTGTAGTACAAGCTGTACTTTGTCCAGTGAATAAACGACATTAACTGTGGAAAAATGACTTTACCAAAATTTGATTTTCTTTCACCAAATTGTAAAGTAAACATTTCTTCACAAAATATTTTTTATTCGACCCAAAAATCTTCTAAATTAAGAAATATATCATCATAAATGGTACATATCTCAAAAACTACCAATGTAAATTGACGAGATTTTAACACAACCTAAATTGATGCTTTAAGAACATTTCCACTAAATTTGGTTGTAGTGTAAGCTATACGTTGTCCAGTGGAGCACGTTGTATAAACGACATTAACTTTGGAAAAATGCCATCACCAAAATTTGATTTCCTTTCACCAAATTGTAAAGTAAACATTTCTTCACAAAATATTTTTTATTCGACCCAAAAATCTTCTAAACTAAGAAAGATATCATCATAAATGGTACATATCTCAAAAACTACCCCAAGTAAATTGACGAGATTTTAACACAACCTAAATTGATGCTTTAAGAAAATTTCCACTAAATTTGGTTGTAGTGCAAGCTGTACTTTGTCCAGTGGAGCACGTTGTATAAACGACATTAACTATGGAAAAATGAGATCACCAAAATTGCATTTTCTTTCACCAAATTGTGAAGTAAACATTTATTCACAAAATATTTGTTATTCGACCCAAAAATCTTCTAAACTAAGAAAATATCATCATAAATGGTACATATCTCAAAAACTACCCCAAGTAAATTGACGAGATTTTAACACAACCTAAATTGATGCTTCAAGAACATTTCTACTAAATTTGGTTGTAGTGCAAGCTGTACTTTGTCCAGTGGAGCACGTTGTATAAACGACATTAACTATGGAAAAATGAGATCACCAAAATTGCATTTTCTTTCGCCAAATTGTGAAGTAAACATTTCTTCACAAAATATTTTTTATTGGACCCAAAAATCTTCTAAATTAGGAAAGATATCATCATTTAACTCAACCTGTAAAAAACGTTTACACTTCCACTTACCATGTTTCAAACTTCTTGAAGGCCGTATTCTCGATCATCTTCTTGTTGAAGTCCTTCTTCAGAATGGCCTTCAATTCCACGGTGATCTTTTGCACCACGGAATTGGCCGTAGAAAAATGCGGATCGTCTTTTCCCCCCTCTGATTTTCTGGGCGCGTACTGCGGCATCGCGTACGTGGGAGGCGGTTGCAGCTGCGCGAACGCAGCTGGATACTGAGCTGCGGGCGCAGCCGGCAGATACATGGTCTGAACGTAAGAGGGGTAAGCGTGCCTCCATTGCGAAGAGTAGGAGTAGAAGGAAGGCTGGGGGTAACCGGGGTAGGGGTAGGGGTACGCCCCCGGTGTGGGGGGCAGAGGAGGGGCTTGCGATGACGAGGGGGCGGGAGGTTGAGGGGGAAGAGGGGGGTTCTCCTGCTGATTCTCCTCGATTTTATGCTCGGTACTGCTCAGCGATGAGAGGCTCATTTGGTCGTCGTCCTACATAAAGTTCAATAACTCTTTACTGAACGTAGCTATAAATACGGGGTAAGTTGCAAAACGTACCCCAATGTTTATAGTTTAATTTGGCGTAAAAATATTTTTGATATTTTTATTGGTTTATAAGATATACAACAAAATACACGTCAGTGTCGAACGTTTTTGACGTTAAAGTTTGTAAGCCTATATCTTTTTTATTTTTAGTGCAAAATTAATAAATAATGTGTCAAATTAAAGCCTATTAAACCCTCTTTCCAAAAATATATATTTAAGAGAAAATTTTATCTAAATATCCAGTTCAGCACGACATATTACGTTTTATGATGTTGTTAACTTTGGTGTCATCTGTAGGAAAAATTCGATCACCAATTTATGATTTTCTTTCACCAAACTATTAATCAAACATTTCTTCACAAAATAATTTTATTTGACACAAAAATCTTCTAAATTACGAAAGATATCATCATAAATCAAAAACTACAAATGTAAATGTAAAAGTGTCGAACGTTTTTGACGTTAAAGTTTATAAGCCTATATCTTTTTTATTTTTAGTGAAAAATTAATAAATAATATGTCAAATTAAAGCCTATTAAACCCTCTTTCCAAAAATATATATTTAAGAGAAAATTTTAGCTAAACGTCCAGTTCAGCACGACATATTACGTTTTATGATGTTGTTAACTTTGGTGTCATCTGTAGGAAAAATTCGATCACCAATTTATGATTTTCTTTCACCAAATTATTAATAAAACATTTCTTCACAAAATAATTTTATTCGACACAAAAATCTTCTAAATTACGAAAGATATCATCATAAATCAAAAACTACAAATGTAAATGTAAAAGTGTTTTGACGTTAAAGTTTATAAGCCTATATCTTTTTTATTTTTAGTGAAAAATTAATAAATAAAATGTCAAATTAAAGCTTATTAAACCCCTTTATAAAAATATATATTTAAGAGAAAATTTTATCTAAATATCCAGTTCAGCACGACATATTACGTTTTATGATGTTGTTAACTTTGGTGTCATCTGTAGGAAAAATTCGATCACCAATTTATGATTTTCTTTCACCAAATTATTAATCAAACATTTCTTCACAAAATAATTTTATTTGACACAAAAATCTTCTAAATTACGAAAGATATCATAAATCAAAAACTACAAATGTAAATGTAAAAGTGTCGAACGTTTTTGACGTTTATAAGCCTATATCTTTTTTACTTTTAGTGCAAAATTAATAAATAATATGTCAAATTAAAGCCTATTAAACCCTCTCCAACAATATATATTTAAGAGAAAATTTTAGCTAAATGTCCAGTTCAGCACGACATATTACGTTTTATGATGTTGTTAACTTTGGTGTCATCTGTAGGAAAAATTCGATCACCAATTTATGATTTTCTTTCACCAAATTAATAAACAAAGATTTCTTCACAAAATAATTTTATTTGACACAAAAATCTTCTAAATTACGAAAGATATCATCATAAATCAAAAACTACAAATGTTAATGTAAAAGTGTCGAACGTTTTTGACGTTAAAGTTTATAAGCCTATATCTTTTTTATTTTTAGTGCAAAATTAATAAATAATATGTCAAATTAAAGCCCATTTAACCCTCTTTCCAAAAAATATAACACCACCTACCTTATCAGTCTTAATTTCGTTTTTAAAGTCCATTCTTTCAATGGGACTATAATTATTCTCTATTCTTTCTCCAGTCAACAATTCGTCTTCACTTGAAGAAATATCGCTGCCCAAATTATTAAATTCTTCAATCTTAACCTTTTTTAGTAACGCCGTCGTCTCCAAAGCTTCTTTTTGTCGCGCGACGACGGCCTAAGTGCCAAAAAACATTTTAAAAAAAAACCGTTATTTTATGACGATTTTTTTTATTACGAACCTGCTCCAGCGCTAGCCTGTGGCAGTCCAGGTAAACGTCCAGGGATAAAAATGGCGAGGGGGGCACCGAGAGGGGGCTGCTTTCCTCGTCTCTGGCCACCTCGTCGTCCTGATCCGGGGCCGGCGGATTTATCGGCATATCGCTCAACGATACGCTCGAACGATCTAAAAATTGTAGTTTTTTGTGTTCATTCTCGACGCCCCGTATGTTGGTTAAACAATGCATATTATATGTCAAATTGAAGGTAATTTAGTGTAGTTTATGAATTTTATTGGGTTTTCAAAATGACTTCAATGGTTTTGGAGATAATCAACAAAATATGAGATAAGTGCTTTTTTAGTTTAGTTAAACTTTAACACCCTGTATATTGGTTAAACAATATATATTATATGTCAAATTAAAGATAATTTAGTGTAGTTTATGAATTTTATTGGGTTTTCAAAATTACTTTAATAGTTTTGTAGATATTCAAAGAAATATGATATGAGTGTTTTTTTGTTCTAGTTAAACTTTAACACCCTGTATATTGGTTAAACAATGTATATTATATGTCAAATTAAAGGTAATTTAGAGTAGTTTATAAATTTTGTTGGGTGTTTAAAATTACTTTTATGGTTTTGTAGATATTCAAAGAAATATGAAATTAGTGTTTTTTTTTCATGTTAAACTTGAACACCCTGTATCTGGCTTGAATTTCGGGCGATTTTAAAAAACCCTGAATTATTTTAACCCCCCGTTGTTCTGCTATCAAAAAACACCGAAAACACAAAAATCCCCCCAGCGTCTCCAAAGATATCCCCTTAAAACCAAAGTACTCACCGTCGTCGTCGCTGTCTATGGAAGTGGGCAGAGTTAGGGGTGGGGGTAGCGCATTCTCCAACGCTGCCCCTCCTTTGTCGTCGTCCGAATCCCCTCCCAGGGTCAAAAAGGGCGGCGCCATCCCCCCCGCCCCCCTGTCCTTGAGCAACAAGGCGATTCTGGTGTCCAAATCCAGCGGTTTGTTATCTTCTTCGATTTGAGGAGGTAAAGGGGGCTTTTCCTTGTCTTTGTCGCGGTCCTTTTTGCTTTTACCCCCGTTGCTGTTGCCGATACTCTTTTTTCTTTCCCTGTCCCCCCTCCGCTCCCGCTCCTTGGAGTGCCCCGTTTCCGCCGCGGCGTCCCATTTGGGAGGGGGGGCCAGACCAGCTGGCAGCGCGCCCCTCCCCTCCGCCCAGCTGGGCTCCGGAGCCCACTGGTGCGGAGTGGGGGGCATGGGCCACACCGGGGGCGGGGCCAGCGGGTGGTGGTAAGCCCCGGCGTAGTTCATCGTCAAGGGATGAGCCAGAGCGTAGTCGTAACTGAAAGGAAAGTTCGGAGCGCTGTAACTTTTTTATCTTCAGCGAAACAAAGTTTAACTTGTAGCCCCATCTATCTACTACAAGAAAATGTCAACATATTCGCCGTATCTTTATTAGTTTCAAAGATATTAATAGATTAATACTTCAATGACGCAGTAAAAAAACAGTTGACTTCAAACGTTAATAACTTTGTTAATATTAAACCAAAATTAAAAAATAATACATCAAAATGGACCTCCATGTATCTTATATAAGAAAATGTCAACATATTCGCCGCATTTTTATTAGTTTCAAAGATATTAATAGGTTAATACTTCAATGACGCAGTAAAAAAACAGTTGACTTCAAACGTTAATAACTTTGTTAATATTAAACCAAAATTAAAAAATAATACATCAAAATGGAGCTCAATGTATCTTATATAAGAAAATGTCAACATATTTACCGCATATTTATAAGTTTTAAAGATATTAATAGATTAATACTTCAATGCCGCAATATAAAAACAGTTGACTTCAAACGTTAATAACTTTGTTAATATTAATCCAAAATTAAAAAATAATACATCAAAATGGAGCTCAATGTATCTTATATAAGAAAATGTCAACACATTTGCCGCATCTTTATTACTTTCAAAGATATTAATAGAATAATACTTCAATGCCGCAGTAAAAAAACAGTTGACTTCAAACGTTAATAACTTTGTTAATATTAAACCAAAATTAAAAAATAATACATCCAAATGGAGCTCAATGTATCTTATATAAGAAAATGTTAACATATTTGCCGCATCTTTATTACTTTCAAAGATATTAATAGGTTAATACTTCAATGCCGCAATATAAAAACAGTTGACTTCAAACGTTAATAACTTTGTTAATATTAAACCAAAATTAAAAAATAATACATCAAAATGGAGCTCAATGTACCTTATATAAGAAAATGTCAACATATTTGCCGCATCTTTATTAGTTTCAAAGATATTAATAGGTTAATACTTCAATGACGCAATATAAAAACAGTTGACTTCAAACGTTAATAACTTTGTTAATATTAAACCAAAATTAAAAAATAATACATCAAAATGGAGCTCAATGTATCTTACATAAGAAAATGTCAACATATTTGCCGCATCTTTATTAGTTTTAAAGATATTAATAAGTTAATACTTCAATGCCGCAGTATAAAAACAGTAGACTTCAAACGTTAATAACTTTGTTAATATTAAACCAAAATTAAAAAATAATACATCAAAATTTAGCTCAATGTATCTTATATAAGAAAATGTCAACATATTTGCCGCATCTTTATTAGTTTCAAAGATATTAATGGATTAATACTTCAATGACACAGTAAAAAAACAGTTGACTTCAAACGTTAATAACTTTGTTAATATTAAACCAAAATTAAAAAATAATACATCAAAATGGAGCTTAATGTATCTTATATAAGAAAATGTCAACATATTCGCCGCATCTTTATTAGTTTCCAAGATATTAATAGATTTATACTTCAATGACACAGTAAAAAAACAGTTGACTTCAAACGTTAATAACTTTGTTAATATTAAACCAAAATTAAAAAATAATACATCAAAATGGAGCTCAATGTATCTTATATAAGAAAATGTCAACATATTTGCCGCATTTTTATTAATTTCAAAGATATTAATAGATTAATACTTCAATGTCACAGTATAAAAACAGCTGACTTCAAACGTTAATAACTTTGTACATATTAAACCAAAATTAAAAAATAATACATCAAAATGGAGCTCAATGTATCTTATATAAGAAAATGTCAACACATTTGCCGCATCTTTATTAGTTTCAAAGATATTAATAGATTAATACTTCAATGCCGCAGTAAAAAAACAGTCGTCTTCAAACGTTAATAACTTTGTTAATATTAAACCAAAATTAAAAAATAATACATCAAAATGGAGCTCAATGTATCTTATATAAGAAAATGTCAACACATTTGCCGCATCTTTATTAGTTTCAAAGATATTAATAGGTTAATACTTCAATGCCGCAATATAAAAACAGTTGACTTCAAACGTTAATAACTTTGTTAATATTAAACCAAAATTAAAAAATAATACATCAAAATGGAGCTCAATTAATACACTTTTAAAACACCACAAAAAAATCCGCGGAAAACCCTCGAGATTAACGAAAAATGCAACTTACGCTAAAGGTGTAGTTCCTGCGGATCCATACCCAGAAAACTCACTGGGGGCTGTTCCGTAGCCAATATCCGACGAACTGGGCGTGGGGTATTCAGTTCTGCCACCACTATAACGATTATACCTGCGAAAAACACCATGTCAACGCTAAAAAACACCAAAATCATCATCAACGAACCTATCCCGATCTCTATCTTTTTTCCTGTCGAATTCCGGGGATAACTTTAAATCTTTTTCGCGTTCCTTGCTGTAAAGTCTCTCGTCGTACTCTCTTTGCTTCGTTATTTCCTCTTCTTTTGGTTTTTCTTCGATTTTCGGCGGTTCCTCGACCACAACCGGCGGAGGGGCCGGTTTTTTTTCCGCCGTGCATTCCTCGAACTGAGATTTGCATTTTTCCCCGAAAGGGTCCAAAAACACCTAGAAATAGAGTTTAAACACTAACATAACCTCAAACAATAAAGAAACAAATAATACCACTGAAAAACGTTTCCATACAAAAAAAATTGCAAGAAAAACAATAAAAATGCACCCAAACTGTAATTCCACCAATTAACACCCGTTAAATTGTTAAAAAATTAATAAAAACCGCACTTTTTCGAAAAACATAACCTCAAAATCACCAAAAAACGTCAAAATATGACAATCGCGTAAAGGAAGAAGAAGAGTCAACGCCAACTATAGAAGACTTTGACGTTTTCAAAAGTAGGGTTATGTTTTGAAACAACTTCAAATTTGGACGAAAAAACATTAAAATTAAAGAAAAAACCTGGAAATTAAAAACACTTAACTAACCTGTAATTGTTTTCCCATCACACTGGTGTTGTTTAACTTCTCGACACAAGCTTTGGCCCCCTGAACTGACTCGAAAATACATCTTCCGATACCTAAATGTTTATTGGACACTGGGTGATAATATATCTGCAAATCTTCAATGACGCCAAACTTTTGCACCATATCTCGCAAAAATTGCTTGTCGATGTTGTCATTGAGCTGAAATATGGTTACTTCTATAGAAGGCGGACTACCGACGTAGTTCAAGTCGATTTTAAACCTAAAATAAGAGAATTAAAACCACAAATCTGATTTTTTGGGTAAAAATTATTTTTTTTTCAAAAAATGCATATTTAATGGCTTTTTATCGGTTTCAGTGGTTAGTTGTGGTGTAAAATGGTTAAAACGGTAATAAAACTCATCATAAACGTATATTTTTAGTTATTTATGTGAAAATAAGAACAAAAACAAAAAAGTGAGGTTACGTTGCCGAAATAAAAAAATCGTACGAACGAGGTGTTTCTATGAGTTTTGAGGATTATTAAGGGTTTACATAGGTAAACAATGAGCACATAAATCTTAAAACAAACATATGTTTTATTTAAGCCAAAAAAAGAAGAAAACAAAAAAGTAGGGTTATGGTAATAAAACTTGGAATTTAAGCTAAAAAAAATTAATTTAAGTCAACTTATACCCAAAATAAACATATTTAAGATTTTTCAACGGTTTTATTATAATTTTATTCAATATTTTGGGAAATAAATTGTATTTTTTTTAACTTCTATTATTATTGTAATTTGGCGCCAAAAACAGTATTTTTATGTTAAACAACAATAAAAATAACTTAACTAACACCCACACCACTTGAATGCTCATATTTAAGCCACATTTTCACCATAAAAGTAATATAACCTCAAATTTGCTGCTCATTTTATTTACCATCATATCTTTGCCAATTAAAAATATTATCCATATAAAAAATTAAATTAAGACAGTTAAAAGTACACTTAATCATATACTTTTCACCAAATCTTAAAATTTTTATGAAAACTTATAGAAAATAATTTTTAAAGTTGGGAAATTATTCTTTTAAACTTCCATCAAACTTACCTGGGTATGGGCAAGTCTAAATTTTCCAGTCTGCTCCAGATTCGGGTTAAATGCGATCTGGGGTCCCTAGGAGTAACAGGAGGGTAAGTGGGGTCATTTGGTACGACACCTTCATAGCGATACAACTTTGCAGCCCCTTTTACGAGAAAAGGGTCAACCAAGAGTTTGTAGTTTTTCACCGGCTTTTGCACTTGATTGTGCTGCCTGTCTCTGTCCATATTTAAACCGTTCATTATAAAAAATAAGCTGAAAAAGATGAAAATTATTTTTTGGGTTTATCAAAATTGTTTTTTGTGATATGTAGTTTGTAACTGGTTTATTGGGGTGTTATAAAACTTACCTTAACAACAATTAATAAAAACCAACGAGAATTACCGAATTAATGCAAAATATAAACACTCAAAATATAAACAATTTTAATAAATCAACTGGGGTCGAAAATAAAGTACGCTGTCATCATTTAAATGGCCAATTATTACGCGAAATTACACCGACAATGATTAATTAATAAGTTATCACTATAAAAACGTTACAATTATTCAAAAAACGCGATTTTTTCGAAATTATTATCGCACAGAAATGCTATAACCTTTTTCTATGCTGTGAAATGTCAAAAATTCTAGACGCACTGCTGCCAACTGCAGCAAGTAAAACTTGAAGTGTTGTTCGAAAACTGAGTAAAATGTGTGGAAAATGACATGAAAATAGAGTTTAAACCAAAGAAAATCACTGCATAAACAATTTTTAATAAATGTTAAGTATGAATAATTTGTTGAGTCGATAATATACGAAAAATATTGACATTGAACTGACGAGCAAATTTGTAGGTTATGTTTGAAACGTCATGTTAGAAAAATATAAATATCTCTCCCTATTGAACAATTCTACGATTATTAGCGATGAAAACTACAAAAAAGTACTGGAAAATTGTTTTTCCATACTCAGTGGTGAAGTAGAACCACACAGTGAGTTTTTTTTTAATTAAAAAAAAAGGTGTTTATTTTGTTCTTTTTAGACATAAATTCCTTGTACAACTCAAAACCTGATGTGATAAAAGAATTATACGCTAAATTATTATCAATAACAGCTGAATTTGTTAGAGAAAATTACAAGAAGAAAGATGTGTTCGATTTGTTAGCAAAGTTATCGTTGAACAGTACAAAATCGAATTTATACTGTGAAATGTATGAAAAGAACAAAAAAGGGGTTGAAAATTCACTTTTGAACATAGGCAACCACCTACCACACATAACAGATGTTAATTGGAAAATAGATTACATTATTAAGGTACCTAAACATTTTTTAGGTTATAATATGGTTGCAATAGTGTTATTTTTTACAGACAAACGTCATAGATGAATCCGAAGGCCCCCTATTGAGAATATCACTACAAACAGAAAAATTTGATGAAAAAATGGGGAAAAAAACATTCCACAACGTAAATTTTACGTGCAACAGCCAAGAATTGCAGGATTTGGTGTACAAGCTGAAAGATATTGTAAGGCATTGCCAAAAATTAACTTTGGATCATTAAAATGCAATAAAAAATATTTGTTTCTTTTATTACAACCCTAACTACCTAAGAACAACGCTTTATTTTACTACGTTGGTACTAGCGATGCACAACACTGTTGGCAGCCCTGAATAAAATAAAACTTTTTTTATTTATTTATATTTATAGCAAAATCTATTGCAATATTAACGTTGTTTAACAATTAATTGACATAATAAAGCATTAAATTAACCATTTCAACCCGTATTTATTTAACTTATTTACAAAAAAACGCAGTTTTTATACTGACGTGCGCCATTTTTATCCCAACTGTCAAAATTGAAGAATTCTGTCAAATGCTGTATGGAAATAAATAAACAATACTGTAAATTCGTTAAAAATAACACGAATTTTGCGTTATAACATTAATAAAACGTTAAATGAACATCTAAATGTAATCCAATAGAGAAAATCACTTGGAGATGGTGGAAATTAATTTTTAGGTCACTATATTCAATATGGGTAAATACAAGAGGATAAAACGTTTTTAGGGATATTTTACAGTGCAAGAATGTAATTATAAGGTTTAATAAAGGTTTTATAATGAAGACAAGTCGGAAAGCTAAAATTTCTGACATAAACGAACACCTTATATGCAAAATATGTAACGGGTACTTTATTGATGCTACAACGATTGTGGAATGTTTGCACACATGTAAGTTGTGAAAATATTGTCAAACAACACATAAATAATCGATATTTTTTTAATTTTAGTCTGCAGAAGTTGCATAGTGAAGTATTTAGAGTCAAATAAGTACTGTCCGATTTGTGAGGTGCAGGTACACAAAACAAAGCCTTTATTGAGTATAAAACGTGACAAAACCATACAGGATGTTGTTTATAAAGTTATACCGCGATTGTATCACAGTAAGTGTATTACTATTTTGGTTTTATATGAATGAATAAAGAAAGTGTAGAATGTTTTGTATTTTTTTAATCGCTTGGTTTTATGTGAAAAATTTCTTGTGGAGAATTTAATAATCTACAAGTTTGGTGGTGACACTTTTTTTGATATGATGAATATTAAGAAAGATATTTGAAAAAAACTCTTTGGAATGTCAATTTTTGATTAGATATGGCAATTTTATTGAAATTTTGAGGGTATACAAAGAAAATTACGCTTTATAAAACTTTTTTTCAAGTACAAGATTTCAGTGAAAAGATTGTATATTTCTCTGTATACCCTACAAATTTCATAAAAATTGAATTTATTTTGAAAAAGTTACATAACGATTTTATTTTTTTGGAAAAATGTTCATAATTTTTTTGTTTTTAAAGATTAAGAAAAAAATCAAATTCTAACTCAAAGCTTTGAGTGAATTATTTTTTTAATGTACGTTCAAAATTTCGTAAAAAATCGGTGATAAATTAAAAAAATTACATAACGATTTTATTATTTTGGAAAAATGTCGGTATTTTTTTGTTTTTAAAGATTTAGAAAAAAATCAAAATCTAACTCGAAGTAAATTATTTTTTTAATGTAGGTTAAAAATTTTGTAAAAATCGGTGAAAAATTAAAAAAATTACATGACAATTTTATTTTTTTGGAAGAATGGCCATAATTTTTTTGTTTTTTAAAAATTTAGAAAAAAATCAAAATCTAACTCAAAGTGAATTATTTTTTTAATTTACGTTCAAAATTTCGTAAAAATCGGTGATAAATTAAAAAAATTACATGACAATTTTATTTTTTTGGAAGAATGGCCATAATTTTTTTGTTTTTAAAAATTTTTTAAAAATCAAAATTTAACTCAAAGTAAATTATTTTTTTAATGTTCGTTCAAAATTTCGTAAAAATCGGTGATAAATTAAAAAAATTACATGAAAATTTTATTTTTTTGGAAGAATGTCCATAATTTTTTTGTTTTTAAAAATTTAGAAAAAAATCAAAATCCAACTCAAAGTGAATTATTTTTTTAATGTACGTTCAAAATTTCGTAAAAATCGGTGATAAATTAAAAAAAATTACATGACAATTTTATTTTTTTTGGAAAAATGTCCATAATTTTTTTGTTTTTAAAGATTTGGAAAAAAATCAAAATCTAACTTAAAGTGAATTTTTTTTTAAATGTACGTTCAAAATTTTGAAAAAATCGGTGATAAATTTCATAAAAAATCATTTCAAATGGCTATAACTATGACAACGTCGCATTTATGTTAATGAAATTTCAAGGGTATGCAAAAAAAAGTACTCTTTATAAAATGACAATATTTTCCCTTACAGACGAGCTACGAAGGCGGTCTGATTTCTATGAGAAACACTCGGAAACAAAACCGTCGCTCAATGAGCAAACCACGGAATCTCATTACAATTATTTGCTCAACCCCGACGAAAACATCGACCTAACCTTAAATTACCTGGGTTGCGAGACAACGCCGAGATATTTGAGATGTCCTGCAGCGGTCAGCGTAGGCCATCTGCACCGACTTATAAAAGCCAAGTACGATTTGAATTTGGCGCACAAAGTTGAGGTTATGTACGAGCAGGAGAATCTGGCTTGCAATTTGACGTTGATGGACGTCGCCTACATCTACAAGTGCAAACGGGTGAGTGTTTTGTTTTATGACCGCCATATTGGATTTATTTATTTCTGCTCATGCGCAAGCGTACATTTATTATTTCATGATATTTTCTTCCAGAACTAAAAGAATTATTTTTAGAATGTTTGTTAAAATTTTTGTAAAAATCGGTGATAAATTAAAGAAATTACAAAACGATTTAATTATTTTGGAAAAATGTCCATAATTTTTCTGTTTTTAAAGATTTTGAAAAAAAAAATAAATCCAACCGAAAGAGAAATATTTTTTAATATAAGTTTAAAATTTCGTAAAAATCGGTGATAAATTAAAAAAAATTACATGACGATTTTATTTTTTTTGGAAAAATGTCCATAATTTTTCTGTTTTTAAAGATTTGAAAAAAATCAAAATCTAACTAAATAAGGAATTATTTTTAAAATGTACGTTCAAAATTTTCGTAAAAATCGGTGATAAATTAAAAAAATTACAAGACGATTTTATTTTTTTTTGGAAAAAATGTTCATAATTTTTATTGTTTTTGAAGATTTTGAAGAAATTCAAAATCTAAATGAAGAAAAATTAATTTTTTAAGGGCCGTTCAAAATTTCGTAAAAATCGGTGATAGATTTAAAAAAATTACATGACGATTTTATTTTTTTTTGAAAAATGTTCATAATTTTGTTGTTTTTGAAGATTTTGAAGAAATTCAAAATCTAAATGAAGGAAAATTAATTTTTTAATGGAAATTCAAAATTTTGTAAAAATCGGTAATATATTAAAAAATATTACATGACGATTTTTTTTTAATGTTCGTAATTTTGTTTTTGAAGATTTTGAAGAAATTCAAAATCTAAATGAAGAAAAATTAATTTTTTAATGGACGTTCAAAATTTCGTCAAAATCGGAGATAAATTAAAAAAATTACATGACGATTTTTTTTTTTTTTGAAAAATGTTCATAATTTTGTTGTTTTTGAAGATTTTGTAGAAATTCAAAATCTAAATGAAGAAAAATTATTTTTTTAATGGAAGTTTAAAATTTCGTAAAAATCGGAGATAGATTAAAAAAAAATACATGACGATTTTATTTTTTTTTGAAAAATGTTCATAATTTTGTTGTTTTTGAAGATTTTGAAGAAATTTTAAAATCTAAATGAAGAAAAATTAATTTTTTAATGGACGTTCAAAATTTTGTAAAAATCGGTGATAGATTAAAAAAATTACATGATGATTTTTTTTTTAAATGTTCATAATTTTGTTGTTTTTGAAGAAATTCAAAATCTAAATGAAGGAAAATTAATTTTTTATTGGACGTTCAAAATTTCGTAAAAATCGGTGATAGATTAAAAAAATTACATGACGATTTTATTTTTTTTTGAAAAATGTTCATAATTTTGTTGTTTTTGAAGATTTTGAAGAAATTCAAAATGTAAATGAAGAAAAATTAATTTTTTAATAGACGTTCAAAATTTCGTAAAAATCGGTAATAGATTAAAAAAATTACATGACGATTTTATCATATTATTTCTGTACAAAATTCTAAATAATTTAATTAATAGCTCCTCACTTCTGGCCGATATTAGATTTCATGCACCTCTAAGAGTAAACCGACTGAATTACTTTATTTTACACAAACTCACATAGTACAAATTATTCATACAATACTCCATTGGATCGTGCATGCAGACTTGCAAACGTAGTTAATATTGAATTTTTTTGTCAGCACACTTCATACTTTTAAAAAACATCTTCAATTAAAAATAAATTCAGCTGGGATCTAAGCATTGGTACGGATTTGAATTCAATGGTATTTATTTGTTAACTGTTATTTTTTATGGACATTTATTTATTTATGTACTATTTATTTTTGTCTTACTTTTTTTAATTTTTTTTTTATATATATATAACTATATTTTATACATTTTTTATGTTTCTGTATGCTGTAATATTTTGTAATTATACTCATGGCCTTGTGCCGTAAATAAAGTTTATTATTATTATTATTATTTTTTTTTGGAAAACTTTCCATAACTTTTCTGTTTTTAAAGATTTAGAAAAAAATCAAAATCCAACAAAAAAGGATTTATTTAATGTACAAATCGGTGCTCATGCGCAAGCGTATATATTATATTCCATGTTGTTTTCTTCCAGAAACGTTGCATAGACCTGTCGTATCGAATATACGAGTGCAAATCAAAAAAACTAAAAACCGACGGTACGGAAAATCAAAATAACAACAACTGGAAGGAAGTCCAGTTGAGAATAAGCGAAAATGGGGAGATGCAGATGTCCCTCATGCACGAAAACTTACTGAAAATGGTGGAGAAAGAGCAGCAAAACAACAAAAAAGTCGAGGAAAATTCGGAGACGAAAACTAAAAGCGATGATGTAGCGAAACCTGTAGATACTGTAGCAAAAAAAAAAAGAAGAAACAAAGGAAGAAGCGAAACCTACACCGACCTCCAAAGCCAAAAATACCGAAAAAACGCCGACAAAAAAGGAAATACCCGGTTTGAAATACATCGGGAAAGAGCCCAAGGCGAAAATACTTCAAAATGTTACACTAATAAACCCCAAAATAATGCTCACCCAGTGCTAACAGTACCGCAAACAATTTAAGTACCAATCTAAGTACCATCACCACAAGTACAGCGCCTTTAGTGTCTCATTAGCAACGCCACTACAACTACAGTGTTTAGTATCAATACTACAAAGTGTTCGACGAAAACTGATGAAAGTACTTTTTCCAAGGTTGATGTTTTGAAGAAAGACACCACTAAAGATGAGAAATGTGCGAATAACGGAGCAACGAAAGATGATGGTAAGTTGGATAAACGCCCGCAATTTTTTTGTCATTAAAGACTTAGAGAAAAAACAAAATCTAAAAAAAAGAAAATTATTTTTTTTAATGTACGTTCAAAATTTCGTAAAAATCGGTGATAAATTAAAAAAATTACATGACGATTTATTATTTTGGAAAAATGTCGGTATTTTTTTCTGTTTTTAAAAGATTTTGAAAAAATTAAAACCTAACTAAATAACGAATTATTTTTCAAAATTTCGTAAAAATCGGTGATAAATTAAAAAAATTACATGACGATTTTATTTTTTTGGAAAAATGTCCATAATTTTTCGGTTTTTAAAGATTTTGAAAAAAATCAAATCTAACTGAAAGAGAATTATTTTTTAATGTACATTCAAAATTTCGTAAAAATCGGTGATAAATTAAAAAAATTACATGACGATTTTATTTTTTTGGAAAAATGTCCATAATTTTTTTGTTTTTAAAGATTTTGAAAAAAATCAAAATCTTACTGAAAGAGAATTATTTTTTTAATGTACATTCAAAATTTCGTTAAAATCGGTGATAAATTAAGAAATTACATGACGATTTTATTTTTTTGGAAAAATGTCCATAATTTTTCTGTTTTTAAAGATTTTGAAAAAAATCAAAATCTAACTAGATAAAGAATTATTTTTAAAATGTACGTTCAAAATTTCGTAAAAATCGGTGATAAATTAAAAAAAATTACATGAAGATTTTATTTTTTTGGAAAAATGTCCATAATTTTTCTGTTTTTAAAGATTTTGAAAAAAATCAAAATCTTACTGAAAGAGAATTTATTTTTTTAATGGACGTTCAAAATTTCGTAAAAATCGGTGATACATTAAAGAAATTATATCACGATTTTAATTTATTGAAAAATGTCCATAATTATTTTGTTTTTAAAGATTTTTAAAAAATTTAAAAACTATCTAAAAGAGAATAATTTTTTTAATTTGTGGTCCAAATTTTGAAAAAATCGGTGATACATTAAAGAAATTATCTCACGATTTTAATTTTATTGAAAAATGTCCATAATTTTTGTGTTTTAAATGATTTATAAAAAAATTAAAATCTAACTAAAAGAGAATTATTTTTTTAATGTGTGGTCCAAATTTTGAAAAAATCGGTGATATTTTAAAGAAATTATATCACGATTTTAATTTTTTGGAAAAATAACCATAATTTTATTGTTTTTATTGATTAAGAAAAAAAATCAAATTTAAATGAAAGAAAATTAATATTTTAATGTAGGTTTAAAATTTCGTTAAAATCGGTGATAAATTAAAGAAATTACAAGACCTTTTTATTTTTTTGAAAAATGTCGATAATTTTTTTGTTTTGAAGATTTTGGATAAAAACAAAATCAAACTAAAGAAGAATAATTTTTTTAATGTATGACCAAAATTTCGTCAAAATTGTTGATATATTAAAGAAACTACATGAAGATTTTTAAATTTTTTTGGAAAAATGAAAAGTGCATTATATTTTGTAAAAATTGTTGCATGACGATTTAGTTGGTTATATCAAAACATTTTTAAGGTAATCAAAAACCGACAAATCCAAACGTTCCACCGGTAACAAACAACAACATCGCCGATAGAAAAAGAAAAACGGAGCAAACCGCCGAGGAGCCTAAACCCAAACAAATCATATTAAACCACTCGTTAAATTTGTCGAATTTGACTCAAAACAGCGCTGCAACGTTAAAAAACAAAATTTGCCCCAACAAAAGTCCAGAAACAACAGCTGAAGCTAGTAATAGTACAAATAATAAAGCCTCTGTTGTTGCAAGTAGTAGTAGTACTACAAGTAGTAGTGACGTTTTTCAAAAACCTTTGATGGTGAGCAAGCAAGCCAATTGAGCAGGCCTGGCACCCCCAGCGATACAAAAATCACCAAACCAGGCTTGCTATATGCCTAAAAATGTGCTCAACGTTCCAAAATTGGGTAAAACTGGCACCCCCATCAAAATGTCCATAGTTACGACTCCAACGACATCTAACAGTACCAAAGTGAGTACCAAAACGAAGCCTAGCACTCCAATAGGTTACAAAACGTTGCGGGATCCTCCAAAGAGTTGGAATTCGCAAATCTCAAAGGCTAACATCAGTAAAACACCGCAAGACGTGAGTTTGAAGAATGTCAAGCCAGCGAAGTTCTTCAAAATGAGGAATAATATGCCTAGGTTTCTGGGCAATCCAGGTTTAGGGGTTAAGCCTATGTACCAAGTCCATACGAGTCCGGATAAGGATAAAAACAAACACTGAGGTGAAAGGTAATGAGATTAAAAGGCACTCCATCGTCAAAATCGACCCTAAAACTCTGAAACCTATTTCGGAAAAGGCACCTGAAGAAACCAACCTGAGCAACCACAAAAAATACCGTCGATAGTAAAGCCAGCATGTCCAAGGAGGTTAAAATAGTTGCCAGTACTACCAGTACACTTAATGTTAGTGCTGGTGCGTTGGAAATAAAACCGCCCTCAAGACTTGAAAATCAATACTAGTTCCGTATCGATTTTTTAACCCTTTGAAGAACCACTCATCCCCTAAAAACGACAGGAAGAGCCCTAAAAGTCCAGGGATAAGTCCTAATATAGTAAAATCTACAACAGGTACGTATTAATGCGTTTTTTCAGTTATAGTGGATACATTTTTTATGTATTTCAGTCAACAACAAACCTAAAAGTTCGCCGTCGCAAAGCGCGACGTTGACGAGTCCGAAACCGGCGAAACCTAACCTAAGTTTCACCCCCCCTAATCCGTACATACCTAACCTCACTTCCCCCACCCTAGACCCCAACCAATTCCATTTCTACCCGCCGCAGCAACACGCCTCATTACCGGCGTTTGATCCTAGAATTCTCAACGCCTACCACAACTTTTGGTACGGTCCGAGGTTCGGATTTGGCAACCCCGCAGCAGCCATGGCCAACTTGACGTTGGATTTGAATCAGCAGCAGCGTGGCAAAGCGCAGGCGCAAACCAGCCACGAAACGCCCGCGCCCACTAAGATGACGATTGCCACCACTACTGCGCAGGTACAGTTTTGAAAAATGGTGATATTGTAGAGCAATCATTCTTCTACAAAACAAACCAAAAAAAACTAAAATCCTCCCAAAAATAACCAAAATACAGCCGTTTTAGTAACGCTCTCTCCAAAACGATCGAAAAAACACACCGCCATCTTTTATCGCGTATATCTCCAAAACTACCAACCCCATAAAAAATTTTATGGGAGTAAAAATGTAGCGAACATAATCCCCTACAAAATGACGTATGGCGATTTTTTCTACCTCCAGTAGTTTGGAAATTATCCGCGATTAAAGATGGCGCTGATGTAAAATAAAAGATTTTACTACACTTAAAACTAAAAAAATGTCAAGGTCAACTTTGAGGTTATGTAAATTGGTTTTTATAGTGATTTTGTAAAGCAATAACTCTTCAACAAAATTAACCAAAAAAAACTAAAATCCCCCCAAAAATACGACCGTTTTAGTAACGCTCTCTCCAAAACGATCAAAAAAACACACCGTCATCTTTCATCGCGTATATCTCCAAAGTTACCAACCCCACAAAAATTTTTATGGGAGTAAAAATGTAGCGAACATAATCCCCTGCAAAATGACGTATGGCGATTTTCTCTACGTCTAGTAGTTTGGAAGTTATATGGCGCTAATATCAGAAGTGGGATTTTTTTGTTTTTAAAGATTTAGAAATACTGCAAAATGTTATTTTGACAGTATTTTGTAAAAATTTGTGATAAACCATCGATAAATTTTTCAGATAACGTCAAAATTATCGTTAAAAAAACCTAACAAAGAAGGTACAAAATCTGAAAAAAGTCTTCACACAACAGTAGAAAAATTGCTGGTACAAAATAGAACCAAACAAAATTTAAATACCAAGGAAAATAATTCGGAAGAGGGGCCTTCAAAAACTCCTAATAACAAAGAAGAGCAAAAAGTTGTTGTTGAAAAGGAAAAAAGTACAAGGTAAGTTTTTCTGTTTTTGTGTCAAAAAAATTTTTTTAACACTCAAATAATTATTGTATTTTTTTGTATAGCCAATCTACAGTGTGTTCAGAAAAAGTGAAGGATGAGCCGAAACAAAAAAATAACAGTAATAGTGATTTAAAACTCAGTGAAAAGGACACTAAAAAAAATATTAGTGATAAAATAGAGCAAAATAGTGTTGGTGAAAGTAAAAATACCGTTTAATTTTTTTTGTTTTTTAAGTACATAATTCTATGTAAAATATTAATTTAATTTTTTTGAATAAGACAAAAAATTGTTTTTGTTTCAAAATCTGTATATTTTTGATAGGGTTTTGGATAAAATTAAGTGCCTCAAAAAATTTTACAGTTTGAAAAAAATTCTTTTAAAATTTGAAACGTGCCTTTTTATTAAAAAAATCACAAAATTACCAAAATTATTCTTTGCGCAGCTCTTAAATACAAAGTGTTTGAATATACCAAATAGAATTTTTAACATAGATGCTTTTTATAAAAAAATATACTCAAAGATAAAACTATTTATTTTTTGACATTCCAAAATTTGACAACTACGATATTATTTCAAAAAGGAGGCTGTGAATTTCTTCCACGTATTAAAAAAAAAACAAGAACATCACAACTGTCAAAAAATGAATGGTTCGTTTTATAGGTACAGTGTTGGAAAAAAGTTGCGTCAACTTTAAACATAAATAACTCAAAAACCGATTACTTTAGAGAGTTGAAATTTACAAGCAATATTACTTGATATATTCTTTAATATTGTACCAAATTTCAAACCTTTAACCATTTTAGTTTTTGTTTTATGCGGCATTTTGTCCACTACTGTACCTACCGTAATAAAAAATATGTGACACTTCAAAATTTCACTTATGCTCACAAATGTGATAAATTTCGGATCAATTAATAATTTAGTCTATTTTTATACAGGGTGATAATAATTTTACTATTAAAAACAGTTGAACCTAAAAAAAACATTCTACAGAACAATTTTATAAACAAAAATAGAAAAAATTTTGATGAAAAAAAAACTGTTTATTTAAGGTTAAATTTAGATCCCCCTGTACTAATTTTGCTCAAAATTTATTAAAAAATTGTCACATATTTCTAATTTTTTTGTATCTAGGATTAAGTCAATTTTTTTAATTGTAATATGGAGATTCTATCAAATTTATTATTGTACATTGTAAATATTTAATTGCACAGATTTAATAATAAATATTTATAGTTATTTCGAGTTTTATTTTGCCGCATTTTTAATATACAGGGTGTTGTTAAAATAAGGGTTAATTTCGTAAGTATTGATTTTACAGCAAAAACTTAAAGACAAAAAATATAGAGAATTTTATTTTCTACAAAACATGTTTTTACAACTTTTCTCAAAAAGTTGACAGAAATCGAGATATTTTACATTTTTGACAGATGGTAGACATTTTATCAAATATCTTGATTTTTAACGATTTTTCGACAAAAAGTTTGGGAACGTTTTTTGTAGAGAATTAATTTCTCCATATTTTTCGTTTTAAACTTTTTGATGTAAAATGTCGTTTTAACCTTAAAAAGTTGAAATCTAAAAAACGTTTTTGTAGCGGTAGACATTTTGTTAATTATCTCTATTTCTGACGATTTTTCGACAAAAAGTGTAGGAACGTTTTTTGTAGAGAATAAAAATCTCCATATTTTTCGTCTTAAACTTTTTGATGTAAAATGTACCACTTTCTTTTAATTTGTCGTTTTAACCTTAAAAGTTGATATCTCAAAAACCATAGTTTTTAAGGCACAAAAATGCTTTTAAGCCAAACTTAAACAAGCTTACTGGATTAAATAATAAAAATTAAAGTTATTTTAACCTTTAATTAAAATAAAACACTGTAAATCGTTAAGTATTACGATTTATTTAAAACATGTATAATATATAATTAATAAGCTACATAGGGTATAACAACCTCAATTTACTTCAATTTGGAGAAAAGATCCTTAGTTACACAGTGATCGATGGCATGAAGCAAGTCAAACAACTCTTCCACACAAGTTTCCGCAGTTTGTGATTTGGACAAAACCCTAGCATTACAAGCCTCGTATTTCTCGCTTAAATGCTTACAGTGGTCGGTATCTCTGCAAGCGTCCTAAAAAAACACAAAAAAACGTCAAACTTGACAGTTATATAACCAAAAATATTGACAATAACGAAAGTGGGGTTATGTGAACTCACCCTTAAGACTTGCTGGGGGTCTACCAGATCCTCTTCTTCTTCTTGGGCCTTGACGACGGGCATTTTCGGCAGAAATTTGTCGAAAAACATTTTAAGTTGTTTAAAATGGAAGAATTTTGGGTTAAAATTGCAGAAAAAGTGCAAATTACGCAATTTGACAGAGTGGGCTTAGAAGCGCATGCGCGGTATTGCAACGTTGCCGGATGTATTTGGTGATAATACATGTGATTTTTTTCGAATATTATGACTTTTGTATGGTGTTTTGGTGATGATTTAAACGTACTAAACTTATTTTATTGTTAATATTACGAAATAAGATCATTTTGGGTCCATAATCGATAACTAACACCTCTTTCAAACGTATTTGGCAACTCTGCCCATTAAATGTAAATGTCTTTGTTCCAACTTATGCAGAAGTATTCCATTTGTAATAAAACAAGTTTTATTAGAATATTTATTTATTTAAGATATTGATTATATAAAATATATCTAAGTAGTTTTAGATAGTACCAAAAATATTTACAAAAAAGCGCGATAGAACTTTAAGCACATTTTAAATATGTTTTTGTAAATAAACAAAAAAAAATGGCAACTTTTTGGAAAAAATCGTCATTTTTAATAACATTTTGTAATAAGTAGTTGCTTCTAGGACTAGAAAAGTTGTGCATCTTAATAACAAAAAAAAACTCGCATAAAATATATATTATTATAAATAAAGTGTTATACAGGGGGTTTTAGAAACACCCCGTATTTTAAATACTGTAGATTGTTGAATCCATAGTTACTTTAAAAATTTTACGTTTTTTCCCATAAATAATGTAAAAAAACGCCAAATCAAAAAAATATACGAGAATTAAACATATTGCACCTATACAAAAAAACTAAACTAATAAATGCATTTTAACATAACTTTTGAACGAAAATTTGAGTGTTTGTAAAACCTTACAAAAATATTTTTGCCCCCAAAAAACCAGTGCATTTTTAACATGGAAGAACTTTTTCTTTGTCGAATTTTTCGAGTATTTTTAACGATTTTATTTTTTATAATTTACCGGTCGCCGTTCGTCGCTTGTTTCTCCAGTTTTAGACGTTTCGTCTGTTTTTGGTGCTCGATTTCGAAATCGCGTTCGGATATTTCAAGCCTGAAAAAATTGGGAGTGAAAAAGTGCCGTATCTTTGTCAATTTTGGTTTTACAGAAATACGGTGAGGATGAAAAATGTGGGGAAAAATATTCTCTACAAAAATTGTTTTGGTGGGTATTGTCGAAATTTTGACAGGGAGAGAGATATTTGACGTTTTTTGACTGACCACTGCCGCGGCACTACTTTTTGTTGAAAATCTCATTTTCCATCAATTTTTCGACAAAATTTTTATTAACTTTTTGTAGACAATAAAAATCTCCACATTTTTCACCCATAATATTTTTTTGTAAAATCTATATTAACGAAGATATGGCAATATATAGTTGTGAATTCCTAAACGATCTTTGCTAACTTTTATTTTACAAAAAAATGTTATATATGAAAAATATAGGGAATTTTATTATCTACAAAAAACATTTTAACGAATGTTGTCGAAATCTTGAAGGAAACGAGATATTTGACGTTTTTTGACTGACCACTGCCGCGGCACTACATTTTGTTAAATATCTCGATTATCGTAAATTTTTCGACAAAATTCATGATAAACTTTTTTGTAGACAATATTAAACCCCACATTTTCCATCTTTAAAATTTTTCTGTAAAACTAATATTAACAAAGATATAACCGCAGTTTTCTGCAAAACTAATATCTCACCGATTTATGGCATATATCAAATTCTCCTCGGCCAAAATATGTTCCGGAGGATTTCTCAACTTGGCCAAAGTCTCGCACAACCCGGAACATTCCTTCCTACTCCTAGCCGAACCCAAACACTCGGCCAGAATGACTATGGCGGTTTTAAATAGAACCTTAACCCCTTCGCACAAAAAAATGTCCCATAACCTCAACAAAGTGTCCCAGGGCAGGGTGCGCGTGAAAGCGCACAAAAACCACTCGGTACAGTAGAACATCGGCTCGGCGTTCACTTTTTTCAAGTGCTTGTACACGGCCGGGCAATTTTTTTTTAGAAGACCTAAAATGATTTTTTAGGTTATCTCTTCTCCTATTGGTCGTATGTCGAAGTGTCATATAAGAAAATTGTAGCTCTATTAATTCTCTACGAAAAACTTTGAATGCATTTTTTTCGTATAACGAACCGTTAAGGAGATAACGGTACATTAAAGGTTGGTGCAACAATTTTGTGCCACTACAACTTCAAGGTGCTATATCTTCCAAACGGTTAGTTGTACGAAAAAAAAATATTTAACTTTTTTTGTAGAGAATTTAATAACCTTCAATTTTCATATGACGCATTATAACCTAAAACCTACAGCAACCTAGATTTTATCGAAAAACTAACCTTGCAGTATGAGGCCGTCTCTTTGCACCACTTCCATATCAGGTGAGTAATAATCCTTTAAATATTTGTCGGATATGCTCACAAGGCACCAAAAAGCTTCCTCCGAAGGCATGTGCATCAGCAAAAAAGCCGCCACTGGGGCCTGGGCCTGACAGTAACCGATTTTTTCGTTGTACGACGCGTAGGCTTTTAAAATGTTGAATAATTCTTTTTGACCGGGTTTATCCTCGGAATTAAACATCTCGTGCATAGGGAATTGTCGGTGTATGTCTTTTTTTATGTCGTCCAAAGCTTTGGGATCGCCAGGTTCCCGTAGCGTGTCTTCGTAGGTGTTGGGATTTTTTTCCATTAAAAGCTTACCTCCGCACAAATAAAGCCAAGCTTTTGGCCTCACAGACATAGGTATACCTGTTTGAAAAGTTGCGATTTAAGAAACGCATTATCTCGAAAAATATTGATTTTAGAGAAAAATTTTTACAATGAAAAATATAGGGAATTTTATTACCTACAAGAAACGTCATTACAAATTTTGCCGAAAATTTGACAGGAAGCGAGATAACGGCATTTTTTACAGGCACTGCCGCGGCAGTCACTTTATTTTAAGTTTGTGGATTACTGTCAACTTTTCGAGAAAATTTATAATAACCTTTTTTGTAGATTATACAATACACCACATTTTTAATTTATAAAATTTTTCTGTAAAATCAAAATTAAGTATAATAAACAGAATGTTCCGTTTAAAAAAAAATTGCGATTAAAAAACTCGACAAATATTGATTATACAGAAAAATATTTAATATGTAAAATATAAGGAATTTTATAACCTACAAGAAACGTCATCACAAATTTTGTCGAAAATTTTACAGGAAGCGAGATAAATGACATTTTTTTACACACTGCCACGGCAGTTACATTTTTTAAAGTTTTTCGTTTACTGTCAACTTTTCGAGAAAATTTATAATATCCTTTTTTGTAGATAATACAATTCTACACATTTTTAATTTATAAAAATTTTCTGTACAATCAAAATTAAGTATAAAAAACAGAATGTTCCGTTTAAGAAAAAAATTGCGATTAAAAAAACGAAAAAAAACTCGAAAAATATTGATTATAAAGAAAAATTTTTAAAATGTAAAATGTAGGGAATTGTATTACCTACAAGAAACGTAATAACAAATTTTGCCGAAAATTTGACAGGAAGCGAGATAAATGACATTTTTTTACACACTGCCGCGGAAGTCACTTTTTTTTTTAAGTTTATCGATTACTGTCAACTTTTCGAGAAAATTTATAATAACCTTTTTTGTAGATAATACAATTCTACACATTTTTTATTTATAAAATTTTTCTGTAAAATCAAAACTAAGTATAAAAAACAGTATGTTCCGTTTCAAAAAAATTGCGATTAAAAAACCGAAAAAAACTCGAAAAATATTGATTATACATAAAAATGTTTAAAATGTAAAATGTAGGGAATTGTATTACCTACAAGAAACGTAATAAAAAATTTTGCCGAAAATTTGACAGGAAGCGAGATAAATGACATTTTTTAACACACTGCCGCGAAAATCACTTTTTTTTAAGTTTATCGATTACTGTCAACTTTTCTAGAAAATTTATAATAACCTTTTTTGTAGATTATACAATACACTACATTTTTAATTTATAAAATTTTTCTGTAAAATTAAAATTAAGTATAAAAAACAGAATTTTCCGTTTAAAAAAAATTGCGATTAAAAAAACAAAAAAACTCGAAAAATAATAATTATACAGAAAAATGTTAAAAATGTTAAATATAGGAAATTTTATTACCTACAAAAACCTTTATTACAAATTTTGCCGAAAATTTGAGTAAAAACAAGATAATTGAAATACTTCCGCAGCAGCCACATTTTTTAATATAACTCGATTTCTGTTAACTTTTCAACAAAACCTATTAGAACCTTTTTTGTAGGTAAAAAAACTCCCCACATTTATCATATAAAAAACTTTCCTGTAAAATCAACATTAACAAAGTTTTTGTACCTTTTCTGCATCTCTCTTTGACTTTTTTGTAATTCCTTCCCATGTAAAACCCCCATTGCGACAACATTTTCAACCACTTGCGTTCCCGCCTTAAAACAGTATTTGGCGGGGGCCCAACCTGCCTAGGTTCAGGGCTGTACTGAGTCCCGCCCAAAAAACCATGCCTGTCCGGTACGGTTGAAATTACACTACCATCTATTAGCTAAAATTTAATAATTGTTAAGTTTTGCTGTTCTCGGGCATATATAACGTGATTTCGCGTTACCCTGTATATTTAGGACTCTAAAATGTACAGGGGGTATTTTGGGTATACTTACAGTGCTGTTATCCGATAGGGTCGAAATTGTATCATCCGCATTTGCCATTTTTACTCAAATTAAGTCATTTAAATACATAAAACACACATTTTCCTGTTTTGGTAAACACGCCAATATGTTTTTCGTTTAAATTATATCATCAACTGTGTATTAATCAACAAAACTACGTCACAAACACTTCCAGGTCTCCCTAACGCTCGAAACAACGTTATTATTGATAAATTTCGCTAAATTAAATTAAATTTTCACTAATAATAAAAGGGGGGCGTCAATATATGTTGACATAAATTGACACATAAACCACAACGTTGGCACCACTGTACAACGAAGTTAGCCGCTGGTACATTTGAACTACTGCCGCCAAGACAGTGCTCTGCATTACCTACATAACCTTAAAAAACTCACAATATTTACATCCATTATTTCCTGTGTATTTAACATAAAAAGCAATGATTTAACATTAATACACCATATAATTTACTATATTTTAACCGTTGTTGGTGCTGTTATTCAGTAAGTAGTATTATATTACACATTGAGGTTATGTTATATACCATGTGTTTCAGATATGGCAAATATAGCGCAAAAATACGATATTCTGAATCCCAAGCACATAAACCCCAAATCTGTGACTTTTTCTGTATTCACTGCAGATGAAATCAGGAAAATAAGTACTGTAGAAATAGTTACACCAGTACTTTTCGACTCTTTAGGAAACCCTGTATCTGGTGGTCTATACGATAAGCGTTTGGGTATGCTTTTTACGCATAATTTTTAAAAATGTATTAAAAAATTATTATTTTAGGGCCTATGTCCGAAAAAAGTGACCCTTGTGGAGTGTGTAACAAAAATTCATATTCATGTCCTGGTCATTTTGGACATATTACATTACCTCTACCTTTGGTAAACCCCCTATTTCACAAAATAATTGCAACTGTCCTTAAAATATCATGTCTATCTTGTTACAAAATACAGATTCCAAGTAAGTAATGTTAAAGATTTTAATACTTACAAGTTTTATTTTAATACTTACATGTTTTATTTCAATACTTACAAGTTTTATTATAATACTTACATCTTTTATTTCCACACTGACAAAATTTATTTTAATACTTCTTTAGGTCATATTAAAAAATGCATAGAAATTCAACTGACTTTACTTGACAGTGGTTTAGTAACTGAGTCTCAAGAGCTTGAAAACATTATTTTGGACTTGATAGCTCAGTTTGAAACCTTTGAAAATATCCCTGAGGAAAATACTGACAAAATAAAGAAGTACGAAAAATTGGCGAAGAAAACTAAGGGTAAGTATGTTTTAAATAAATTGTTTTTTTTAATGTTTTTTGTCTGTTTTTGTTTTTTAGATAATGTTTTTATTAATAAAAATGTTGAAGCCCTAAGAAATGAATTCATAAACAATATGTTTAAAGAAATAAAAACCAGTAAATCTTGCAAATACTGCAGAACCCCTATTAATACAATGAAAATAATAAAAAACAAAATTATATTGAACCAACCCAAATTATCACAGTAAATATAACTCCAAACATAATTTTTTTTCCTAATTGTATTTTTTTAGAACCATAGTCCACAACAGCTCCTTTTTAACCAAAGTAAGAGCAATGGAGTCAAAATACGTTACACCAGAAGAGTCAAAAAAATACATGCGGAGCATCTATACCGAGGAAAAAGTATTTTTACGCAAAATAATATCAGTTTTAAATAACGTCGATATTACACACCCCACAGACATTTTTTTCTTCGAGGTTATACCCGTCCCCCCTACAAACGTCAGACCGGTATGTAGAAATTAATTTTATAACGTTTTTTACCACTTTTATCGCCTATACTTACGTTTTTTATTAATACTCACAAGTTTTATTTTAATACTTACCGAGTTTTATTTCAATACTTACAAGTTTTATTTCAATACTTACCGAGTTTATTATCTATACTTCCACTTTTTATTATGGACACTACATGTTTTACTATACTTAGGTAAACATTGTTAATGGTAGAATCGCTGAAAACCCTCAAACATCGACCTACAAACAAATACTTTTCAACATACTTACGTTAAAAACAACAATAAGTTACGTCCAAAATAAAACAGTCAATATATCGGATCAAGCTAAAGAATTGTATAAAATTTGTAAAGGCACAAGTCCCGTAGAAAAGTTGAATAATTCGTGGGAGGAATTACAAAATGACGTTAATGGTTTAATTGATAAGGATTCTATACGGTCCAAGGACGGAATGGGCTTAAAACAGGTAATACTTACGCACTTTATTCTAATACTTACAAGTTTTATCCCAATACTTACAACCTTTATTCTAATACTTACATGTTTTTAAAGATAATAGAGAAGAAAACAGGGGTGATTAGAATGCATATGATGGGTAAACGTGTTAATTACGCGGCAAGATCTGTTATAACGCCAGATCCTAACCTAAATATCGATGAAATCGGTATTCCGGAAACGTTCGCAAAACACTTGACGTACCCTGTACCAGTGACAATGTGGAATGTTGAGGAAATGCGTAAATTGATTATGAACGGACCGAATGTACATCCTGGGTAATAAAATACTTACGAGTTCAATAAAGAAGTGTTTTATTGTGTTTTTTTTGCATTAGAGCCACTATGATTGAGTTTGAGGATGGTAAAATCACAAGGATTAACACTAGTAATGCTACACAGCAAGAAAGTTTACTGAAAAGGCTCCTAACGCCGGATAAAGATACTGCCTTTAAGGGAGTAAAAATTGTAAGTATTAATCATAAAAATCCAATGTTTCTACAGTGTTGTCAACTTAGGTGCACAGACACCTACAAAACGGCGATGTTCTTTTGTTAAACCGACAACCAACCCTCCACAAACCCAGTATTATGGCGCATACTGCAAGAATTCTAAAAGGAGAAAAAACGTTACGTTTGCATTACGCGAATTGCAAAGCTTACAACGCCGATTTTGACGGTGACGAAATGAACGCCCATTTTCCACAAAACGAGTTGGCAAGAAGCGAAGGTTACAACTTGGGTAAGTTTTATTTCGTAACACGCCAAAATTTCGATTTTTCACTATACTTACCGGTTTTATCAAGTACACTTACCGATTTTATTAATACTTCCATGTTTTATTTTCAATACTTACAAGTTTTATTTTCAATACTTACACTTTTAATCGACTTACAGCAAATGTAAGCAACCAATACTTGGTACCTAAAGACGGCACACCTTTATCCGGTCTGATTCAAGATCACATGATAGCAGGTGTGAAAATGTCTCTAAGAGGAAGGTTTTTTAGTCGGTAAGTATTTATTCATCTTACTTGCGAAGATACATAAAAAAATACTTCCAGAATCGACTATCAGCAATTGGTTTATCAGGCATTATCGTATAAAACGGGAGAAATCAAATTGTTACCGCCGACAATCCTAAAACCGTACGAGTTGTATTCCGGTAAACAAATTTTAAGTACCGTTTTGATGAACGTCATACCGAAGGACAGGGCGAAAATAAACATGACGTCGTCCACGAAAATCCCGCCACAGGTACCTAAATTGCTGTTTTTATGTATACTTACCAGTTTTATTTCAATACTTACATGTTTTATTTCAATACTTACACGTTTTATTTCAATACTTACATGTTTTATTTTAATACTTACACGTTTTATTTCAATACTTACACGTTTTATTTAAGGCGTGGGAGGTGTTGCCGCCCAGAAAATGGTTGGGAGGCGGAAGTCTTTTAAAAAACGCCAACGATATGACGGAAGCGGAAGTAATAATTAGGGAGGGGGAATTTCTGGTGGGGGTTTTGGATAAGACGCACTATGGCGCTACCGCGTACGGTTTGGTGCATTGTTTATACGAGGTATATACAAAATATGATGAAATTTTTTTTTTTTATTATTTTTATTGTTATTAGTTGTATGGAGGAACATACGCGATTCGATTTTTAAGTTGTTTGGCAAAACTTTTTACCAATTTTCTGCAACAGGAAGGTTTTACTTTGGGTGTGAAGGATATTTTAACTTTTTCTAAAGCTGATAAAAAAAGGACAAAAATTATTGAAAAATCGCGGAAAATTGGGAGAGAGACAATTACAAATGCTTTAGATTTGCCTTTAGATACTGAAGACAATGAGATTGTGAAAGAAATCGAAAAAAGAATAGCTGTGAACCCAAAATTAAGAGCTACAATAGATAGAGAGTATAAATCATCTTTGAACAACTATACCAATGATATAAACAAGTAATGATTTTTTTCAGCAATGTATAACATAATAAAAATCCATATTTTTTAGAGTATGTTTACCAGCTGGTTTAATCTGCAAATTTCCACAAAATAATCTACAGTTGATGGTACAATCAGGTGCTAAAGGGTCTACAGTAAACACCATGCAGATATCTTGTTTGTTGGGGCAAATTGAGTTGGAGGGAAAACGCCCCCCCGTGATGATTTCCGGGAAGTCTTTACCCAGTTTTCCCGATTTCGAGTTTTCCCCCAGAGCTGGTGGCTTTATTGATGGCAGATTTATGACGGGAATTCAGCCACAAGAGTTTTTTTTTCACTGTATGGCCGGTAGAGAGGTACGTTTTTAGCTTTTTTACGGAATGTATTGAAGATTTTTTAAAATTTCAAAAAACTTTGGAAAATTCATAAAACGTTCTTTAATTTGGTGTATTGCACAACAAATTTGACGAAATAATAAAAAAGTTATTAAAACTTGAAAAAGATAATCCAGAAATCGGTTGAAAAATTACATTTTTTCATATTTCTCAACTACCAGTCAACCAATAAAAATAATTCAAAAAACAACTGAATCGAGACAAACAAGGCTACAAAGTGGCATTTATTTCACCATTTTAAAACAAAACACCAAAAAGTTATTAACAGTTGAAAATCACACTTTCCATTTACATCTTATGAAATGAAATGTCATCTTCGGACATTTTTTGCATTTTCGCGAAAACCACTGAATATTTTTTTGAAATTCAAAAAACATGTTAAAGTCAATAAAACAGTCTATAATCGGACATATTGTGCAATAAATTCCACAAAACAATAAAAAGTTATGCGGAAATAAAAAAATGGCAAAATGAAAACACAGTTTTCAGGGTTTGATAGATACAGGTGTAAAAACCAGTAGATCAGAATTTATTAAAGATTTTTTAAATTTTCAAAAAACTTTGGAAAATCCATTAAACGTTCTTTAATTTGGTGTATCGCACAACAAATTTGACGAAATAATAAAAAAGTTATTAAAACTTGAAAAAGCTAATCCAGAAATCGGTTGAAAAATTACATTTTTCCATATTTCTCAACGACCAGTCAGCCGATAAAAATAATTCAAGAAACAACTGAATCGAGACAAACAAGGCTACAAAGTGGCATTTATTTCACCACTTTAAAACAAAACACCAAAAAGTTATTAACAGTTGAAAATCACACTTTCCATTTACATCTTATGAAATGAAATGTCATCTTCGGACATTTTTTGCATTTTCGCGAAAACCACTGAATATTTTTTTGAAATTCAAAAAACATGTTAAAGTCAATAAAACAGTCTATAATCGGACATATTGTGCAATAAATTCCACAAAACAATAAAAAAGTTATGCGGAAATAAAAAAATGGCAAAATGAAAACACAGTTTTCAGGGTTTGATAGATACAGGTGTAAAAACCAGTAGATCAGAATTTATTAAAGATTTTTTAAATTTTCAAAAAACTTTGGAAAATCCATTAAACGTTCTTTAATTTGGTGTATTGCACGATAAATTTGACGAAATAATAAAAAAGTTATTAAAACTTGAAAAAGCTAATCCAGAAATCGGTTGAAAAATTACATTTTTCCATATTTCTCAACAACCAGTCGGCCGATAAAAATAATTCAAAAAACAACTGAATCTCGACAAACAAGGCTACAAAGTGGCATTTATTTCACCACTTTAAAACAAAACACCAAAAAGATATTAACAGTTGAAAATCACACTTTCCATTTACATATTGATGAAACGAAATGTCATCTTCAGACATTTTTTGCTTTTTCACGAAAACCACTGAATACTTTTTTAAAATTCAAAAAACATGTTGAAGTCAATAAAACCCTCTATAATCGGACATAATGTGCAATAAATTCCACAAAACAATAAAAAAGTTATCTGGAAGTAAAAAACAAAAAACAAAATATGCCACCACAATTTTCAGGGTTTGATCGATACAGCTGTAAAAACCAGTAGATCATAATGTATTGAAGATTTTTTAAAATTTCAAAAAAATTTGGAAAATCCATAAAACGTTCTTTAATTTGGTGTATCGCACGATAAATTTGACGAAATAATAAAAAAGTTATTAAAACTTGAAAAAGCTAATCCAGAAATCGGTTGAAAAATTACATTTTTCCATATTTCTCAACGACCAGTCAACCAATAAAAATAATTCAAAAAACAACTGAATCGAGACAAACAAGGCTACAAAGTGGCATTTATTTCACCATTTTAAAACAAAACACCAAAAAGTTATTAACAGTTGAAAATCACACTTTCCATTTACATCTTATGAAATGAAATGTCATCTTCGGACGTTTTTTGCATTTTCTCGAAAACCACTGAATATTTTTTTGAAATTCAAAAAACATGTTAAAGTCATTAAAACACTCTATAATTAGACATATTGTGCAATAAATTCCACAAAACAATAACAAAGTTATGTGGAAATAAAAAAAAATGACAAAATGAAAACACATTTTTCAGGGTTTGATTGATACAGCTGTAAAAACCAGTAGGTCAGGTTATTTGCAACGTTGCCTAATCAAACATTTGGAAGGTCTTCATGTGGGTTATGACATGACGGTCAGAGACAGTGACAAAAGCGTCATACAGTTCATGTATGGTGAAGACGGTATGGAAATAGCTAAATCGCAGTTTCTGAACGAAAAACAATTCCAATTTTTGAACGCCAACAAAAAAGTTTTGAAGGACAAAGACGTTCTAAAAAAATTGCAGAACGACGATGGTTACGGTAAAGTTGTCGACCATTTGAACGAAATTAAGGAGTGGAGGGAAAAATTTGGAGGTAATAATAATAAGAAGAGTCCATTTTCATTATTCAGCACAGTAATCAAGAATAAGTTCGGGAAAACTATTGACAGGAATAAAACTACCAAACTATGGGAGGAGGCTGATGAAACTCTTAAAAATGCGTAAGTTATTCAAAAGTCGATGAAATTTTCTTTAATTTGGTGTATTGTACGTTAAATTTGACCGAGCGATAAAAAAGTTATCAAGAAATGAAAAAGGTAGCTCAGAAATGGATGAAAAAAAACACATCACCACGTTTTGGTAAATTTCTCAAACACTATTCAAGTTTTTTTAAAATTTCAAAAAACATTATAAACTACATAAAACACTTTACGATTTGATGTTAACCTCATTAAAATCGGACGAAAACTAAAAAAGTTATAAGCAATTGAAAAAGCTAATCCAGAAAAATCAGTTTTAGAGTTCAATGTATACCTTGTCCAGACCCTGTGAATGCCTTGTATCAAGCCGATAGCAATTTTGGTTCTATCAACGAAAGATTGGAAACCTTGATTGATAAATTTAACGCTAAACTTATTAAAGAAAAGGATAAGTCCACCTTTGAGAACATTTTGAAATTGAAAGCTATGCAAAGTTATTGCAACCCAGGTGAACCAGTTGGACTGTTAGCTGCACAGGTGAGACATCGTTGAATAATTAAAAACAATTTAACAAAAATTGATATTTTTTTAGTCCATCGGCGAACCTTCAACCCAGATGACCTTGAATACCTTCCACTTCGCAGGTAGAGGTGACATGAATGTCACCTTGGGTATACCAAGATTAAGGGAAATTCTTATGATGGCTTCTAAGAATATTAAAACGCCTTCCATGGAGGTGCCATTTTTGAACGTCCCAAATTTGGAGGAGAGGGCAGAAAATCTAAGAAAAAGATTGACCAGAGTGGTAGTCGCAGACGTATTAGAAGATATTGATGTTGCAGTTCAATTGAACATACCTCTCAGGTAGGGTCTCACATTTTTGCCAATATTTTGAAAATTAATCAAGATTTTTAAAATTTTCAAAAAACATTAGAAAGTCGATAAAATACTCTTTGATTTGATGTATTGCACGTTCAATTTGTTCCAACAACAAAAAAGTTATTGAGACTTGAAAAAGCTAATACTGAAATCGGATAAAAAATCACATTTTTTCAAATTTCTCAACAACCGTTCAATCAATTTTAATAATTCAAAAAACAATTGAATCTAGACCAACAAGGCTACAAAATGACATTTATTTCGCTGTTCCAAAACAAAACTCTCAAAAGTTATTAACAGTTGAAAATCAAGTTCATATACGAGAAACTTGATGAGATTTTTGCCATTATTTTAAAAAATCTTCAAGATTTTTAAAATTTTTCAAAAACTTTGGAAACTCGGTAAAATGCATTTTGATTTGATGTATTGCACGTTCAATTTAATCCAACGACAAAAAAGTTATTGATACTTGAAAAAGCTAATACTGAAATCGGAGAAAAAAAATCGCAGCGACACATTTTTTTAAATTTCTCAACAACCGTTCAACCAATTTAAATAATTAAAAAAACGATTGAATCTAGAAAAATGAGGCTACAAAATGACATTGATTTCGCTGTTCCAAAACAAAACACTCAAGAGTTATTAACAGTAAAAATCAAGTTCGTATTCGATAATTTTGACAGTCTGAAGATGAGATGTCGCGGTTAGACATTTTTGATTCTAAATTGAAAACCATTCAATATTTTTGAAAAATTCAAAAAACATTTGAATGTAGAAAAACCGGGCTTTAAAATTTTATTTATTTTGCAATTCCAAAACAAAAGACGTACAAGTTATGGCTGTTTTTAGAGAGTACACGTACACGCTGAAATTCAAATTCCTACCGAAATACTGCTACAAAGACGAGTTCAACACGAATCCGAAACAAATTTTGAAGCACCTGCGCAAAAAATTCTTCACCGAGATGTTCTCAGCAATCCTGAAATTCTCGAGGATCAAATCTAACATCGTTACGATGGAGGAACAAAAATCAAAACCCAAAAATAAAACCAATAACGATGACAGCGATTTGGAGGATGATAATACTAAAACTAAAGATTTTAATAACTCCAAAAATAATGATGATTCGTCCGATGAAGAAATTGAAGATTCTGAAGACGCCAAAATGACCACCAAACACGATGAAGCACATGAAGATCAGGAGCCAGAAAATGAAGAAAAAGAAAAAGACAGTGATGACGAAATGGAAGGGGGTAAGTGAAAGTCCAACATTTTTGGCTCCATCTGGAAAAATACTTATTTTTTTTTAAAAATTCAAAAAACATTACAAACTCAATAAAACAACCTTCAATTTGGTATACTGCACATTAAATTTGACCCAACCATAAAAAAGTTATTAAGAAATGAAAAAGGTAACTCAGAAAATGGATGAAAAAAACACACCCTCACATTTTTCTAAATTTCTCATGAACCTGTGGACCAAATAAAATAATTTAAAAAACAATTGGAAATAGACAAAATGGGTTACAAAATTACCACTGAAAAATTTTTTTCAGACGAAAATCTACCACAATCTGAAACTGACGAAAAAACTGTGGTAGGTTCTTTCAATTTCGCTCAAAATTATTTGGAAGACAAAGAGAGTCACTTATGGAGCGAACTAACCTTTGCTGTGAGTTAAATAATACTAAAAAATGTACCAACATAAAAAAATCGTTTTTTAGCTACCCTTAAAATTCAAAAAACTCGACCTATCAACGATTTTAAAGGAAGTCGCAAATAAATCTGTAATATGGGAAACAACAAATATTAAAAGGGCCATAACTTACATGAAGGATGACATTTTAACTTTAAGAACAGATGGTATAAACATAGCGGTAAGTTATAAAATACAGGGTGTTCAAAAAATAAATGTATTCTTTAAGGAAATGTACAAATACAATACTTTGTTAAATCTCAACAAAATATATACCAATGATATTCATGAAATATCAAAAATATATGGTATAGAGGCCGCTTCAAGGGTTATTGTGAAGGTAAGATGGATTATCTTTAATTTGACGTATTAAACATTAAATTTGATCAAATAACAAAAAAGTTATCAACACTTAAAAATGCTAACTCAGAGAAATGACACTTTGATATATTTTTTAAAATTTCTTGACAACCAATAAAGCAAATCGAAAAAATCAAAAAACAAATGAATCTAGACGAGTAAGGCTACGAAATGACGTTTAGTTTACTGTTTTAAAACAAAACACTCAAAAGTTATAAAAAGTTGAAAATCACTTTTATACGTACATCTAAAAGTGAAGTATGGAATGTCGAGGTGTTACATTTTTGGCATTTACACGAAAGTTATTAAAGATTTTTTTTAAATTCCAAAAGCATTGTAAAGTCGATAAAATTGTCTTCAATTTGGCGTATGGTTCGTTAAATTTAACCTAAGAATAAAAAAGTTATTAAGAAATGAAAAAGGTAATCCTGATTTTCTCAGTTGAATCATTCAAATACGTTTTCTTTTATATTCAGGAAGTCAAAGAGGTGTTTGGAGTGTATGGTATTAAAGTGGATCCCAGACATTTATCCCTGGTTGCTGATTACATGACATACAATGGCACTTTTGAGCCTTTAAGCAGAAAAGGCATGGAGAGTTCTTCAAGTCCTTTGCTGCAAATGTCGTTTGAATCTTCCTTAACGTTTTTGAAGAATGCATGTGCTAGAGGTAAGTTTTTTTATGCCCATAAAAACATTTTTTAACAACCTATTTTTTAGGCAAAAAAGACGACTTACAAACCCCTTCAAGTTGTTTGATGGTGGGAAAACCATGTAACACAGGAACGGGTTCATTTTCGTTAATACACAAATTACCAACGTTAATAAAAAGTTGATTTATTATATTATTTTTTAATTCGAGTTAAAATAAAAAACTTTTAATCATAAAAAATTGTATTTATTACAAAAATATCATTAAATTTATAACTAGGAATGTATACATAACTAATACTATAGCACTAAAAATATATTAAATTTACAATTCCTAACACTACCAGATCTAAAAAAATTACAATAAAAAACGATAATAATAAATTATCAACAATAAAACACACAGAACTATAAAATCAGTTCAATTAAGGAATTAAAAAAAAAGGTTTAAAACTCTTTTGTCTTAAAGCGTTTATACGGAAAAAAGGTGATGTAATATTTCATCTAGTCAACCTTTTCAGGTTTTTCTTGCTTTGTTTCGAGCATGCCACGTAGTTTTTGGCCCTTGGAGGGCTGGGAGGTTCCACCACTTCAATTGGTAACCTGGAGAAAATTAAAATTTTGACATGTCGCGGTAACACATTTTTGACGATATTTCGAAAATTATTCAAGATTTTTGAAAAATCCAAAATACATTGGAAACTCAATAAAACGGTCGTTAATTTGATATATAATTTATTAAAATTAACCAAACAATAAAAAAGTTATTAAGAAATGGAAAAAAAAATTAAAAAAAACGATTAAATCTAGAAAAATGAGGCTCCAAAATGACATCAACTTCAAAATTTTAAAACAAAACACTAAAAAGTTATTAACAGTTGAAAACCACTTTTACATTCTAATGATAATGATGAAACGTCACCGTCGTACATTTTTACCATTTTCTCGAAAACTATTTAATATTTTTGAAAAATTCAAAATACATTAGAAACTCAATAAAACGGTCGTTAATTTGATATATAATTTATTAAAATTAACCGAACAATAAAAAAGTTATTAAGAAATGAAAAAGGTAACTCAGAAAATGGATGAAAAATATCACATCTCAACATTTCCCCAAATTCCTCAACAATCTTTTATCCAATGAAAAAAAATCAAAAAACGATTAAATCCAGAAAAATTAGGCTACAAAATGACATCAACTTCAAAATTTTAAAACCAAAAACTAAAAAGTTATTAACAGTTGAAAACAATTTGATGTTGATGATGAAACGCACCGTAGTATATTTTTACTATTTTCTCGAAAACTATTTAATATTTTTGAAAAATTCAAAATACATTAGAAACTCCATAAAATTATCTTCGATTTGACATAAACTCATTTAAAATTGGAAGAAAACTTACCTAGTAGTTTCTACTTTTATAACACTGTGAATGGGAGTACTCTTATTTAGATTAACATTTCTTGATTTAAGATGAATTCTGTTGTTATTGCTGGCTAAAACTTTCTTAACCACTGGTGTAGAGGTGAAAGACCTATTCAAGTTTCTTTTAACAACTGGACTATCCATGTCGGAGTAAAAACCAGACTCTTGCCTAAAAAAGAAAAATAATAATAAAATGAATCATTTTAAAATGTTTTTTTTGGTCACAAACCTTGTGCTATGTGAATGTGATGCGCTGGAGTTGTTGAAAAATGAATAGGAAGTGTTGCTCATGTCTGTCAGAGGGTTTTCCTTTGACTTTTCCAACCCCAACCTGGCCCCATTACATTTATCATTGAATTCTTCAGCAGTAAAAGAAGAACTGTTACAGTTGAGGCAGCAAATGTACCCGCAACTAATTGATTCGCATTGAGCTATGTTATGCATCACAACTGCCACTTTTGAGCATATATCGCATTTTCTCAACGATTCGTTTTTATCCAATGATTTTGTTCTCTGAAAGTTACAAATATTTGTTGGTCTTTTCTGGGCGCCATTTTGAATATTTTTGAGGATTTTTTTTTGAACTATAAACTTCCATTATTTATCTTTAATTTGGTGTATTGTTCATCAAATTCGACAAAAGAATAAAAAAGTTATTGACGTTTAAAAATCACTGTATACAAAAATTTAAATTCTGGAAATGGCATGTCACAGTCTAACATTTCTAGCAATATTTAAAAAATTATTCAAATTTTTAAAAAAATGTAAAAACCCATTATACACTCAATAATATACTCTTTAATTTAGTATATTGTTCATAAAATTTGTCCAAAAAATAAAAAAGTTATTAACTGATAAAGAATATAAATAAAATTGTATGAAAAATATCACTCCTACTTTTTTTTCAAATTTCCCAAAAAAACAACTGAATTTGAAAAATAAACCCACAAAATGACATTTATATCACCATAATAAAACAAAACACTTCAAATTAATTGATACTTCAAAATTAGTTTTTATAAAAAAAATATGAAATATAAAGAACATTCTTTTTGGGCGCCATTTTAAAAATTATTAGAGATTTTTTTAAAATTCAAAAATAATTAGAAGCCCCTTTTATTTATCTTTGATTTGATGTTTAGTTGATCAAATTTGACAAATTAATAAAAAAGTTATTGACGTTTTAAAATTACTTAATTTTTACAGAAAATTTAGAGGTTATAAAAATGACTTGTCATCGTCTGACATTTTTGACAATATCTCGAAAATTATTCAACATTTTTTAAAAATTTAAAAAACATTATAATCTCAACAAAACGGTCTTTAATTTGGTGTAATTTGTGTTAAAGTTAAACAAAAACTAAAAAAGTTATTAGAGGACAAAAAATGTTAATTTAAAAAAGTACTTACATTCAAAAATAGCTTGAAATTTCTATTACTTGGACTGGGTGGAGTTTCAGTGCACTTTTCAGGTGATGGTGGAGGAGTTATTTGATAATTCTCCTTGTTTTTTTTGTGTTTTTCGTCAAAGAATCTTAACCTAAAATTACCACAAAAAAAAATCACATCAACCAAATTTATTTTATTGATTTAACACACCTTATTACAGCTGATAAATCGTTGTTGATAGCTTGCCTGAAACTTTCCGAAACCTTGGAAAGCCTGTACAAATCCCCATTTGAAAGATTTTTCAAAACAACGGACATTATGACACTGTTTGTGATAACTTTTTGCAGCAAGGCTTTGGGGTTTAAAAACAAACACTTTTTTGCTGGAGAGTCGAATTTCTTTAACTTCAGGGGGGATAAAATCCTCCTCGGAGGCTCCAAAGGTTTCAATTTTGGATACAAAATACTCCTCGCTTCTTTCAAAGGCGACTCTTCAGGGTAACACTTCACAAAACTCCTGGTGTTCCCCCCAATTTTAACCTGTTTTACAGGCGTACAAGGTGCGGAATGAATCTTCTGTATTGTAGAGACATCCCTTTTAAATACTTTATTATGCTGAATGTCATTGAACAAATCATTTTTGATGTGGCAATTACTGAATTTGCTGCTTAAAGATTCATTGAAAGTGCTGTTAAAGCAGTGGGGTGATTCCAAAACGTCTGTTAAGTTTCTTTTCGGAATTTCATAATTGAACTTTCTTTTGCGTGATAAATTAGTTAGAGGGGTTGTTTCTGTAGATGAGGAACCGTAAAATGATAATGAATTATCAAAAGAAGAAACGTGACCCGAGTCTGATGCGTTGTAGGTGGTGTTTGGAGTGAATTCCATCTAAAACATAACATGGCGGTATTTTTGACAATAACTTTGAAACTGGTGGAAGGTTTTGAAAAATTTAAAAAGCATTAGAAACTCTATAAAATACCCTTTAATTTGGTATACATTTCATAAAATTTGAACTTAAAATAAAAAAGTTATTTAGACATGAAAAATATTTAACAAAAAATATCACACCTCCATATTTTTTAGGATTTCTCATAAACCAACAAACCGATTAAAATAATTCAAAAAACATACAAAACTTGACAAAAAAAGCTACAAAGTGACATTTAACTGATTATTTAACAATAAAACACTAAAAAGTTATCAATACTTAAAAAATGTGATACAAAATTATGGTTTTTTCAGAAAATTTCATAAATAGATGCTTTAAATACATAAAAAGTTGTAAATTACGTAAAATTATCTTAACTCACCTTAAATCAGACGTCAGTCCAAAAAACGTGGATCTAATAAACAAAAAAACAACAAAAACAAAAAAAACAAGGAAAAATAGCACTACAATAATAGGGAAACTTTTACATAATATTTAATTTTTGCTACAGTCGCACATAATCACGAATTAAACGAAAAACGTGTCTTACATTAAATTTGGAGAACATTTAACGAAAAAATCTTAGAAAAAATGACAGCTTCACAGTTACTTTCTCACGTTTGACAAGGACAACGACAGGTGCACCAACTGTAAACGAGGGGAATCTGGCGCCAAACTAAAATTGATAAAAATATACTGAGTTTATGTTTAGCATTTTAATAAAACCAATATTTATACATTAATTTTTGTATTTAACCCATTTAATAGTAGAAATTGGTTGTAATTTGGCTGCAATATCGAAATATAAGGAAACTAGGGGGAAAGTGTAGCCAACTGTCAGCGGAAATATTGATAAAAATATTGTTAAAATTACTTAAATATGTTTAATTATGATACATTACACCTTTTAAAGTAAATTATTATAAAAATACTTTGTATAAAGTCTATTTTGTATTGTTATTGTTGAATTTTAAAATGAAGAATAGTACCAACTGTAGACAGGGGAACTGGCGCCAAATTGAAAATAAAGGAATTTTATGTAAAACATTACATTTAAACTAACAATTATAAGTTTATATTGTTATTTTTGTAGTTTTATAATGCAAATTGGTTGTGCTTAAGTGTAATTTCAAAATATAAACAAAGTTGTTTGAAAGTGTTGCCAACTGTCATATATTTGTGCGGAAAAATTAAAAATCCTTCTAAAATGCCTTATATTCGATAAATTACATTGTATTAAAGCTTTTTGCAGTGAAAAATATAATGTAAAAAGCTTATTTTTTATATTATCTGTATATTGGTATTGGCGCGAGTTTAAAAAACCTGGTTGCCATGGTGAACAAATATTTTTGTTGTTGACAGTTGCTTTTTTTTCAATATTTACTTTTCTGTTGAAGCGTTTGCATGTTCCTGTGTTAATTTTAGCGTTTATTTTGCTTTTTTGAAGGTATTTTTATTAGTTTTTAATGCGAAAATTAAGAATTTACTTGTAGAAAGGCAGAAACTTGGATTTGTTCAGTTGTGTTAACACATAAGGTGAGTTTTTTTGCCATATTTTTTACTTTAAGGGGTGAATTTTTTTTCGGGTTGCATTTCTGGTTGTTACGTCACGAATTCGCGCACCAGAACAGCGTTGTCATATGTTATTGGCGGTGGAAAATTTGAAAAAGTCAAATTTGACAAATTAATTTGTCTATTTGAAGCCTCAATAATGATGATGAATAACAATGAAACTACAGGGAGGTTTTTCTTGAAATTTGCCATGTAATTTTTATACAATGCGGCTATACTTAAACCAATCAAAGCACGGCATTCTTTATCGCATCTAGTGTGCTGTGTAGAATGCCGTGCTTTGATTGGTCTATTGCTTTCTATAGAGATCATTTTCTGGAAAAAATTTTATAATTTGCTTTAAATTTAACTGTCGTACTTTATTTGTCGTAAATTGATAAAATTAGGTAGATCCAGTGCAAGAAAGGTAGTGCTGACATCGTCGCATTAAAATCTCTGGCTTGCGATTGGCCGACGCCATTTTATCGATGGTTCCGTTTTAGTAGACGAACGATTTAGTTTTTACTGTTTTATGTGTTAATTTACGAAAAATTACCAATGAATCTTCAAGCAACACACCTTTATTTGCACCTGGTGAGTTTTGCGATTTGTTCCCTAGAATTTCCCGTTTACTTTCATACAGTTTTGCCGTCTTTGTGTGTTCTATGCTGCATTTTGACTGCAGTGTTTTTTTGCAAGGCAAATTATTTACAAAACGCTTTCGAGCCGCGAAAAATGTTTTACTTGGCGATTCCCGCCAAATTCCCTCGATTTTGAGCTCGATTTCGCTTTGTTTTGCAGTTTTTGTTTATGGTTAATAACAACAATTTAATTTAAAAGTTTTTTATGTTGTTTATTTTGTTTTCTAAGTGAAAGGTGTTTGAATCAAACGTGTATTTCTCTTCTATTCGCCTCGTGCAAGAAAGCAGTGAAAATAGAATGAAAAATCCCAAAAGTAGGTCACTAGTTGGGGATTTTTTTTATTTTCCCACTAAATTTTCAGTTGTTGTAATTTATTGTCGCATGTAAAGCAACGTTGCCAAGCCTTTGCGGTTAAAAATATCACTTTGAAAGATTTAAATCGATATATCAATTTGATGCGATATTTTTAGTGTACAGGGTGTTTGGTAAATAAATATTCAATTTTAAAAATTTGGCAACACTGTTAAAATAGCGGTTGCTATGGGAAACAAACGTTAAACGGTTGACAGGTGTATTTTATTAAAAAAAAAATAAAAAAAATCTCAAAAACTCATCAGAAAATATTTTTGCATTTTTTTAAAATTGTATTGAAAATCACGGAAATTGGGACATTTCCCACGACTTGGCAACATTGCGCCGAAGAAGTAATTAACTATCAAATTATATCTGAAAAAAATGTTTATTTATTTTTTCACATTATTTACATATCAAGTATTTGTTTGTTTTTTTGATTTGATAAATTGCTTTAGTTTTCTTTATCTTATCTTTAGAATGACTCATACTTGCTTAGCTGTTCAAAATCATTATTTTGATATTAAATTAATTTTTTTATCGCATAAAATCCTTTAGTTTTGCACATTTAATGGTAAAAAATTAAAATATTTCATTTTTTGTTTTTTTTGGGTGTTTACTGTGCTAATGAAGTAAATCTGTCAAGTCTAATTTGTTTGACAATTAATAAATTAAATAACTTGGACAGCGTTGCCAAATTTACGAAAATTAATTAATAGAACACCAATAAAAAATTATTTTTAAGAATGTTAAATTAATATTTTTTACACATTTTATTTTTTTGCATAATTTGCCATATTTTGTCACTAAATGACAGTCAACAGTGACATTTTTTGTCATTCAGACTTTTGGCAGTTCTTATTGCATTATTTATAGACAAATTTTGACACAATTTGATGTCTAAATGACAATGTAATATTAACAGCCATTAGGACATTTTTAGCAGTTTTTATTACTTGTTAGGTAAATGTTGAGTTTTTGGTAAAATTGACAATATTTTATTACTAAATGACCAATTTTGACTATTTTTTCGACTAAATGATCATGTTAAATTAACAGTAAATTTTTGGCAGTGACTACTGACTTTTTGACAAAATGACCAATTTTGAAATTTTTTTATGAGCAGCTGACAATGTAACATTAACATCTGTCATCTGTCAACTCGAATTTTTTTGACAATTAAAAACTTGGACAGCGTTGCCAAATTTCCGAAAACTATTTTGAATGTGTTTTTTTTTCATTCCAGAAAATTAATTAATAAAACGCCAACAAAAAAATGTGCTCTGAATTGCAGTCGATTAAGTCATCGACCGCTTGAACGAAAAAGGAGAAAGGACCGATCGCAAACTTGATAAAACTAAAAAAAAAATAATTTCAATTTAAAAAAAAACGCACCTAGAGACTAGGTTATCACCGATTGCGCAGCAAAAATGTCTGCGGCCGCGCAGCAGCAGCAAAACGCCGTGAACGCGGTCAACAACGGCAACAGCGGCAAAAAAAGTTGCAGCAGTTCGGCAGGCAACACGCCAGCCAGCACGCCGGTCAACGGCGGTCAGGCAACGTCGCAGCACAGTTCCCCGCCCCCCAACAACAACGCCCCCCAAATACGGTGAGTAAAATGCGAACCACGCTCGATAAAAACACTGAAATCCGTAAATTCGTACAATTTTATCTTTTCGGTTAATATGGGGCGCCATTTTGTTTTTTATTTAGGAATTATTTGTTTGTGTCAACACTTAAGTTATATTTTCAATTATATAAAAAATACCACATAAAAATTTTAATTCTGCAAATTTAAAATATCTGTTTTTTATATTTTTATTTTTTTTTGTTAAACACATTTTTAATTTAGTTAATTTAAAATATTTGCTTCTTACATTTGTATTTTTTTGCCAAACACATATTTTTAATTTCGCGAATTACCAAAAAATATGTGTTGAACTAAAAAATACAAATATAAGAAACAGATATTTTAAATTCACTTAATTAAAAATAGCAGAAATTTTTATTTTTTATTCAGGAATTATTTGTATGTGTCAACACTAAAGTTATATTTTCAATCAGATAAAAAATATCACATAAGAATTTTAATTCTGCAAATTTAAAATATCTGTTTTTTATATTTGCATTTTTTTTATTAAACACATTTTTAATTTAGGTAGTTAATTTAAAATATTTGCTTCTTACATTTGTATTTTTTTGCCAAACACATATTTTTAATTTCGCGAATTACCAAAAAATATGTGTTAAACTAAAAAATACAAATATAAGAAACATATATTTTAAATTCACTTAATTAAAAATAGCAGAAATTTTTATTTTTTATTCAGGAATTATTTGTATGTGTCAACACTAAAGTTATATTTTCAATTAGATAAAAAATACCACATAAAAATTTTAATTCTGCAAATTTAAAATATCTGTTTTTTATATTTTTATTTTTTTTGTTAAACACATTTTTAATTTAGTTAATTTAAAATATTTGCTTCTTATGTTTGTATTTTTTTGATAAACACATATTTTAATTTCGCGAATTACCAAAAAATATGTGTTGAACTAAAAAATCCAAATATATGAAACAGATATTTTAAATTCACTTAATTAAAAATAGCAGAAATTTTTATTTTTTATTCAGGAATTATTTGTATGTGTCAACACTAAAGTTATATTTTCAATTAGATAAAAAATATCACATAAGAATTTTAATTCTGCAAATTTAAAATATCTGTTTTTTATATTTTTATTTTTTTTGTTAAACACATTTTTAATTTAGTTAATTTAAAATATTTGCTTCTTACATTTGTATTTTTTTGCCAAACACATATTTTTAATTTCGCGAATTACCAAAAAATATGTGTTGAACTAAAAAATACAAATATAAGAAACAGATATTTTAAATTCACTTAATTAAAAATAGCAGAAATTTTTATTTTTTATTCAGGAATTATTTGTATGTGTCAACACTAAAGTTATATTTTCAATGAGATAAAAAATATCACATAAGAATTTTAATTCTGCAAATTTAAAATATCTGTTTTTTATATTTTTATTTTTTTTGTTAAACACATTTTTAATTTCGCGAATTACCAAAAAATATGTGTTAAACTAAAAAATACAAATATAAGAAACATATATTTTAAATTCACTTAATTAAAAATAGCAGAAATTTTTATTTTTTATTCAGGAATTATTTGTATGTGTCAACACTAAAGTTATATTTTCAATTAGATAAAAAATATCACATAAGAATTTTAATTCTGCAAATTTAAAATATCTGTTTTTTATATTTTTAATTTTTTTGTTAAACACATTTTTAATTTAGTTAATTTAAAATATTTGCTTCTTATGTTTGTATTTTTTTGATAAACACATATTTTTAATTTCGCGAATTACCAAAAAATATGTGTTAAACTAAAAATATAAATATAAGAAACAGATATTATAAATTCACTTAATTAAAAAATAACAAATATAAATTAAATTTTTATTTTTTATTCAGGAATTATTTGTATGTGTCAATACTGAAGTGATATTTTCAATTAGATAAAAAATACCACATAAGAATTTTAATTCTGCAAATTTAAAATACCTGTTTTTTAAATTTTTAATTTTTTTGTCACACATTTTTAATTTAGTTAATTTAAAATATTTGCTTCTTACGTTTGTATTTTTTGCTAAACACATATTTTTAATTTCGCGAATTACCAAAAAATACCTGTTAAAATAAAAAATCCAAATATAAGAAACAGATATTTTAAATTCACTTAATTAAAAAATAACAAATATAAATTAAATTTTTATTTTTTATTCAGGAATTATTTGTATGTGTCAACACTTAAGTTATATTTTCAATTTGATAAAAAATATCACATAAGAATTTTAATTCTGCAAATTTAAAATAGGTATCTGTTTTTTATATTTTTACTTTTTTTTGTTAAACACATTTTTAATTTAGTTAATTTAAAATATTTGCTTCTTACCTTTGTATTTTTTTGCTAAACACAAATTTTTAATTTCGCAAATTACCAAAAAATATGTGTTAAACTAAAAAATACAAATATAAGAAACAGATATTTTAAATTCACTTAATTAAAAATAGCAGAAATTTTTATTTTTTATTCAGGAATTATTTGTATGTGTCAACACTAAAGTTATATTTTCAATGAGATAAAAAATATCACATAAGAATTTTAATTCTACAAATTTAAAATAGGTATCTGTTTTTTATATTTTTATTTTTTTTGTTAAACACATTTTTAATTTAGTTAATTTAAAATATTTGCTTCTTATGTTTGTATTTTTTTGATAAACACATATTTTTAATTTCGCGAAACACCAAAAAGTATGTGTTAAACTAATAAAACATTTTTTATTCGTTAAAACCATCATTTTCGACGTAAAATGCGTTATTACTTGATTTAAATTCAAACTTGGCGCTCTTGTACGTCACGCTGCGTTTTCATTGGTCGAACGCGGCCCTCTTTGATGTCCGTGTAGCACGCGTTTCGGTCAGTAGTTGAGCGGCAGCGATGGCGTTTGTACGTGGCAGCAAAATTTCGAGCTCTTCGAGCACCTCTTCGAGCGATATTTACATGGACAGCGACGGCAAACGTTTTCAAAACGTGTCGACGAGATTCGAAAGGAACTTGTGTCGCTTTAAAACGAACGCCGGCCGAAATTTCAAGCGGGGCTTATCGTGGCGGCTTTCGACAGGTACGCTGGTGCCGAACAGGATTTTCGTCGGCGGCATTTCTTCGAACACTACCGAGGGCGAGCTGCTGCAGCTGTTCAGCAACTACGGCACGGTCAAGGCGGCCAAGATCATACAGGATCGCGCCGGCGTGTCCAAGGGCTACGGGTTCATCACGTTCGAGAGCGAGGACGACGCGAAAAGACCGCTAAGGGAGGCGGAAAACATCGTGCTGAGGGAGAGGAAGTTGAACATCGCGCCGGCCATCAAAAAACAGGTGAGTACCCCTTGGTTTTTTTTCCTATAGGATTTTGTTTGGTCTTGTTGCACTTTTTTTGGCGGGCAAACATGGCCGCCTACCATTTTCTGTTATACCGTCAATATGGCTGCTACACTACATAATATTTGTTTTATTAATAGGTTTAAGACAAACCTAATAATAAAACTTGATAAATTTCACTTTTTTCTCTGTTCAAAGTATTTTTAAGATTTGTATTTTTACATTCTTAAAGATTTTTGCATAATTTCATATATTTTTTGACAGGTTTTTATACAACTTTGACACTTTTTGTCAATTTGTATTACTAATTGTCTAATTGACGTTTGGATATTTTCAACAGTTTTATAACTTATTAGGTAGGTACATTTTGACAGACTACTGACTTTTTGACAACATTTTATTGTCAAATTACCAAATTTTGACATAATTTTATGACTAAATGACAATTTAATTTGTCATTCGGATATTTTCAACAGTTTAACTTTTGACAGTGATTACTGACTTTTTGGCAAAATTGACAACATTTTATCGCTAAATGACTAATTATAACATAATTTTATGACTAAATGACAATCTAATTTGTCATTCGGATATTTTTAACAGTTTAACTTGTTGGGTAAATTTTGACAGTGACTACTGACTTTTTGACAAAATTGACAACATTTTATCGCTAAATGACATAATTATGACATAATTTCATGACTAAATGACAATTAAACAATAATATGTCATTCGGAAATTTTTAACAGTTTTATTACTTAATGACCAATTTTGACAATATTTTATGACAAAATGACCTTGTTACATTAACAGTGAAAATGTTGTCATTTGCATATTTTCAACAGTTTTTATTACTTGTTGAGTAAACTTTTGGCAGTGACTACTGACGTTTTGGCAAAATTGACAATATTTTATGACAAAATGACCTTGTTACATTAACAGTGAAAATGTTGTCATTTGCATATTTTCAACAGTTTTTATTACTTTTTGAGTAAACTTTTGGCAGTGAATACTGACTTTTTGGCAAAATTGACAATATTTTATGACTAAATGACCTTGTTACATTAACAGTGAAAATTTTGACATAAGTATATTTTCAACAGTTTTTATTACTTGTTGAGTAAACTTTTGGCAGTGAATACTGACTTTGGCAAAATTGACAATATTTTGTCACTAAATGACAATTTTTGTCATTCGATTATTTTCAACAGTTTTTAATACGTTTTGATTACATTTTGAAAGTGACTACTGACTTTTTGGCAAAATTGACAATATTTTATCACTAAATGACAATTTTGACAATATTTTTTGACAAAATGACCATGTTACATTAACAGTGAAAATGTTGTCAATTGCATATTTTCAACAGTTTTTATTACTTGTTGAGTAAACTTTTGGCAAATTGACAATATTTTGTCACTAAATGGCAATTTTTGTCATTCGATTATTTTTAACAGTTTTTAATACGTTTTGATTACATTTTGAAAGTGACTACTGACTTTTTGGCAAAATTGACAATATTTTATCACCAAATGATTAATTTTGACATAGTTTTATAACTAAATGACAATTAACAGTGATATTGTCATTCGGATATTTTTAACAGTTTTTAATACGTTTTGATTACATTTTGATAGTAACTACTGACTTTTTGGCAAAATTGACAACATTTTATCGCTAAATGACAATTTTTGTCATTCGATTATTTTCAACAGTTTTTAATACGTTTTGATTACATTTTGAAAGTGACTACTGACTTTTTGGCAAAATTGACAATATTTTATCACTAAATGACCAATTCTGACATAGTTTTATAACTAAATGACAATTAACAGTGATATTGTCATTCGGATATTTTTAACAGTTTTTAATAAGTTTTGATTACATTTTGCAAGTGACTACTGACTTTTTGGCAAAATTGACAATATTTTGTCACTAAATGACAATTTTTGACATAATTTTATGAATTAATGACAATGTAACATTAACAGTGATATTTTTGTCATTCGGATATTTTCAACAGTTTTTAATACATTTTGCAAGTGACTACTGACTTTTTGACAAAATTTACAATATTTTGTCACTAAATGACAATTTTTGAAATAATTTTATAACTAAATGACCATGTAACATTAACAGTGATGATTTTGTCATTTGGATATTTTTAACAGTTTTTTATACTCGTTGATTACATTTTGGAAGTGACTACTGACTTTTTGTCAAAATTGACAACATTTTGTCAATAAATGTACATAAAATTAATAGTGATATTTTTGTCATTCGGATATTTTCAGTTTTTATTCTTGTGAAGTAAATTTTGGAAGTGACTACTGACTCATTGGCAAAATTGACAATGTTTTATTACTGAATGAACAATTTTGACATAATTTTATGAGTAAATTTATATCATTCGGATATTTTCAACAGTTTTTATAACTTGTTGAGTAGGTACATTTTTGGCAGTGACTACTGACTTTGGCAAAATGGACATGACCAATTTTGACATAATTTTATGACTAAATGACAATGTAGTTTGTAATTCTGATATTTTCAACAGTTTTATAATTTTAGAAGTGACTACTGACAATTTGACAAAATTAGCAATATTTTGTCACTACCTAAATGACAAATTTGGACATAATTTTATAACCAAATAACTATGGTAACATTAATTTGTCATTTGGATATTTTCAAAGGTTTTTATTAATTGTTGATTAAACCTCTTGGCAGTGACTACTGACTTTTTGGCAAAATTGACAATGTTTTATTACTAAATTAACAATTTTGATATAATTTTATGAGTAAATTTATATCATTCGGATATTTTCAACTTTTTTTATAACTTTTGGCAGTGACTACTGACTTTGGCAAAATGGACATTTTTTAAAGCTAAATGACCAATTTTGACATAATTTTATGACTAAATGACAATGTAGTTTGTCATTCTGATATTTTCAACAGTTTTATAATTTGTTAGACACATTTAAGAAGTGACTATTGACAATTTGACAAAATTAGCAATATATTGTCACTACCTAAATGACAAATTTAGACATAATTTTATAACCAAATAACTATGTAACATTAATTTGTCATTTGGATATTTTCAAAGGTTTTTATTAATTGTTGATTAAACCTCTTGGCAGTGACTACTGACTTTTTGGCAAAATTGACAATGTATTATTACTAAATGAACAATTTTGACATAATTTTATGACTAAATTTATATCATTCGGATATTTTCAACTTTTTTTATAACTTTTGGCAGTGACTACTGACTTTGGCAAAATGGACATTTTTTAAAGCTAAATGACCAATTTTGACATAATTTTATGACTAAATGACAATGTAGTTTGTCATTCTGATATTTTCAACAGTTTTATAATTAGTTAGACACATTTTAGACTACTGACAATTTGACAAAATTAGCAATATTTTGTCACTACCTAAATGACAAATTTGGACATAATTTTATAACCAAATAACTATGTAACATTAATTTGTCATTGGGATATTTTCAAAGGTTTTTATTAATTGTTGATTAAACCTCTTGGCAGTGACTACTGACTTTTTGGCAAAATTGACATTTTTCAACAGTTTTATAACTTGTTAGGTACATTTTATAAGTGATTACTGACTATTTGGTAAAATTTACAATATTTGACTACTGTATGACCAATTTTGACATACATTGACATTAACAATGATATTTTTCGATTCGGATATTTTCAAAAGTTTTTATTACTTGTTGAATAAACTTTTGTCAGTGCCTACTGACTTTTTGTCAAAACTGACAGTTTACCGCCGCCAAACGACAAAACGTTAAATTGTTCGCGTTCCGACAGCCGTTCAACCGAGCCTTCGACGCTTCGAGCCCGCCGGCGGTGGGAGGCGGCGGCAACCCCGCCGCCCAGTTCTTTTTCCCCGCCGGCGCCGGCCCCGTGCCCTTCTACCAGAGCGGCGTCGCCTACTATCCGCAGCCGCCGCAACCGGCGCCGCCGCAGCCCGCTCCCGGCGATCCCAACCAGCAGCAGCAGGCGGCAGTCTACCAACGTGAGTACAATTGTTTTCTGTTTGTGTACGTCCGCAAAATACCGGTACAACGGTGTACGTTTTCGCAAACTTAACGGCCCTCTGGCGGCCAAACGACGCAGCATCGTTTACATTCTTAAAACAGTTATATCTAGCTTGGTTTGACATTATTAAGACAGTTATTTATATCCAAGGTTGGCATTTTTAAAACAGTTATTTTTGTTAACTATCTTAAAAGGGCCAACATTGGATATAAATAACTGTCTTAATAATGTCAAACCAAGCTAGATATAACTGTTTTAAGGATCTTTAAGTAATGTTAAATATAACAGCCTTAAGAAAGTCAAATTAGACATTCTTAAAACAGTTATTTATATCCAAAGACCAACCTTAAAATAACTGTCTTAAGAATCTTTTAAGTACTGTTAAATATAATAATATCAAATTAGACATTCTTAAGACAGTTATGTATATCTAGCCTAGGTTTACATTCTTAAGATAGTTATTCCAGAAAAGATTGACATTCCTAAAACAGCTAAATATATATAGCTAATTTTGACATTCTTAAAACAGTAATATCTCTCTTAAAATGACATTCTTAAGGTTGACCAACTTAATTTGACAATCTTAAAACAGCCATATCTAACTTAATTTGACATTCTTAAGACAGTTATTTATATTCAAGGTTGCCATTTTTAAAACAGTTATTTTTTTTGTTAACCATCTTAGAAGGGCCAACATTGGATATAAATAACTTTCTTAATAATGTCAAACCAAGCTAGAAATAACTATTTTAAGGATCTTTAAGTAATGTTAAATGTAACAGTCTTAAGAAAGTCAAATTAGACATTCTTAAAACAGTTATTTATATCAAACGTTGGCATTTTTAAAACAGTTATTTTAAAAAGACCAACCTTAAAATAACTGTCTTAAGAATTTTTTAAGGACTGTTAAATATAAGTGTCTTGATAATATCAAATTAGACATTCTTAAGACAGTTATTTTTATCCAAGGTTGGCATTTTTAAAACAGTTATTTTAAAAAGGCCAACTTTAGAAAAAACTGTTAACTAAGAATGTGAATTTTTTAAGAACTATTAAATATAACTGTCTTAAGAATGTCAAATTAGACAATATATATATAGCTAATTTTGACATTCTTTAAACAGTAATATCTCTCTTAGAATGGACCAACTTAATTTGACAATCTTAAAACAGCCATTTCTAGTTTAATTTGACATTCTTAAGACAGTTATTTATATCCAAGGTTGGCATTTTTAAAACAGTTATTTTAAAAAGGACAATCTTAGAAAAAACTGTTAATTAAGAATGTCAATTTATGCTAGAAATAACTTTCTTAAGAATGTCATTTAGACAGTTATGTATATCAAGTCAGGTTTACATTCTTAATATAGTTATTTCAGCAAAGATTGACATTCCTAAAAAAGTTATATATAGCTGCTAATTTTGATATTCTTAAAACAGTAATATCTATCTTATGATGACATTCTTAACATGGCCATATCTAGCTTAATTTGACATTCTTAAGACAGTTATTTATGTCCAAGGTTGGTATTTTTAAAACAGTTTAAAAAGGACAATCTTAGAAAAAACTGTTAATTAAAAATGTCAATTTATGCTGGAAATAACTGTGTTAGGGATTTTTTACGTACTGTTAAATATAACTGTCTTAAGAATGTCAAATTAGGCATTCTTATGGCAGTTATATCTGGCGTTGGTTGACATGTTTAAGACAGTTATATCTAACTTGACGTTCTTAAGATAGATAATTTTGATCTTCAGAATGCCAACCTTGGACTGTTTTAAGGATGTCAATTTAAGTTAGAAACGATTGTTAAGAATATTTTAACTTATGTTCAATATAACTGCCTTATGAAAGTCAAATTAGGCATTCTTAAGGCAGTTATATCTAGCTTATGTTGTCATTATTAAGATAGTTATAATTTTGATCTTTAGAATGCCAACCTTGGAAATAACTGTCTTAAGAATCTTCTAACTAATATTAAATATTAGTTAGTCTTAAGAATGTCAATTTTAACTAGATATAACTGCCTTAAAAATATTTTAACTTATGTTTAATATTACTGTCTTAAGAAAGTCAAATTAGGCATTCTTAAGGCAGTTATATCTAGCTTAAGTTTACATTTTTAGGACGGTTGTATCCAGCTAAGGTTGAAATCCATAAAACAGCTATATTTAGCTTAGGTTGACATTCTTAGACTGTCTTAAGGATATTTTAACTACAGTTTAACATAACTGTCTTAAGAAAGTCAAACTAGGTATTCTTAAGACAGTTATATCCAGCTAAGCTTAAAATTCTTAAAACAGCTATAAATACGCGTATTTTTTTGACGCGACGAAAATGTTGAAAATTAATATTTTTTTCAGCCCCCCCGGTTTACCAATCGCAAACCGGCCCCCCCCCAAACGGCCGGCTATCCATCGATGATGTTTCCACCGGCCATTTACATGCCTCAGCAGTATCCAGTGCCGATACCGGTGAGTACCACTTGAAAAAAAAAATGGCGATTTTTTATAAAATTTGGTCATAATTGAAGAGTTGTTTTCTGCCCCCCCCCCTCTTCTTCTTCTTTCTTCTTCTCCTTTCTGGCTTCTGTACTAAAATTTTGTGGATTTTTTTTTTTTTAATTTTTTCCGATGCAATGCAATTTTTTTTTGATAAAATCCGATGCAATTTTCAAACAGTCCAGCAACTACATCTCCGATGGTATTTACCCCGTGAGTCAGCCCACGTACGTTCTCCTCGACGGTCTGCAGTACTGAGACCGGCGCTACCAACCCAACAAAAACAACAACCACCATCATCATCATCATCACCTACGTCATCATTATTATTACCAACTTAACCGACGTCGAAACCCCGTTTGCCGAAAGGTTTGGTTTCTTTTTTTTTTTTCTCTCGAGTTTGGTAGCTCTGCAGTTTGATTTTGTACGGCTTCGTTTGTTTTTTTTTTATTTTGTTTTTTTCAATTCGATTATTTGTCTTGAGGATTATTTTGTGCACGATTTTATTTGCATATTTTTATAATTTGTCGTTTTATATGCCGACTTTCAAACATATATACAAGCATGGTTTTTATGTTCTCCAAATTTATAGTTGGATGCCTTGATTTTTTTTTGTTACATTTTATGGCATGGTTAAGTATACAAATAGTTTAGTTTATATATTATATAGTTTTAAAGTGCATTTTTAAGGATAAGGTGGTACTATGGAAACCCCTACAAATATTCATATCTAAAGTTAAAACAGTTATATTTTTGATTAACTGTTTTAGGAAAGTCAATCTTAGAAATAACTGTTTTAAGGGATGTCAAATTAGGCATTCTTAAGACAGTTATTACAGCAAATATTAACATTCTTAAAACAATCATATCTAACTTAGGTTGACGTTCTTAAGACAGTTATATTTTTTATTAACTTTCTTTAGGATGCCAACCTTGGAAATTACTGTTAGGAATAATTTAACTTCTGTTAAATAGAAATGTCAAATTAGGCATTTTTAAGACAGTTAAATCTAGCCTAGGTTTACATTCTTAAGATAGTTATTGCAGCAAAGATTGACATTCCTAAAACAGCTATATTTAGTTAATTTGACATTCTTAAGACAGTAATATCTATCTTAGAATGACATTCTTAAGATGAACTTAATTTCACAATCTTAAAACAATTATTTATATCCAAGGTTGACATTTTTAAAACAGTTTTTTAAAAAGGCCAACTTTAGAAAAAACTGTTTTAATTAAGAATGTCAATTTATGCTAGAAATAATTGTCTTAAGATTCTTTTAAGTACTGTTAAATATAACTGTCTTAAGAACGTCAAATTAAACATTCTTAAGACAGATTTGACATTCTTAAGACGGTCATGTTTAGCTTAGGTTGACATTTTTAAGATAGTTTTATTTTTGATTAATTTTCTAAAGAATGAAATCTAAGCTAAAAATAATTATTTTAGGAATCTTTTAACTGATGTTAAGAATGTCAAATTAGGTATTCTTAAAACAGTAATATTTAGCTTTGGTTGATATTCTTAAGATAGCTATTCCAGCAAAGGTTGACATTCCTACAATCTAGCTTAGTTTCATATTATTAACACAGTAATATCTTACTTAACTTGACATTTTTAAAACAGCTATATCTAGCCTAGGTTGAAATTCTTAAGACAGTTATTTTTTGGTCAACTATCTTAAGGATGCCAAACTTGGAATGAACTGTTTTAAGAATGTCAATTTATGCTAGAAATAAATGTTTTAGGAATATTTTAACCAAAGTTAAATATAACTGTCTTAAGAATGTAAAATTAGACATTATTAAGACAGTTATATCTATCTAGAGTTGATATCTTAAAATAGCTACAGTATTGGCTATAATTATTTTAACAACTCGTCACCTGAGAATTATAGTGTTCTATCTGCATTTTTTTTTAAATTAAAGTTTGTCTTGTTTTGAATCTTAAAGATGCATATTGTTGTAACTATATATAATTGGGGTAAAAATTGTACAGTTTAAGCCTTAAACTGTACAATTTCTATCCCAATTATATATAGACAGAACAATATGCATCTTTAGGACTTAAAACAAGACTAACGACAATTTAAAAAAAAATGCAGATAGAACACTATAATTCTTAGGTGACGAACTGTAAAAAAATCCAACTCTAAAACGTCTTAATTATTCTTTATAAAATTTTGGATAAAAATACTTCAACTTATATCTCAGTTTACGTGTTCGAGGTTTTTTCGAGAAAATATTTTTTAAGCCCTTTTATTTAATAATAAAAAAACATTCGAATTTTTTTTTGAAGTACCTAAATAAAAAATATGCTGTGAAAGACAGTATTTTTGTAAGTATATTCTGAATATGTTGTAAAAATCAAACAAAAATAGTTAAGAAAATACAGCGCTTCAAAGACGTAAAAAAGGACCATATTTCAGCAAAATAATCAAAAGGGGGTTATTTTTAAAACCTTGAAGCGCTGCATCTTTGTTACTGTTCGTTTGATTTTTACAAAATTTTCAGGGTATACTAATAAAAATATGGTCTTTAACAGAATAATAAATAATAATAAAATACTTTATTTTCATCCCAAGAAACATACAGTTTATAGAGGGACACCTCTAATCATACAATTTAATATATATTTTTTAATCCTTAAAAGTTATTTTTCGAACGTTTTTTCATTATTAAGTAAAAGGGCTTTAAAAATATTTTCTCGAAAAACCCTCGAATACGTAAACTGAGATGTAAGTTGAAGTATTTTTATTCAAAATTTCATAAAGATTAACAAAGGACTTTTAGAGATTTTTTTTACATCTTAGTTTGACAATCTTTTTTGGTTAACTACTTTAAGAATGTCAACCTTAGAAGCTAGAAATAACTGCCTTAAAAATGTTTTAAGTTATATTAAATATAACTTTAATAATTTTTAAAACATTTGTATAGTTAGAACGGTTCCATATTACCACTTTGTAGTTTATTAAAGGCAATAATAAAAAATTGACTGTTTGTTTCTTTGGACAGTACGACTATAACTATTACCAAAACGGCGGGCATCAGTACATGCACAATCCGGGCGGGCCGGGCGGCGGTCCCCCGTGCCAGGCGGCCGCCTCGGCGGGCCTGCAGCCCGGCAACAGCCCGCCGCGACCGCCGTGCTACGGCCCGCCGCAGTCGCAAGGTTCTTCCAGTTCCGCGCAGCAGCAGCAGCAGTCGGCGCAGGCGCAGCAGCAGATGCAGGCGGCCGCCTACGGCGCCGGCGCTTCGGCGCAGGCGGCTGCGCAGGCCGCCGCGCAAGCAGCAGCCGAGGCGGCCATGTTCTACAACATGTCGATCTACGGCGCCCCGGGCGCCGTAGAGGGCGCGCCCCTCTACTCGACGGAGCCCTTCGACTTAAGCGCCCAGATGGGCGGACCCTACTGCACAGAGGTGAGTCCATTTGGTTTTATTTTAAAAATAAAACCAAATATTGTTCAATCAACATCACACCCCGTACCACCAAACAACACACTTTTTTATCCGACTCCTTGAAAATCCCGTCCCGACAAAACCCTCCTGAAAAATTCGTCCGGTAAAACGCGTCGTTTGTTTATTTAGGAATACTTTAGCGCGGAATTCGAACGCAACGATAAGTTTGGCATTTTTTAAACAGTTATTTTAAAAAAGTCAACTGTTTAAGTACTATTAAATATTACTGTCTTAAGAATATCAAATTAGACATTTTTAAGACTGTTATGTATTTTTAAAACAACTAGGTTGACATTTTTTAAACAGTTTTATTTTTAATGTTAATGTTAAATGTATTAAAAATGTCAAATTAGGCATTCTAAAAAAAGTCATTTCTAACTTAAATTAACATTCTAAAAACAGTCATTTCTAAGTTAATTTGACATTTTTAAAACAGTTAACTTTAGCTAGATATAACTGTCTTAAGAATGTCAACCTTGGGCTAGATATCTAACTTTCTTAAAAATGCTCCATTTGACATTGTTAAGACAGTCATTTCTAACTTTATTTAACATTCTAAAAACAGTCATTTCTAACTTATTTTGACATTTTTAAAACAGTTAACTTTAGCTAGATATAACCTAATCAGGATATAAATAAATGTCTTAAAAATGCATAATTTAAAATACAGTTACATATAACTTTCAAGAATGTTGAATTAAGCTAAATATTGTGTAATTTGACATTTTTAAGACATTTATATTTAACATAAGTTAAGACATTTTTAAAACAAGTATATATCTAGCTTAATTTGACATTCTTAAAATAGATATAACTGTTTTTAGAATGTCAACCTGTATTGAATATAATTGTTTTAAGGATACCTCATTTGACATTGTTTAGATAGTTATTTCAGCCAAGATTAACATTCTTTAAACAGTTATACTTATGTTTTGTTAAGAATGCCAATTTTAATATTAAAAATATTGTGTTAAGAATGTCGATCTAAACTGGAAATGAGAAAATCAAATTAGGCATTCTTATATCTAGCTTAGGTTTACATTCTTAAGATAGTTATAATTTTGATGTTCAGAATGCCAACTGGAAAAAACCCGTCTTAAGAATGTCAATCTAAGCTGAAAATAACTGTTTTATGAATCTTATCTTAAGAATGTCAAATTCGGTATTCTTAAGGCAGCTATATTTAGCTTAGGTTTACATTTCTAAGACAGTTATTTCTAGGTAAATTTGAAATCCTTAAAATAGCCATATTTAGCTTAATTTGACATTCTTTAGATAGTAATATCTAGCTTGGGTTGACATTCTTAAGACAGTTATAATTTTGATCTTCAGAATGCCAACATTGGAAAAAACTGTCTTAAAAATGTTAATCTAAGTTAGAAATAACTGTTTTAAGAATTTTATAAACTAATATTAAATATGACTGTTTTAAGAATGTTAACCTAAATCATAAATAACTGTTGTAAGAATGTTTTAACTTATATTTATATTTCTAAAAAAGTAATATTCAGTTTAGCTATATTTAGCCTACTTTGACATTCTTAAGATAGTAATATTTAAATTTTAAATGTAATTTGTCATGATAATGTCAAATTCTTAAGACAGTTATATCTGGCGTTGGTTGACATTCTTAAGACAGTTTTTTCCAAAGTTGACATTCTTAAAACAGTTATACTTAGATATTTTGTTAAGAATGTCAACATTGGAAAAAACTGTCTTAAGAATGTCAATCTAAATTAAAAACGAAAAAGAATTTTTTAAGTACTATTAAAAATATTATTCTTAAGGCTAGCTTAGGTTTACATTCCTAACACAGTTATATCCAGCTAAGGTTGGAATCTTTAAAACAGCTATTTTTAGTTTAGTATGATTCTTAAGACAATTATATTTTTTATCTTTGGGAACTTTTTTTTTAAGAATGTCAATCCAAGCTGAAAATAACTGTCTTAAGAATCTTTTAATAAATATTAAATAAAACGGTTTTAAGAATGTCAACCTTGAAAATCCCGTCCCGTCCAAACCCTCCTCCAAAAAATTGTTAAAATCGGCCCCGGTAAAACGCGTCGTTTGTTTATTCAGGAATACTTTACCGCGGAATTCGAATGCAACGACATGCTGTCATTCTCGTTCGATAACCCCACCAACAACAACAACGGCAACATGGAACACCACGCAGGCGGTGGAGGCGGCAACAGCGCCGCATTACCGCCCCACCAACACTTTCCGCCGCTGTCGGGCTCTTTTCTCAATAATCACATGACCGTCGCGAACAGCGATGTTGTCGGCAATAATAACAATAATGAGGAGAGAAATGCGACGACGCCGGTTGTAAGTTTGTTGAGCATCGATCATCAGCAGGAGAAAGACTTGAGTAGCATGCAGGGTGGGAGAAAGAAGCCGCAAATGGTGGCGCCCACCTCGCAAGCGGTCAATTTCAAACCGTCCAACGGTATCTTGTACCCGACCTACTCCACTAACAACAATAACACCACCAACGGCTACCAGCATCACTATTTAAGCTACGGCGGTCAAACTTACCACCATTACGTGCCGGAGCAAAACAATCGTTACAACAACCGCTTGAAGCAGCGCAACTCGAAAAACTCGTCGCGATCTTCTCTGCGAACCGATTCGAACTCCTCTGCGGAGGTGAAAACGACGAACGGCGAGGAGAAATTCGCGATTAACGCGACGTTGCCGCAACCGCCCACCGCCTACTCGCCCATCGCCAACCACCACCACAAGATGACGCGCACGCTGGCGGGCTTTTTTCAATCAGGAGTCGCGCGACAAAATCGACGCTTTAAACAACAACAACAACGACAATTGTGCGTCTGCGCAGGTGGCCGCGCAGACTTTCGTGCCGCCGCGCAGGAACCGGCGCAGCATCAGGCGCCAGCACGGCGAGATGGGGCAGGGCGACGCCCCCGCCTCTGCGGCGCCCTCGGCACCGCAAAAGTCGCAGGACGAGGTGTGCAAGAAGCTGGAGAATCTCAAGCTGTGAACACACTCACTCACTTGTATTAATATTAGCAGTAGTAGTAGTAGTTCATAGGTTAATTGATTCTCTCGATATTTTTTTCTTTCTTTCCTTCATTCATTTCCTTACACGTGTGTATTTGCAAGCATGTATAAAATACAACCGAAAGGGACTTGATTGAATTCATTGCGTTGCGTTTTTTTCTTTTTGTTTTCTTTGCGGCGGGGGCTGCGCGCGCTTAAACGTTTTTTTTTCAGCTTTATTCTCGAGAACGTCAACCTTAAATGTAACTGTTTACTTAAGACAGTTATATTTTAAGTTAAGTTGGTTATGACTTTCTTAAAAATGCCTCATTTGGCATTCTTAAGATGTCAAGCATCTTCAGATGCATATAACTGTCTTAAGAATGTCAACTTTCTTGAAAATGCTTTTGACATTCTTAAGACAGTCATTTCCAACTTAATTTCACATTCTTGACAGTCACATCCAACTTAATTTGACACGTCAAGCATTCTTAAGACAGTTATATCTGGCTTAAGTTAACTATCTTCAGATGGATATAACTGTTTTAAAAATGCCTCATTTGACATTCTAAGATTTCTATCTTAATTTGACATTCTTGACAGTCAAATCCAACTTAATTTGACATGTCAAGCATTTTTAAAACAGTTATATCTAGCTATAACTGCTTTTAATAATATCAAAAGCTGAATATAACTGTCTTAAGAATGTCAACCTGGGCTAGATTTAACTTTTTTGAAAATGCTTTTGACATTCTTAAAACAGTAATTTCTAACTTTATTTAACATTCTTATATCTAACTGAATTTCACATTCTTGACAGTCAAATTAATTTGACATTTCAAGAATTCTTAAAACACTTATATCTAGCTATAACTGTTTTTTAATAATATCAAAAGCTGAATATAACTGTCTTAAAAATGTCAACCTGAATTAGATATATCATATCTGGTTTAATTTGACATTCTAAAAACATTCATATCTAGCTATATTTAACATTCTTAAGATAAATATAACTGGTTTTAAAATATCAACTTAATCTTAATATAACTGCCTTAAGAATGCCTCGTTTGACATTCTTAAGACAGTTATATTTAGCTTGGGTTGGCATATTATTTAAGACAGTCATACCTAGCTTATGTGGACATTTTTAAAACCTAGTTAATCCAGATAAAACTTTCTTAAAAGTTTCAAATTAAGTTAAACATAACTACCTGGATTAAATTTAAATGTCTTAAAAATGCCTTATTTGACATTCTTATGACAGTCAAGTTTGATATGACTGTCTTCAGCTAAATTGACTGTCTTAAAATAGATAAAACCTAAACAATATATAACTGTCTTAAAAATCCCTAATTTTTAAAACAGTTTCATATAGCTTTTAAGAATGTTAATTGTCTTAAAATAAATAGATAGATGACATTCTAAAAATCTATATATAAATGTCTTAAAATTTTCAAATTAGGCATTTTTTTAAGACAGTTATGTCTTGCTTAGTTTAACATTCTTAAGACAATTAATTATATCTTATTTTGGCATGTTTAAAACAATTTATTTAAGCTAGATATAACTGTCTAAAGAATGTCAACTAAAGACCAATATAACTGTCTTAAGGATATCAACCTAAGCAAGATATAACTCTTAAAAATACATAATTTAAAATTTTTAACTATGTTTTATAAAACTTTTAAGAATGTTAACTGTCTTAAGATACATAATATTCTTGGAAGCTATATAAAGTTGTCTTAAAAATTTCGAATTATGCATTTTGAAAACGGTTATATCTTGCTTAAGTTGACATTTTACTGTTTTAAAAATGTCAGTTATAACTGTCTTGTGATATAATTTAAGAATGTCAACTTTAGCTAAATGCCTCATTTGACATTCTTAAAACAGTTGTTTTAATTTGACATTCCTAGGACAGTAATATCTGACTTAATTTAACATTTTTAGGACAGTCATATCTAACTAAATTCTTATATTCTTAAGACAGTCATATCTAGCTTAGGTTGACATTTTTAGAACAGTTAATAGTAATAGTAACTGTCTTAAGAATATCAAACTAAGCAAGATCACATATCAGAGTGCGTGCATAATTTTACAGTTAGAAATACCTTTTAGGAATGTCAAATTAAGCTAGATATAACTGTCTTAAAATGCATTATTTAAAATATTTAAAATAATTTCATATATCTTCTTAGAATGTTAACTGTCTTAACATAGATGACATTCTTAGAAACTATATAAAGTTGTCTTAAAAATTTGAAATTATACATTTTTAAGACAGTTATGTCTAGCTTAAATTAACTGTTTTAAAAATGTAAGTTACAGCTGTCTTAAGATAGATATAGCTGTAATGGGAATGCCTTATAAAAAAGTTATATTTATCTTAATTTTGCATTCTTAAGACAATTTTACATTTTTTAGGCAAGTATATCTAGCCTAATTCGACTTACTACAATAGCAATACAAACTGCTTGGTATAAAAAATATTCAATCAAATCAAAGTTTAATTCCACAAGACATACAGTGGTGCCGAATTTCGCGCGATGTTGCCAAATTTCGGCGACGTTTTCGCGCCCGCAGCCACGCACACAAAGTGTTGTTTGTTGGGTCGACTGATTTAAAATTATATTATGATTAATATTACTGTTAAGTGCTAGTGCTATACATATAATACGTAGTATATATAAATGAGTAAAAAAAAAGAGACACTTGTTAACTATTTGGGGGTGTATAACACTTGTTATTTAATGTTTAAGAAGAGTACGTTTTTTGTATATAAAAACTCGCGTGAGACACAAATTGTTGATTTTTTTTTTCTGTTTAGTTTCTTGTCTCTGTGATATATATTGTAAAAGGAAAAGCAAAGGTTGCCAGACGAAAATTAGAGGGAACGAAATTTTTCGTTGTTTTTCGTTGCGTTTGTTTCGTTGAGGAAAAAAACAGTGAGAAAAAAATTTGCTCAAAAAACTGTCTCGAAAAATTTAATCGTTTTTTTTACTTGTTGGGCTGTGAGACGTCGTTGAAATAAAAACTAAAACGAATCAAAGTTATTGAAGCCTAAAAGTTTGTTTTTTCGTTCTCTATTCTATAGTATATACATACACACATAATAATATATATATTTAAGAAATTATTAAATATTTTCCAAAGTTAGAGCATAGAGATTAGTTTTTAAGGAGTATTTAGTAATTTATTTATTAGTAACGTACGACATACAATTAATTAACAATAAAAAGTAGGGTGTAAGTTTATTTTGGCCAAAAAAACACTTCATGATCTCCGTATCAAAAAATGTACGAAAATGTATAAAAAAAAATGTACCTGCAGAAAAATGTACATATTTTGTTATCTATTGTTAACATTTACGAAATTTTATATGAAACCTGTTGATTTTGCGGCCCGAAAAATAAACGGGCCCCCTTTACGGCCAATTTATTTAAGTTGTAAACGTTAGACGCAAGAAAGGCCTAACTAAAAAAAAAAATAAAAGTGTCACATTGAGAGCAATATTGAACAACGTCAATTTGATTTTTTGTAAATATCGAAAAGTATCTGCTCTATACAAAGGTTGTGCTATGATATAAAACATAGTTGGGGCGTTTAAAACGCCCCGCGCAAATTTGGCGACTTGGGCGGGAAAAGTAATTTTGGTGTCTTTAACTGCATGCTGATGGTAAACTACATAGTTTTTATTTTATTATTAAATTACGCCAAAGTCGCCAAAATTGTACCTAGATACGTGTAGTTCCCCCGTAATACATAATTAAAATAATTATAAAAAAAGGTTAAAGCCAAAATTTTGTGATAGAAAATAAAATAATAATACATTACTTTTGTGTTCAAATATTATTATTGTTACATTATAAAAAGGGGCTATTATTATATATAATAGATATATTAAAAAATCGAATAACGTAGATATAACGTATATAATAAGGCGAAACGAGCAGACCTACTCAGATCTGCACCTTGGACTAAAAAAAATTAAAAAAAAATAATACGTCTGCAATATTTTGAAATAAGAAGACATTACTTAAATAAACCAGTGAGAAATATTTATTATTAAATATAAATAAGTATATAAGTTTACTCTGTAAGGCTATATGTACAAAAAATCAAGATAATAAATATTATAAATAAGAAACACTGCATTTTATTGTTTGACATAACAACTTTCAGAATTTTCGTCGCAATTCTCGAATTGCTGCACGTTGCCCAACTTTGCATTACTTTTGTCTATGCACGCACATCTGTAGTCTTTCGCTCCGGCTTCGTACAATTTTCGGGGTTTTCCCACCCAGTTTCTGTGAATCCCACCACTAAAATTTAAAAAAGTAATAATTCGATTTGCCTGAAACTTTCTCATCTTTTTCAACCCTATCAAAAACTTTTTTCAACTACTGGAAACTGACATTTTCTGCAAATTCTCTGAAATGTTTAGCTTATTTCAAATTATACCACATTTTTTCAAAGTTGAAAAAAATAATAAAAGAAATTGAAATTTATTTTAATGTTTTTAGAAAAAGTAAGAAAAAAAATAGAAAATGGATATATTTTTTTAAAACTACAGTTAAAAACAAAAAAAATTAAAAATCATTTTATTTACTCAGGTTAAAAATTAATTTAAAAATCTGAAACTTTTTGTGTAAAATTAAATTCTTGATAACTTTCATTAATATTTTTATGTAAAATGCGTATTTTTGGCGATATCGTTGTACATCACAAGGTAACGTAAAAGTCACATAAATCTAACATGTCAAATATCTCGCGTTCTGTGCATTTTGCGAAAAAACTGTTGCTACGATTTTTATAAGGAATTGAATCCTCTACAATTTTTCCTGTAAAATGCATATTTTCGAAAATATCACAGTTTTACGTAAAGGTAACTTAAAACCAACATGACAAGTATCTCGCGTTCTGTAAATTTATCAACAAAAACTGTAAATACCTTTTTTGTAGGCAATTGAATTCTGATTACTTTTTGTTCAATTTTTTTTAAATTTTCTGTTCTTAAATGTTATTTTCCAAAAAATAAAGAAAAAGTTACAAACGTCGAGAAATTTTCGTTTTTTAAATTAAAAAAAACGGTCTGAATAATATTTTTCTGAAACTTTTGGAATATGTTTGAAAGTCTAAAAGTAAGAAAAAAACTTGTTTGAAAAAAAATTATTTTCCCATTTTAGGATTAAAAAAATTAATTTAAAAATCTGAAACTTTGAGAGTACCTAGGTAAGCTTAAGAATAGTAAAAGAAAAAACTTTTTGTGTGAAATTAAATTCTTGACAACTTTCATTAATATTTTTATGTAAAATGCGTTTTAGGAGATATTGTTGTACATCACAAGGTTACGTAAAAGTGACATAAATCTAACATGTCAAATATCTCGCGTTCTGTGCATTTTGCGAAAAAATTATTGTTACGATTTTTGTAGGGAATTGAATCCTCTACAATTTTTTTATACAACTTATTTCTGCAAAATGCATATTTTCGAAAATATCACAATTTTACTTAAAAGTTACATAAAACCAACATGTGAAATATATCGCGTTCTGTTAATTTTTCGACAAAAAAGGAGTCTAAAAGTAAGAAAAAACCTCGTTTGAAAAATATTTTTCTCGATTTTTATGTAAGAATGTCATATTCTCGCACGCAAAATCGTTGAAGAATGAAGCTCATTCTTAAACGATTTTTGGTAACATTTAGTTTTTAAGTATTGGTACCCCCAAAATGTCAAACTGATTAATAACCTCAAATTCATTACTTTTATTGAAAATGAAGCCTTTATTATTGTTTTTGTAATATTAAGTTTGCTCCAACAATGCATTTTAATGCAAAATTTTAAGTTGAATGTAAAAAAGTGCAGTTCAGGTTGTACTTGTGCAGGATAACAAATATTGTCATTTTGTGTTGCCAACTGACATTTTGCGAGAAAAATCCCCTAACTAACAACGACCACAAAACAATTAAAAAAACCTAAATAAAAGTTAAAATCGAGAAAATAGTATAAATCACACGTTGCAGAAGGCTATTCTCGCACTCATTCGTTCGTCCACTCGCTCCTTCGTCGCTCGAGGCCAAATTTCGAATTCGTGCGAGAATATGTGGCCTTCTGCAACTTGTACTTTAATATACTATTTCCCACTTTTTTAGGATTTTTTGGAAGTGCCTTTATTTGCAGAGAATGTCAGTTTCTTATAAAAAAAAGGAAAAATAAAAAATTCACTTGTCGAGAATTAAAAAAAAACGTTGAAATGGTCTGAATAATTTTTTACTATATTTTTCTAAAAAGAAGATAAAAATTCTTGATAAAATTTGTTGGTTCTGAAAAAAGCAAAATATTTTTTTCCTCTAACATTTTTTTTACCTTTTGTTGCTACACCAATATCTGCTTCCTGATTCTTGGTCCCACTCCACATTACAAGGTGGAAATTTAGCCTTTTCCAACTCCTCTGATTTTTTTTGATTTTCTGCTGCGTCTATTAATTTTTTTACTTGTTTTGCGTACTCTGTTAAATCTCCTTTATTGTTATAATACTTTCCCACCAATTTACCTTGAATAATACATTTTTAATATCTACTGCTACTTTTTTGAAAAAAGTGACAGATGTCAAATTTTAACCACAACTGACATCTGTCAAACAGTTTTCCAACTTGATAAAAAAAATTACCTATTTTTTTATAAGTATCCCCATAAAACTTTATCCAATAGTTTAGCGATCTTAAACCTGCATCATCTAAATCTGCTACATGTTCACTCACAACATCTTCCTCTGATTTCCCAGTCACAAAACTCCTCGTTGAATCTTTCCCCACAAAGAAATTATACGACTCCCCAGGCCCATAGTGCTTAAAACCCTTGGTAACGTCATAAACATCACCGCAAATACTTAAATACAACTCTGGGGAATGTATACCGTTAAATTTTTGTAAAACTTGTTTCGTCAGCAGAACAGGTTCACCAATTTTCGAGTTTTTATGGGTGACGGTTTTAAAAAAAATATTTCCTATAATCCCGAAGGCTTTATCGCCGAAAAAATACGACAACAGCACCGAAATCAGCGTAACAATTAAAAACTGCTTCAACATTGTAGTAAACAATGCATCATAACCTAATAATACAGTGAGGTTATGATGAGATGACGTGTATGGTACATTGGAACTACTCCCTTCCAAGCAACGTATCCGGATTGTGCAGCAATACAGAGTGAAATAAAACAAGTATTAAAATGGATATCATTTATTGCGATAAGAAAAAAAATAAACAAAGAAATAATAAAAAACAAATCAATCTAGGTAGTCGTAAAGATTTTAAATAAAATTTATCCCTATGCACTAAAAAGAAGTTAATAACAAATATTATTAAAAGGAAGTGAGGTTATGATGAGATGACGTGTATGGTACGTTGGAACTACTCCTCCCAAAGCAACGTAGCCGGATTGTACAGCAATTCAGAGTGAAATAAAACAAGTATTAAAATGGATATCATTTATTGCGATAAGAAAAAAAATAAACAAAGAAATAATAAAAAACAAATCAATCTATGTAGTCGTAAAGATTTTAAATAAAATTTATCCCTATGCACTAAAAAGAAGTTAATAACAAATATTATATACAATTTTTTTATTTAATTTTATTGACTAAATTTTCTATGTCGTATAATAATAAATACTGCTGAAAACGTTGAAAAACACAATTTCGATGTCAAAAGTAATTTTTTAACGTTTCGTTTTATATATAAGTGGATTGCACAAAAATATCGCCCTGTATATGTGTTTTGTGGTAAATTAATAAAATATAATGTAAATGGTATTTTTAAAAGCTTTTTTGATTTGATATTTTAATCTAAAAGATGTCGGAAAAAAGTTACCATTTTAAAAGACAAAAACGCGATTATCTCTTTAACTTTAGATTTTCCAAAAAAAATGTTGTAAAACTTTTTGTGGGAAGTTAAATTCTCTGCAACTTTCGTTAATAACTTTTTTATGTAAAACGCGTATTTTTGGAGTTATCGCTGTAAATTATAAGGTTACGTAAAAATGACATAAATCTAACATGTCTAATATCTCGCGTTGTGTGCATTTTTCGAAAAAATTGTTGGTACGATTTTTGTAGGGAATTGAATCGTCTACAATTTTATTATATAAGTTTTTTCTGTAAAATGCATATTTTTGAAAATATTACAATTTTACGTTAGTTACATAAAACCAACATATCAAATATTTCGCGTTCTGTGAGTTTTTCGACAAAAACTGTAAATACCTTTTTTGTAGAAAATTTAATTGTGATTATTTTTTGTGGTAAATTTTTTTTCGAGATATCACTGTTTTTGTTTTAAGGATGGTTCACTTTTTTGACACCTCGTATATGGCTAAAAAATTATGACATTTTAATATTATTATTATTATTATAATTATTAAAAAGCCTATATACAATAATGTTCATAATAAATAATATACAAAAAATGGTACATTTTTCTTTTTACTAAAAAATGAAAAATTTGGCAGTAATTTCAAGTTTAGTGTGTATAAAAAAATTTTGACGATTTATTTAATTTAATTTAAATATCAAGCGTTCTTAAGTTTTAATTGTTAATACCTTTTACGATTTAAATTTTGGTATTAAAATTAGTCTTTTTATTACGGATTTTCAACAATCCAAAATTAATTATGTAATTAATATGTATGTATAAAATAAAATGTAGGTATAAAGAAAAATTATTAAATGGTAAAAAATTATTTAAAATTAATTATTTTTACAAAAATTAATTATAAACTATATACAATTATTCTATCAACACCGGACACAAAATCAAAAAATTAAATGTCAAATACGATAAGAAATTTATGATCCGTCCACAATGTATGTAGTCTAAGGTAAAACCATAGACAAATAAAATGCTGACGGATCAAAAGTTAAATAAATGAAAATCGATAAAAATGTAATAATTATTACCATAGACGTTTATCTATGGAGAGTATTCAATTTTTTTTTGTTTTCTCACTAAAATGGTGTCGATGAATCGGATTTTTTTATTTTCACACCGAGTTTGGAGGAAACGATGTCGAACTGTTGGATCTCGCTAAACTTAGCATGGAACCCGATAAACTCCCGTCATCGTCGTATAAATCTCGTGATAAGTCCCCGTGAGAAATTTCCGCAATCGCTAGGGCACTAAAATTTTTTTTTTTTTTAATTTTTTTTTTTTTTTAATTTTTTTTTTTCGATTTTTTTTTTTTTTTTTTTTTAACTCAAACTCACCTGAAACCCAGTCGGACCGACTCGTCGTCGAACTCGGCCAGCTCTTTGTCCTGCTTCTCGTGCAAAAGTCTTATTCTTTCCCCGCGCTCCTCAATAAACCTTTGGTTTTCGATGACCATCTGAAAAACGGCAAAAATAATTTTTTCGCGGTTAAAATATTTTTTTTGCGTACTTTCTGCTCGAGAAGACTTTTTCTCAGGTTGACCCTCGTCTGCAGTTCGTCCTTTTCCCTGTCTCTCTGCGCTTGCGCCTGCATTTTGTTTTTGCTCTGGTAAGCCATCAGAATTTCCATTTCGTACTGCAATTTGTCCTTCATTTGCTGACATTGCATCTGAAAACGTCGTAGGCCCAATGTAGTTCGTTTGTACAAATTATTAAAACACTTATTGCACTTTATATGAAAATTGACGTGTTTGCACTAATTATAAAATGAGAATTATTGGATATTTTTTCATAAAATTTAGTACAAACATTGAGCACCATTAGAGGCAACTTTACACAAAATTTGGTCAAAATTACTCCACTTAAAAAGAAGTTATTTCACATTATACAAAAATTGACGTTAAATTTATAATTAGCACTATTTATAAAATGAGAATTATTGGAGATTTTTTTATAAAATTTAGCACAAACATTGAGCACCATTAGAGGCAACTTTACACAAAATTTGGTCAAAATTACTCCACTTAAAAAGAAGTTATTACACTGTATACAAAAATTGACGTCAAATTTATAATTTGCAATATTTATAAAATGAGAATTATTGGAGATTTTTTTATAAAATTTAGTACAAACATTGGGCACCATTAGAGGCAACTGTACGCAAAATTTGGTCAAAATTACTCCACTTAAAAAGAAGTTATTACACTTAATACAAAAATTGACGTTAAATTTATAATTATCACTATTTATAAAATGAGAATTATTGGAGATTTTTTTATAAAATTTAGAACAAACATTGAGCACCATTAGAGGCAACTGTACGCAAAATTTGGTCAAAATTACTCCACTTAAAAAGAAGTTATTACACTTAATACAAAAATTGACGTTAAATTTATAATTATCACTATTTATAAAATGAGAATTATTGGAGATTTTTTTATAAAATTTAGAACAAACATTGAGCACCATTAGAGGCAACTGTACGCAAAATTTGGTCAAAATTACTCCACTTAAAAAGAAGTTATTACACTGTATACAAAAATTGACGTCAAATTTATAATTTGCAATATTTATAAAATGAGAATTATTGCAGATTTTTTTATAAAATTTAGTATAAACATTGAGCACCATTAGAGGCAACTTTACACAAAATTTGGTCAAAATTACTTCACTTAAAAAGAAGTTATTACACTGTATACAAAAATTGACGTCAAATTTATAATTTGCAATATTTGTAAAATGAGAATTATTGGAGATTTTTTTATAAAATTTAGTAAAAACATTGAGCACCATTAGAGGCAACTTTACACAAAATTTGGTCAAAATTACTCCACTTAAATAGAAGTTATTACACTTTATACAAAGTGCACTTTTTACTCAATTTACATTTTTGATTGTAACATGAAAACTACCAAATATTTTTTGATGAAATTTGTTGTACATATAAGGCACCATTGGTAGTATAATTACACCAAATTTCAACAAAATTATACCGCTGGAAATAATAATATTTACCTCTTGACTTTCGTCCAATTTAATACACTGTTTCTGCAACATCTCCGCAATACTTTGCTCATACTGATCACCCAGGAGAGCCAATTTCCTCCTTTGCTCCTCCTTCAACTTCTTAATGACGATTTTTTGCTGATCGCGAGGCGTAGTGTTCAAAACTTGCTGCTTCAAAGCTTTGTATTGCTTAGTCTGAACCTTGCAAGTCTCCCTGAACTGCTTTCGAACCAGCATCTCCTTCTGCTTCAAAGATTTCGGCTGCTGCTTTATTTCCAGAGCGTGTTTCTTCCTCAGCTCCCGCTCGGTTCTCTTCATGTACTCCGTTTGGTTGGCCAGCTCCGTATCGTGCTGATTTCTCACCTAAAAGAGCGGTAGTTCGTTTGTACCGCCGTAAAATCTCTGCAACAAAACTTTTTTTCGACTCACCTGTTCTTCCCTTAGGGCGTGCACGGCTTTTTGCTGCCTATACTCGAGCTCCTGCGTTTTCTCGTGGTGTCTCAGCAGGATGTTGTGCGCCATTTCGAGTTGCTGCTGGCGCTTGTTGAGCTCCTGCCTGAGCAGGTCCTGCTCGAGCTGGTGGTACGAGAGCAATTTTTTTCTGCGGAACTTCCTCACCTCCAGCTCCAAGTGCTCCTTTTGGTGGCGCAGGAGGCGCTGCTCTTCCTGCGCGTCCACCTGCTTGAGGTTTTCTTTTTGGTTCCTGCAAGGATAGATCGCGTTCAAATTTTGTGCAATTGTTGAGCACTATTGGAGGCTACTTTGTATAAAATTTAGTCAAGATTACTCCACTTAAAACGAGGTTATTGCACATTTTACAAAAGTTGACGTTAGATTTATAATTTGCACTATTTATAAAATGAGAATTATTGGACATTTTTCTACGAAATTTTGTAAAAATATTAAGCACCATTAGAGGCAACTTTACACAAAATTTGGTCAAGATTACTCCACTAAAAAAGAAGTTATTTCACATTATACAAAAGTTGACGTTAGATTTATAATTTGCAATATTTATAAAATGAAAATTATTGGACATTTTTGTATGAAATTTGGTGAAAATATTAAGCACCATTAGAGGAAACTTTACACGAAATTTGGTCAAGATTTCTCCACTAAAAAAGAAGTTATTGCAATTTATACGAAAATTGACGTAAAATTTATAATTTGCACTATTTATAAAATGAGAATTAATTGATATTTTTCTACGAAATTTTGTAAAAATATTAAGCACCATTAGAGGCAACTTTACACAAAATTTGGTCAAGATTACTCCACTTAAAAAGCAGTTATTTCACATTATAGAAAAATTGACGTTAGATTTATAATTTGTAATATTTATAAAATGAGAATTTTTGGACATTTTTTTGAAATTTAGTAAAAATATTAAGCAGCATTAGAGGCAACTTTACACAAAATTTGGTCAAGATCACTCCATTTAAAAAGAAGTTATTGCACTTTATACAAAAATTGACGTAAAATTTATAATTATCACTATTTATAAAATTAGAATTATTGGATATTTTTTAAAAAAATTTAGTACATTGAGCACCATTAGAGGCAACTTTACACAAAATTTGGTCAAAATTACTCCATTTAAAAAGAAGTTATTGCACTTTATACAAAAATTGACGTAAAATTTATAATTTGCACTATTTATAAAATGAGAATTATTGGACATTTTTGTATAAAATTTTGTAAAAATATTAAGCACCATTAGAGGCAACTTTACACGAAATTTGGTCAAAATTACTTCACTTAAAAATAAGTTATTTCACATTATACAAAAATTGACGTTAGATTTATAATTAGCACTATTTATAAAATGAGAATTATTGGACATTTTTGTATAAAATTTTGTAAAAATATTAAGCACCATTAGAGGCAACTTTACTCGAAATTTGGTCAAGATTACTCTACTTAAAAAGAAGTTATTTCACATTATACAAAAATTGACGTTAGATTTATAAATTGCACTATTTATAAAATAGGAATTATTGGACATTTTTGTATGAAATTTTGTAAAAATATTAAGCACCGTTAGAGGCAACTTAACAGGAAATTTGGTCAAGATTGCTCCACTTAAAAAGAAGTTATTTCACATTATACAAAAATTGACGTCAGATTTATAATTTGTACTATTTATAAAATGAGAATTATTGGACATTTTTCTACGAAATTTTGTAAAAATATTAAGCACCATTATAGGCAAGTTTACACAAAATTTGGTCAAGATTACTCCAATTAAAAAGAAGTTATTTCACATTATATAAAAATTGACGTTAGATTTTTAAGTTGCACTATTTATAAAATGAGAATTATTGGACATTTTTGTATAAAATTTAGTAAAAATATTGAGCACCATTATAGGCAACTTTACACGAAATTTGGTCAAGATTATACAACTTAAAAAGCAGTTATTTCACATTATACAAAAATTGACGTTAGATTTATAATTTGCACTATTTATAAAATGAGAATTATTGGACATTTTTGTATAAAATTTAGTAAAAATATTGAGCACCATTAAAGGCAACTTTACACAAAATTTGGTCAAGATTACTCCACTTAAAAAGTAATTATTGCACTTTATATAAAAATTGACGTTAGATTTATAATTTGCACTATTTATAAAATGAGAATTATTGGACATTTTTGTATGAAATTTTGTAAAAATATTATGCACCATTAGAGGCAACTTTACACGAAATATGGTAAAAATTACTCCACCAAAAAAAAAGTTATTGCACTTTATACAAAAATTGACGTTAGATTCATAATTTGCACTATTTATAAAATGAGAATTATTGGACATTTTTGTATAAAATTTAGTAAAAATATTGAGCACCATTAAAGGCAACTTTACACAAAATTTGGTCAAGATTACTCCACTTAAAAAGTAATTATTGCACTTTATATAAAAATTGACGTTAGATTTATAATTTGCACTATTTATAAAATGAGAATTATTGGACATTTTTCTACGAAATTTTGTAAAAATATTAAGCACCGTTAGAGGCAACTTAACAGGAAATTTGGTCAAGATTACTCCACTTAAAACAAAGTTATTGCATTTTATACAAAAATTGACGTTTAGATTTACAATTTAAAAAATTAAAAAACACTTACTGTAAAGTAGCATCCCTCTGCCGTTTGGGGGTGGATTCATCCTGCGACAATTCCCTTTTCCATCTCTCCTTATTAGCCTTGTACTCCTTCTTTCTATTCGCTTCGAAAGCCTTACGGTCCAGATCTTGCCTCGTCGAAATATCCTTGACCAACTTTTTCTCGCCGACGATTTTCTGCTTGGTTTTTCTCTCCATCTCCTGCGAATGTTTCACCTGCAACCTCTCCAAATCTTTGCTGAAGCTCAGCAGCAAGTTTTCGTACTCTTTGTCGAGCTGATTTTTGTGCGCTTCCATCTCCATTTTGCATCTCTCCTCCAGTTTCCACAGCGAACTTTGGTGCTCCCTCCGCATCCGCTTGTAGCCAGACATCTGCTCGTGCATTTCCTCCTTTGAACAAAAAGTAGTTCAAATGTACCGTTTTAAAAATTGCCGTATTTCGAGAAGTGTTGGGGATATTTCGATCAAATTTGGTGCAAACGTTGAGGGTTGGTAGAGTCAACTTTGCACCGAATTTGGTCGAAATTGCTCCGCCAGGAAGGGAGTTATACCTGCATGTGTTCTTTCTGCTGTTTGGTAACGATGCTGGTAGTTCTAATGGTGGCAAAATTGTTGGTACCATGGTCGGCCATCGCGGCGGCAACGTGGTTCATGGCCTGGTGTCTTCTAGTGGTACCATCATCCCCACCAGCGGGTAAACTGTTGGTACTACTGGACTGACTGCTGGCGGAAACCCCCACCGAATGTACCGAGTGTTCCGACGTTGCCGAGTTGCTTTTGGAGCTGTCGCCGGTATGCTCATCGACCGGTTCGTCCATGTCGATGGTACTTTCGCTCTCGCAGTTCTCCACCATCAGAATTTTCTTCATTTTCCTGTAGTTCAAGTTGTCCAAGTCCCTGACTGCGGCTTTGGTTCTCTGTATCAGATCTACGAGGACGTTTCCCGATCTGTGCCGCGTAACGAACTGGTGTTTGAGTAATTTCGCGGAATCGGGTCGGCTCGAGGGGGATTTTTGCAGACAGGCTTCCACAAAGTGCTTGAAAACGTCCGACCAGTCGGAATTCGACGACAGACTGGGCGGATCGTTTTGCGCGATGTGGTAGAGAGCCGACATGGCGTTCATGTTGAAGTAAGGAGGTTTTCGCTCCGCCAGTTCGATGCAGGTTATCCCCATCGACCACACGTCCACCTTGCCGTCGTACTGGCCCTCGTCCATGGCCAGGATCACCTGCAATCGCGGGTAGTTCAAATGTACCGGTTTTTAAAAGGGGAGCAGTTAAAAAACTGTGGGGAGTTTTTGGATCAAATTTGGTGGAAATGTTAAGCACTGTTAGAGGCAACTTTACACGAAATTTGGTCAAGATTACTCCACTTTAAAAAAAGTTATTGCACTTTATACAAAAATTGACGTTAGATTTATAATTATCACTATTTATAAAATAAGAATTATTGCAGATTTTTTTATAAAATTTAGTACAAACATTGAGCACCATTAGAGGCAACTTTACACAAAATTTAGTTAAGATTACTCCAATTAAAACGAAGTTATTGCACTTTATACAAAAATTGACGTTAGATTTATAACTTGAACTATTTATAGTATGAGAATTATTGGACATTTTTTTATAAAATTTAGTAAAAATATTAAGCACCATTAGAGGCAACTTTACACAAAATTTGGTCAAGATTACACCACTTAAAACAAACTTATTACACTTTATACAAAAATTGACGTTAGATTTATAATTTGCACTATTTATAAAATGAGAATTATTGGATATTTTTTTATAAAATTTAGTAAAAATATTAAGCACTATTAGAGGCAACTTAATACGAAATTTGGTCAAGATTACTCCACTTTAAAAAAAGTTATTGCATTTTATACAAAAATTGACGTTAGTTTTATAAATTGCACTATTTATAAAATGAAAATCATTGGACATTTTTGTGTGAAATTTTGTAAAAATATTAAATACCATTAGAGTCAACTTTACACAAAATTTAGTTAAGATTACTCCACTTAAAACGAAGTTTTTGCACTTTATACAAAAATTGACGATAGATTTATAATTTGCAATATTTATAAAATGAGAATTATTGGACATTTTTGTATGAAATTTTGTAAAAATATTAAACACCATTACAGTCAACTTTACAGGAAATTTACTTAAGATTACTCCACTTAAAACGAAGTTATTGCACTTTATACAAAAATTGACGTTAGATTTAAAAATTGCACTATTTATAAAATGAGAATTATTGGACATTTTTGTATGAAATTTAGTAAAATATTAAGCACTATTAGAGGCAACTTAACACGAAATTTGGTAAAGATTACTCCACTTAAAACAAAGTTATTGCACTTAATACAAAAATTGACGTTAGATTTATAATTTGCACTATTTATAAAATGAGAATTATTGGACATTTTTTTATAAAAATTTGTAAAAATATTAAGCACTATAAGATGCAACTTCACACGAAATTTGGTCAAGATTACTACAATTAAAAAGAAGTTATTGCACTTTATACAAAAATTGACGTTAGATTTATAAATTGCACTATTTATAAAATGAGAATTATTGGACATTTTTGTATGAAATTTAGTAAAAATATTAAGCACTAATAGAGGCAACTTAATACGAAATTTGGTCAAAATTACTCCACTTAAAAAGAAGTTATTGCACTTTATACAAAAATTGACGTTAGATTTATAAATTGCACTATTTATAAAATGAGAACTATTGGACATTTTTGTATGAAATTTAGTAAAAATATTAAGCACTATTAGAGGCAACTTAACACGAAATTTGGTCAAGATTACTCCACTTAAAAATAAGTTATTGCACTTTATACAAAAATTGACGATAGATTTAAAAATTGCACTATTTATAAAATGAGAATTATTGGACATTTTTGTATGAAATTTTGTAAAAATATTAAGCAACATTAGAGGCAACTTTACACAAAATTTGGTCAAAATTACTCCACTTAAAACAAAGTTTTTGCACTTTATACAAAAATTGACGTTAGATTTAAAAATTGCAATATTTATAAAATGAGAATTATTGGACATTTTTTTATAAAAATTTGTAAAAATATTAAGCACTATTAAAGATAACTTCACACGAAATTTGGTCAAGATTACTCCACTTAAAACGCAGTTTTTGCACTTTATACAAAAATTGACGATAGATTTATAATTTGCAATAATTATAAAATGAGAATTATTGGACATTTTTGTATGAAATTTTGTAAAAATATTGAACACCATTAGAGTCAACTTTACACGAAATTTAGTTAAGATTACTCCACTTAAAACGAAGTTATTTTACTTTTTCAAAAATTGACGTTAGAGGTTATAATTTGCACTATTTATAAAATGAGAATTATTGGACATTTTTCTATGAAATTTAGTAAAAATATTAATCACTATTAGAGGCAACTTTACACAAAATTTGGTCAAAATTACTCCACTTAAAAAGAAGTTATTGCACTTTATACAAAAATTGACGTTAGATTTATAATTTGCACTATTTATATTAATTTTCAAATTTAAACAAAAAAAGTACTTACTTCAGGCGCCATCCAATAAGGGGTACCCACAAAACTATTAGCTGGACATTTTATTGAGGCACTACCAAAATCAGCCAATTTTACAGTGCCATTTTCTGTTAAAAGTATATTACCAGCCTTTACATCCCTATTTACAAAAAAAAATACACATTAAATTAAAAACAATATTATTATTATTATTATGTGTTTTATTTACCTGTGAATTCTACCAAAATCGTGCAGATAACTGAGCCCTTTTAAAACACCATCACAAATTGCAGCTATCTCCTCTTCTCTTAGTGGCCTTTTGTGTACCTCTATTATATCGGAGGCTGACCCCACACAATATTCCATCACCAACCAGGCTGTGTTGTCTCTGAGATAACAACCTTTGTATTCTATAGTATTCGGATGCTTTAACTGCTTCAAAAATCTGAAAAAGAAAAAATAGTTCAAATGTACCGCTTTAAAAAGTACGGTATTTTCAAAACGGTATGGATTTTAATTATGAAATTTGGTGTGAATGTTGAACACTATCGTCGGCAACTTTCCCCCAAATTTCGTCGAGATCCATCGGCTGGAAAAAAAGTTACAGCAAAAAATATAAAAACTCACCGTATCTCCTTCAAGATATCCTGCCACTTTTCCAGACTTTGCTTGCCAGTGTACGACATCTTTTTGATGGCGACAATTTCTTTGGAGAGGGTGCATCTTGCGTAATAAACAGCTCCGAAGGATCCATGCCCAATTTCCCTTAAATCCTCAAAAATCTTCTCAGGATCGTGTTTGTAAAATAGCTCGGCTATTTCGGGGTCCCTCAGATTACCTGGACGCGGTACTGGCGCCATATTTTGCGTTTTTGATTCGCTATATGCGCATTATCTGAAAACATGTCATTTTGACGTTTTAACGGCGTTTTAGGTTACATGTAAGACAGTGTTTGTCAGAACAGTCAAAATGTTTTTATTTTTTTTTAAATATATCTAGTTTAAGTTGACATTCTTAAGACAGTCATATCTAGCCTAATTTGACATTCTTAAAAGCTATTTGTAACTGTCAAATTATGAATTTTTAAGGCAGTTATATCTATCTTCATTTGACATTTTTTAAAACAGTTACTTCTAGCTTAATTTGACATTCTTAAAAGCTATTAGTAACTGTCTTAAGAATGTTAAATTATGAACTTTTAAGGCAGTTATATCTAGCTTTATTTTACAATATTTAAAACAGTTATTTGTAACTGTCTTAAGCATGTCATCATATCTAGCTTTATTTGACATTTTTTAAAACAGTTATTACTAGCTTTTGTTGGAATTTTTAAGGAGTCATATCTAGCTTAATTTGACATTCTTTAAAACTATTTGTAACTGTCTTAAGAATGTCAAATTATGAATTTTTAAGACAGTCATATCCAGCTTTATTTGAATTTTTTTAAAACAGTTACTTTTAGCTTATGTTGACATTCTTAAAATTTATTTGTAACTGTCTTAAGAATGTCAGATTATGAATTTTTAAGACAGTCATATCTAGCTTTATTTGACAATGTTTAAAACAGTTATTTCTAGCTTAATTTGACATTCTTAAAAGCTATTTGTAACTGTCTTAAGCATGTCATCATATCTAGCTTTATTTGAATTTTTTTTAAACAGTTATTACTAGCTTTTGTTGGCATTTTTAAGGAGTCATATCTAGCTTAATTTGACATTCTTTAAAACTATTTGTAACTGTTTTAAGAATGTCAAATTATGAATTTTTAAGACAGTCATATCTATCTTTATTTGACATTTTTTAAAACAGTAACTTCTAGCTTAATTTGACATTCTTAAAAGCTAATTATAACTGTCTTAAGAATGTCAAATTATGAATTTTTAAGGCAGTTATATCTAGCTTTATTTTAAAATGTTTAAAACAGTTATTTCTAGCTTAATTTGAAATTCTTAAAAGCTATTTGTAACTGTCTTAAGCATGTCATCATATCTAGCTTTATTTGACATTTTTTAAAACAGTTATTACTAGCTTTTGTTGACATTTTTAAGGAGTCATATCTAGCTTAATTTGACATTCTTTAAAACTATTTGTAACTGTTTTAAGAATGTCAAATTATGAATTTTTATTATGAATTTATTTGACATTTTTTACAACAGCTACTTCTAGCTTAATTTGATTTTCTTAAAAGCTATTTGTAACTGTCTTAAGAATGTCAAATTATGCATTTTTAAAACAGTCGTATCTAGCTTTATTTGAGAATGTTTAAAACAGTTATTTCTAGCTTAACTTGACATTCTTAAAAGCTTAATTTGAAATTTTTTAAAACTGTTTTTTCTAACTTTTGTTAAGGAGTCATTTCTTGCACTAAGTATTATATAAATTTTTTCTACTAAATTATCCATCAAGTTTTACATTTAGTAGAAAAGTGATTTTAAGAAGTTTATAAAACGTATTGCATACCTACAATGAAAGCAAATTAATGATTTTTAAAAGTTAATTTTATTTGACATTTTATCTGACAACTGTCAAGCTGTTTTAACCTCACTTTTTACCAATCTGACACTGTTATACAGTTTTAAACTTACTTTTTTATTAAGTATCTTTATAAACTAGTGTTTTAAATGTGTGAATAAATAAAAAAATTCTACAACCTGGTAATTTATGATATTTTTGACAAATTTGACAGTAGTGTTGGCAATCCTGTATCTACATGTAAACACCCAAAAAAATGGGGCTGTTTGAATAGGTATACAATGTATACTATACATGTTTAAATAAAAAATATATAACCCCTTTAAAATTCAAAGTTTTCAAAAAATGTAGGCATGTTTATAATTTATAAATAAAATAACGTATAGACAAATTGTAGGTATATAGTTATGTATTAAACAATTGTTTATTATAGTACAACAAAATTTGCCTATTTTAGAATGTAAAGTAATTATTAAGGCTTAAAATTGTAAAAAAACAACAAATAAAAATGTTACACAAACAATTGTTTACAATAACTAGCGAAAAATTCGATAAAAAACTTACTTGAAACGATTCAAAATGGCGACCAACCATCTAAAATTTATCTTCTAAATTTTTATCATTTCCACGACTTTTTCCTCGCGAAAACTTCTAATTAACGTCTACGAACGTTGTTTGCACCACCACACATGAAAAAACCCCCAAGAAACCGCCTAAAAATACCTTTTCACGCGAAATTACAAAACCCAAAATCTGTCACTTTTTCGACACAACATTAACCTAAAAATACTCAGCCGATAATTATCACAAAATGCAACCCTTCATTTGAAATAAGCGAAAATCAAACACGATTCGGCAACAGTCATGTAAACAACAATTTTCCCGGTAAATTCGTTAATTATTTTGTTATTATCGTCGAAAAACAAGGAATATATGCGCCCCACCCGATATACTGCCGGTATAGTAGAGCACCGCTACGCTGGCGCCATCTGCAGGAAAATAGGACAATCGTTGTGTTTAGTTAAGCGAAATGTAGATGGCGCTATACTAAATTTATTGATTTTTGTAAATATACGGGATGTTCAAAGAAAATAATCACTTATTTGGTTAATTTTCGTGTAAAACTAAATGATATTTTATTTTTTTTACCTTAAAAAGCAGTATTAATAAAAATTTAGGCAGGGTTTATATACCTATGTATATTTATAAATATATTTTGCGACCCTGTGTATTGTTGTTGTGATTGTATTACACCATGGAAACCATTGATTTAAGACTGTGTTGACACCAAGAATATTATTCTAGATACAAAATAATGAAAAATTTAATATTTTTTTTTAGTTTTTTGATTACAAAAATCGAATGCAAATATGCAGAAGGGAGATTAGACACAAATGAAGTAAAATTATCAAAAAATACACAGGGTGAAACATAATTAACCAACAATTTTTACATGTTGTAGAATTGGGCATTCCTAACAAGATTTTGTTTTTTGAGTGAGGAGGGTCAATTTGAGTATCATTTTGAGTTCAACGAAGACCATGGAGATCCGAATTTATTACTGTACTATGACACTGACGACCAATGGCCGGCTGTTTACAAATCCAACAAGGTAAGTTTTTATATTCTTTATAATTTTGCTTCCGCATCATTTTCGCGTGACTTCCGCATCACTTCCGCATCACTTCCGCATCACTTCCGCATCACTTCCGCATTCTTTTCTGCTCAGCTTCCGCATCCGTTTACGTTCCGCTGCCACAAAAATGTTTTATTTACATCTGCTTCGACTTCTGCTTCTGTTATGACCAATAACTGTTAATTCAGTAATATTTTTTAGAATTGTATCGAAAAAGAGGAAGTTCTGAACATTGGGCAGTTTCAAATAGTTAACTTAACAGCTAGAATTCCAAGTTATAGGGAATCTTCTGGATGTAATTTTCAAAATTTTCATCACCCTACGAATAGGCCTAAGAATATTAATGCACCAACTTTAAAACCAAAGACAACTGTTGCTACGACGAAAAAAATTACCATTACAACTGCCACCCCAAAAATTACGACTTACAGGTATATACAGGGTGTATTAAAATTTTTAGGTGAATTTATTTTATTGCAGCTCAACGTCATTTATTATAAAATCTACCACGGAAACTTTAGATTCAACCACTGAAACTTCAACAACTCAGTTTGAGAATTTTACCGAGAAAAATTTTGATTTGGAGTATGAAGTTATGTCTACCCACAAACCGACAACAGTAATAACTAATAAAAAGGTGGGTAGTTCCTGAACTAAAAATATTAATAACTCGAAAACTATACCATTTAGGTATAGGACATGGTATATTAATTTTACTCGGAATTTTATACAGAATTTAAAAATGTAAAAATATATGGGGTGTTTTATATGATATAACAAAGTTGATGTCATTTCCGGTTAAACCGGAAGTTGCATTTTGTTCAAAATATTTAAAAAAAATAGACTTCAATGGATTATAAACGTATTTAAAATTTCAAATCGATATCTTTTGTCGTTGTGAATTTATTTTTTTTAATTTTGGAGATTTGTCCTACCTTTTTTATAAATTTAAGAAATGGAAAATAAGATTTTTATGATGATGTTTTTAGGAATCTTTAGAACATGACACAATTAAAAAGCATCCCATAAAAAGGAGGTCAATTTTGAATAACAGTCCTCCAATAAAAAATTTGAGGATTGGGAGGATTGTGGTTTGTCATAACGCTAGAAGATTTAGATCTAGTAGGGAAAGGTGGTGGTATATGGCCATATCAAACTGCAATGCTACGAAGGTTAAGATACAGGGTGTATAGTTATAACTAAATTATATATTTTTTAACTTTCAGGGAATACATGTAAAATACAAAATTCTCATGACAAATGGACCCCCTGGGGACTACTGGCACGAGCATTTCTCCGCCGATGAATTTTGTGAATATACAGGGTGTTTAAGTAAACGCGATTATAATTTTTTTTTGTAGATATATTGCCAGTTCTTATGGCATTTTCCATAGCGTATTCTTTTCTTCTGCTTGGGATTATAATGTGTTCTTTGGAGCTAAAACAGCGGCAACTTTTACACAGCACTTACAAAATATATTGTTTATCGGTGATGTTACAATTTTTTGGGATATTATTTCAAAGCATTGTATACTTGAAATACGCAGTCAGTGGATTTACATCGACAAGAATGAAGCGTTTTGGTAAGAAAATACTTCCGCATCAAACATTTTTTTTTCTTCAACATTTACAGGCTCAATGCTGATGGGAAGCTCTGAAACAACATTTTTATTACTGTTATTATTACTGGCAAAAGGTTATACAATAACCAGGGGTAGACTACCCATATCAGCCAGCATAAAATTGACGATTTTCATGTGCCTATACACCGTAACGTATATTTCAATATACATATACGAAGCCAATGTACGTAAACAGCGGTGTTTTGTTTGTTATCCGTATGAATTTAAATTTTTCAGGTTTTTGATCCAGGCGAAGTGTTGTATCTCTATGAATCTCCGGCAGGATACAGTTTGATCGTATTAAGAATATTTGGGTGGTTTATGTTTATATATTCAACTGTTTTTACTCTAAAACGTTACCCAGAAAAGGTGGGTTAGCTCAATAAACAATTTGTACCACATATGGTAACGATAAATTATATAAAGGTTATATAATTGTTTCTACAAACATTTTATATAACCTTTAGTAATTTCTTAGAATTCTTCTTTACAGTGTATACTAATAGGTAGTTTTTAGGGTAATTTTTACTACCCATTTAATATTTTCGGGACGTTATGGTTTGTGGCCGGTCCAGCCTTTATATTGTCAGCGAATTCATATATAGACAAGTGGGTGAGAGAGTCAATTGTATGCGCTGTGTTACTTTTTATAACATTTGGGGGGCATCTGATGTTTTTGGTGAGTTCTAAGTTCAAAATGCATCTGTCTTCAACCATTTTTTAACTTTATTTTATTTAGCTTTTGACAATGCCTTCAGTTGCTAACAAAAATTTTCCATATCACGTCCGTACTACTCAAATTGGCATTATGGAGATGACTGGGTGTACCACAGGGCTCGGTAGAGGTACCATGGAAAATTTTGGACACCATGTGTATGAGCCAACCTTTTCTGCAACTAGAGAGCAAACCGTCATTGTTCCTCTAACCAGGTAAGTTACTTAGGTGCTTTTTTTTAATTTGTTGTTGGTTTTTTTTTGTAGAAGAACTGAAGAAATATACGAAGGAATGTACAGTCAGTCAAGTTTTCGGAAAAGAACAAATCTACCCAGTGATTTAAATGTATTGCCAACCGAGGGTTTGGAATTCCCTATTTGGTCCAAAGCTACAAATTTACCGGCGTTAAAAAATAACGTGGAAGTTAACTCTGATAACAAACCAACTACAGAAGCTACTGATGATGATGATGGTAGTGAAAATAATCAATACACCGATGATTACATCAAGGATGTACCCATAGAACTTTTTACTGTAAGCAAGATGGTACTTACAACTCATAGAAGAAGTGTTGTGGAAGATCATCATTAAAACAACTTACAAGTAAAAACATAGTTTAATTTATTCTTATAATAATATCAACAATAAATAATTATAACATTTAACAGTTTGTATTCTCTGTAGTTTCGTACGATTCATTCACGATACCATTTCTGGAACTATTTTCCAAAACAGGCCAAGAATCATTTTCCCTTAATTCTAATAATAACTTCTTGTGTGCTGGTTGAGATTTTTTGAACTTCTGTATTCTTGGTTCGATGAATTTTTTGAGTATTATCTCGATGAAGATGTCTTCAGCGATGAAACAGGTTGCAAAGTTGGCAAAAGCTATCAGCAGAAAGTGAAATCTTGAGTCAACGATTGGTGGAATTTTCAGTTCGAATAGCTGTTTCAACCAATGGGCAGGCAGGATGACAATGTATGAGCAAATCGCTATCATGATTACAATGCTTATGATGAATAGTTTGTTGGTGATGATGGAGAGTCTGTAGGGTTTTCCTTTGGAGAAAACAATCGCCATGGTGATGTATTGAAACATTGATACCGAGTAGACAGCATAGTTCTCATAGCATTCATAAAACGTGGTATTGTTTGGGTTGAACTGGAAGGGTGTGAACCATTCGTAACTCTTCACAAAATGATAGGCAAAAACTTGGTAAAAAACCGTCACAGTCATGAAAGAAACCAAGGAACATATGGGGATAAAACTCAACAAGGAAGTCATAGGAGGAGTTCTATCTAAAACCTTGTAGGCTCTCGTTATACCAAACACAGACGAAAAGTTCAGTATCAGAAATATATCGATGAAGAGATACTGAACACTGGTCAAGTTGGTATCAATGGTGTACAAAATGATGACCGAAGCGAATTCAGTCAAGCTGTAGCAGAGCATCATCTTGAACACACCAAAAGACGTCACCAAAGCAGCTCTACCCTCCATTATAACTTTTGTGACGCAAGATATGTTTGCTTCCTTGGAAGTAAAGGGTGAAGCTACACTACTTTCAGCTTCAGATAGTGATATACCCACGTGAGCTGCCTTAAGAGCTCCGCAGTCGTTAGCTCCATCACCACACATAGCTAAGAAGACGAAAATTGATTATTGAAATTAAAATTATTTGTAAAAATACTTACAGACGTAATACCCCATATTCTTCAACTCCTCAATCAACTGTTGTTTCTGTAAACCCGACATTCTAGCGAATACCACTCCTTTAGCGACAATCCTGGATATTAAATCTGGAAAATATTGCACCAGATTTGCCCAAGATGTACCCGTCACAACAAATTGGTAGTCTTTTCTTTGCGATTTCTCCACATCAAAATCAGCGTGAAACCCATTTTCCAGATGGTTGAATACCTTCTTATCAGTTTTCTCCAAAACTTCGTACGTTACAGAAGCGAAATCGTATTTTGTGGGCTTATTTGCCAAAACTTCAATGACAGTTTTGGATGTGTCTATTAACCCACATTCTTTCCCGACATGGATTGCAGTTTGGATGTTATCCCCTGAAACAACAAAATTACCATTTCCCATACCAATACTTGAACCATACCTGTGATCATAACAATTTTAAGTCCAGCACGTTTCAGAGTTTTGATGACATCGTGAGTTTCGGGTTTCAATTTGTTTTCCAAAATGATGAGCCCCAAGAATTGCAAGTTACTTTCAACATCTTCTCTGGGTAAATGGTTCAGATCAATTTCGGATAGGTTGTTCAATTTTTTTGTAGCCAAAGCTATGACTCTGTAACCTAAACAACAAAATGCATGTTATAAAGGTGTTGAAGCTTATTAAAACTTACCTTGTTCAGTGTAATTTTGAAGCCACGTTTGAATATCGTTTGGTACTGTAGTGTTGTCGCATAAAGATATGATCATTTCAGGAGAACCTTTACAGAATACATCAAAGTGTTCTGCATCTGTACTTTTGGTTATAACACTCATTCTTTGGAGAGTTGAAGAGAACTGGAAGTGTTTCAAAATGCCTATTTCGTATGAGTTCTACAAGTAATAAACATGTAATTAAAAGTAAATGAGGAGAATGTTATACTTACGTTATTTGGACTGGAAGCAAATGGTTTTGATATCATACTTGGTCGTATTTTGTGGACATAGTTTTTTGATGATGATGGTTCTTCCAGCACCCAGTTTGTGCATTCAAACATCTGGAAAATACACTCAACAAGACTTAATCAGCAATTAGGTACATCATACTTACTTTAACATCCAAAGGGTCTCCACAGGTGGTTTCATCAATCAAAGTGAGTGAGTGACAACTAGCCATTCCTCTAAACAATGATGATTCATTTTCTATGTCTTTAAATGTTTTTATGGGTGGTTTTATTTTGTTGTTTTCAACTGGAACAACCCCCCACATATCCAAAGCATCTTCTGTGAGAGTTCCAGTCTAAAATTATGTGTCTAGAAACTGATCTCCGCCAGACGTTTCACTTACCTTATCAAAGCAAACACAATCTATGGAACCTGACACGTTAATCACTCTGGAATTGATGCAGAAGATTTTGTGGTTCTTCAATCGATTCAAAGCGTATAATTTCCCGACTGTCATAGCAGCTGGTAAAGCTGGTGGGACAGCTACCGTCACCAAATCTAGGGCTTTGATTAGTATATCAACTGCAGCTATGTTTCTCGAACTTTTCGATACAATGGTGTAGATGAAACCCAGCGAGGCTATGAAGCCTAGGATGCCGATGAATTTGTAGGAGTCCTGATCAAACTTGAAGTCAGCTGGAGGAGGGTACATTATACTCCGAACCAGCTCACCTTTTGTTGTTAGATATGCCGTTCTGATGACAACTGCTAGCACCTGAGTTTCGTCTACACGAGTTATTGTGAGTTATACCTTGTAAGTATGAAAACTTACCATAATGTCTTGTTTGGATGACCTTGGTTCCGCAGTATAAAGTATGGTTTACGTCTTCCTTCACGTTATACGGGGTGTTGTTTTTCGGTAGGGAGTTTTTAGTCACTGGCACTGATTCACCTTTATAATTATAATTAATTAAAAATAACAATGAGGTACTAAGTTTGATTCTTTTTGGAACTTACCAGTCAACATTGACTCGTTAACAACACAGCTGCCATTCAGCAAAATGGCGTCACATTGCATTTCACATCCATTTTTGGGTATCACTATAACATCTCCAGGTACTAGATACGTAGTGGGTATGTCTTGATAAAGTCCATTCCCCCTACAAACTACAGCTTTGTCGCTGGAATGCACTGTACCTTTCAGGTTTTTCTGGTTTTTTCTCGTCTGTATTATGGAGGTTGATATACCAAAAACCGACATAATTATGATGGCTATTGTGTAGTAGTAGTAGTACTCGCAAAACCACACTATCAAACTGAAAACTTGAAAGATGTAAAATGGAGTTAGAGCCTCTAAAACCAAGAGAGTACAGATACTTTGCACCGGTACAACTATTTCGTTATACCCATAGATGACTCTCCTAAAAAAATAGAGTGGAATTTTTTAATACCTTTATGTATACAGTACAGTAAAACTCACTTTACATTCTGTTCTTTAGTGGTATATCCTGTATATTTATGTAGATCGTTTCTGGATACCCCCTTATCCAACCCGGCCAACTTGACAAACTTGCAACGCTCATCATTCCAAATGTACGTCAATTTTTTGCACTTTAATATTCGTATACTTGATAGACTTCTTTCAGTACCATCACAGAGAAAAAAATTTAACAATTCATCATTGCTATCCTTGGAGTTCTCCTTGCTTAAAAAATGTACAGGGTAAACTTTTGAACTTTGCTGGACTTAAATATTACCTAAGATTTTTTGTAGATATTTCTATAATTTCTTTAACGAAATAAGATTTGAATTTTCCTTTGTAATTATCCTGAAATACATATAAGTATATTTAGTTTTTGGTTTAATCCCTGGTAGCACAATTTATTCTAAGAATGATTTTTAAACCTTCCAGTGAGAATATTTTTAGGATCATGCTATATTTCTTCTAAAGAACATGCTTAAAGACATATAGCATGATCCTAAGAATATTCTTACTGGCCCATAGGCAGGTTCTTAGAAGGTGCAAAGTTTTAGTGGTAAAAATTAGTCTACTCTAAACATATTCTTAGAATGTTAAGAAAGTAATTGCTATAGAAAGTTCATTTAGGAATATTCCTGTTAAGCATATTTAGTTCAGTTACCTATATAATAGTAAAATATACGTACCATAAACTACGTATAAAGGTATATACCTATACTTAAGTACCTAATTGGTAATTAGTATTAAATACTAAGTAAAAAACACAATCCAAAATATTTTGTTATATTTATTTGTCAAATTAAAACAATATTCGATAACAAAAATACTTTTACTATAGGTATATTATGTCAAAAATAAATATTTATTAATTTTTATACCGATTTTTTATTTTTGAATTAACATTTTTATGTATAATAATCCCAACCATCTTCAACTTCAATCTAATCTGACTTATCCCACAAAATTTTCCAATTTTACTTTTTATAAAATAATGTCATACAACTTATGGTTTAGAGGTCAAATTATTTATTTAATATTTTTAAATAAATATATATTAATATGTCGCAAAATTTTTTAAGGGGACGACAAATACATTTCACTGTCATATGACAGTGAGGCGTATTTGTCGTCTCCTGAAGAATTTTACGAATGTAGAATACAACATATTAGACATATTTGGGAATATTCTCAAAAGCTTCCTATAGAAACCTTCTAAGAACATTCCAAAAACATATTCTTAAAATGTTCTTAGGATACTTTTTAGGAAGGTTTTAAGAAGCTTTTAAGAATCTAATTGCATCATTAAAAGGGTATCCATTGAATGTTTTAAAAGTCCCTAAGAACATTCTTAGCAATAAGGTTCTAAGAATATTCCATTATTTCGGGTCAAATCTTCTTAGAGGATTCTTAAAATCAAATTTTGCTATCAGGGATTATGTTAAAAAAACTTACTGTAATAAGAACCTTTTCTGCATTTTTTAAAGAACATTTTTTATGTGTTGACAAGAGCTTTAATTGAGGATACCAGTGGAAAAATAATCTCAACAATCCAAAGGTTAAAAAATAAAAAAATAACGTTACACGCGATTTCAGCTTATGTGGTTTATATCCTGCAATTTCCTAAAAAAAAAGTTTATTATTTTTATACAGGAATTGATTAATTTTACCATTTGATCATTTTCACCAAAATTGATATATTGTACTTTTGTGTGCATAAATTTTTCATGATTGTTAGCTGCCTTTTCCCTATTTATTTGATTGTTATTCTCTGAAAAAAAACAACATTTTTTAAACAAAATGAAATATCGTTTGTGCCATTTTTGTAACACCCTGTAGGTTTAAATTTAAATGGATAAATTGCAACATGACACGTGACTGTACAATATGTTTTGACCTTGCTATAGCATATAGGGCCAATTATATCTCCTTTAAAAAAATTAGATCCACGTCACTGATTTTAGTCCCCTAGCTAGGTTTATTTATTTTATTTTTAAACTGGGTCACTAGTGTATTTTTAGTGGGTCAATTTTTTCACATGAAAGTCTTTTTTTGCAAAAAATGTTTTTTATTGTAAACACTCTGTGATTGCAAACAACATTCATATACCTAAATAAAATTTGTAAGAAACTTTCTATAAATGTGCAGAAATCATTAGGAATTTATGTCGTAATTTTAATTAATGATTTTTTAATCTATTTTAAATTATATTATTTACTATTTACATAAACAAACAAATAGCTTGTCTAGGTAGGTACAATTTGTTTTTAATTTTCAATAATTAATTTCAAAATTAATTCTTTATATATCATTGTGTAAACAATTATTTATTATTTTAGCAAATACGTTAAGTTTATTAACCTATTCGAAATAATATCTTACTAAAAATTGTTATTGTAAATTAATATTTTTATATTTACAAGAAATCATTTTGAAATGTTGTCGCTGATCTTCAATAGATTTTGGGTTCAAGTGACCCCTTAAAAAAAGTCAAATGGTATCAGATCTGGATATATTGGAGGTTATTCTATTGGTCATCTTATACCAATCGGTTCCTTTGTTTTTTTATTTCCCAGTTTGTTATATTTTGTAAATAAGTGGATATTTTTTCACAAACATGCATTTTTAAAATATTAGGCTTATCAAAAATATTTTTGTTGTTTAATTTATGTAAAATACCGTAAAAATAAATAAATAATAATATTGAATTCGTTATTATAAATAGGCAAGGCCATAAATATGTAATAATTATTAATAATTAATATTAATATATTTATGGTTATTTATAGTATAAAAATAAAATAAATTAAAACCTATATATATATTTTTTAATAAAATCTACAATTTTCAACCAATTTTATGTCAAAATGTTTTTAAAATATTTTTTTAACTTAACACAGGTTGTATACATACATACCTACAGGGTGAAATATAAAAGCAAGTAACAAACTTAAAATAAAAAATATTAAAATATGATACCTTTTTTGAGATTTTTGTTCATGCCGTACAAAATTTGAGACACTTGTAGCTAAATATTGTCCACTTATTATACCACTCACTTTCACTCAATGCACTGAGCAATGGTTTTGAAATTTACCACACTACTGCTACCTATGTGTGCATATCATGCACTATCAACCTAAAAGTTATAACAGCCCTGGTTAATTAATTTTTATATACAGAGTGATTCAACAGATTGTATTTTGAATTTAACCAGTGTTTTTAACAGTTTTTTGCGTTTTGTAAATTCAATAATAAATATTTTATGTTATCGTCAACATTTGTATAAAAGGTCAACGATAAGTAGGTCTATGAATAGCAATATTATTCAGAAATTTTTTTATTTTATATAATATAGAAAAAAGCAAGAGGCAGACCCAAAGATATAATTAATATAACTAATCTGATATATAAAAAGTTTTTTTTTATTTCAAGTAGTTAAACAAAAAACTCACCTAGTTTCATTATATCACAAAAAATAAATCTTATCTTTTCCTTTGCACTTTTTGTATAGTTTTGGTAAGCACATGTCTTCTTAACCTTACAATAAATAATAATTTTAATACCCGTTTTTCCTTATCAAAAATTAATGACTACTAAAAAAGGCTTGATAAGAGGTTCATTTAAATACACTAAACCACAAAAATGGTGCACAATATATTTTGACAACTTGAAGATATGACCCAGAATAATGGAATATTCTTAGAACCTTCCCTTATTGCCAAGAATGTTCTTAGGGACTTTTAAAACATTCAATAGATACCCTTTTAATGATGCAATCAGATTCTTAAAACCTTCCTAAAAAGCATCCTAAGAACATTTTAAGAATACGTTTTTGGAATGTTCTTAGAAGGTTTCTTATGGAGCTTCTAGGAAGCTTTTGAGAATATTTCCAAATATGTCTAATATGTTGTATTCTACATTCGTAAAATTCTTCAGGAGACGACAAATACGGCTCACTGTCATAATATGACAGTGAAATGTATTTGTCGTCCCCTTAAAAAATTTTGCGACATATTAATATATATTTATTTAAAAATATTAAATAAACAATTTGACCTCTAAACCATAAGTTGTATGACATTATTTCATAAAAAGTAAAATTGGAAAATTTTGCGGGATAAGCCAGATTAGATTGAAGTTGAAGATAGTTAGGATTATTATACATAAAAATGTTAATTCAGAAATAAAAAATCGGTATACAAATTAATAAATATTTATTTTTAACATAAAATAAAATAAATATAGTAAAAGTATTTTTGTTATCGAATATTGTTTTAATTTGACAAATAACTATAAAAAATATTTTGGATTGAGTTTTTTACTTAGTATTTAATACTAATTACTAATTAGGTACTTAAGTATAGGTATATACCTTTATACGTAGTTTATGGTATATTTTACTATTATATAGGTAACTGAACTAAATATCCTAAATGAACATTCTAAGCATATGTTTAGAGTAGACTAATTTTTACCACTAAAACTTTGCACCTTCTAAGAACCTGCCTATAGGCCAGTAAGAATATTCTTAGGATCATGCTATATGTCTTTTAAGCATGTTCTTTAGAAAAAATATAGCATGATCCTAGGAATATTCTCACTGGAAGGTTTAAAAAACATTCTTAGAATAAAGTGTTGCAGAAGAGTCAAGCTACATTTCAAAAAAAAAATCATCAAAATCGGATAAACAGTTTTCAATATATTTAAAAAATTCTATAATCGATTTTAGATTTGTTTTTTTACCTTCCTACGACGCATGCGTTTCAGCTTCCGTATATCACACAAAGATTCATTCTAAAGGTGCGGTTCTTCAAGCGAAATAATTTAAACCAATAAACATAACCAAATCATTCGATAATTTTTAGTTTTTTAAATATATAGATGTAGGTACTTTTACCTAAAAATATAGTGCGTTTTAATAAATATATATACATAAAAAATTAAGTATATAAAATAAAAGTGATTTTAAGGAATACTTACAGGATAAAGTCTGTAGTATCTTCAAATATTGTGAGTACTAATATTATTATTATTATTTTTACATATTTACTAAATTATCATTCTTTAATTTATTAGTACATATTAAAAATGTATGTGTTGGCATATATAGCCGAAACCAATTCATTAACTCTATTATTATTATTTCTATATACTTCTAATATCAATTAATTGTAGAAAAATGTCTGGTGAAGAAGCACATATTTTTGTTGAGTTAGTTCTACTAAATATAGGCAAATTATTGGGATGTATTCCAATGAAAAATAAGATTCAATCAATAATATATTCAACTATTATTTCTGGGGCTATTATAGCTTTGTTTGTTTATTCTCTCATAAATAAATTTTGTATTGTTCACACAGAATATTTCGATTATGAAACCCTTATGGTTCTGGATTACTCCGGATTGGTATTCGAAAGTTTGCTGGTGATAATCTACACTTTTTTCACCAACAAACATAGAGAAATATGTGCACAATTCAGTCATTTGTGCTTTCAAAGTGCAGGCAAAAATTTAAAGTCATACTTTTGTCACCTTTTCGTACCATGTGCAATTTACCTACCGCTACAAACATTTGTACTGGCAATGATGGAGAAGAAGTACTTTAAAACTCAAAGCATATTCCTTTTAGAGTTTCTCTACGAGTTTTATTTTTATTTACAAATTGTTTCGGTTTTACGAAGTATTCATCAAAAATATAAAGACTTGGATGGTCTGATAAAGAAAAACTGCAACATCATGAGCAAAAAGCTTACCAAGGAGCTGATCAAAATGGAGAGAATAATAAGGGTCAACGAAAATTATGTCGCAGACTTCAACACGATTTTTGGATGGCCGCTGTTTTTGTTTCTATGTTCAAGTTTAACCAACGTATTGGGCTGTATAAATGTATCTCTCGTTCAATATTATTCAACGAAATTCGCCTTTGATTCAAGAAAGATTTCCATACAATGTGTTTTCGCTTTAGTGTATTTGGTATGATGATTATACATTAAATTATTGTACTTTATTAATTTGATTTATTTTTTTAGACGTCGCTTTTAGTAATCGTTAATTTGTGCGACAAAATCGAGAAGGCAACCGATAAAGTAGCAAAATTGTGCTACAGCTACCAAGAAAATTTCGCCGCGTTTCCGAATGTTAGAGAGGAGCTGTTTATATTGGCCAGATGCGCAAAAAATCACAAACCCAGTTTCACAGCGGGGTTTTATACATTTAATAGACCCACTTTGGTGGGCTTATTGGCCGGGACAATCTCTTACACCATCATCATTGTGCAGTTTAACATTAACAAAAATTAGGAATTAAATGTAATACAGCGGTGAATTTTTCTTTTTTCAAATTATTTAAAAAAATTCGGTAATTTTAATGCACCCGGTATAATAAGAGTGTTCTCGAAATACTAATTTACAATACGTACACCTCTAGTAAAATCACGCCTAATTCCAATTTACGGTAAAAATACATGAGTAATAACGACCGCCCCTAAATTTGCAAATAATGCACTCTTTCCACAATTTTAACATCTGTGCATTTATGACTATTAATTGTGTTTAATCTAAATCAGTTTAATGTTAACTAAATGTTAATTTAACTTAAATGTTAATTTGTGTGAGTTAATATTTACCTATCCCAGTCACAAAACACGTAAAAAATGCACCTTTTGATAGCAAAATCAAATTGAAAACTGACCTAGCGAGCAGCTATGGCATGGCAGGCCCAATCACATTATGTGTATTCGGCCAATCAGATTGCTTTCTTCAGTTATGCGTTTTGTATGGGTATGTATAAGCGTATTAAGTGCGTTTATTTAAACGTATTAACTACGTTTGTTTAAACGTGTTAAGTAGGTTTGTTTAAACGTATTAAGTACGTTATTATTATCTATTACAGTAACTACAGACATGTCTAAAGAGTTTAAAGAATATTCTTGCCATTTAACATTCATTCAAAATTCAATTTAACGAACAAAATTCTTAGATTTTATACCTACAGATTTTAACTAAGAAGTCATATTGCCTACATGTGTAAACCAAGCAAAAATTTCACAAAATAAATATATAAAAAGTAATTCACCAAAGTGTTCGATGGAGCGTGTTGAATAAAACATTGTATAAACGTAAAAAGAAAGAGCTGCCTGCACAGTTCATAAAATATATACTTCAAACGTTATTTTCTCATTCAAACTCTTAATATTTGTAAAAAAAAATTGTGGATTGAAACGTTATTTAAACATTTAAATATATGGTTGACTGAACACCTTCATACAACGTTATTGTAACCTAAAAAAACATATTTAAATTAACGTTGTTTAACGTTTAAATTAATTTGTGTAAATTTATACCAAAATCAAACCGTTGCTCTTTCTACGTAAAACGTTTTATTGGCCATTCACACGTTTTAAATACGTTTAAAAAACGTGTATGTGTTTACTGGGTATTTTCTACAAACAGTTCTATATATATAATTTTCCTAATTGTTTTTACATATTTATTAAATTATTATTTTCCAATTTATTAGTAGGTACATATTAATAATTTATATATTTATATATAGCCGAAAGTAATTCATTCGTTAAATGTACTTCTATTTATTAATTGTATTGCAATACAATACATGTATTGTAGAAAAATGTCTGGTGAAGAAGCACATATTTTTGTTGAGTCAGTTCTACTAAATATAGGCAAATTATTGGGATGTATTCCAATGAAAAATAAGATTCAATCAATTATATATTCAATTATTATTTCTGGGGCTACTATAGCTTTGTTTGTTTATTCTCTCATAAATAAATTTTGTATTGTTCACACAGATATATATTTCGATTATGAAACCCTTATAGTTCTGGACTACTCCGGATTGGTATTCGAAAGCTTGCTGGTGATACTCTACACTTTTTTCACCAACAAACACAGAGAAATATGTGCCCAATTCACTCATTTGTGCTTTCAAAGTGCAGGCAAAAATTTAAAGTCATACTTTTGCCACCTTTTCGTACCATGTGCAATTTACATATCACTACAAACATTTGTACTGGCAACGATGGAGAAGAAGTTCTTTAAAACTTATAGCATATTCTTTTTGGAGTTTATCTACGAGTTTTATTTTTATTTACATATTGTTTCGGTTTTACGAAGCATTCATCAAGCATATAAAGATTTGGATGGTCTGATAAAGAAAAACTGCAACATCATGAGCAATGAGCTTACCAAGGAGCTGATCAAAATGGAAAGAATAATAAGGGTCAACGAAAATTATGTCGAAGACTTCAACACGATTTTTGGATGGCCACTGTTTTTGTTTCTATGTTCAAGTTTAACCAACGTATTGGGCTGTATAAATGTATATCTCGTTCAATATTATTCAACGAAATTCACCTTTGATTTGACAAAGAGTTTAACTCAATGTGTTTTCGCTTTAGTGTATTTGGTATGATGATTATATAATAAGTTATTGTACTTTATTAATTTGATTTATTTTTTTAGACGTCGCTTTTAGTAATCGTTAATTTGTGCGACAAAATCGAGAAGGCAACCGATAAAGTAGCAAAATTGTGCTACAGCTACCAAGAAAATTTCGCCGCGTTTCCAAATGTTAGAGAAGAGCTGTTTATATTGGCCAGATGTGCAAAAAATCACAAACCCAGTTTCACAGCGGGGTTTTATACATTTAATAGACCCACTTTGGTGGGCTTATTGGCCGGGACAATCTCTTACACCATCATCATTGTGCAGTTTAACATTAACAAAAATTAGGAATTAAATGTAATACAACATTGAGTTTTTCTTTTTTCAAATTATTTCAAAAAACTTCCTAGTCCTAATTTAGGTTACCTAACTACAAATTTAAAACTGATAACAATAATAAAATATCTATAAGGAGTTTATATATATATTCTATACCAGATACTAATAACAACATAATTCGAATGATTTTAATGGTAGATAACGAAAACTTAAATCAAGTCGATAACGAAGTTTTATTTTTACCATAAAATCTTTAAACCATTACTACATTCACAACAAATTTTTGAAGAAAATGCGTCTTCATCAAGATCAAGTCACAACATTACACTTCCTGCGTCACATCACCAAATTCTTCTCTCCATTTGGATTTGTGTTAACCAATATGCTTTCTTTATATACATATTGGTATTAAAATCAATATTCAGTATCTAAAAATAACCGAACTCATTTATTAACCTAATTGTAATTATATATCGTTTCTCTACATATATTTGTTTGTTAAATGTTCTTGTATCTATCACATTATCCCAGGAAGTGAAAGAACGTTTTTTCCTATTTTCCTCAGTAGGTAGGTATAATTAAAAGCCAGATGGGTCTGGTTAGTAAATAATATTGGTAAATTTTTTTTTATTATTCTTGAGCTTCCTCTGAATACTTTTCAATAATATCTGCTTCGTGGATGAGAATTTTGTGATCTGATGCAGTCTAAATATAATAAATTCCTTATAAAGGTATTTTATTATTGTTATCATTTTTAAATTTGTAGTTGGGTAACTTAAATTAGGGCTTGAGGGAAGTTCTTTGAAACAATTTAAAAAAAGAAAAATTCAATGCTGTATTACATTTAATTCCTAATTTTTGTTAATGTTAAACTGCACAATGATGATGGTGTAAGAGATTGTCCCGGCCAATAAGCCCACCAAAGTGGGTCTATTAAATGTATAAAACCCGGCTGTGAAACTGGGTTTGTGATTTTTTGCACATCTGGCCAATATAAACAGCTCTTCTCTAACATTTGGAAACGCGGCGAAATTTTCTTGGTAGCTGTAGCACAATTTTGCTACTTTATCAGTTGCCTTTTCGATTTTGTCGCACAAATTAACGATTACTAAAAGCGACGTCTAAAAAAATAAATCAAATTAATAAAGTACTTACAAGTAATTAATAAATAATTATCATACCAAATAGACTAATGCGAAAACACATTGTATGGAAATCTTTGTTGAATCAAAGGTGAATTTCGTTGAATAATATTGAACTAGAGATGCATTTATACAGCCCAAAACTTTGGTTAAACTTGAACATAGAAACAAAAACAGTGGCCATCCAAAAATCGTGTTGAAGTTAGCGACATAATTTTCGTTGACCCTTATTATTCGCTCCATTTTGATCAGTTCCTTGGTAAGCCTATTGCTCATGACGTTGCAGTTTTTCTTTATCAGACCAACCAAGTCTTCATCTGCTTGATGAATACTTCGTAAAACCGAAACAATTTGTAAATAAAAATAAAACTCGTAGAGACACTCCAAAAGGAATATGCTATAAGTTTTAAAGAACTCCTTCTCCATCGTTGCCAGAACAAATGTTTGTAGTGATATGTAAATTGCACATGGTACGAAAAGGTGACAAAAGTATGACTTTAAATTTCTGCCTGCACTTTGAAAGCACAAATGATTGAATTGTGCGCATATTTCTCTATGTTTGTTGGTGAAAAAAGTGTAGAGTATCACCAGCAAGCTTGCGAATACCAATCCGGAGTAGTCCAGAACTATAAGGGTTTCATAATCGAAATATTCTGTGTGAACAATACAAAATTTATTTATGACAGAATAAACAAACAAAGCTATAATAGCCCCAGAAATAATGATTGAATATATTGTTGATTGAATCTTATTTTTCAATGGAATACATCCCAATAATTTGCCTATATTTAGTAGAACTGACTCAACAAAAATATGTGCTTCTTCACCAGACATTTTTCTACAATACATGTATTGTATTGCAATTCAATTAATAAATAGAAGTACATTTAACGAATTAATTACTTTCGGCTATATATAAATTTTTAATATGTACCTACTAATAAATTGGAAAATAATAATTTAATAAATATGTAAAAACAATTTGGAAAATTATATTTTTATTTAAAATCATTCAAATTATATTGTTATTAGTATCTGGTATAGATATATATAGAACTGTTTGTAGACCATACCCAGTAAACACATACACGTTTTTTAAACGTATTTAAAACGTGTGAATGGCCAATAAAACGTTTTACGTAGAAAAAGCAACGATTTGATTTTGGTATAAATTTACACAAATTAATTTAAACGTTAAAACAACGTTAATTTAAATATGCTTTTTATGTTACAATAACGTTGTATGAAGGTGTTCAGTCAACCATATATTTAAATGTTTAAATAACGTTTCAATCCACAATTTTTTTCACAAATATTAAGAGTTTTAATGAGAAAATAACGTTTGAAGTAATTATTTTATGAACTGTGCAGGCAGCTCTTTCTTTTAACGTTTATACAATGTTATATTCAACACGCTCCATCGAACACTTTGGTGAATTACTTTTTATATATTTATTTTGTGAAAATTTTGCTTGTATATACATGTAGACAATATGACTTCTTAGTTAAAATCTGTAGGTATAAAATCTAAGAATTTTGTTCGTTAAAAAAATGAATTATGAATGAATGTTAAATGGCAGAACATTCTTTAAACTCTTTAGACATGTCTGCAGTTACTGTAATAGATAATAATAACGTACTTAATACGTTTAAACAAACGTACTTAATACGTTTATACATACCCATATAAAACGCATAACTGAAGAAAGCAATCTGATTGGCCGAATACACATCATGTGATTGGGCCTGCCATGCCATAGCTGCTCGCTAGGTCAGTTTTCAATTTGATTTTGCTATCAAAAGGTGCATTTTTTACGTGTTTTGTGACTGGGATAGGTAAATATTAACACACAAATTAACATTTAAGTTAAATTAAAATTTAGTTAACATTAAACTGATTTAGATTAAACACAATTAATAGTCATAAATGCACAGATGTTAAAATTGTGGAAAGAGTGCATTATTTGCAAATTTAGGGGCGGTCGTTATTATAATACTCATGTATTTTTACCGTAAATTAGAATTAGGCGTGATTTTACTAGAGGTGTACGTATTGTAAATTAGTATTTCGAGAACACTCTTATTATACCGGGTGCATTAAAATTACCGAATTTTTTTTAAATAATTTGAAAAAAGAAAAATTCACTGCTGTATTACATTTAATTTCTAATTTTTGTTGATGTTAAACTGCACAATGATGATGGTGTAAGAGATTGTCCCGGCCAATAAGCCCACCAAAGTGGGTCTATTAAATGTATAAAACCCAGCTGTGAAAGTGGGTTTGTGATTTTTTGCACATCTGGCCAATATAAACAGCTCTTCTCTAACATTTGGAAAGGCGGCAAAATTTTCTTGGTAGCTGTAGCACAATTTTGCTGCTTTATCGGTTGCCTTCTCGATTTTGTCGCACAAATTAACGATTACTAAAAGCGACGTCTAAAAAAATAATCAAATTAATAAAGTACTTACAATAATTTAATATATAATCATCATACCAAATACACTAATGCGAAAACACATTGAGTTAAACTCTTTGTCAAATCAAAGGTGAATTTTGTTGAATAATATTGAACGAGGGATGCATTAATATAGACCAAAACTTTGGTTAAACTTGAACATAGAAACAAAAACAGTGGCCATCCAAAAATCGTGTTGAAGTCTGCGACATAATTTTCGTTGACCCTTATTATTCGCTCCATTTTGATTAGCTCCTTGGCAAGCCCATTGCTCATGATGTTGCAGTTTTTCTTTATCAGACCAACCAAGTCTTCATATGCTTGATGAATGCTTCGTAAAACCGAAACAATTTGTATATAAAAATAAAACTCGTAGAGAAACTCTAGAAGGAATATGCTATGAGTTTTAAAGAACTTTTTCTCCACCATTGCCAGCACAAATGTTTGTAGTGATATGTAAATTGCACATGGTACGAAAAGGTGACAAAAGTGTGACTTTAAATTTCTGCCTGCACTTTGAAAACACAAATGATTGAATTGTGCCCATATTTCTCTATGTTTGTTGGTGGAAAAAGTGTAGATTATCACCATCAAGCTTGCGAATACCAATTCGGAGTAGTCCAGAACAATAAAGGTTTCATAATACAAATATTTTGAGCGAACACTGGAAAATCTTTGCAAGGCAGAATAAACAAGCAAAGCTGTTATAACCCCAGATATAATAATTGAATATATTTTTGAGTGAATCTTATTTTTCCATGGGATACACCCCATCAATTTTCCTATGTTTAGTAGAATTGACTCTGCAAAAAGATGTACGTTTATACCAGACATTTTGTCACAACTAACTTTTAATGAATTAGTTAATATATCGATTTTTAATACTAATAAATTAAAGAATTCAAGGGTAAAAAATAATTAAAAACTACAAAAAATTTATTTTTCAGAATTTTTAACAAGTGTTGCAACCTTCAAAAAAGTGGCGAATATAGAGGCCAAGCTGTTTTCTTCATTAAATAATTTTTTTAACACATCACCTATTGTCACTCAAATTAAAGATTTGATGGTAAGTATTACTTTTTGTATAAATAATGTTATATACTTTGACACGTTTTCCTACTTAGTCACGGCAAATTTTAATTTCCGAACCACATTTGCTATTTTTTGTTATTGACGCACCTTTAAAATTGTTGCCGAAATGTCTAAAACCAAAAAAATATAAGATTGTAATGTGAGTACACGTATAAAAAAAAATTTTATGTTTTTTTTTTCAGACAAGGCAGACTACGTTGCCAGATCAACCGAAAAATGGCAGAATTTCATCAATGGAGGAAACGCAAAGAAGATGCAAAATATTTCGTGAAAAAAATGATGAGCAAGCTCAGAATACGATGCTATCGTCAAAACACAGCGGCGTATCAAAAAGTCAAATGAAAGGTATGTTAATTAATATCTGTGGTGTAAAGAGTAATCTTAAAATGGTGTCAAAATCCAACACCAAGTGGTGTTAATATAACACCATGAATTATGGTTGAAAATGTTTTATACAGCAAACACCAAAACGGTGCACCTATACAGAAAAAAAGAAATAGTTCATTTAACTATATTAATTTAGTTGACCCATAAGTATTTATTTAAATCAACTGTGGGAAGGTTAATATAAACAAAGATTAGTTTGACGGTACTAAACCAGATAGTTATTTTTTTTTAATTGGTTAAATTAACCCAGAAAACTTTAGTGAAATCAACCCGCTGTATGGTTCACTTTACTAAATATGTTGTTTGTAAAATAAGACTTACTTCAACCTAAAGCACTCTGTTAAAACGATTAAAACAATTTGCCGTGCATTCCTGGTTGCATAGTGTGTACCGATCGCGGCAAAGGCGGTGTGGATCACGTGATGTTCTTAAATCTCGCCTCTGTTGACTTACATGAAGAGTATATAAGCTCGGGTAGTCCTTTGCTTTGGTGTGACACTACAAGTTGTTCGATACTAAAGAGACCTTAAATAGGTGGAAACAGCTGTCAATACTTGAAGTATTTTAAGTTGGTGGTACGCACTAAAAACATTATCTCTAGCGAGTTGAAGGTTCAATTTTCTGGAATAATACAACTGGTAATATACTTGTAATGCGTCAAGGAACCTGTGTAGTATTATTTAATTTGACCAAAAACACATTATATTTAACACTGAAAAGAAGTTCAATTTACACCAGGTAAAATTTATTTTAATACTTTCTGAAAGTTAAATTAACACCATTTTAGTATTTGAATTTACACTGGACCAACGAACCATATTTAACACCATTTTGAACAGTGTATAGTAACAAGTTGCTTATCAAATTTTTACAGAGTTTCGGGAAGCCTTTCGTCTTTTTGACAAGGATGGAGATGGCTCAATCACCAAGGAAGAGCTGGGAAGGGTTATGAGATCCCTGGGTCAGTTTGCTAGAACTGAAGAGCTACAACAGATGCTACAAGAGGTTGATGTAGACGGTAAAAGAATAACACTTAAGTTTTAACCTCAAAAATTCACTCTTGAAATCCTCTAGGTGATGGCAATGTCAGCTTTGAAGAGTTTGTAGACATTGCTTGGACTGCTGGTGCTGGTTCTGGTCCAGACCACATTCTATCCAGAGAAGAGGAAGAGAAGGAATTGAGGGATGCTTTCAGGGTTTTTGATAAGCATAACAGAGGGTACATTACCGCTTCGGACTTAAGAGCAGTCCTTCAGTGTTTGGGAGAAGACCTATCAGAAGAGGAAAGTGAGTATTACTTACTCAACCCAACAATTCAAACTATGTTGATTATTTGTGTTCTTTTTAGTTGAGGATATGATCAAAGAGGTAGACGTTGATGGTGATGGTCGCATAGACTTCTATGGTAAGAAATTTTTTTTTAATTATAGGTAATTTACATAGGTATGTTTTTTTAGAATTTGTCAATGCTCTTGGTGAACCTGGAACTGAAGACAGTTTAGATGAAGAAGAAGATGATGTCAATGGTTATTGAGAAAAAATGTGATTTTTGGAAAATATATAGGCATATCTTACACTACTCGTAAAATAATTTTAATATTTTATCTTCCAATAATACACTCACAGGCAAAATAATCGATCCACACAAATTTTCGATGAATTTCAATCGCAAATAACTTTTTTATTTGTTTTTGAATTTAAACAAATATTAAAGAATATTGTAGAGACATTAATGCAGAATCGCTCACATTTTAAAAATTACTAAAAAATACACGTACGTTTATAATATACAGGTTTAAACAAAAAGATGTTTTTTAACATAAGTTTAAGACACTCTGTAGAGTGGCAAAACCGTATAGTGTTCTAAATTAAGTTTTAATTATTAAGTCACATCTATTTTTAACAGTTTTGTTTTTGGTTCACCTTGATATATTTATTTTTGTGGAAAATATGGATTTTTATATTAAAAAAACATTGCAATTTCCAATATTTTTGTATGAAGAACTAAGGTTGCTATGGTCCATCCATAGCCTATGGAAATGACAGTGACAGTTTTGTTGAATCATCCCATACTTGGACATGTCATATACAGCTTTCAAAAGCTATCAAATTGTTTTTTGTTAATTAATGTGTTAATTTTGAGGTGTCTTCTCACTTTTAAAAATGTCTCCGACTGATGTTGCCCTTTGTACTTTACTTCTTGTGACGTTTAAAACACTTGCCACGTAATACTGTGACCGTCCATCCTGGATTAAATTAATGGCTCTGGCAACATCAGTCGGAGACATATCCATTTTTTAAAGTAAGAAGACACCTCAAAATTTAAACATTAATTTTCAAAAAACAATTTGATAGCTTTTGAAAGCCGTGTATGACATGTCAAAGTATGGGATGATTCAACAAAACTGTCACTGTCATTCTCCATAGCCTATGGATGGACCATAGCAACCTTAGTTCTTCATACAGAAAAATATTGAAAATTGCAATGTTTTCTAAAAAAATATATCGAGGTGAACCAAAAACAAAACTATTAAGAATAGATGTGACTTAATAAATAAAACCTAATTTAGAACAATATACGGTTTTGCCACTCTACAGAGTGTCTTAAACTTATTGTAAAAAACATCTTTTTGTTTAAACCTGTATATTATTAACGTACGTCAATTTTTTAGTAATTTTTTAAAATGTGGGCGATTGTCCATTAATTTATCTACAATATTCTTTAATATTCGTTTAATTCCGGCATCAAATAAAAAAGTTATTTGCGATTGAAATTCATCGAAAATTTGTGTGGATCGATTATTTTGCCTGTAAGTGTATTAATTATTTAGTACTTAAGTAAGTATTTTACTAAAAACTACCAATATGCTCAAAAATCTTAACTCAAAAATGTTTCAAATATATTATATTTAAATATATTTTTTGGGAATCGATACCCAAGACCAATTGTCTACTTATATTTCTTATTACCACTTACAAAAAAATATAATAAATTGTTTTTAAGTTATTATTGTAAAAATAGAATTAAGTAAATATTTAAAATGTATTATATAGACGGTATATTAATAAAAATAATAAAATAAATTCAATTATCTTATTTCGATTGTTATCAATTTAAAGGTATTAATAAATTACAATACAAAAAACACAATTTTGACATACTGATATTTTAATCCCAATAATTAAAAGAAATATCTTAAACTATATACTGTAGATAAGATTAAATATCTATAAGTTTAGAACATTTCACAAAGTATCTAAGTGCTTCAACAACCTTTATTAAAGTAGTATTCAATTTAAAAAATGCGTACTTTTATTGTATTTTTATTAATACAAATAGTTCTAAAATTGTGTGAGTCAAAAGTGGTTTTAACTGAGAATGGTAAGTTTTCTATAGAAGCCTATAGCAAATTTATAACTTTATATTTTTCTATAGATATACCTGAGTTAAAGTATTTAAACAAAAGTGTTGACCCTTGTGACGATTTCTATGAATATACATGTGGTAACTTTAAAAATGTTCATCCAAGACCAGATGATCAAATACAGATGGATCACTTCACGCTATTATCACAGGAAATAGTCAAAACAACCCAAGGTAATATACAGAAAACTAATATACACAAGTATCGAACAAATGAAATAAAAAAAAATATATTAATTTTACGTATATATACAGAGATCTTGGCCAGTAGCAGTTCCGATGGTGATAGTGAAGCAATCAAGAAAGCCAGAGGTGCTTACAAAGCTTGTGTTGATGTCGAGTATTCAGACTCAATGAAAAACCCAGAACTTCGCGTTATCAGTGAAGTGAACGGTTTTCCAATGGTGACCAACTTAAAACGCAAAAAAAATTACAAACCCAACCCATTCGGTTGGTATGACGTAGCCAAACTCATTTCTGATTACGGCATACCTATGCTCTTTGGTACCATCCAGAGTATACCGCATTACGAAGATCCAAACAAAACACAACTATATGTAAGTACCACAAAAAAAACAATACAATTTTATGACTCTTTTGAAGGTTTACAAGGAAGAGTTACTTCTTCCCACAATGATAAGAGAGAACACCTTTCTTACAACAGATGAAACTATTGAAAACTCTCTAAAAACATTCGCCACCAACAGAAAATTAAAAGGTACTTCCCCATTCGATACCTTTTTGGAAAATATGGTTCTCAAACTAAGAGATGCAACTGGAAACTATTGGACCAGTAAAAAAGAGGTTATGAAGAATTTAGCAGCAACCAAAACCTTCATGATTGATTTATACAACAGTGCTGCACTGCCAAATCAAGTAAGTCTGTTCATTAGTATCAAGTAGGTAGTGGATGAATTCATACATTTTAGACTGAAGAAATATTGCCGTTGATACCGAAAACCTATACCGTCACAATCAAGGAAATACAAGATTGGACTAGTGAGCAATTTAGAGATAGAACTCAAGTACTGAAATATTGATGACAAAACTTCAGATTAATTTATCCCATTCCAGATAAACTGGTTGAAATTTTTCCAAATAGTACTACAAAAGACAGGCCTTACCATCACAGAAGACACAGAAATTTTGTGCGCAGATACCTTTGGTACCATACTTTACAACCTAATTAATCTAGTGGAAAAAACTGATCCTGATACCATCAAGAACTATTGTCTTCTGAGAATATTTCTTTTCATGGCACCAGATAGTGATAGTGATTCCAGAAGGGAGTTTGATGAGTATTTTAAAGGTCTAAACAAGCAACTATATTCTAGGTAAATTAAAAGTCATACCAATTTTTTTTTTTTATAATTTGTCTTACTTAGGGAAGAATATTGCACAAGGAAAATAATAGACCTAGCTGGAACGGCAAGTTTGAGCTATGCTGTAGCCTATGAGTACCAATTAAGGTACTTCAACGTAAACAAGTTGGAAAAGGCTAAAGACATGATTTTCTACCTGTGGAACTCCTTTACGGATATCCTATCGAACGAAATCGATTGGATGGATTCAGACTCCAAATCTCATGCTTTGAACAAAGTCAAAAACATGATAACTTTGCTAGGGTACCCGGAAAAATCTGAAGACAAAGAAGATATAGATGAATTTTACGAAAATCTGCGGATTTGCAACTGGGACAATTTCGGGAATGCGAAAAATATCAGGGCATTTAAAATGGCCTACCAACTGTCACAATCGAAATCCAGAGACAGGACTGTGTAAGTACCTTGTATCAAGTTGTTTACAATTTGACTAACACTGTTTTGTTTGTAGATGGGACAAAAGTCCTTTTGACGCTAACGCTTACTATACCCGGGCCACAAACAGGATAAGTAGGTACAAAAATTTTGTGTGATATATAATTGTTTCCATTATTTTTAGTATTCCCAGTGGCTATGTTGAACCCGGTATTCTTCACAGGAGAAATAAGGTAGACATGTATACATATAATTTAGTTCAAATCACACAAAGCATTTCTTTAGTATTTTGGATTATGGGCGAATCGGGAGCATTATTGGACACGAAATAACCCATGGATTTGATAGCAAGGGCTCAACTTATAATGAGGATGGTTTGGTCAAAAATTGGATGTCCAAAGATAGTAAAGAAGCCTTTAACAAAAAGGCTGAATGTTTTAAGGAGCAATACAATAAGTATTATATACCACAGGCACAAAAAAATGTAAGAAATGTTCTAGTAATGTTTTGGTCATTTTTTTTATATGTATATATAGGTGAGTGGGGCTAGAACTCTTGATGAAAACTTGGCTGATAATGGTGGTATTCGTGAATCGTACAAAGCTTTAAAACAATACCTACTAGATAACCCCTCAAGCTATATAGTAGAAAATTATACCGATGATCAATTGTTTTTCATAGGGTTTGGAACGGTAATATTTTTTTTTTATATTTAGACAGTTGTGCAGTGTGGTTGTGCTTGTAGATGTGGTGCTCGGATGCCTCAGATTCATATTACCAACAACTGGCCACCTATGGTCTCTATCCTCCAACAAAGTATAGGGTGAATGGACCTGTGTCAAATTTGGAGGAATTTTCGAGAGCCTTTAATTGCCCCATTGGAAGCAATATGAATCCCGAGGATAAATGTAGATTGTGGTAGAATAGACAAAGCATATATTAAAACATTTTTTATTTTATCTAAGTAACAAATATCACATGTAAATAAATAAACACAACTCTTAAACTAAACCACCTCGTTTTCCTTTCTTCTGACCTTTTTCCCGCCAAAGTATTCCTCTATATCGGCCAGACTTTTGCCCTTCGTTTCTGGCAGACATAGGAGCACAAAAATGGTTCCAATGAAAGAGATTGCGCCGTAGAAGAAGAAAACGCCCTGTTTGTACATACTACCCACCATTGCAGGGTAAATTTTGACCGTGATGAAGTTAAAAAAGTACCCTATACCGCTGGAGAGACCAGTAGCTGTTCCGCGTAGTTTGGTGGGAAAGACCTCAGCAGCGAACGCAAATGGAAGCGGTAGAAAGCCCAATGTGCTCGTAAAGAAGTACAACAACAGAAGAAGTACTGGTAAAAAGAGTAGTTTGGACTGTACATCACCACTGACTTTACCTTGCTCTATCAAAAGAATGTATCCGCCCAGAACCAACATACAAACCGACATCCCTAAACCTGAGAATATGGCCAGAGGTCTACGTCCAAACTTCTTCGTAATATAACTCAACAAGATTGCGGAAAACATTCTAACAACCCCTATCAAAACTATAGCCAAGTAGGGATCAAATTTAACACCAGCATTCTCCACTATGGATATGGCATAGAAAACTATACTGAATGTTCCGGAAAACTGTTGAAAGAAGAAAAACACAACCACTATAACAAAAGCGTTATAGAACGCGGGCTTCATCATCATTTTGATCTTCTTCCTCAATTGCACGCTCATTGGCGATTTGTTGGTACCATTCTTCACCGTTTTTGTCTTTATTAGACTCTCTATTTCTTGCTCCACCTGATAATTACTCTCCTTAACGCCAAAAACGTAACACATGTTCAACTTGGCTTCATCAACTCTATTTTTTGCTATCAACCAAGATGGTGACTCAGGTATGAATAAAGCGTTCAATAAAATTCCTATGCAAGGAAATACCGCTGTAAATAAGGCCATTATCATCCAGGAATCCTAAAAAAATTCTATCAGATAAGTAATTAACCATACAATAAAATGTAACCTTTAAAGCGTAACCCAACATGTATATTATCAAAACACCTATGGCGAAAGATATTGAACTCCAGGTTGTGAAAACTCCTCTAAGTTTTGGGCTGGAAATTTCCGCCATGTATATGGTTGCTGGAACGCTGGATAATCCCGTGGATAAACCTAAAAGGAAGAGTAAAGATACGTCTGGAACAATTCCACAAGCAACTAAGTAGAAGTGGAGGCAAATATCTCATTGACACGGATGCGGAGTTTAGGTTGGTAGAAGTGCACATACCTGTCAATATTCTGCCCAGTAGCAGTATAGGAAACTGCAAACCGCTGAAAAAATGTGCTGCAGCTATGACAATCCATCCCAAGAAGCAGGTGAGGTTAACACAAAAAAGTGCTGTTTTTCTTCCGTACCGGTCTGCTATTGGTCCAGCGAAAAAACAACCGAATGGGGTGGCCAATGAGGCAATACTTGCTGAAAATATATATCGATCAATTTGTAGCCTACTGTTTTTTTTTGACACCCTATAGTATAGGGTAGTATATTACCAAACCAAGAAGCCTGGTTATCTGTCAAGGCGTTGGGGTTGGTAATACTGACTAGAGCGGGGATGGCAACTGCTGAAAACCCTAGGGACATGCTTGGGGCAATACTGGAAAAATTTGTGAGCAATCCCAAAAGAATCTAAAAAAATAGTTATTTATGTCATTAGGCCTTCAAACCTTGAGCTTAGCACAAAAAGGCACTTTTGGCCGAATGGCATACATTTTATCTTTAAAGCACTTTATAGGTCAATTTAATTCAACATCAAAGCGGCCTAACCTCACTTTTTTAGAATCTCATTTATTTATTAGCTAAAGATTACATTAAATGTACAATAATTATTATTGCTTTTAGAAGCAGTAATAGTTTGAAAATACCTAGCAACATGATTTAAGTAGAAATGGATTTTTGCTATTACATTGAATTCAATTAATTGTTTAATAAATAGGTAGGTATCTAATTTCAATTTGTTTGGATTTTTATTTAAAAAATAGGTATACTATAGTTTGGAATGTTTAAGCTGTGTTTAACATTTAATTTCACTGAAAACTTAAAGATAATTTAAATCGTAGAAAAAAAATCGTGCGTTTTCTTGGTTGCCTAACCTCACTTTTTGTTTTATTATTCATATTTAATTTTACAATAATTTAATGAAAAATATTAAACATTAACAGTAAAACAAACAAATTAGTGCTTATTATAAACAAATTAAACCAGTTTAGTACGTTAATTTCTTAGAAAAGGATTTATTTGTCAAAACAATACCCCTAGCGAGAAAAAATCGAACTAATTACTTGCCTCATAAAAATTTTTATCGGCCTAGGCCATAACAAGGTATTTCTTTATCGAATGTTGACAACAATAAAGTTTAAGTTATAGACCGCGTGGAGATAAAACATATTATTTTGAACATCCTGTATATTAAAAGTTTTAATCTTTTGGTCAGCGGTATCTAAAGTTACAATAGTGTATACATGTAGTAGATGTTATTTGGTGAAATATGAGTCAAAAGTTATTGAAATTCTGGCTTATCAAACTTAACCTTTTCACCGTAAAAACAAAATACTGTTGACCAATTTTATGTTGGGTAACCTAGGAAACCAAATAATTAAAAATCTTAATTTTATTTTTTTTATTTCGTTTATTCGTTATTTAATTCTTTCTACATTAAAAGTATTAAAATATATTTAATAAAACATAATTCTAAAGCAAATTTTGAGTTACCTATCTATAATAAATATATACCTTTTAAAGTATTGAAAATATATTAGTTAAATAAATAGTATCAATTTTATCTCATAAAGCCAAACCCTTTTTTATTTTTATAACTGATTTAAAGTATACTATCTATAGTTACTCTTTTTTTTATAAACATTCGCAACATTTAATTTTTATTTATTTTTTTGACCCTTTGTATCTGAGCACGATTATTAAATTAATTTGTTAATAATTATTATTATAAGAGATAAACAATATTTTTATTATTCCAAAAAGAAAGTACAGGGTATATGTAGAGAATATTTTCCATTAAAAAAACGATTTTTAACTTTTAAAATTGTCATTTTCTACCGGGTGTAGAAAACACCCTGTATAAAATTTTGCGATAAAATTATTACCAGCTTGTAGCAGTTAATAATGAAAAAATGATACCTTCTTCTTCGGAATTGAGAAAAATACAATATAAAAAAATCAATAAATTTTTTTATCTACAAATTTTTTGTGACTAATAGCTTCTGTTATAAGTTTATGGGTCACCTTAGGTGATTCACCCTGTACATAGCTTTGTACATAAATGTGAAATTAATTAACAAATAAATAATACATTTTTCAAAGTTATTGTTTTTGAAATAAAAATAGAAAATTTCTGTTAAATTCGCAATAAAAGTTTTTATATTTGTAATACACAGTAAAAAAAGTAGTGAAGATATTTAACTCTAGTAAACTCTAAAAACATTCTATATGCGACGACTTTTTTTAGAGTTATTTATTCACACTGATGATAGTGTAATAATTTATATTTCTAGGGTAAATATTATAACGGTATTAAGTGTTACATTTAATTTACTAGTGCATAAGTTTAACACTACTGTGTGTTAAGGGTACTCTGGGTAGTGACCCGGGAAAAATGGTTTTGTTAATTAGAGTAATATTTTACACTATTTTTAGACTCTTTAGAATCTTTTAGAGTAAACAAACTACTCTATTTTTAGTTAATATGAATACCTTTTTACTCTGATTAGTAAACTTTACATTCAAATCGAGTAAAAATTACTCTATCCTTAGTTGCTATAAAGATAGGAAAATTAAAAACATATATTTAAATTCAAAAGTATATTTTGTAAAAAATAACAAAAATAAAAAATTATATAACTAATGTTAACATAAAAATAAAAACAATGTATAATTAAAATATGTAAATTAACTCGAACAAATGTTTCTTTTAAATCAATGCATCCATTTTGAATGGGATTTGTATATAATTGGCTCGTTTCTGTTATTATCGGTTTTGGGACAAAATGCCTAATCACATTTCAAGTTTTTACAATAAAATATCTTTAATATAAATAATAAGAAATAATGTACCTATTTTATACGTATTATGCAGCGGCACCCACACACAAGCGAACCATTAAACAGCCCTTGGAAACAGCACTAAACTAGTTTACAAATTTATAGACGCTTTGCAATCCCCACCACAAATAATAACCCTAATAGTGTAGATTTAACTCTTTTTAGTGTAAAAATATACTCGCTTACTGTTTACTTTACTCTAATCCAAAACAATAATACACTAGCAAGAGGAAAACTAGGGAAATTTTAACGCAAATAGCGGTTGTAAAATACTAATTTATAGTGTAAATGTTTTACCTTTTACAAAGTCTAAATTAACACTAATGCGATTGTATTAGACATTCGAGTAAAAAATATAATATTTTTAGAGTTACGTTTTATTACACTGTAAAATAATGTAATATAGAGTTATGTAGAGTAATATTAAGCTATAGAGTTAAATAATTGGTGCATTTTACACTGAATATCAACTCTAAAATATTTACCAACTACACTAGCTACTTTACTCGATCCATATTTTTTACTGTGTAGAAGTCACATTTTTTTTATCTTTTATAAAATAAATATTGCAAGGCTTAAAATCTTAAGTAAAAATGTTGAAATGATTTTTTAATAAATTAAATGGTTTAAAAAAAATGAAAAGCTATAGCTATAGCTATAGGTAGTACGAGAAACTACATAGATACAGAGTGTTTCCTAATGTCTATGTGTATATAGCATTTTTTAAATATACCCTTTCTAGTTCAAGACTTTTTGAAACAACTTCAAATAAACGCATAAAAACTATTTTTTTTTAAATTTACCTGTCTTTTAACAGATCTTTCACTTTTTTGTTTCTCACAAACCTCATTTTGACACATTACTTGTTAAAAAAAATTCACTTATTTTCGAGATTAAAAATTACAACATGTAAAGCTTTAACATAAATAATTTGTAAGTAACTAAAACTCTAATATATCACAGCTTGTATTTAAAGATACAACATTTAGTACCAAAATTTACAGCGTTGCCAGAGTTATATTTTATACCTATTTGTTGTAATCTTCTGTAATAATTATTATCAACAGTTTATGATATAATATATATCTTTTAAACTATGCATTTTATTACATTAATGTATAAAATCTTTTTTGTATAAAATTTGTTTGTTATAAAATTTCTTTATAATTTTTACCTGTAACTTTAACCGTTTTGCCGGAAACTGTAGTTTTATGTTGTTAACAATATTTGACAGTTTAAATGTATTAAATGCTGTATACCTTATAAACTATGCATTTTATTACATTAATGCATATAATCTTTTTTGTAGGAAATTGAATTTTCTATAAAAGTCTTCCTTACTTTAATTATAGTGTTAAAAATATGTGGCAGTAAAATTTATTAAATGCTGTATATCTTTTAAACTATGCATTTTATTACATTAATGCATAGAATCTTTTTTGTATAAAATTTGATTTGCTATAAAATTTCTTAATACTTTTTACCTGTAACTTTAACCGTTTTGCCTGAAACTATAGTCTTACGTTGTTAAAAGTATTTAACTGTTAAATTTATTAAATGCTGTTTGTATATCTATGCATTTTATTACAATAATGCATAGATTATTTTTTAATAATAATTAAGATTTTTATAATACACAAAACATTTTAAAAAAACAAACAATCAAGTAGGTACCTATAGATATATATAGGTACTTGGGTTTTTCTCAAAAACCTTTGTCGGTAAATTTACAAATAATAGAAATTCCCAAACATTTTTTTTTTAATTTAAAATGCACAATGATTTAAAATAATGATTTCATTCGCATATACAGGGTGAAGGTATAGAAAATGCTGTCAGAAAATCTAACAGAGGATTTCTTAATAAAAATAGTTTTTTCATGTTTTAAATTTTCTGGTGTATTTATTATTATTATTTAAACGTTATAATTTTGCTTTTTAAACACTGTGAGGCGGTACAAATCAAAATGATTTTATCAGCCAAATCAACATGTACAATTTTTGCAACTAATCGTTGTTGTTATCTTTAATACATTTTACATATTAAAGTTAATATATGAGTGAATTTTATATTTTATAGGTAGGTATCTAATGTTTTAAATATATGTACATATATATATCATAGTCGCCCTTGGTATAGGTGCTAAATAAAATCTGTCAAACGATCTAACCCTAATTTTCTCTCGTATAATAATAATATTAAGTTGTCAATTTTATTACAGAAATGACGATTTTATTTGCGTAAATTATTTATTTTTGGAAAATGCAAACAGATGCAAAGCACCCTTTTACCTTTTTTCAAAGTACGACTCACACGTGTCCATCCCAAATAAAAAATATACACTGCTGAACAAAATTTACTATTTCCTAATACGGGTTTTAACAATGATCAATATGTATTGAAAAAATTATCATTTTCCCAAAGTTATTTAGTTAATTTTATTCTAAGAATGTTTTTTAAACCTTCCAGTGGGAATATTCTTAGGATCATGCTATATTTCTTTTAGGCATGTTCTAAGAATGTTTTTTAAACTTTCCAGTAAGAGAATTCTTAGGATCATGCTATTATTTCTTCTAAAGAACATGATCCTAAGAATATTCTTATAAGAATATTCTTAGTATACTGGCCTATAGGCAGGTTCTTAGAAGGTTAAGAAAGGAATTGCTAAAGAAATTCCTGTTAAGCATATTTAGTTCAGTTACCTATATAATGGTAAAATATACCATAAACTATAGTTATATACGTATACGTATAAAGGTATACCTATACTTAAGTACCTAATTAGTAATTAGTATTAAATACTAAGTAAAAAACACATTTCAAAATATTTTTTATAGTTATTTGTCAAATTAAAACAATATTCGACAACAAAAATACTTTTACTATAGGTATTTTATTTTATGTTAAAAATAAATATTTATTAATTTGTATACCGATTTTTTATTTCTGAATTAACATTTTTATGTATAATAATCCTAACTACCTTCAACTTCAATCTAATCTGACTTATCCCACAAAATTTTCCAATTTTACTTTTTATGAAATAATGTCATACAACTTATGGTTTAGAGGTCAAATTGTTTATTTATTATTTTTAAATTAATATATATTAATATGTTGCAAAATTTTTTAAGGGGACGACAAATACATTTCACTGTCATATTATGACAGTGAGGCGTATTTGTCCTCTCCTGAAGAATTTTACGAATGTAGAATACAACATATTAGACATATTTGGAAATATTCTCAAAAGCTTCCCAGAAGCTCCATAAGAAACCTTCAAAGAACATTCCAAAAACGTATTCTTAAAATGAATCTATTGAATGTTTTAAAAGTCCCTAGGAACATTCTTCTGAGAAGATTCTTAAAATCAAATTTTGCTATCAGGGGTTGCTTTATATTCTGTTTACAATTGCATATAGAACTGTCACTGCCACTGTCAAAGGGTTACCATAGAAACTATTAACAACAAATACTTCACAAGTATAACTTATAGTGAAGATATCTTTTTAATTTACCCTTACTCTTGAAAATTGCTTGAAACGATGATTTTTGTTCGAGCAGTGTAATTTTTCTGCATCTGCCCTTAGCAGGTGCGCGCTTTTCTCTTGTTTCTTCTTAAGTACCCGTACCACATACCTGTAGTAACCTGGTCTTGAATGGAGCCTTCCTATTGGTCAGAATAACGTCTATTCCACACACCGTTGGGCAGATGTTTAACGCAGACGGCATGTGCCATGTGCGGCAATTATTTCCAGCGACGTTGCCAGACTTAATTTAAAATACTTGTTCTAGGTACAAATTTTAATTTTTTGTTTTTTATTTTCCATTGATAGCTCTATAAAGACAATAATGGTAATTTTGTTTTTGTGCGGTACTTTTCGGGGGGTAAATTTGGCAACGCTGCGCGAGCGACAAAACAAAACAAGGGCCCTATATTATTACCTCAACGGTCTCAACTTCTTCAGTTGCTAGAAAGTTTTTCAGCGACAAACATGTTTCTTAAAATGTTGCGATTTTTTGTACTTTCGATTTTTTTTTTGTCGGTGTGTCAATGTGACAATTTGGAAGAACAATTGAACGTATTGAGTCAACAGGTGTCAGTTTTGCTGGAAAAACGTGATGAAGATTTGAAAATTATTGAAGAAAATATGAAAAGGAAATTATTCGAAAAGTTGGAGCTACCAGGGTTTCAAGATGAAATCAAAAAATTAAGGTAATTTTTTATGTAATTAAATAATAATTATCAGGTAATTTTATACTAAATTGGGTTTCATTAATTATTTGGTTCATTAATCAATGTAATTTATTCCCACATACACCATATGCTGAATACCCTTGCTTAAAGTAACTTGCCGACAAATTAAATACCCTTCAGGTAAAAAATAAAACCCTTAAGGCTATGCGACATTTAAAAAAATCACCATAGTATTTATTTCTGTTACACATTGGAATTTTTCAGTTAAAACCCCCTTCTTCACAGTATGTAAACACACTTTGTATAAAAGGGATGTAATAAATAGGTAGTTTAAATTACATAGAAACTTGGTTGGTTAATTACACATTGTATATTCATTTCCTATATTTTTTTTCAAAAGGAAGTAAAAATTATACTGTTAAATGCCCTGTTTGTTCGACTAAAACTTCAGTTGTTAAGTAAGATATTAAATGCAGTTTTAAAAAGGTTTGATTATAATCATAATTTTAAAAAAATTGGAAATTTTGTTTGAGAAATTTCAAAAATTTAATTTTTTTTAGATATATTAAAAATTTAAAACATTTTATAAACAATTTTGTGAATTTTAGAAATTTATATATTCGAAATTTTTAAAATATCTTAAATTTTCGAAATATCTAAAATTCAAAAAATTGTTAAATAATTTTGGAAATTTATAAATAATTTTGGGAATTTAAGAAATTTTTGTTAATTTTTGTAAATTTTGATAATTTGAGATACCTACATATGTATGTTCTAACAAAATTTAAAAATATTTTGAAAATTTATAGAATTTTAGAAATTTTTATAAAATCCAAAATTTCAGAAATTTTTCTTAAATTTTAAATTTTTTTATAATATAAGATATTGGAAAATACTTTTTTAAATATTTTGAAAATTTGGAAAATTTTAGAAATTTTGATAATTATAATTATAGAGATATTTTAAAAATTTTGGAATTTTTGATTATTTGAATTATTATTATAAATTTTGTTAAATTTTGTTAAATTTTTAGAAATTAAAAAAAAAAATTATTTAAAAATTTGGAAAATTTTGATAATTTAAAGAATTTTGGGAATTTTAGTAATTTTGAAAAAAATAAAAAATCGGAATTTTGTTTTTAATTCTGATAATTTGAGATACCTATTTAAAAAAAATTGAATTGAAATTTAAAAAAAAAAAATTTTTAAGAAATTTTAAAAATTTTTGAAATTTTAATTATGTAAGATGAAAAATAAAAGGGATTTATAAATTTTAATCAAATTTTGAAAATTTTAAAAATTTTAAATATTTTACAAATTTTAAGATTTTTGTAAATTTAAAAGAAATAAAAAAAAATTGATAATTTAAAATATTTAAAAAATTCGAAAATTTTAGATATCTAGTAAATTAAACACTTTATCTACTTCTACATTGACGAGCTGTGACTTTATGGCGCTTTAGTCACGGGCTGAAGTTAGCAACAGTCGCTTTTGGGCATTTTAGTCACGGGCTGAAGTTGGCTTTATTATAAATTAGGGAAAAGTAAGGTTAAATCCGTTAAAAGTTGACAGACGTCAAATGTTTAACCAAAAAAATTGGCTTTAAAACTCTTTATAGACACTCAGACACTCGTTGTTATTAAACACTCGCTCGGGCCTAAAATGGCGTTTATAAAATCTTGATACATAATATACTATTAGTTAATATATGTAAGGGCAGTTTTCAATTATCCAATCACTTTAAATCACTTTATTACTTTTCTTTTTTCGCATGAAGTCTAAACATATTCTTGTGCTAGTTTTATACTATAAATAAAATAAAAATTTCTTAGTACCTTATACTCACTTAATTCATCTAAAAGGCAGATGTTAGGTGTACCCGTATTAAAAGCACCTGCCTAGCAATTATATTTATAAAAAAACCTGCCATACACCCTTTTTGTGCGTACCTATACATGGCGTACAGAAATCTTGCAACTTATTTTTCATAATATCTATACTTTAAAAAACCCCTGTATATACTCGTTATATAACGTTAATTTAAAACTTGTCTTAAAAGAATTTCGCAAGGTGCTTACTCAAATTAAGGTCACACATTTAGTGGTTACAGTTTTTAAACACCGTTCAATAAAATTGCAATTTAAAACAAAATTGTTTTATTTTACAGAACAGAAATAGATCTTCTTAAAAGTGGAAGCAACACTGAAGAAATTCAAAGCATATCGCAGGAAAAAAACGACAAATTGTTAGTGAAGTGGCTTACCGAGGCTGTAAAGGAATTGAAGCTGGAACTTCTCGAAGTTCAGGGCACTTTAAACACCACCACCATCCTGGAAAATCATGAAGTACTGGATACCGATATCAACCTACTGAAAACTAATGTTGACAATTTGAACAAAGAGCTGGAAAAAAGCAAAAACGCCAACATCAAGAACCAGGCTGAAATACTGAATCTTAAAGAGGAGATATCGTCATTGAAAGAAAATTACAAAGTCACTTCAGTGGTGTGCGGGAAAACGAAGAACCAGTTGAAGGCACTTCAGCTGGAATGGGCTGGGAATTTCAAGATCCTAACGGAGAAACCCAGTTTAACTTTGGATGAGCATCACAACAGGCATAACAGAGTTCTAAAGGAACATGTTATATTGCTGGAGAAGAAGTCTAAACTAACCTCAAGAGAAAACTATACGCTAAAAAAACGCTTGTACAGATTGGAAAAAGCATTTTCCACAATGAAACATTCATACACAAAGGGTAAGTCTCTTGTAACCATATCAAACGTTACATGCACTATAACGTATATATTTTTTTACAGAATTATCAAATGAAGTATCTGAGGAACCGAGATTCAATCACATAGAAGAAATAGTTAGAAACATATCAAAGGACAATGAAGCAAACAAAAAAACCATCAGGAACCTAACAAGCCAGCTAACAAACTTTGACAAACTTCATTTATCGATGTTAGAATTACTGGAAAATGTGGAAAACGTGGAAAGCAAGATTGACAAAGCAGTTCCAGACTTTAGAAAGGAAATTTCCAAAGTTGAAGTTCAGTTCTACCAAGAACTGTCGAATGTGAACATCTTAAGGGAAGATTTTAAAAACACCAAGCTAGCTGTCAAAGCTATAAGCACTAGCGTGTCAAATCTACAGGATAAATTTAAGTTAGAGGATACATTTGTGAAGGAAATCAACATGCAACTCGTAAGTTTGAAGAAGTTAGCCAATCAGCACTCTGCAAAGCTCCATGGGCATATTTTGGCGAGTGAAAAATCGGGAGCAAACTTGACAACCACTAAAGACACAATACATTTAGTTGATGAACTGGAATCGTTCGAGAATGGTTACAAGAATATGATCAACAAACTCTCAAAGGATTGCTCTACAGTTCTAGGGCCTAAAGGTGTATATTTAATATCACCTAACAACGAAAAACCTGTTTTGGCACACTGTAATGAAGGCTGGACCACCATACAGAAAAGATACGACGGCAGCATCAACTTCAATAGAAACTGGACTACGTATACACAAGGTTTCGGAAACATAGATTCAGAATTCTGGCTGGGCAACAAAAATATACATCACCTAACGAAAAACAACTGCACATCTCTAAAAATCAACATGGAGGACATCTATGGCAACCACTGGGAAGCCAACTACGATACCTTCGTGGTCTCCAGCGAACAAAATGGCTTCAAGCTACAAATATCGAACTTCACTGGAAATGCTTCGAACGCTTTTGACTACCAAAACCAAATGGAGTTTTCCACCATAGATAACGATAGAGATATATCTAACACCCATTGTGCAAGAAATTACGAAGGAGGTTGGTGGTACTCCCACTGTCAACATGCCAACCTCAACGGAAGATATTCCCTAGGTCTCACATGGTTCGACAACATTCGCAATGAATGGATAGCTGTATCAAAAACAGAACTCAAAATTAAACCCAGACTTAACTGTCAATAACTCCATCAATTATCAAGCGATTTTAACAAACCAAAAAACAAAATGAACCTTGATGAACAGGCTTTAATACAACATTAATTAATGTGAGATATCTCGAGGCGTCTTCGAGATATATCGCGTAACGTCAACCCATGTCACTGTGACTTTAAACACGTATAATTTTTTTATGTTCTAATATTTGTTATATTATTTTACAAAAATTAAAGCCTGTTTACTAAGCTTTAAAATAAAGTAGTAAAATCCAAAATATCTCAAACACTTTTCGAGATATCGCGCAAAATATCCCGTCCAAATAACGTCAAAAATTTAAACCAAAGATAATTTAAGTTTCCATTCACATGGTGTTCAAAAATACTGTGTAATGGTTGTATATATTTAATTTATTATTTTTGCCATAATATACCCGAAAACCAAATGTATTTTTATGTTAGTATCTTAAGGTTTTGTATATAAATAAAATAAATGTTAGTTTCTTATTTTAAGTTTTTTTCTTTGATTTAAGTAATTCTTCGTATATTTTGCAGAAATTTTTTTCTTGAGGTTTTATTTCGTAATTTTCTTCGTTCGAAAGTTTGTTTAATTTTTTTTCTTCCGCTGAAATAGGACATTTTTCTGTTGTAGTTGTTTCCGTTGAAGAATGTTGCGTAATTTTTGACGCCATCTTTGATGATGTTTCTTCTTTTTCTTCAGTTGTTTCTTCGGGAGTTAAATCGTTATCTAGATCAATATTTTCCGTAAAATTTGTTTGCGTGTTTAAATAATCACTATCTGTAATGGTACTTTCTTCATTTTCATTTGGTGTATTCTTCTCATAATTCTCTTTTTTTCCAATCAGTATGAAATCTATATTGTCCGGAAACACTGGGGTAACTTCTTCATCAAAAATATTCATCAAAATGTCATTGAATCTGTTGGAATTTTTTTCCACATAAACACCCATATCTTCATTTTCTTTAGCGGCATCAAAAAGTTCGCGCTTGTTTAAAATAATCGGCAAGTTTTTACCGGTTATTTCGATAATAAAAAACACGATGATTTCTACTATAATGGGAATTTTTTTCGTTAGGTACGGGAGTTGAAAGTGCATTTAACTGTCAAAATGAAATGGATTTGACAACTTTATAAATTTGTTGGTTAGGTTTTAAGTATGACCTTAAAATGATTGTGACAATTAAATTTAATGTTAGGTACTTCTTAAATGTAATGTTTTTAAGGTAATACTGGTAATCCCGAATTTTAAAAATTAAAAAAAAAAATTTTGGAATTTAAAAAAAATTTGGGAATTTTGAAAAATTTCAAGAATTTTATAAATTTTGAACAAATATTTTTTTTTATTTTGAATTTTTTTTATTTTGATAAATTCGAAAAATTAAAGAATTTTAGAAATTTTTGTTAAATTTTGGAAATTTTGATAATTTAATATATTTTAAAAAATTTTGAATATCGAAAGAATTTTGGGAATTTTAGAAATTTTGAAAAACAAAAATTTCTGAATATTTTTGATAATTTGAGATTTTAAAAATTTTGGTATTTGTGGAAATTAAGAAAAAATAAAAAAAAATTGAAATTCTGAACATTTTAGAAATTTTATTAATTGAAGCCATTTTAAAAATCTCGAACTTTCGAAATTTTTGTTAAATTTTATAAATTTTGATGAATTGAGATGTTTAAAAAATTTTGGAAATTTTAGAAACTAAATAAAAAATAAAAAAATTTAGAAATTTTGAAAATTTAGTACCTATTTGATAATTTATAGTCAGATATTTTAAAATTTTCGAAAATTTCAAGAATTTTAGAAATTTTTGTTAAATTTTGATAATTTAAGAATCTAAATAGAATAGAAATTTAAAAAAACTTGAAATTTTGAAAATTAAAAGTGCCACAAAATTAAGTGAAACATTTATATTATATATATATAAAAACTTAATTTTAATTGAAATTAACATCAAACGTCAAAAAGTGAGGTTATGCAGTTATAGCAGTGCTACCAACTTAACACCGACTGATAGATGCAATTTCGTGCATAAAATGTCTTTGTTCGGGTGGAGAACATTGCATTTTTGTTATAATTGTGGTTTTTAAAGTAAAACACGTATTAAAATAAAAATTGTTGCTTTATTATTGTACTAAAACACGGTTTTAACATATAATATTTATTAAAATATAACATCACGAATGCTTATGCTTAAAATGTCGTTTTAAATGAATTGGATTGGCAGTTTTATAGTTACAATGTTGGCAATAGTGTATTTTGGAGGTTATTATATTTTTATTGGACTCATTCAACAAATCCGAATGCTTGGTTAACATGTGGTTGTCCAAACTTTGCTTAATATTACACCGATGTGTACAAAACAAACATTTAAATTCTTTTATTTTGTTGTGAGTTTTTATGTGAGTTGCTAAATGATTTTTATGTGTAGTTTTGTGGTCGCAAAGGTGACATTCGTAATATTCGAAATTTTTTAATTTCAGACATTTAGTTATGTGATTATTAAAATGCGATTTTGAAACATTGGAGTATGAACATTTGGGACAATTGTGGATTTTACTTGTTATTTTTATTTTGTTGTCTTTCTCATTTTCTATTTTGTGTTTTATTAAAATGTGCGCGTGTAAAGTCGTTAATTTGGCAGCCATATATTGGCAATAATGACATTTTAAGTAACTTTGTTTGTCGTGGATTTTTAAATGAAGTTTAAGAGTACTTTCTCTCACAGTGACGTAATCACATTTATCACACTTAAATTTTTCTAGCTCATGCTTTTTATGAAAATACTTTTTGTGGTTAAATAAACCTGCTTTTGTTTTATATTTTTTGGGACATATCTCACATTTCAATGACTTTTCTTTGCCACTCAAATCATCGTTTTGATCATGGGGATATTCCATCTCGATTTTTGTGTCCAACATGCCTTCTTCCTTAATATAGTCACTTTCTTCAACACTATCATTGATTTTAGATCTAAAATTATGTAAAAATGCTGTTTGCGATGGACAACAAGCAGGCTGTGTCAACATGACAACTGTCAAACAACTGTTGCCATGGTGATGATGCATTAAGTGGCAACCATGCTTACCCTTGGTCAAGAAACATTTCTTTAGCTTCAGATTTAATTTCAACTTGCTTGACTTCATCAAAATTATCTTCTTCCGATTCTTTTTTCACCCCAAAATCATCATAGACCATGCAGTTGTCGCTATCATCAAATTCTTCTTTGATCTCTTGTTTTATTGCTATCCCAGACGTTGAAGGTTCTTTTTTAACGCCTATTTGTTCCATAGTGTACGGAAACTTTTAACTTGCTACCGAAAATAAATAGAAAACCTTATAAACAACGAATTAGATGACTATTGTGACATTTGACAGAAAACTCCCCAAAATAACCCTAGAAATATCACCAGATGATTTGATTTTCAAACGGCTAGACCTTAGAGTAGGGAAGAGACGACACAGGATAACTTTATCCGAGGAGTTGGTTTCAAAGCAGCGTATCTTCGTTAATAAGAGAGATAATGACGCGAATAAAAAAACAAAATGCACGGATAAGATGGGACTACAGTGTGATTTCAACTGACATCGGCTGTTGTTGCTGATCAAGGCACAGGGTGCCACATATTTCGGGAAAACTTGTTCTTACTTTACGCTCAAATTAAAATCTGAACAACATTCAAAATACTCACCTCTGAAATCCATTTTTCCGTCGGAAAACCACGGGAAACGTCAGAACGTGTAATAGTGAGGTTATGTTGTTATGTATTTTTATAATTGAGTTTTTAAGGTAATTTAAAGTAAAACACGTATTAAATATAGTTTTTTTATTAAAAAGTTGAAAAAATGGTACAATCATTTGAAAAAAATGACCCTGCAGCATATAAAATGCGTACATTTGGCATCACTGTTTTTTTTTGTGTTTATTTTTTAAATGAGATTTGAGGTGATCTACTTTTGCTGTCCTATATTCACATAGTTGGCAATAGTGTATTTTAGAGGTTATGATATCACTGTTGGATTCATTTAACATATCGGAATGTTTAGTCAAAGTATGATTATCCAAATTTCTTTTACGTATACTTTTATATTGACAAAAAGAACATTTATACGATTCGGCGTTTTCTAATTTCAAACATATTTTGATATGATTATCGTAATGTGCTTTATGAAGACTTGAGTATGAACACTTAGGGCACTCGTGGATTTTACTCGTTATTTTTATTTTTTTCTCTCCTTGATTCTCCAATTTATGTTTGCTTAATATATGTGCATGCAAAGTCAATAATTTAGCAGCCTTATATTGACAATAATCGCATTTGAGGTAACTTTGTTTGTCGTGAATTTTTAAATGAATTTTAATGGTACTTTTTCTGACAGTGACGTAATCACATTTATCACATTTAAATTCTTCCAGCTCGTCTTTTCCATGAAAATACTTTTTATGATTAAACAAACCCATCTTTGTTTGATATTTCTTAGGACAAACATCACATTGAAACAACTTTTTTTTGCCACATTCAACCCCATGATTTTTCACCTCAAGTTTTGCCTCAAACAAACCTTCATCCTCATCTTTCCCTACATGGTGTGAGGAATTTGTATTTTCTTCAGAAAAGTCACTATCCCTTTCTTCTTCCTTAATTATGTCCCTTCCTTCATCATTATTGTTTATTTTATATCTAAAATCATGCAAAAAATGCTGTTGGCTACAGGAACAAGCAGGCTGTGTAATTCAAGGTCAAAACTGTCACTTGTTGCATGTTTCAACATGTCAACTGTCAAACAACTGTTGCCATGGTGATAATGCATTAAGTGGCAACACTGCTTACCCTTGTTGAAGAAACGTTTTGTCTTTGGCTTCGAATTTTATTTCAACTAGCTCGGCTTCATCGACATAGTCTTCTTGATATGTGCAGTCCAATTCTTCTTTGATCTCTTGTTTTATTGCTATCCCAGCGGTTAAAGGCCTTTCCTGGTCAGTAGATGTACTTGGTATATCGGAATCGTAGACAGGTTCTGTTTTAATGACTATGTGTTCCATAGTGGTATATTTAACGAACACAAAATATTTTTAACTCTGAAAATATTTTGGCAAACTGTTATAAACCCTCAAACAACGAATTAGAAGCATTTGTTGTATTTTGAGATGGCTATTTTGATATTTGACAGAAAACTCCCTAAAATAACCCCAGAAATATCACCAGATAGTTTGAAGTTCAAAGACCTTAGAATAGGGAAGAAAATGATCAAACCGTTGGAAATTCTGATTTTATTTTAGGCATGTACAGGGTGCAAAAGTAAGAAGAGTTTTTTTTTAACTTTAAACAACATTGATAATCTTCATCTTCTTCTTCAATAATTGTTATTCTCTCTTTCGAGAGAATTGGACTTGAGCCAATTAGGCTCTTACTGCCCAGTTACAAGTTTTAACGTCCTTGAGCTTCTCGAAGCCATCCACTCACGGACATGTGGAATTTCAAATCTTGAAACATCCACTACATCAATTGCACAAATCACAAAATTCCTCGCTGAAAGGACAAAGCTTGCGATATTGTCGAGAAATACCGGTATATTTCTATACCGGGAACCCCATTTTATCCTTCCTGGGACAAAGTCAACTATTTTCAGACTTTTTCATGGAGCGATGTACACACGATGAAGGATAAAATCGAACCTTGATAATACTGTTTGAATAAAAAACGATTGACACTATGATTAGTGTTGCCAATAGGCAAAGAACCAATCAAAGAACCAAGGTCATAAGACGTCATTTTTTCGAGAAATTGTCTTGTGACACTGGCAACACTGTCTATGATTGACATCCGCTGTTTTAGTTAGTTGTTGTTAAATTTGCAATAATAGACCTATCCCATAAAACAGACTTTTGGATAGCGCGTGCCTGAAGAAGAGTGGTATCTCTTTCTCTTTTATATAATTAAATAAAGACGACGTGCTTTTCACGCACGCGCTATCCAAAAGTCCGTTTTATGAGATAGGTCTATTGGGACGATATCTCCGCCACTTAACTACGTGCTTCGGCGTAGTCGCAATTTGCACTCCCTTCTCCCTACTCTAAGGTCTGCATGTTTGCAATTCAAACTATCTA